AAAAAAAAAAAAAAAAAAAGGCACAGCACGCCAGAGACATGGGTCTTGAGTTATCACATCGTGAAGAGAGCAAGGGAATAAGAGAAAGAGAGAGACAAAGTGATGCGAGACATGCGGCGCTTGGAATGTGAGGATAGAATACTACTGTACTGTAATGCTGGGTAATATGGACTGAGGTTAACAAGACAACATGTTGACGGACCAATGAAGATAAACTGAGAACCCTTATTGCTGATAAACATCTGTAAACAGAAAGGGTCTTCAAAAGAGAGAAAGAAACACATTTTTCTTTGCTTTTTTCTTCTCCTTTAGAATAAAAACTGGACTCGAGTTACTATAATTGGGGCTTCAATGGAGCTGGTGTGATTCTCATCATTTCCCCAAGTCTTGTCACTCTCGTGGGTTCATTCTTTTTCTCGCTAAGAGCATCATGACCTCATCTAGTCACACGGGCCTACAGATCATATATTCCTAGCGTCCATGTATTATACGAGGGTCTAGAAAGGTGAGTGCCTATACAGACCTACACTGGGAGTGATGCTCGAGATGGATATCACAAAGAGAAGACTGGCTGGTCTAAGCACCAGGCTATTCACTTGGTACATCACTACCACTACAAACAGAATACAGTCCAATAATAACATCCGTTACTGTATCCGTAGGCAGAGGTTGAATTAATTCTTCCCCCCTCCATCATGGACCTAATCCACAGTGACCCGTCAGTGGATGCATAAGCAGGTGCAGGCACTTTAGTAGAGCCTGAGCCTTGTGCCCTGTCCCTATATCTAACCCGAAACGGATTATGGTCTAATCTACCCCTGGCTTGGCACGCAAGGATGAACGACTGACCCCCTCCCCCTCTTCACTGGTCTTGTCTTGTCTTGTCTTTCCTCGTCTCTTCTCTTCACTCTCAAGACTCTCCTTCTTGCCCCTCGATAACCGCTAAAATAATACCACATAAAACTTATCCAGGCACGAGGACTGTTTTGGCGCCTCCCGTCCCGAGCTCATCTGCGCCCAGTCTCAGCCTCCACAGCCCCTTGTCTGTCGTCTGTCTCTTCTTGGTTTTGAACTCGAAGCTCTGTACCTGTACCTGTCTGTGCTAGGCGCCTCAACCTTCAGCTTGGATATCAACGAGGCCACAGCTTTTTTGGATCGTATAGTGAAAGCAATTAATTAACCTAGCGCTGTGCCCTGAGATCGGACCCTTCAGTTGACCGAGTTCTAAAACAACCGGAGTTTGCTCAGAGTTTTGTTCTTTAGCTGGTCATGCTTGAGGAAAATCCCTAACATGGACCAGGGATCCAGCTATCAAAAACTACTGTACTCTAGAACTACCGCCGGTTTGATAGGCCTCTCTTATGATCATCGCCTCTGATCGGCCAGAACAAGTTTAAGCAACTGTGGCGGTCTGGCGACCGAAACGATGATCAATTCCAATCATTACCCAGAACCTGCTGAGAGTTTGGGTTCAACTTGAAAGGAGACAAGGCGGTTTGTAGTTTGTACAACCAAACTGGGCTACTTCTATCAAAGGAACCCCGCCAACGCCGCCTTTTTGCGACGCCTCCGTTCCACACGGATTCATGAGGCGACTGACTGTTGAGATCTTTTGGAAAGCAGCAAGCGAGCTACAAGTAGACGGAAACTGTGCTTTATTGCCATTATGGTATGGCAGTGCAAAGTCAAAGCGACGTCCGTGGAAGTTGCCATTAGATGGGGTCATTATAATTAAGCGAAAGGGTCTTCGTTGCTCATCTGCAAACCTCCAACGGTCTTGTCAACCGTCGCCGTTGAGGTATTCTATACCTTGCAGTATGCCGTATCATCACCAACAGCGATAGCAGGTTGTTGCTGATCCGTTATGGCCCTGGCCTGGTCACCCCTGTCAGTTCCCGCTGCGATGTGAGAGCCCGCTCTAAAAACGATCATGTTTTTGCATCCACTCTTGTCTATGTACTGCGAGGTTTCGCCCTCTCTGCCCCTGATCCTAGCCAATCTAGGTACGGTATGGAACCCTTCAGTTTGGTCTGGTCTGTTCTGTCCCTAAAACATCTTTCTCCTTCCTTACATGCTGTGCCCTGGAAGTAGCCAGAATTATACCGAATAGCGAGGTCACATATTTGACCAAGGCTGCTGCGGGTGATTGTTATAATAACAGACGGCTATTAAACACCATCACGCGTTAGTTCTGAGGGCATCACCAAAACACAGCTAAACCCCACTAGAGGCAATAGCAGTTGCTCTGGTTGACTTATTAGCTCCGGGGCTACACCCACTACTTTTACTGTACCTATTGCAGCATTCAATGGCTGTCAGGTACCTAAACTCCAGCCACGTTATTCTACGAATCAACTGGACAGTATTCCCACCATCAGACAAAATTGTCCTTTTACTGGGCATCATCCCCCTCAATCACTGTCACTGTTGTCGCAAGCTCTCTCACCTCAGCTCAGGTACCAATCTGTACCGTACCTGCCCAAGATGCTACCTCCATGAAAGTTGGAAGCCCCCCCTTCCTAAGCCCTTTTTCTTGTTTCCTGCCGGTATCCCATGATAGTAGTGCCGGACCCCTGATTCCTGCCTCTTTATGTCTAAAATGTTTGAGGCAGGTACCTTGGTCTATTCGACTGTTGTAAAGCCACCATCGGCTCCCGTTTTCTGTCACGTTTCCGGATAACCTCTTCCATTCTTAACGCTTTCTTCAACAGTGATAAATACTAAACAGCCAATCAGCTACAAACAGATATTTGTTGAATGTGCAGTGATCCTCTCCATATCCTTACATACGCCCGCCAGCCATCGCTTGTTGTTTCGCGTTCGCTGTTACTGTTCGCTCCTCCTCCTATCTTTTTCTCCCCACACACACAGACAAGAAAGAGCCCAAGCCCAAAACCCACAACGCACGTCCCTGCAGCTTCCAACGCCAACGATCCACCGACCGTCCCACGCGCCGTCTCTCCCTCCTGAAGTCCGCGTCTCAGCCGTGCATAAATCTGCCCGAGGATACAGATTGCATCCATGTCTGATACCTTGCAGTCCACTACCTGAACAGCTCCACGACAAGTATCTTCTTAGCTCAGGTACTTGGCCTGTCCGTTGCGTTGCGTTGCCTGTACATGTACAATTCTATCACCGGCCCCCTTCCCCTTCCTACATCTGGCTTGTCTGCCACTATCACTACCACCACCACCGCTACCACCTCCACTTTCGTTATCACCATCAATCCATCCGCTGTCTTTTTGTCCTCCATTTTGCGCTTCTTTCTTCATTGAACATTTGCTGTGCTCCTCGTGAGATCGAGGCTTTTCCCGTTCTTTAGCACTTTGCTTCGCGGCACATCGTCGCCCCCATTGAGTTGCTGTTATCGTTGCTTTTCAACTTCGCTTGTGTCCTCTCCTCCTTTGTCCTCCGATCGACCGTACCCTAATTGCGCGCTTGAACCGCCGCCCACCTCACAACCACCGACGAACCCGACCTCCTTGTCGCCAAATCGATTCTTTTTCGGCTTTTTGATCATACCGCTGCAGTCCAACAACACACAGACAAGCATCGCTGTCTGCCCGCCTGGGCGCTTGCCATCACTCGACGACTTGTTCCACCACCACCGAATTTTATCCCAGCTTATCTTGGTCGGGACAAACTGACACGCTTCTTTCGACTGTCCTGGACAGTTAAAACGTCTTGACTCGGCACGACTGTGATACCACGGTCTATTGGAGTTCAAGGGGCATATGAGCCCAGACCGTTACCCTTTTGAGTTGTAGCAGACACATTATGTCCGTCATGTTGCAAACACCATCTCGAGCTTCTACCGCCTCCTCTTCCTCCTTCCAACCTATATCACGCCAGAACACTATGTCTTCTTACGACGGTTCGCGCTCGGCGCGCCAGTCGAAGCGCTATTCTATGTCGGCACTATACATGTCGATTTCCGCCAACGAAGGAGATCTCCAGATCGAAGATGATCTTGCTAAAGGTAGGTGCTAATCATTTTACACAGCCAGGAACCGAATGATTGACTTCTTTCACAGCACAAAAGGCGTTGCGCGATCTCAAATCGAAAATTTCATCACAGTCCAAGAAGAACTTCGTCCTGGAGAAGGATGTTCGCTACCTGGACTCTCGAATTGCATTGCTTATCCAAAATCGTATGGCTTTGGAGGAGGTACGCTTTACTTGGCCGCTAAACGAACTGGTGCTTACAAACTCCTAGCAAAATGAAGTTGCCAGCCATCTTGAGGATGCTCTTGAGATGCAGCAGGGTGGTTTTCCGAACGACGATAAGACACAAAAATACGGAAACCTTCTCTTTCTTCTGCAATCTGAGCCCAGGCACATCGCTCACCTTTGCAGACTGGTCTCGATGTCCGAGATTGACTCGCTGCTCCAGACAGTCATGTTCACCATCTACGGAAATCAATATGAGAGCCGCGAAGAACACTTGCTCCTCACCATGTTTCAGGTACGTCTTAAGCTTACGATGACACCAGACTTTCGAATTCTTACACATTCTAGTCCGTCTTGACATACCAGTTCGATAACACGCCAGACTACTCATCATTGCTTCGCGCCAACACGCCCGTTTCTCGAATGATGACTACATACACTCGAAGAGGACCTGGTCAAAGTTTCCTGAAGTCGGCACTTGCTGATAGAATCAACGGCTTGATCGAATTGAAAGACCTTGATCTTGAGATCAACCCGCTCAAAGTTTATGAGCGAATGATCGAGCAGATTGAGGAGGACACCGGCCAATTACCTCCCCATCTTCCCAAGGGAATCACGGGCGAGCAAGCTGCCGAGAACCCCCAGGTTCAGGCCATCATCGAGCCCCGCCTGACCATGTTGACCGAGATTGCTAATGGCTTCTTGACGACTATCATTGAGGGCCTCGAGGAAGCACCTTACGGTATTCGTTGGATCTGCAAGCAGATTAGGAGTTTGACCAAGCGCAAGTATCCTGATGCTAATGACCAGGTCATTTGTACTTTGATCGGTGGATTCTTCTTCCTGCGCTTCATCAACCCTGCAATCGTTACCCCGAAGTCGTACATGCTTATCGATGGAACCCCGGCCGAGCGACCTCGACGAACTCTGACCTATATCGCCAAGATGCTGCAGAACCTTGCGAACAAGCCATCGTACGCTAAGGAACCGTACATGGCTAAGCTGCAGCCGTTCATTCACCAGAACAAGGACAGGATCAACAAATTCATGCTTGACCTCTGCGAGGTGCAAGACTTTTACGAAAGTCTTGAAATGGACAATTATGTTGCGCTTTCGAAGAAAGACTTGGAGCTCGAGATCACACTCAACGAAGTTTATGCTATGCACGGGCTGATTGATAAGCACCACAACGAGTTGTGCAAGGATGACAACTCACATCTTGCTATTATTATGTCGGAACTGGGATCTTCGCCTCCTCAGCTCCCACGCAAAGAGAACAGGGTCATCAACCTGCCCTTGTTCAGTCGATGGGAATCAGCGATTGGTGACCTTACGGCAGCGCTGGATATCACTCAGGAGGAAGTCTACTTCATGGAAGCCAAGTCAATCTTCGTCCAGGTCATGCGATCCATTCCATCAACTAGTGGCGTAGCTAGGCGACCTCTACGACTGGAGCGTATCGCCGATGCCGCGGCCACAAACCGCAGTGATGCGGTGATGGTGCGCAAAGGTATTCGTGCCATGGAGCTGCTTTCTCAACTCCAAGAAATGCATGTTATAGACAAGGCCGACCAGTTCAGCCTCCTTCGTGATGAAGTTGAGCAGGAGCTTCAGCATCTTGGCTCTCTCAAGGAAGGTGTGATCACAGAAACTCAGAAGTTGCAGGAGGTCTACAAGACCATCCGGGACCACAACGTTTATCTCAACGGGCAGCTTGAGACTTACAAGAGCTACTTGCATAATGTTCGATCACAAAGTGAGGGTACGAAGAGAAAGCAACAGAAGCAACAAGTTCTTGGTCCATACAAGTTCACCCATCAGCAGCTCGAGAAGGAGGGTGTCATTCAGAAGAGTAATGTTCCCGATAACAGACGTGCGAACATCTACTTCAACTTTACCAGTCCATTGCCAGGAACCTTTGTTATCTCTTTACATTACAAGGGTAAGTCGTCTTCAATCCGATTAGACATGATGATACTAATCTGAGACAGGTCGTAACAGAGGCTTGCTTGAGTTGGATCTCAAGCTGGATGATTTGCTGGAGATGCAAAAGGATAACCAAGACGATCTCGACCTCGAATACGTCCAATTCAACGTGCCCAAGGTGTTGGCTTTGTTGAATAAGCGTTTCGCTCGCAAGAAGGGCTGGTAAATGATCTATGACGACAATACGACTCTCGACCACAAAAACATCTCGACATTTATTGATCCATGTACTACGACCACATCAGACGGAAGGGCTTGGCGTTATGGATACTGATACCACGGAATTTTCTGCTCTCTTGACCCTGGACCACCAAGCTATTTGGAGGGCTTGTTACCATGGTTTTCTTTGCTAGTTTTCATTTGTCTGGTTGTTTTTTGTTGGGCATGAATGTTTACTCCATATCATGTATCGTGGTGGTGGATGTGTAAGACACGGAGCAGGGAGGATTATTCTTTTATATAACGTTTGCTTGTCTCTTGAACAGCGGTATTCTGCTTCGGCTGGTCCGCGGTGGGAGCTTGTATATGGCGCCCGATTGTTTGTGCATGCCAGTAGTTTGCTCAGGAGATGGATTACACCCAGTAGGGGTATGGGAAGACGATCTGCATGGGGTTGAGAGGCCTAAGGCGCTCTGATAATGAACAGAAGGATTTCAATGTTTATAATATGAATTTAGATTATTGTGACATTCCCATCTGCTACTGCACTATGTCTTTAATCATGTTGAAGTTTACTTGCTGTTTTCTTATCACATGTATGAATGGATATGGAAGAATAAATAGATGGAAGAATTAACATTTTGGTACTCCTTAGAGCAAAAAGAAGATTAGTGAGGACTCCCAGGTAGATAAATATGAAAGTACATAGATAATTGTCTCGGGACCTACCTAGGTTAGCAGCTGGTTGGTTTTGAGTGGATGAACCGAGGAACGCAACTGAAGCTGGGGATAGTGGAGACATGGAAGTTAAGGAAGAGGGGCCGCGGTCGCGGGCATGTCGCATGAGCTACGGACAGGGAGGGAGCTACTGGATTCCCCAGGAACCTCGGCATCTCGTCTAACAAGGGCCGAGTGTTTAACTTTAGGTGTAGCTTACCTTACAATACATCTTTACCTCCTTCATTCGTGATACCCTTCTCAACAGAACTTGCCATTTCACAACAGCACAGCTTCATCGCATTCTTGTTCTTGTCATAATCTCCCGACTCGTATACATTCACAGTAAATAAGTTGTGGCTAGAACCATACAGTAATTGCCAACCTATTGAGCACTGAGCCAGCTCTGTATCCTCCAACTGCTTTCATTTGGCCCTACTTCTGCCATCATGGCTGGCAGAATTCGACAACCCGTCGATGAGAAGGCTTTCGAAAAGTTCATCTCTGAGAATGTACCTGACATCAAAACCCCGATTGACCTCAAACAAGTGAGTAGCTGATTATTTCTCTGCGTCGTGTTTGATTCTGACGTCAAAGTAGTTTGGCTTTGGTCAATCCAATCCAACATATCAAATCACCGCTTCTGATGGCCAGCGCTTCGTGATGCGCAAGAAGCCGCCTGGAAAGCTCCTCTCTAAGACAGCTCATAAGGTCGAGCGTGAGTATCGCATCATGCACGCTCTCGAGAACACTGATGTCGCGGTCCCCAAGACTTATTGTTTATGCGAGGACGACTCGGTCATCGGAACACCGTTTTACATCATGGAGTTTCTCGATGGCCGCATCTTTGAGGACTTCACCATGCCTGGTGTAGAGCCTGCTGAACGTGAGGCTATGTGGCGCGATGCTGTGCTAACCCTGGCCCGGTTCCATGCAGTTGATTACAAGAAGGTTGGGCTGGAGAAGTTTGGCAAGCCCTCGGATTTCTATTCTCGACAGATCAATACGTGGGTTACTATTTGCGGAAGTCAAGAGAAAGCTGTCGATATTGAGACTAAGGAACCAGTTGGGAAACTGCCGTACTTTGAAGAAACTGTGCGTTTCTTCAAGAACGAGCGACTGCAGCCCAAGGATCGGGCGACGCTTGTACACGGCGATTACAAGATTGACAACCTGGTGTTTCATAAGACCGAGCCAAGAGTGATTGGAATATTAGAGTATGTGTCTCCTGGCTTTGCTTTCTTTGGCTGTGATATAGGCTGCTAACAACTATTCCCTCACAGTTGGGAGATGGCTACCATCGGACATCCTCTCTCCGACATCTGCAACCTCCTTACCAACTTTTATTCAGCCAAAGCCCCCGGCTCAACTCCATACGACACATCTGGCTTCCTGCCCGGTAGGACACCCGGTCTTCCACAGCCAGAGCAGATTCTGGAGTGGTACACAGGGCAAAGCGGCTACGACGCCCGACCTGAGGTGCCATGGGGCATGTCCTTTAGCATCTGGAAGCTGGCAGGTGTGTGTCAGGGTATCGCGGCTCGTTATGCACTGAGGCAGGCGAGCAGTGAGAAGGCGAGACAGCACGCTGAGACGAGGGGATCTTTGGCCAAATTTGCCTGGCAGTTGGCTAAAGAGGCTGGTGCTGAAGAGACAGCGGCAAAGCTGTAGAATGTCTATTATAGCTTGGAGTTATGTATGAGGTTTGTTTCGGTGTCCCATATGGTTGTCTTGAGTAAATGATTGTACTTCTTTAGCCAGCCATAGGTTATGAAGCCAAAATAAGGTCCCTTGTCGGATACTACGTTTATGCAAATGATTGGGCCAAAGTGTTTCTTTTAAATGCAAGGCGAACAAAAACGAGTGATATTCAATTACTCAATCTCGTTGAAGCTTAGCCACTCCTTTGCCTCTATCTGGGCTATTTTATCTGAAGAGCGGTTGCTTCTGGTTGCTGTTTTGACTTGCAACACCCCAGGATTCAGATCCGAAACAATCCAACGGTACGGGTGTTGAAAGGATGACGTTAGCCTTTGCGAATAATAGATCTTCTGTGACAACACAATCCTTCACCCTTTTCAAGAAAAAACCACTATCAATTTGCTCAATTGATCTCCATCTTGCCTTCACCGCTTGATAGGCACTTACTTATACATGCCCCATAGCGCCTGTCTGCAAGAGTAGAGTCCCATCTTTTAGAGGACTATTCCACGGCAGCAGCGTCTATCTTATCGCTCGCCACGCCAAAAATGGCCAAAACTTGATTCCACTCAAACCTGCGACAACGCGACGGGACTTAATACTCCCTACCCTACCCTATCCTTATCCATTCCATAACTTAGACATCCTTTCACGTCACAATACCTCTATTACTTACTGAACTCCTCTACAATTGCTTAACCTACTGGGCAATTCATGGCTAGCAATACTCGCCGGCGCATCATATTGCCGGACCCCTCAGCAGATGAACGTCGCCCTTTACTGAGTAGGCTCAGTACTGGCGGCCCCACGAACCGCGAGGCCCTGTATAGTTGCATGACAGACCCCCATAGCCATTTGCCCGTGTATACCAACATTCACCGTATCCGTCGCGATATCATCAGCGTTGTTGAGGATTATCTGAGCCTCGCCCAGCTGCAGGACCTGAGAATTAATGTTACAGTTGTCCGGCCCTTGGTTGATAAGTTCTATGGCCTCAACGACATTTCCATCAGTAAGGCCGAGACAAAGAGAGCCAACCTGACTCCTGTACTAACTATATCTCATAGTATACTGCTTGCTGGTCAATCGTGCACAGTTCCTGGATGAGCAGTCTCATTTGAACAACCGCCACAATGTTAACTTCACTCGTGCTACTCTGTGTGAGCTCATCGCTACGCGCATCCTGCGACGCTTTGGTGAAATGCATGACGACGGCCATGATGGCCTCCTACTACTGGCTCACATCCTCGTGGCAGGCTTCGAGCCCTTCCAGAATGCTCCAGACGAGATTCGAGATGAGGCAGAACGGACAACTTCCTGGGTTGATTATAAGACACTGCCCTCTTTAGAGATCGCCATCGTCACAGAGAGCAAGCATTTCCTAAGCTCAGCCACTTGCCAAAAAGTGGTCAATGCCATTTACGAGGGACGCATTGTTTATACTCCTTCGACATTCTGGGACATCATTCCTGATCACTACAAGCTGAAGCCTATTTCCATTTACGACCCTCGCGAGTCACCCCTCCTTAACCAGTATCGTCTAATCGTCCCTCGTACCCGAAATGTCCTCGAGTCTATTCAGTTCGCCGTGTTACTCGCCCTCTATGTCGCCGTCATGGTTCTAAGGAGGAAGAACCGCTATGGGCCAACTGAAGCTGCTTTTTCTATCTTCGCTTTTGGATGGGGATTGGATCAGTTTGCCACTATCTTGGCACATGGATGGTATGTTACAAGCACATCTGTCGTTGTAGGCTACTGACACATCATAGGAACGTATATACCCAAAACCTCTGGTCATTCCTCGATGTGGCTTTTGTCTTTATTTATTGGGCATATCTCATCCTGCGGTTCCTTGGTTGGAAACTGGGCGATGCCAACATGGACGAGCAGGCATTTGATGTGTTGGCGCTCGCAGCTCCCGTATTGGTTCCGCGCCTGGCCTTTAATTTGCTTAGTGACAACCTGGTGTTTTTGTCTCTAAGGTCAATGATGGCAGATTTCTTCTTCCTAACAGCCCTCTCTGCCTGGTGCTTCTTGGGATTTTTGCTATCGCTTCTTTGGCTTGGTGAAGGAGCACACCCTATTCTGTAAGCTTCGTTGTGTCACCCAAGGTGCAACACGATACTGACGCGTACTAGGACAATATCGAAATGGATGATCTACATCTGGTTTGGACTAGATGGCACAGGTATACATCGATCGGTAAGCAATGTGTTATTACTATTGCCAGACTGCGTTCTAACCAATTCCCCAGACCGAGTTTCACTGGCTACTGGGACCTTCTGTTATGGTTGCATTCGCTTTCCTAGGAAATACGCTCTTCCTTACTATTTTGGTCTCTATGCTGTCCAACACCTTCAGTACTATTTCGACCAATGCTATAGCAGAAACCAGCTTCCGACGAGCGGTCCTTACTCTTGAAGGCGTCAAAGCCGACGCTGTATTTGCGTATCAGCCGCCCTTCAACATCCTCGCTGTTTTCCTATTTATACCTCTTAAGTTCGTCGTGAGCCCGCGCTGGTTCCACAAGATCCATGTTACGGCTGTCAAGATCTTGAACTTGCCTCTGCTCCTGATCATCGCTGTTGCCGAACGTCGGATACTTTGGCCTTCTCGATCGATCGAAGATCCTAGCGAGATCAAAGCTCCGCCGCCTACCAAGAGCCAATTCTGGAAGAAATGGCGATTGACGGTCCACCGAGATCTTCGCGCTGTGTTCCAAGTCCCGCCACCTGACACTGTACACGATGATATTGCAGTCGACGATGACCTTACTCACCATCTCATCCGTCGCCAGTTCACACGTGGAGCCACGAATGAGATAGAACCACGAAGTATGGAACCTCAAAGCCGTCCTGATCCTGGAGGCCGACGCCCATCGAGACGAGACTCCATGTTTCCCGGCATTCCGCCACAGAAACTGCGCGGATCGTTCTCTGAAAATGATATGTTTGAGGGAACATCGGATAGAATAGCCAAGATGGAGAAGTCGATACGTCGCATGGAAGCTATGTTATCGCGCTTAGTTCCGTCCGTGGAAGACGCCATCAGTGACGAGGAGCTGGAAGAGAGTGGCACACTTAGAGGGGAAAACACTGCCGAGTCATCGTTTAGGGGCGGGGAAGATCAAGATTCATAGTCGCTGCGCGGATTATGTCTGATACTTTTTAAGAAGAATACGCTTGCAGTGATTGCCTAGTAGGTACTGGATCAATAGGCAGCTTTTGTATTGTATTTGCTTGGTTTTATTTTGACACTGATTCAGTGGCACTGCCAGAAGCAAACTTCCTTTACATCACCAAACAGCAAAACCTTTCTCTCCTAAGAATACCAGAGCACTCACTTTTTGTCTTCACTCAATTTTTCACGGAACTCCCATTCAGCAGCCCAGATTTCATTTCCAATTTGCACCCCCAATATGTGTACAGTCACATACTTCAAGCATAAGAAATGCAAGCACACCTGGGTCGTTCTCACAGAGCCCTGCCAGCCTTACATGGGCCTCAACACCTGCCCAACCTTCTGCGACGGTACAGCCAAAGAGCCGCCCAAGTTCTATAACACAAAAAGTCGACCTTGTCCTCGGTGTCAGCTGCACGGCGTGTATGATCGCAACTTGGTTCGGATGGTGGAAGCTATGGGATGGGGAATCAAATGGGGGGTTGGACCAGGGAGAGACGACTGGGGCTGCGAAATGAAGTGTGTGATTCTTTGAGGGATTGTGGTGATTTGTCTTGTGCGAGGAATTGGTGACATGGCTGTTCTAAGAGGTTTCTTCAGGCCTGGGCATACAAAAACAACACCGACCATGAGCAGCAACTCTCTTTAAAATACCAACCTATGCCAACCAACTGCCATAATACCGATGAATGACAAGTCCTAGAGCTTTTGATTTTGTTCCTCTCTGGTTCTGTTACCACTGATGCATTGGTCTTCTATGCTATATTCTAAATATATCACGTGCCATGTCCACTCAGCGCCATCACAAGTTTTCTTATCGTAAATCAATGAAGTATCACCACAACCACAGTCTTCTTACACAGCGAACACCGTACACAATGCTTCCCACACCAGATACTTCTCACGTCCCATATGAGCGGGTCTACGAACCAGCCGAGGACTCGTATCTCCTTTTGGACACACTCTCGTCCGCTTCTGAGACGGAATATCTACAAAGTGCCTTTCCCAACACTGCACCACTCGTGGTGGAGGTCGGTACAGGCTCAGGGGTTGTCCTCGCCTTCGTCCACGCGCATGCACGGAAACTCTTTGGCACACGACATGTTCTCACAGCTGGCGTTGACATGAATGCCTTTGCGTGTCGTGCGACTGTTGGGACTGTAGCAAAGGCTGAGTCTGATAACCCCGACACTCATGCCTCGTACTTGGGCTCGTGCATGGGAGATCTTACAACCCCGTTGCGTGAAGGCACTATTGATGTTCTCATCTTCAACCCTCCATATGTACCGACACCTGAGATGCCTGCTAGGCCAGAGTCATTTGTTGCAGATGACCTAGGAGTCACCGCAAAACCCTCCTGGGATGACGATTCATACCTCCTGGCTTTGTCATATGCGGGCGGCCTAGATGGGATGGAGACAACAGATAGGCTTATTGAGGCACTGCCACGGACTCTATCCCGCCGTGGTTGTGCGTACTTGCTCCTCTGCGCCCAAAATAAGCCCGATCAAGTCAAGAGTCGCATTGAGAGCTTCGGAACCGAATGGCGAGCTCGCACCGTTGGCACAAGCGGCAAGCAGGCTGGATGGGAGAAATTGCAGATCGTGCGGATTTGGCGAGAGTATGCGAGCGCTGCGGAGTAGGAGAGAAAAAGGAAAATGATGCTGCCATGACTTGAGACTTGCAAGAGCATGTATTCAGATATCTTTGTATACCTACCAAAAGGCGATACCCACTCCAAGAGGATGCAGATTCATACAGTTTTTATGGCTAAACAACCCGAACGCCAAGTTCCATTTAGAAAGTGATATCATCGCGATATCGTATCCACTCCACAGATGATGCGCCTTTGCGCTTCTATCTTCGTCCCCTTTCCCGTCTGGTCTCCGATCTCTTCGTGTCCGGTCCAATCTAAGGTCGTCCACCACGACCACGGCCACCGCCGCGTCCACGTCCTCTAGGTCCGCCTCTGCCTCGGCCTCCTCGTCCGCCACGCTCGGCCTCCTTGCGGGCCTTGTTCTTGGGCTTGGGCGCGTCGTCGATGAGTAGTGTGTCAAGGGGTAGTGAATCGGGGAGAATAAAGTATCGGATTGTAGAGCCTCGGATGTTCATGGTCTCGAGGGAGATGGGCTCCTGGCCCTTAATGGTCATCTTCACAGTACGGAGAGCCGTGTTCATCTGTGGAGAGACGGAAGAGATTGTGCCATGGATGATGGTGCCTGAAAACAAGTTAGCCCGCTACTGCATTCCTCCAAGCTCAAGAAATAAGACGAGAGCTCCCGTACCATTTTTCAACTCAATTGTCACCGTCTCGTTGGCGCATTTCATCAGGAATCTGTGAGAACCAAGTTAGTCCAAGAGCTCCAACTTGAAAATGAAGCTCAGCACAGATCAGGTGCAGCGCATAGAATGGGAATTGTTCGTACCGGACGAGCTTCATATTGGCGATCTAAGCGTAGGAAAGAATATGCGCTTAAACTGATTGTAGTATCTGGTGGTGGTGAAGTAGGAGTTTATTAGGCGCGTCGTCGTGAAATTGATTCGGCGTGAGGCTGAGAGGCTGCTACCACGACTGCCTGAACTGTCGGTCGGAAAAATCGAGGCGGAGCTTCTACCTCTGGCACGTGATCTGCAATAGCTCTGATGTTGACTCCAGTACAGTATGACAGCCAAAGTTTGGAGGTGGATTTAGGACATGGGAACGATAATTAACCAAGGGAAAAATGTTGATTCGACCACATAAAGGAACATCAGAGGGTTTTGCCAATAAGATCATTTATCTACCATTTTTAGTATTGAATTCCAATCTATATCTAAATCTATGGTTCGCAAATACAAGTCAACGTTGCACATGCCTCCACAATTGTTTTGATCGTGACCCATTGAGGCAAAGATCGATTATCGATAACAGGACCCGCCGTTCGTTCAAAGCCTTAGCGATTGGGGACTAGAAGACCATATAAATTGCAGCCTCGCCAACTTGAGTATGTCATCATTAACAGCTCGCCTCTTGCTTGTACCCCGGGGTCTTCCTCGTTCCCTTTGTTATTGACCGGATGCTCGGGGTCGGATTTCTAAGTTCTTTCCTCCAAAACCTTTTGTTTGCCTATTCACTATAATTCACCGCGCACCCCGCCTTGGAAGCTGCCGCCTGCTGGCTCTCACTACCCCACCATCTTTCGCCTCGGGATCAAGTGGAAGCTCATCGGAGCTCTTCCCTTTCGACACTACCATTCTGTATCCTATACAGCAACTGTCGGCATCGTGTATTTTCTCGACTGGGGCGACATCGCCAGGTTGTAATTAAGAGGCAAACATGATTTCGGGGCGAGGAACAGCTGGCGCTCGGGGTAGGATTCGCCCCCCTCGTCGCATTGTGCGCGTAAGTATGAACCCAGAGCAAGAGCTTCATGACCAACATCACAACAAGTAGCTTGTACCCTGGCTTAAGATCGCAAACTAACAAATATATGTATAGCCAAGCGAGGCTGGCGAAGGCTCCGACTTTGAAGCGTGCTGGAAAATGCTTAAAGAAGCACTCAACGACATCCACATGAAAAACTGCAGTCGGCTATCTTTCGAAGAACTCTACCGAGCAGCGTATAAAATCGTTCTTAAGAAGAAGGGAGAGGTTCTGTACGAGAGAGTCAAGACTTTCGAGGAGCAGTGGTTTGCCGAACATGTTATTCCCCGAATCCGAGAGTTGTTCAGTAAAAGTCTGATCAATATTGGAGGCGAACGAACCTCGGCGACATCGGTCAACGAAAGACGACAGACTGGGGAACGGTTTCTCACGGGCATACGCGATCGATGGGAAGACCACAACATGTCCATGAACATGACGGCAGATATACTAATGTACCTGGATCGTGGCTATACCCAGCTCGAGGCACAACGAGTCCCTATTTTCGCCACCACTATCGCGCTTTTCCGAGAGCATATTCTACGATCATCTTTGAACACCAACACCAAAGACAAGGTCGTCGATATTCTGATATCGGTCTTGCTTGACCAGATTGACATGGAGCGCGAAGGAGACATCGTCGACAGAAACCTTATTCGAAGCTGCACCCGTATGCTTAGTAGCCTTTACGAGACCGAAGACGAGAAAGACAGTGACAAACTCTACACCACAGTTTTCGAACCCCGTTTCCTTGAGCATAGCAGAGTCTATTATGCTGCTGAGTGCGAGAAACTGCTACGCGAAGCAGACGCCGGAGCTTGGCTGCGGCACACTCAAATGAGACTAAACCAGGAAATTGATCGCTGTCGAACCACGATAGAGATGGAGACGTTGCAAAGAGTCACATCGACCATCGATGAAGAATTGATAACCAAGCACTTGGGTGAATTTCTGGCTCTGGAAGGAAGTGGATTGAAGTGGATGATCGACAACGACAAGACCGAAGAGCTCTCTATTCTCTACAAACTCATTTCTAGAGTGGACTCTACAAAGGAAGCGCTCAGAGTTATTTTGCAACGTCGCGTGGTTGAGCTTGGACTCGAAATCGAAAAGGTCCTGAAGAACACTGATTTCTCGACCGGCCAAGGCGAGGGCGATGAAGGAGGTGAGGGCGAAAAGACAAAGACACTAAACCCTGCTGCTCAGCAGACTGCGGCTGCAATCAAATGGGTGGATGATGTACTTCGCCTCAAGGACAAGTTTGATAATCTTTGGACTACTTGCTTCCAGGATGATCTTATTATTCAAAGCGCTCTCACCAAGAGCTTTTCCGACTTCATCAATCTGTTCAACCGGAGCTCTGAATATGTGTCACTGTTTATTGATGATAACCTCAAAAGAGGTATCAAGGGCAAGACAGAAGCAGAGGTGGATACTGTTTTGGAGAAGGCCATCGTCTTAATCCGGTATCTCCAAGATAGAGACTTGTTTCAGACATATTATCAGAGACACCTGGCCAGACGACTCCTTCATGGCAAGTCTGAAAGCCACGATGTTGAAAAGCAAATCATCTCTCGAATGAAGCAAGAACTTGGACAGCAGTTCACTAGCAAGTTTGAAGGCATGTTCAGAGATCTGGTCACGTCTACGGAGCTGACTGCTGGCTACCGTGACCACATCCGTGATGTTGGAGACGGTAGTAAGACTACGGACCTCAATATCAATGTTCTTACCACGAACTATTGGCCGCCTGAGGTCATGGGTCGTTCTTCGCAGATTGGCGAGGGTTCTCGTGTTACGTGCACATACCCGCCTGAATTGCAACGACTGCAGGCGAGCTTCGAGCAATTCTATCTGACGAACCGTAACGGACGTAAACTTACCTGGATCGGCACAACTGGTAGTTCTGACATCAAATGTACTTTCCCGGCCATCCCTGGAAAGTCTGGCACGCTATCGCGAGAGCGGAGATATGAAATCAATGTGCCGACGTTTGCCATGGTTGTCCTGCTCCTCTTCAACGATTTGGAAGATGGCGAATCATTAACATTTGAGGAGATTCAAGCCAAGACCAACATCTCGAACCAGGATCTTATGAGGACTTTGACCGCGATTGCGGTAGCTCCCAAATCTCGCGTTTTGCTCAAGGATCCGGCCAATAAATCGGTAAAACCTGGTGACAAGTTTACTTTCAACGCATCTTTCCAAAGCAAGACTATTCGCATCAAAGCGCCCATTATCAACGCGGTGTCAAAGGTAGAAGACACGACGGAGAGAAAGACCACCGAGGAGAAGAACAATCAAACCCGGGCTCACATTGTTGATGCAGCGATTGTGAGGATCATGAAGTATGTATCGCTTGTTCTTATTCTGCCGCTTGTTCTCAGACACTAACGAGCTCTTGCAGGTCTCGGAAGGAACTTCCACATTCTCAGTTAACTAGCGAAGTTCTCTCTCAACTCTCGGGTCGCTTCAAACCTGAAGTGTCGCTTATTAAAAAGCGAATCGAAGATCTTATCGCTAGAGAATACCTCGAGCGTCCGGATGAAGATGGCTCACCCTCTTTGTATCGTTACGTAGCATAGAGCATACAGACCACCATCGCATAATCACACGAATCATGAAATAAAGAAGTTGGTATTTACCGGACTTGCGCGGCGTTGGGACTGCAAAACACTGCTTTTCGTCTGCAGAATATGGGTGTCAATGAAGATGTTTGCTCAACTCCAGCGGTATTGGAAAGGGTTTCGAGGAAAGGAATAGGAATCACAGGGATTTATATACGCCATTGATAACACGCAAACAGAGCAATTAGAGCGTGAAAGACCATGATCAATCTAAATAGGCATTGTTGCATTTTCCCTTCCTGTACAGTTTCTGCCATTGCGTATAATAGTGTTGAGCCAGCCTAAATGTTCGTGAAAGGTCTCGTTCACGGATGACGAACCAGGAAGACAACTCCCACACTGGAGAAAACTTATACTTGAGAAGATAAGAAAATTTTCTAAATTTGAGATATATTTGCACTTCAATAATGATATTGATGTCTTACAACTGCGTCGAGGGCGTCGTTCTAAAGATGCCATGATTAGTCACGTGACCGTATTCTACACAGCGCCTCACCTGCAGCCGCTATCATGATGGAGATCTTGCACCACCAACGATCTAAACCGCCTCTCCCGAAGAATACCCCCATTAATTATCGAGAGGTCTCCTCCTTTCACTTTCGCTATACCATAAGGGACATCAGACGACGTTTACCCTATCTAAGACAAGAGACGCGAGCGTGAAAGAGTCACCGACACGATGCTCTTCTTCAGGTACCTACACACACTCACCCATGTACCATGCCGCACCCCACGTTCCTCAAGCTAACACTCTTTCTCGCACAGCTTTTTCAAGACCCTGATTGACCATGAGGTCACTGTAGAGCTCAAGAACGATATTCAACTCAAGGGTATCCTTAAGAGTGTGGATCAGTACCTCAACATCAAGCTCGATGACATTCAGGTTGTGGAGGAGCTTAAGTACCCTCATCTCGTACGTAACGTAACCTAAAGAGAATTTCTTTACTAGCGATTGGTACAGATTAACTGACTGGTTTTGTAGAGCTCCGTTAAGAATGTCTTCATTCGAGGCTCAGTCGTGAGATACGTTCACCTTCCTGGTGCGTCCGTCGACACCCAGCTGCTGGAAGACGCCACCCGAAGAGGTAAGTTTTTCTTGTTCCTTTTTTTTCTGACTTCTCGCAAAGTTATCGAGCTAATATTTGGTGTTTTACAGAAGCGGCTGCTCAGCAAGCCAAAGCGAAATGAGTGGTTCAAATGAATGGATGAGAGGAAGAGCGAATTAAGTAGGAATTGACTTCTAGATGTCAACTGCATTAGAAACGAGATGGCAAAAAAGGAAGGACTCATGAGGCGTTGGCTCCTGATATGGATAATGAAATGCTGTTCTTTTCCTCTTCTCAAAATGCTCAGCATTGCGAATAATTCAAGGCCTGGGTGGCATCAGTTTTCTAACACTGGTTCTGACAACTGGGCACAAATTCATATAAGCAGGTATCCAGAATTGTGACTCTGGCTCGCAGACCACCTAAGATTTATTCAGTTTCTCGCTACAATACAAAATCTACTATTCATCACTTCAATAGAATCGTTATTACCAAAACGCCCCCCCTGCCTTGCCTGGTTTACCGTCCCACAGTTCTTTCTCAGCCACTTGGTCGTTATCTTCACCTTCAATAAGCGGTATCACCAACCCTGCTCGTCTCCTCTCAGACAGCCAACGATCTGTCCACCCCTTCATCCGCTTTCTTGACTGCTCACTGCCTACATTAACTGTTGGCACGACCTTTTCAATTCTCAAACTCATGAGAAACATAGCCAGTTCTCGGAAACTACTATGCTCTGAGTATGGGACACCGAAACACATGGCTTCTTTGGTGCTGCCTCGCTGTGGAATAAAGTCCTTGTACCCGAAACGCGTGCGCCATCCCTTGTCGTGGAGGATCTGCTGAGTATGAATGCTTCCAGGAGGAGTGTTGGCACCAATAGCTTTGCCCGCTGGTCGAAAGTTCCAACCGCTGGGGCGAAGTCCAACTATACGGCTGAAATACGGTTTGTAGCTATTGAGATACTCTTGAAGAGTCTCGGCACGAATCTCCATCAACATCTGCATGTGCACTTGCGCCTCTAGAGGATCGGATGTGAGGAGCGCAGAGAGCTCTGGGTCATCAAGCTGTTTGCAGATTTTAATCTTGCCAGGCGATGCAAAGATTTTAGACTTTAGAGCTTTAGCGATGGAGATGCAGATGCGCTCCTTTCCAATCGAGTAGGTGCCACAAATCACGAGTAGACGTTGAGGCGGCTTGTTCTTGGCATCGACCTTTCCAGCCTCATCAGGTTTTGTATTCGGGAAGAATTTGCTGACCGCGGGAGTACCCTGTCCACTGGCTTTTTCCCAAATATCGTCTTTGCAATTCGGGTCAGGAGACATTGATCCACAGAGGTCGGCACAAGCTTGAATGACATCGTTCTGGGGCGGAAAGGAGTATCGTGGGTTGAGGTATGTCGTATCCAAATAGCAAATATCAATATGTTGTTGTTTAATCTTCCCGGGAATGGAATCAGCAATCTCTGGTTTGAGAAGAGGATGCTTGACATGCGCAGGACAAGCTCTGAAATCTCCACAATGCAATATACGCTGGACGCGACTGTTGGTTCCTTGTTTCATTGTTTTCTCGAAGAGAAATAGTGAGCTTCCCGGACAATGATTTGCTGGTATCATCGTAACGGTTGCACCTTCAGTCCCCGGTATGTCGTAGGATTTATCGAACTCAAGCTCGACAACCCACTTCGCCGCCGTGCGTAGCTGATTTCTGACAAGACTGCCAGTGACCTTGCTGCAATATATAGGACCATGGCACCATCTTGCTGTCAATCCGATGTAATGGTCGCTATGGAAATGGCTCAAAAAATACGCTTTACAACCTTGGACGGCACCATAACGAAACGCATCGACGCAGATGGAGAAACCAGGCATAATTTTGTAAAAAGGACATGTCCTCTCGTAAGCTTGCTTTCCTCGTGAAGCATGCTCGGCGGCGGCAGCCTCTTGCCATGCCGAGTCTTCAGCCTTATTGGACATGAGCTTAGAAAAGGCCGTTTTAGGAGCTGGGCCAGAAGTCTTGACATCCAAGGGATTGGCCTGGCCAGGTCTGGGTACGGCGGCACGCGCGAATCGCTTGCCGACTTCAGTTGATTCGACCTCGTGATTTGGGGTGGGCTTGGTAGGGGAAAGCTTCTCTGCCGTTGCTTTCTCCTTTGGTAAAGGGATTGGGTGTTCGTCGAGGCAGGAGTTGACATGCCGTGTCGCTTCATCTATGGAAATCCCCGTCAGACTGCCATTGCAAATTGGACAGCTCTCCGTCATGGAATCGTCGTCAAGAGGGTCGTCGGCCAAATCTTCGCTCGATACTCCTGCTTCTTCCGCCTCTAATCGTGCCTGCTCTTTCATGAAACGCATTACTCGCATCTCCTCTCCCTCCAAATCGTTTAAATCGGGTAATTCTTCGTCTGCTATATCTTCAAAGTCGTCAAAATTTTGGTATGTCGAATCTTCCTGTTTCAGAGCCGGGGCACTAGTATCTGTCTCTTTCTTTTCATCGGTCTTAGTAAATCCGTCCGTCGGGACCTCGTTATGCGGGGAAAACTCCGTACATTGGCCTTGTTTCTCAGACTTGTTGTTTGTGGCTTTGGTTTCATCAGGTTCATCCTCGCTGTCTGAGTCCACGAAGGGAGTCTTGATCTTGGGTTTCGTTGACTTCTTTCGTGGTTCGTCATCGCTCTTAACAGGTGATGAGCGGTCTTTCGTTACAACTATCTCTTCAACTTTCACGGAACATTCCTTTTTAGTCGTTTGCTCGGGCTCTTGGCTTAGTTTTCGTCTTTTGTTTGGTGAACCAGTCTCGTTGAATCGAGTCGAAATGTCAGCGTCATCGGCAGTGTAGAGATCCTCGGTTTCCGCAATCTCTTGTGATTCTCCGAGGAAAAGAGAAGTTTCATGTTTCTCAGCCTTTTTGAAGAAACTCAGAATGCTCTGATTGGCTTTGACGGGTTTCTTGGGCAGTTGTGAAGCTGAAGAGCCCTTTTTTGGTGTATGCGATCGGATCGTTTTCTTTGGGGTGACCATTGTGAAAACCAGCGAATTGGAAAAAAGTTGATGGCAGACTTAGAGGGTCGAAATTGTAACCGATCATGCAAGAAAGCCTTAATGTCAAATTCTTCCCAGAAGGAGAGACAAAACTGATTGAGTCATGTAGTGATCCCTTGGAAAAGCGGCAAGGGGTCCAGACAAAGTGGGATGAGCTTGAAACTTTACGCGAAAACGCGGAAGGTGGCAAATATGTGTCCATCGCGCTATCACGTGACGGTTGTAGAGAGCAAATCTGAGAGAGGCCTGGCATCCCGGTCGGGAGTCTTCGAGTTGGGAATAATCTAGGTTCACGGAAAAAGATTCTCGTAATAAAATGTCCGAATAGCTTTCCCTCCCTGACTTCAAACCCAGGGATCTGGTCCAATATTGAATTGATGGTGCACGTGTAGACATTTACATCTAGCGCCAATGCGATATGATACTTGAATGAAACAAGGGACTGTTCCATGTCGTAAACGATAATCGATTAAGACCCTTGAAACTTCATAACCACCACAGCGCTCGCCCTTTTATAACTTTGATTACCAGATATGCGACGAAAGCTTCCCTCTTTTGAGACGACTATCATTCTGTTTCCTTCAAACTGCAATCGACCAGCTCACTTGCATCAAAAGCCAGTCAATATCTCACCTCGACATCCTCTTTAACCATGTTTCGGTCAACAGCCCAGATACAGCACGTATCGCTAGTCCCAAAAGGTACACCAGCCTCTAAAGCTATCGGGATGCTTCACGACCATGTCTTTTTCATACAATGCGATCCCTACATGACCAAATACGAAGCTCTGCCAACACCGGAGCCTGCTCCTTCAATTCCTGACACGCTTGAACTTAAACCAGTTGCGCAACCGGATTGCTACTCTGTGACAGACAGAGTTCACACGCTGCCAGCGGGGCTTTGGGATTCTGATGTGGTCAGCACTTATGAGTTTATTGACCTAGAGAAAGGCGTCTTTGTGAGAACGCGGGGTCCAGTGGGCTTGGTGTTGGAGACGGTATGGGATATTGAGGAAACTGCTGATGGGGGGTTGAAGATCATCGAAAACGTCACCATTTCATGCTCAAGGCTGATGCTCGGCATGATCAAAAGTTCATGTGAGGCTGGATGGAAAGGAGTTCATGGCAAGATGCTACAACGGTTGGAGGGCACTTCCTAAGAAGTCATTACAGAATGAGATGGCCTTAGATGAGCTGATGATAAACATGAGGATAATAGACAGATGAGTACTGGACGACCTTATGAAATGGATGCTGCTGCCTGTCAAAACTGTCCACCCCAAGCCTGTAAACTCACGCATTTGCTTCCAAGCACAGCCGAAACTTACTCAGATACTTCAGCCCTTTTTAGGCATCCGTTGCAGCCTAGCATATCACATACTAAGAAAGAAAAATTCCATCATCATCTGACTTGAATTAAGCTTAAGAATGAGTCACATCTAAAGTTACTCACTTTATACACTTTTGCCCTCAGTTACAAGGCCCCAAACCTTCGTGGAGAAGGGGTATAAAAGGAGCGCCTTGCCCTGATTTCCCATCTCTTTTCTTTTTTTCTGTACCAAGGTCTCTTTGCCATATGACTTTGATCAAGTGTAGTATCTGTTCTTGTATAGGTTAATCCCTTTACACTTTCTTCTTAACCTAATTTTTGATCAATTGGTGATGGTTCGGCCACGCTTGCGTTGCTGAACCATTTTCAATGTGTCCTTGGTATTACACTGCTTCCAAGCGATGCGCAGGTTCTTCCTCTTCGGAGACCAGTATGGTTCTTTCATTGCATTTTCGTTGGTTGATCCAGCGGTGTGAAGAAGGTGCCTGGCTATGGATATAATTTGGTGTTGAGGAACATATCTTAGATAAAGGATGTTTTGGGGGCAAACATTGAAGAGTAGTATGTAGCAAAACCATATTGATATAGAAGAGTATACAAGTATTTGACCCCTGTCATTAGTGTGACAATGACATGAATTATCATTATCCTTTCTTCTTCTTTTTCTTCGAGTCCTGAATTACAGTACCTACACATGGAAATGGGTACTACTTGCGTAAGGTAAGGTCAAGTACTCTCTATAGAGTGTCAGCCACGCTGGCACACCGCCACAAGTCGAGTCCATAGGTTATCTCCACTTATTAGCTCACCAGAACCTGTAACATAAGTCCACCTCCATGGGGAAAGCGTCAAGGGGGCTGCTCCCTTTTCGCAACAGTCTCAAAGCTACTTGCAGTTTCAACATCAGCAAAATCCTTGTCTTTAACTCATCGCATCTCTTCGCTTCTGGTTTCTTTTCTGTCTGATCTTGAGAGGTTTGCGCCTTCCCAGCCTGCCTCACGATCTGTTTGACTTTCTTTTTCATACCTGCGCAGCGTGAATGTATCATGAAGTAAACCAACACATATCTATACCGTTATTCACTCCGGCTTTTACTTAGCTATATCCCTGCTACCTGAGCATCCATTCCCAACCCAAAACAGTCGCCCAAATATTCCATCACCATGGCCTCGCTTCAACCAAGAGGACCTGACTCTTCAGTCGGAAAGCAAAAAGCAATTGAAGATGCAAAGAAAATGCAAAAGGTCGTCGCCGAGCAGTGCTTAAAGGTCGGAAAGGACCCTCCCCAGTATCGTCTTTCAGAGCTCATCGGCAAGGGCAGCTTCGGCCGTGTATACAAAGCCACTTCTCTAACAACGAATCAACTTGTTGCTGTCAAGATCATCGACATTGAGGAGAGCGATACTGTCAACCCCAAGCTTGCCGATACATACAGCGATTTACTCAAAGAGATCAACGCCTTGCAACTTCTCAGTGACAGTGGTGCCAAGAACATCAACCATGTCATCGACGCTCTTCCTGTTGGACAGTCTATGTGGATGATCACTGAGTATTGCGCCGGAGGTAGTGTGGCTACTCTTATGAAACCGACTTCACCAGGTGGTCTCCAGGAGAAATGGATTATTCCCATCTTGCGTGAGGTGGCGGAGGCTATCTATTGGGTTCATGGCCAAGGCATCATTCACAGAGATATCAAATGTGCGAATATCTTGGTTACCGAGGAGGGAAACGTGCAGCTTTGCGATTTTGGAGTTGCCGGTGTCATCGAAACCAAGTTCGATAAGCGTTCGACGGTTATTGGTACACCTCATTGGATGGCTCCCGAACTTTTTGACAATTCCACTTCATACGGTACCGAGGTAGATATCTGGGCTTTTGGCGCCATGGTCTTCGAGATTGCATCGGGTCTACCGCCAAGTGTAGCGGCAGGAATGATGGATTTCAACAGACTTGGTTCTTACCTCAAACAGCACCTCCCTCGTCTCGAGGGTGACCGATACTCTCAAGGGCTGAAAGACCTCGTGGCGTATTGTTTGGTAGATGATCCCAAACAACGCCCCACCATTGAACAGATTCAGCGACACCGGTACATATATAACACCCAAGATGCCTATCCCACCTCAGGCCTAGCACACTTGGTTAGGGGCTACAAGTTGTGGGAGGCCCAAGGTGGTGTTCGCAAATCTCTCTTCTCTGCAGGAGGAGCTCAAGGGCCTTCTGATCTCGGCTTTCAGGCCTTGGACAATGATGAGTGGAACTTCAGTACCACTGCCGCATTTGACCAGCAAGTCCTTCAAACTGGTGACGCCCAAGCCGTGTTCGACGTTTATGGTTCCAATGTCGACTTTAAACAAGATGGCTTCGACGATGCTTCGCGTACACAAAAACCGAAGTCACGTCGACGCCCACCACCTCATCTGCCTTCCGTCAAGGCACCTTTGGAAAAGCTATTTGACCCAAATACGATATCGAACTATGAAGACAACTCTCGAGCATACTATGGTCGCCCGTTTCCTCCGCCTACTGCCGACTTTCAACCTTCCCAGCCTCCCCCGGCGTCAGACTTACCCTTGCGAGACGATTCGTCACAGTCTCCTGGTGTAAGGGAATCCCTTATCGATCTCGACATGTCCCTAGATGGTAGCAACCTCTCCGAATTCGTCGATTTGAACACCATAAGAGCAGGAGATCCAAGAGCATCTACCGATTACGACTTTGGCGATGTGTCCTACAATAAGGCACCCCTTAGCGACCCCGCTGACATGAGCAATAATCGCCGAACACGGGATTGGAAGTTCCCCTCGATGGCTCCCCCGGCGTCAGCGAATCCTGAGATGTTCAGATTTCCTTTCAACGATGACCAAGGACCGAGCACCAGCCGTCTTATCCACCCTCCCACGGAACCGCTTCAGCCTTCGGCCCAGTTTAACGATCTGGCTGTCCCTTCACCAGGAAACAATCGGGTGTCAACAGGCAGTCTCATTGACTTGGACATGAGTTTGGCGGACCCTATCCCTATGGGTGACTATACCAGGCCATCAACCTCACACTCAGATGTGGGATCTCTGGCCGGCTCGGAAATAGGAGCGGCGGACCCTTTCCAACTGGAAAAGCACGCTTCTCTTTATGTTATGCCCAATAGCATACGAGAACCTTCCATTTACGTATCAGACGACTCCGAATATGCGACGGCTGTTGCGGACCTCTCTCTTAACGACTCGCAAATGAACTACCAGCAGACTCAGGTCCCGCTATACCAACAGCCCCCGGCGCAATCACAGTCTCCCTCTACCAACGGGATTTCTCTGACTGAGAGACCGTATTCTCTTAGCGAGTTCGCTGACACAGATCCTGAGTCGTTCACTTCTCATACACTCGCTGCTCCCGAACTTGCGCTTCAACCTCCTCCACTTCAGCCTCAGTCGGATCGATCCCAGGCTCGGGACGACTATCCGCGTTCTTATCAACCGCCCTCTTTTCTTCCACCGGCACCTACTGCGCCTTCTCCAATGGTCCTGGAAGGACAGGGTTCGTCGGAAGACGTTAAGGAAGAACTTCGACGTCTGGCTATGAGTTTGAGTGATCATCTCAGCCATGCAAATGCATGCTTGTCAGGTCTGCCGCTCCGGAGAGCGAGCACCACAAGATTGGAATCGGTAGAAGCTCCGTGATGTGCTTGGGGTTGATTATTTGGATATGTAGGCTAAAACATCATCATATCATAGTTTGGAGTGGGTTTGGGATTGGTAGCAGGCATTGATCTGGGAATGGGAACTGTGTAAACGATGTATGACCATAATGGTAATTACGAAAAGAAGAGTAGAAATAGGTATCCTTTCGGGTCCTTGATTAGATCTACTGAAATCCAATCATGTCTCCCATAAGTAGAGCTTGATACTTTTCAATGGCCTCACCGAGCCTGATCAGTACGCCTGCCGCCAGCATCTTGACATCATTCTCCTCTCCTCCATCTTCCCCTCTTGTCTTCTCGAAAACCATCGCAACCCATTCTCTTGTCTCCATAACTTCACGCCCCTGGGTCTCACAAAGCCGTCTCAAATCACCACCATTCACTTCTAAGAGTGAGGCTATGGCGACCAACCAGCCCTTCATGGCACCGAGATCACCCAACACGTGCACACGAACACCCAGTAGTAGATCCCACAGTTCCGCTGTAAGTTGTGGCAGGGAAAGAGTTGAGGGGCCCGCAGCGTGGACGATAATACCTAGAGTTTGCAGATAAAGAGCTAGAAGAGCATGGTTGAGAATAATTGGCTTCGCGGAGCGGAGAGCGACCTGAAAGTGGGCAGCAAGCGGAGAGAAGAACGATGTGGCAAGGAGAGCGGCCGTTGTATTAGGAATAGCACGGACGCGAGGTTTGGCTTTGGTCTTAGACTTGTAGCGTGCGGTGAAGCTTTGAAGCTTGAGGACATCTGGCCCTGTGCTTGCATCGGCCGCTTCTGCAGCGAGAGGCGCCAGGAACGAAGATGTGAGGGATTGTGAGATACTATCCAGGGCATTTGCTGGGAGTGCTTTCAGTTGAGAAGACGGAAGAGCATTGTTATCGTTTGAGGGGCCAAGGTATAACTGCTCCATCTTTTCAGGAAGCCGCTTAGAAGGAAAGACAGCAGCCGAATCATACTGTGAAACCTCAAACCCAGCCAATTCTCGAGCTGACAAGCCTAGTGTAATGAGAACTGATGTTCGCTGATAGAGGGAGTAGTCGCCCTCGAAGAAAGTGCGGGCAAACCAAGGGGCCATGGTCTTGGGTTGAGAGACCACCAAGGACACCATGCCTTGCACTCTCAAGTCCTGGAAGTTTTCGATCTCAAATTTGTCTTGGATACCGACCAAGAGCCCAGCCAATTCATCGGCATGAAAACTGACTTCAGTGCCGTAGTTGGCCTTGCGTCGGATGAGAACTGGGGCAGTTTGTAAGGCAAGTAACTGCTTGTCATATGATTCAGAATCCCTCAGGTATGAAATGAGGTCCCTGATATACACGGGAGGTTTGGGCTTGTTGCGCTGAACAAGGGTTGCATCGTCGTCAGAATCTTCGGGATCGGAGTCTTTTGAATAAGGAGCAAGATCCTCGTCTCCTTCTGAAGAATCGATCTCCTCGATGATGGCCTTTGGTTTAACTTCTGCAACAGCAGGCTTTTTCTGTTTGGGCTTTTTCTGAACGGCTTTGCTAGATGTCGCAGGCTTCCGCTTCTCGGGTATTGCTTCCACCGTGACATTTGAAAGGATGGGGTCGATAGGTCCAGCGAGGTCAGAGACTTTTGTTAGCCCCTTTAACTGTTGTGCTTCTTCGGTATCCGTCTCCTCCATCTTGAAGTCCAGCCTCTTCTTATTATCATCAATAAGAGCAGACAGTGCCTCGCCTACGACCAGGCCGAGAAACTGTGCTCTTGATTGTGTTGAACCGATACGATTCGAGATTGTATTCATATATGTACCGACTCGCATGAGCAAGGTCAGCTTCATGGGAGATATTCTGTGCACATAACCAGCTGCCAGCAGCAGTATCTGTGTATGTACTAAGGAAAAGTAAGCAAGTTGAGACTTGGAGGAAACTTAGGTAGCTCTTACCATCCTGCTGCAGGATTGCCGAGTGTCTGATATATAACTCGTCTCCAAATTGCGCGAGGCTCTTTTCCAGCACGGCTGCAATGGCTTCTCGGTCTTGAGAAAGCGCGGCTATGACAGCACGTCGAATACCAACACCATCGCCTAGACCAGCACCCGAGGAAGACGAACACCACTCTATTAGTGTATCTCTTCTAAACTCGTCGTTCAACGTCACTTCTTTTAGAAGCCCAGCGACGGCGGAGACGTTCTTGTCCGGAGATGTATCTTCTAAAGACAGGTGGCTCAAAAATTTGCGCGAGAGATGATGTAGTAAGACATGAAGAACTTTCTTAGAAGACCGCGGTTGGTTGAGGGCAATTTGTGTGAATGTCTGAGCCGAGCTTTCTTTGGAAAGCAGAAGTCCATCGATAACCGCTCTGATAAGGGTTTCTGTAATAGAGAAGTAAGCATACGTCGATGAGCCGGCATCTTACGAGTTTTACCTGAGTGGTGCAATGACAGAGATTTCTGGAACAATTCAGAAGCAAAAGCCATGGCATCAGGTTCGGGGGATAATTTGACCCATGAGACGATACTGCTTCCAACCCACTTGCTGTATTGTAGTCCGTCGGCAATCCACTTAGTGTCATCCCTCTCTCGATCACGACCGATTATCTCTAGAGCTTCAGCGGAAGTTGATACGATTTGGCCATTTGTGAGGACAGAGGCCAGTTTCTGAGATTGAATTCGTTGGAGGCCATGGTTCGCGATAGCTTTTGTTGAGGAGGCCCAGATCACAGGCAGCGCTTCGTGGCTGTTGAGGGCAGCAGATAATATACTCAGAAGAATACTGGCATTCAGTGACAAGTCGGCCCTCTTCTGTTCTTTCCCACCCATTCGTGACTCTTGAATAAGAGTTCTAATTTGTGTAATGATAGCATTGATGCCAGTTAAACTCCGCACACAACCCAGAAAAAGCTCAGCGTCCTGAGCACCACCATCAGAAGTTCCTTCATGTAACAAAGTCCAATAGTTTGGCCCGATTTCGGAGACGAGTAAATGCACAATCAATGCGCTCTTAGGACTAGGCGTTGAAAGCGAGAAGTTGTCAGATAATGGTTTGGAATTCGTCAGAAACTGCAAGACCGTTATAAGGCTGTCATAATCGGGCTGATTCTTTAGCACATCTATGGCATCATCGGCTTTTGAGATGGTACTGATTTTCCTTGGTTCTGGCTGGGTAGAAGAGGACGTCTTGACTTCTGAGAAGAGTGGTTCAGACTCTTTTCGCGGTTTGAGGTACGTGGTGCTCACGGGCGTGAGAAGATCGTCCATACTTGAACCGTTGCAATGGTTTGCTTGGTATGAGTTCGAATATGTTCTTGAGTTTCTAAATTAAAATTCGGACCTTTCTTTTACTCGTTGCAAGTCGTATGTGAAGTTAGAGATACAGCCAATAAATGTGATTTAAAGACGGATGCCTCAGTCAAGTTACACTGACCCCACCTTCACCGAGACTCACCGAGCAAGCTCAGGTACTTTAGGCAATGACGATCCTCCCCCACGCACGGATCCTTCCAAAGAGCTCACCCTCTCCACGCTCCACGACCGCTCCCTTCCATTCCTAGTCTAAGTACTTTGTTCTTCTAGTCGCGATATCGTCTAGATCCCAGAAACTTATTTGGACCTAAACGAGATGAGTATTGATACTCAGACAGTAGCTGGTAGCTACGAAGATACGCGATGGTAACGTCTTATCCTTTCGGCTGCTAGAAGCTGAAGCTGTAGCTCTTGAGACCACCAATATTAACCGTTAGCAAAGGAGATATCTCAACCAGATTCGTCACAATGCCGGACCCTATACCGATCCTGGAGCTACTGAACCAGAATTTCTTGCTCAATTTGAAAAGTTCAAGATTCTGTACGTCTTTCCATTCTCATGCTATCCTATTGGAAGCTGTGCTAATATCACATAGTGTCATGTCAGTCACGTTCTCCTCATGCTACGATGACCTCCATATTGACTCCTATTAAACAGTGGTGCGGGCGGCCTGGGATGTGAAATCCTCAAGAATCTTGCCATGTCGAAATTCAAGAATATCCATGTGATAGATATGGGTTCGTCAGCTTCCGTCCACTAACTAAAGACACAAGCGCTGACTCACGTTGCTTCAGATACTATTGATATTTCCAATTTGAACCGTCAATTCCTCTTCAGAAAGGATGATGTTGGCAAGTATAAAGCCGAGGTGGCTGCTGAGTTTGTCCAGAAGAGAGTAAAGGGCGTCTCCATAACAGCCCATAACAACCGTATCCAAGATTTCGACGAGGACTTCTACAAACAATTTCAGCTTGTCATTTGCGGCTTGGATAGCATTGAAGCCCGCCGCTGGATTAACGCTATGCTGGTCTCCATTGCCGAGGGAGCAGAGGACGACCCAGATGCGATAAAACCATTGATTGATGGCGGCACCGAAGGCTTTAAAGGCCAAGCCCGAGTCATCTTTCCGACGATAACATCTTGTATCGAGTGCCAGCTTGACATGCACGCCCCACGTGCCGCTGTTCCACTATGCACTATTGCTTCCATCCCTCGACAACCCGAGCATTGCATCGAGTGGGCCCATGTTATTGCTTGGGACCAAGAGAAGCCATTCCCAAAGCTAGATAAGGATGACCCGGAACACGTTACATGGCTGTTCCAGAAAGCTCTCACGCGAGCTGAGGAGTTTGGTATCCCAGGTGTCACTTATTCCTTAACACAAGGAACGATCAAGAACATCATCCCGGCTATTGCTTCTACTAATGCCATCATCGCCGCCTCGTGCTGTAATGAAGCTTTCAAGATTGCAACAACCTCAGCACCATGCCTCGGATTCGAAGAGAACTACATGATGTACTCGGGTAACGACAGCATTTACACCTACACCTTTAAGCATGAGAAGAAGGATGATTGTCCTGTTTGTGGACGTCAAGCTCGCCCCCTTGAGGTCAACCCCAAGACCACACTGCAAGAGCTGATCGAGTCATTTGCTATCCGACCTGAAGCTCAGCTAAAGAAACCCTCAATCCGTGCCGAAGGAAAGACCTTGTACATGCAGTTCCCTCCTGGTTTGGAGGAACAGACACGCCCCAACTTGAGCAAGACGTTGCAAGAACTCGGGCTCGAAGACAGACAGCAGGTCGTTGTCACCGACCCAGCATTCCCTCTCGAGTTCGAATTCTACTTCAAATTCAAGACAGTTTCGTGATCGTATCCTATCCTTAGCCCAAGTCGGCGTATGGCGTTCAGGCTTTTGGGCATCTTTCGGCGTTGGACATGTCAGCCAGAGGTCTACATGGGAAACCAGATAAATTACACAAGAGGGAGCAAGCATTGCCACGGAGTAAAGAGAGACGGAGTGAGAGTATTATGATGTGGTCATGGTATCATTCCTTTTTATCTAACCGTAGAGACCGCAAAAAATCAAATTCAACCAAATTATGATAAAAGCGCCAAACAAGACCCAACCCCCTGTTTTGATCCATGTAGCATATTACCGCACCATGTTGATAACTTGCTGCTCAAGCTTCTTGCACTTGAGCTTTAGATGCTTAACTGACTCAAGGAAGAGCTCATCACTATCCCACTGCCCCGTGCTCTCGACAGAGAAGATGAAGTGGTCCCGTCTTCGGCCTAGCTTCACCTTACCGGCAAACTCTTCATGGCGTAGAGCCTCTCGGCTAACCGTATCCTTCATGGCATCAACGACCACAGCCTTGGTCTCGCCCTTGTGGCCCTCATAACCGCTGCCAGTCTGGGCAGCATCCTCGGCCGTGACCTTCTCAAGGCCAATAACACCCTTGGGGAAGCACTTGGCAAACTTTTCGGCGTCGGCTCCGAGAATGGGCTTGGTGATCGTAATGGTAGGTAGCAGGCGGTAAGAGGCTGTGGCAACGGGAGAAAACTTGGCGTGATCGGATCCAACGCCCTTGTGCATGTGCATGGAGAGGTTGATGGTCTGTCGGGGTCGTAGCTTGGCAATCAAGATACCAGGGTTCGTGGGCGCAATAGCGTCTTCGCCGCTAAAGTATTCGACCTGCTTGCCCGTGGGCACAAAGACGATGTCGCGCGCATAAACGTGAGCGTTATGGTACGCCTTGAGAGGGTCGTTCTCGGAAGGCGAGGCATCCTTGTTGACGGTACACGTCACATTGAGCTCGAGACGAACAGTGTTGTAGTCAAAGCAACCGGCATAAGGGTCTTCGCCAGCCTCTGGCTTCTTGTGCCACTTGAGGAAGTTATGCAGACCTTCGCGACCACCTTTGAAGGGGATAAGACCAAGGCGGTGGGCGAGGACCTCGTCCTGAATGACCGAGGTATTGTTTTCGATGTAGACATTCTCGATAGCGAGTGTAGGAATCTCGGAGAGCATGATACGACGGAAAGCGTTTGCGAGCGAGGCATCGATTCCAACGAGAGAGAAAGAAGAGAGGAACTGGTCGTTCTGGTGGAAGTTTACAGAAAAGGCGTCGCGAAAGCGATCAACGGAGAAGGCAAGATCCTCGCCAGGGTGATGTCCGGGGTAGTCGGTAGAGGAAATGTGCGAGACAGTTTCCTTGTTGATGCCGACAGTCTGGGCGCGCAAAAAGTTAGATTCAGATGCGATCACGACTTAGACAATTGTTGGTTTACCTGACGGCGCGCAATATCATCTGCGGAGGGAGCGTTCCTCCACCCAGCCTGCTGTGTGGGAGCCATTGCGGTTGTGTTGTTTTTCGCTTTGCAGGGGGGAAAAAGAGAATTATTAAGGTTGGTTGGTGGTGATGGTATCAGTAGTGATGAGCGAAGCAAACAATAATTTTTTGAAGCCCCTCCGAGGTGAACGCTCGGTGAGTTCAAGGTGAAGAGAGTGGGGTCGATAGTGGGTCTCCGTTGAAAAAAGATGCAGTCGCGAGCGCGACGCTCTCAAGCTTGGTACTAAGACGGGATAACCCCACTTGTCTCCGAGACCGCCGACCGTTCCCGACCCATGTTTCGGCTCCAGATCAGGTGCTCCACTCCGTCAGTCCGTGTAAGCTATAAGTACGTACCTTGGACGACGATGGCCTGATACTATCAATGTCAGTCGAGGTGGCTTTGTTCGCCAAATGCATTTACTGAATTCAGTGGTGTAGAAGACCCTTTGATATGGGCAGTGACAATACTCTGTCACAACCCTTAATGTATGATATGATAACGAGCGACTTCGGCTTGTTTGCGCCTGACCAATTATCTAGATACACCCTTGAAGTTCCGTCAACAGGCAAACATCCTCAGCCAGACTTTCTCGAATCTTGATCAGGATGCCGAGATTAGTCCCCTGCTGCTCCGTACTCGGCAGGTCATTGTTGAACAGACTCACCCACCGGGCCGGCCTCTCGAGATCAGCACACCCAATCACCCATCGTCTATCGCCAGATTTCACATTTACCAACAAGGCACATGCGAATTCAGTTGCGACGCAGTTCGTCCTCCTCCCTCCAAGCATCACGCGCACACTTCTCCCGATGAGATATCTCACTGCTTCCTTTCTGGGCGACTTGTACGACGTCAGTGTTAAGCCCATGCCCTCCAGTTGAACGCAGAGTCCTTGTTCAATCCCTGTCTCATCTTTTAAGTTGATGCCGGTCGCAGTCACACGTACAGTAAAAGATTTCCGTAGATAATCATCGGGGCACGGCCGGTCCGGCTTGAATGGTGTCTGTAATGTGATATGTGTAATACGATTTGGACTTGCAAGAAGTCGACTATATAAATGTTGCCAACTTCCCCCCTCTTTCACTTCAGATTCAGTAACTTCATCTTTAACCAAGTATTCACCTTCAAATACAACATTGACGACCCTATCAACAATCTTCTGCCTAAACAAAACCACCAATCTTGCATTCAAGATGCTCTCTTTCGTAAAGTACACAAAGTAACCCAGATCCCAATTCACATGCTTTTAGCTGATATTGAACCGCGTAGCTATACTCCTCGACCCCATCCCGAGCACAAGAGCAAGGAGCATTGTCGAGTACACTCTGAACCATCCAACATTCCTCGCGATGCCTCCAAGAAAAGCCAAGTCGTGGATCCCAAGTCGGCCACCCCACTGTCTGCAACTCCTCCTCCTACTACAACTTAGTGTTGGGGCATAATCAGGTCTTCCGAAATGATTCTACTGTCTGATTTCAAGGCCAGAGCAATTCCAAGGAGTAAAAGGCGTTCTATTTATTTGATGGAGTTAACGCCACGATCAGTTTTTGGCGGGTTACAAATGGCAATTGAGCCGCAAAAGACCATTAACAATGGAACGAGGACGCGCGTTGGCAAAACAGTGAGCGAAAATACGTTGGCTACGTGGGTAGCTTACTTGGCTGATTGATACACTATTTAATTTCTAAACTACAAATGCTTGTTTGTTTCATAATTTGATGATACCCGATACCCGAGTCCGTGTCATTCTCGTCATTCTTGATTACTCAATATCCTCCATAGTCCAAACACTAACACCTTGCTTCTCGACGCTGCTCTTTAACTTGCCCAGTACAGCCTGTCGGCGAGCCCTCTGTTGCATCAAACCACCCTTCTCCTCTTGGCTGTAACCACTGAGCTTCTTGCGTGGGGTTGTAGCTCGTACGGATGCGCCCAGCGACATGCTGGCTGCGAAGCTATGGCGAAGATTGCGAACAGGGGTTCCTTCAGGAGAGAACATGACGCTTCGTCTTCCCTGAGGGGTAACCATTGGAGATCCTTCTCGACTTGCGGGATTGATGGTGACCTTACGCATCTGGTTTTCGAGAACATCAATATCCCCACTGCGTTTTTCCACCATGGCAGTCATTTTGCCAATGGTGCGAATCACTGCATCAACTGTGGGAACGTTTGCTTTACCCTTGCCTGAAGCACTCGAAGCAGCTGCAATTCTGGTCTTCAGCAACGTCAATGCTTCTTCAGCTTCGACCAAGAGCTTGGAGAACTTGGCAAACTCTCGTCTGAGTTCGTTTTGTTGGGTTGCTTGTTCTGCGCTTAGTGGCATAGACTTTGTTACTTCTGCCTGCTCGGGATCGGTTCTGATCATGAGGATCTGCTTAAGATCATCCTGTTTAGCTCGAAGGCGATGCATGTCTCTGGTGAGTTCGTGGCAGGCTTCGAGTTTGTCGTCCAAGTCACGAACACGTCCATCTTCCAGATCAGCATACAGCTCATTATCCAAAACCTCGCCAAGCTCATCGATCTCGCAAAGAACCCAATCCTCGGGGGTGTCAAGATCATCCTTGCCACGTCCGCTTTCCTTTCGGTTCTCCGTATGTCCCTTAATGAAGGACTTGACAGTTCGGGCATTCAAGCCAAGGGTATCGATCATGGAGTTGATGTCCCGATAAACGGCTTCAACTTGGCTTGGGATACTCTCCTTGGCAGGAGGGGCAACGTTTGAGTGCGCGATGAATTCATCCATGGTCAGGCTTCCTTCAACTTCTGACGCCAGAAGTCTGTGGACTTCGTCGTCTTCCTCATCGACCAATGGCTGAGTCTCTGCAGCCTCCTGTTTGGCTTTCATCTTCCGGTGTTGTGCCACGAATGGATCCTCAGCCGAGCTAACGTCTTTACTAGTGATCGAAGCACCCATTCGAGACTGTCTGGATCCACGAAGGTTTGCAGGTATTCCGGGGGCACTAACCGACCTCATATTATCTGATCTCACAACCCTGTTTGGTACCGCCCCTCGGACTGGACTTGGGGAGCGAGGGCTGGTCGCGTTGGGACGTGGGAACACAGGAGCATTGCGGCTGAGTTCGCCAAACAGTTGTCGTGACCCTTCTTGGTTCGTACGAGAAGCTCCAAGAGTATGGTTCGGACCACCAAACGAGCTTTGAGGTGTATAGCCAGGCGAAAGATTGCTGACAGTAGGGCTAAGGTCTTTAGCGACATCTACGCCACTACCTTCTGAGCCGTTGTCGTCTTCTTCCTCTGCATCCTCATCTTCCTCCTCTTCATCTTCCTCTTCCTCTTCGTCATCAACCTCGTCGTCACTATCAATTGAGGGGGGTCCGGCGACGGCAGGGAAGAGGGAAGACGGTGCCTTTGGTGTACCCTCTGGCTTATCAAAGATAGACCTAGGCTTTGACGAAACGGTTGGGTCAGGTGGCAAGGGGGCATCAGAAACCCCAGTCTCTTTTTCTGTAGGTTTGGAGACATTGACAAAGTCCGGTGGCAATGGAGCATCGGCAGCCTCGGCCGGCTTGGTCGTGGACTTTGCCGGCTTGGATGTAAAGTCAGGCGGGAGGGGAGCGGCCTCGGGTTTAGCTGAAGCGGCAGGCGATGCAAAGGGATTGGCCTTGGGAGTCGGGTCCGGAGGAAGGGGCGCATCATCTTCTTCCTGTTTGACCTTGGGAGACTCGGTCTTGCTGGACTTCTGGCCAAACATTCCCGTATAACTGTCAAACTTCTGTTGGGTGCCAAAAATGCTTGCTTTGGGCGTGTTCTGTTGTGAACCAAACAAACCTCCGCTAGCCTTGGGTGTCTCCGAGGTTGAGCTGAACAAACTGCCGCTTGGCTTGGGGGTACTTGAGGTAGATCCAAACAGGCCACCGCTTGGCTTCGGTGCCTCTGACTTGTTTCCGAAAAGCCCGCCAGTAGAACCAAACTTGGATGGCTGTCCAAAGGCAGATGCTTGCGGTGCGGGAGATGTAGCAAAGCCAAATTTGGAAGGCGCGGGTGTAGTGGTTGGAGTGGTAGATTCAGGACTCTGTTGTGTGAAGACTGTATCCTTAGGTTTCGACTGAGGAGTTTCTTCTGTCGGTCCAGCGGTGTCCATTTCTTCTTCATCTCTTGGTGTAGGGGTTGTAACGGCGGGTTTGTTACTGGCATCGGTAAGAGCAGAGCCAAAATTGCTACCGAACAAAGAACCAGTTGGCTTAGGATTGTCATCTTTAGCAGACCCATCAGGTTTAAATGAGCTTTGAAGTTTAAAAGGTGTCGAGCCAAATGGACTACCAGAAGACGGTTTAGCAGGGAAAGCAGTCTCTGCGTTGGACGTTGATCCGAAGGGGCTGCCTGCTGGTTTACTTCCACTGCCGAAGACGCTGGTATTTCCTTCGTTGCCCACAGAAGCAAAGCCACTCTTACTGGCAAAGCCAGCGAATCCTCCCGAGGTCGGTGTGCTAGACTGCCCATTGGCTGCTGCTTGGCCAAACGGGCTGGAGTTATTGTTATTCGCAAAGCTTGAAAATCCTGACTGGCCAAAGGCAGGAGTCGCGGCCGAAGCTCCGCCTGCTGCAGAAGCCCAAGGAGAACTCTTTGACCCTAGCTGAGATGACTGCCCAAAGCCAATGGAGCTGGGTTTACCGAACGCAGGGGCGGAAGAGGGAGCCGCACTACCGAAACCACTCGATCCAAATACAGCGCCTCCTGTGCTGGGAGCCGCAGAACTAGCGTTGCTACCCCATGGGGATGACTTCTGCCCCAGCTGAGCAGTCGACCCGAAAGCAGATGCTCCAGGGTTTCCGAAGGGCGATGCCGAAGCTGCAGGAGCGGGCTGGGCGGCTGGCGCTGGCGTTGCGGGAGCCGTACCCTCAACCGCAGCCAGATGAGGATACGAAGTGCCCTGTCGAATTGACTCATTGTAGACTATCCACCAAGCGCAGAGCACACCATCATGCGTAAGTGCCCAGTACCCTGGAAGTGGTCCTGGCGACTCCTCTAGTTCGACGTCTGACGGGATTGGCTTATAAACCTTGTCCTTGCTGGAAAGATCGAGTGCGACACCAATCGGGACTGCATCGTCCATGGAATCAGTCATGGGGAGTGTCGGTCTCTTGGTGTCGTCCAAGAATTCTGTGAGTGTGAAGACTCCTGTGATAGAATCCGCGGGCTTGTCGGTAGCCAGAGGAGTTTTGGACCGTGTCAATATACCCATTTCCGAGACCGCAGTAGAAGCCACAATGAGCATGTCTTGGAGGGCAGGTGGGAAGTCTCGGAGACGTAGAATTGAGTGATGTGGCGCCTTATCTGAGCCAAACGGCTCGACAGGGTCGGTCAGCTGTTGGAAGTTGTAAGAAGACGGTGGTTGGCGCGTGATAAGGTGATAGAGAGATTTGGGTGGTGACTGGTTATTCGAAGTATGGATCGAAAGGAAGAGGTGGTTCTCTAGCCAAGTAAGGGAGGATACTGTGATGATGTTAGCCTGCTCCAAAGTACATCTTGTCTGCCTCTAGTCCACTTACCATGAAAGTCGTCCACGTTAGGAGGCTTGGGAATCTCCCCTTTACCCTCTCCTTCTGGTGTCATTTGGAAAATGGTACCATCGCCCAGGCCAGCACATAGCTGCTTGCCTTTCGCACTCCAACTGACACAGCTAACCTGGTTCTTCAGAGGGTTGCTAATCTGACGGTCTTTGAGATTCGCCATATGCAGATTACCGTTATTCGTGACAATAGCACAAAGCTCGGCCTTCTCAGATGTGGGGTTCGGTATCATGGCGCGTAGCGTTTCACCACTTGTTGACAGCTCGAAGGCGGAATTTGTTGATCCAGAGAGCAGACTCTGGACTTCATACACGGCCAGACCACCTCCAGATTCCGCTGAAAGAATCAGATAGTTCTCGTCTGCGGTGAAAGATAGTTGCGAAACCCGCATCGGCATTGGAATTTTGAGCTGAGGCTCGAAGCCGCGAACCTCTGAGTCGCCATCTTGGGGTGCCTCGAAGGCCTTTCTTACGGACTCGGTGGTGGCGATGATGACTTGATCGGGTCCAGCAGCAGCGACAAGGCCTTTGCGCGAAGCGATGCTGAGTAGCGACGCGGTGGAAGATGGGAGAGATGTCCACGGAGATGTGAGGCGAACCTTCGCATCACCGGCGATAGAAAGAAATCCTAAGTCCTATACCGATTATGGATTGTTAGCATCATCACGTCGTCCTCAAAGTCAACAAACCAAAACAGGCCAACAACCTAGAAACCAAAAGTAATGCGCACTCACATCTGTCTGAATTGTCTCCAGAGGAGACCCAGTGGTCATACCTCCTGTTCCTGCGGCGCTCCCAAGCATGGCGTTTCCTGAATTGCCAAAGCTAAAAGCCATGACTGTCGCAGAGTAGCCGGCCTTGAAGAGAGGTCCTGAAGTTCATAAATTTGCCTGCTGTAGGTATAGGAGTGGGCCAGGCGACCGGGGAGCTCTGCGCGTAGGCTGGAGGTCTAGGTAGCGGTAGGCTGGGGGACGTGCCTCTGGCGGTCTGTGATTGGATAGAGATTTGCCTACCTAGAACCTAGCAATCGATGACAACAAGTGAAGTCCAGAAATCAGGCGGTGATTGATCTTTGAGATGTGCTCCTTGAAATGAAACAAGGTTGAGTGTAGAAGTTCAATGAGTTTCAATTGAATCGTAGCTGCTTAAGTTTATTGTAACAAGCTTCGAAGCTTGTTCGTCACGTGTTTGCCTCTAATGAAGTGCCTGGAGTGCTACTGCTCCTGTTGCAGCTTGTAGCGTTGACGGTGCCTGCAGAGACCCGCCCAATCAGAGCGCACTTTTGCACACTGTTACAGGTGCTCTACTGAAGCTCAACTGCTGAAGGCAGCTTTTAGCCTCGTCATCAGCTCTGCCTTGTTGACCTCACTCCGTCTCGCCTCTGTCAACGACTACCATCATCCCCACCACAAACGATACCCCGAACGATTCTATAGTGGTTTTGCGAAAGTTCCTTGTTAACAGGGACCAGCGAAATACGTTGACTCTGATATCACGGGTTGGAGAATTATAGATCTTCCAAAATGCCTGGCTTCGACTTCTCGAACTACAACCGCAATGCGGCCCTCCACGCTCGAGGCGTGCCTCTCCCCAAGGCCACCAGCACCGGAACGACTATCGTGGGATGTATATTCGATGGCGGTGTTGTGGTAAGTGGCATCTTTCACCCTTCATAGACGGCCTTGGAAGCCCAAATGGAGCTACCACCATCGAACTAGGAGCTCAACATTGACACCCGCATCAACAGATTGCCGCCGATACTCGAGCCACATCCGGTCCCATCGTCGCCGACAAGAACTGTGAGAAGCTTCACTACATCTCCCCCCAGATTTGGTGTGCTGGTGCCGGTACAGCCGCCGATACCGAGTTCACCACCGCCCTCATCTCCTCTCAGCTCGAGCTGCACTCCCTATCTACAGGCCGCAAGCCCCGCGTCGTGACCTGCATGACCCTTCTGAAGCAGCACCTCTTCCGCTACCAGGGCCACATCGGTGCTTACCTCGTTGTTGCTGGTGTCGACCCTACCGGCACGCATCTCTTCACCGTCCACGCACACGGCAGCACGGATAAGCTTCCCTACGTGACTATGGGTAGTGGTAGTTTGGCAGCTATGAGTGTTTTCGAGACGCAGTGGAAGCCTGATCTCACTCAAGATGAGGCTGTCAAGTTGGCCAGTGATGCCATCTTGGCTGGTATCTGGAACGATCTGGGTTCCGGTTCAAACGTCGACGTGGCTATCATCACCAAAGACAAGACAACACTCAAGAGAAACTACATCACGCCCAACCAGAAGGAGCCCAAGCTTCAGAGTTACCGATTTGAGAAGGGCACAACGGCGGTGCTGAACGAGAAGATTATCAAGAAGGAGGAAATCAAGAGGTACATTAGTGTGGAAGACGTGCCTGCCGAGGAGAAGATGGACGTTGACACCTAAGGGAACCGATACTTTTGGGTGGGAGAAGAGCACATGTAACAACACAGAATCCTATAGACCGGATGACTGAATCTGCCTCGATCCAACGGCAGAGTTGTGAGTGATGATGTTAGTTAAGGACAATAAATTATTTCCAATAATATTAGGGAAAGAGTGCAGGTCTATACGCCACCATTGGGCGTTTCTACCGTTCTCCACTTGCTATATGTGCAGTGCATCCTACAAGAATCCTTAGAAGAAAATAGACAGCCGTCGTACTATTTACATGAAGTAGCGGTGTCTTGCCTATATGAGGCAGAAATCATTCATGAGCCCCTTTCTGGGGGCGCATATACGTTAAAAGAATAAAGCGTCGTCTTGAGAAGTCGACGCTGTAAGCGGAACCAAATTGAGTTCCTCTGCCTGGTCCAACGCTTGCTCTGAGCAATCGCTGCAGGAAGCACAAGAATATTTCCTCCATAGACCCTATAAAACCCCCGATCAATGCGGAAAACCAGTCAAAACTCCGATTAAATGGGTATGCCGAAGATGTCATCATTATCGTAGTAGGCGTATCACTGAAACTGCTATCTGGCTCATTTGAGTCCAAACATGGTTCTGGTACGTGACTTGCTCCTGGCCTTCTTTTTATCTTTCTTGGACGTTGTTGACTCGTTGTCATCGTCGTATTTGGCCTTGTGGATCCTGGTTCGTGTCAGTAGGTATATATTGAAAGGGATGTTCAAGCCAAACTCACCAACTGTTCCCAACCATGCTCATGCCCTTGGCTTCAGCCATGCGATAGAACTTGGCGCTCTTCCTGAGGTTTTTCTTGCAGCCAATACCTTGAGCATAGCAGAAACCAGCTTCAGCCAGCGCATCGACATCACCCCAGTCTAGTACATTGGTTAGTATGTGGCTTTCGAATAGGTTGCACGAATGAGACTTACTACCAGCGATCTCGAAGCACCGTAGAGCCAGGGATTTATCCTGCTCAATTCCCCAGCCATTCATGTGGCTCACTCCCAATTCGTAAATGCTCAAGGCAAATTGAGCTTTTCGAGTCCTTCGCTCTACCACATCGACATGCTTGCCTTCCTTCGCATGGCTCTCATCATCCGCGATCTCGACGCTAGCGTACTCAGCGGCTTTTCGGAGCCATTCCACACCTTCTTTCTGGTTCGCGCGCATGCCCCATCCATGGCGGCAAGCCAACGCGTAGAGAAGCATGGCGGTCGGATCGTTCAAACGAGCGGCATAGCGCAGATGATATGTTGATTCCTTCAAATCTCCACTTTCATGGCATGCGATACCCTTTGACAGATGCTCCTCCGCTGTCATCTCTGAAGCAGTAGGCGCTGTCGAACGAGCAGTAGGTGGTGGTCTAATCGTACTTGCTGTATCGCTTGTAGCTATTGATAGGGGAGTACGATCTCGTCCACGACCCCTTGGTGCATCCTCCGAAGCTCGCGATTCCTCAGCTGATCTGCTCGGCGTGGGGGACAGTTCTGGCATAGGAGGTGGTGTTGTCTCAGACTGAACCTTTCTCAATTCCATTGATGCTTTCGGCATCGGGCTACCCGATGCTAAAGAGTCATCTGGAACGATATCGGCCGAAGAGCTCGAAGGTCGGGTCGGGGGTGACGGGGGAGGAGCAGTCTCGAATTTGTGAACGTCGCTGGGGGGGACCATGGGCTGTTGCCTGTCGAAAGGCGCCTCGGCGGTTTCTTCTTCGGATCCTGTTCGCTGGATGGCTTTGCCTCGTGGGAGCGAAAATTTAGAGTAGATATAGGACGGTGCGCCCTTGTCTCGATCTTCGGCCTGCTGGTCAAGGAAGGCCTCACTATGCATGCTCACTGGTGTATGAGCCGAGTCATCAGCCAATATGAACGAAGGTTGGCTATCAGAGGAAGCTTGTCTCAGGGGTGGCTCCATACCAGGTGTGCCAGACCTGCTCATAGGTCTTGAGAAGTTGAAGGAGGGTCGAGGAAGAGCGGATGATTCGGAACCGATGGAAGGCGATCGTCGATAAGATCCAACTGCTGGCGATGTCATTGCACTTGCAGATGACAGTTTTCGTGGAGGCAATGAGTGGAAAGAACCCGCCATGTTGTGATCCTCCTCGGACGGTATTGCTGGGGATGAGACATTGCTGGGCGCACGCCTTCTCTGAGGGAACAGGTTCTGAGGTGGTGCAAGACCAAGCTCATCAAAAGAATGCATTTTGGGCTTATCTGGTGAGCCGGCGATAGATCCACTAACTGAACCGCTCGGTCTTCGAGCGGAGAGCAATGAAGCATTGTCTTCTTTCCGGGATGGAGATGATTCGAGTCGTCTATCTGACTGGGATTGCGTATCGCTAACTAAAGGTGAGGGTGATCGTTCCGTTCTGGCGCCGTAAAGCGAGCTTGCCTCATCGATATGGTCCAAGATTCGTCCCCTAGAGGGAGCTCGTGGAGGTATCGCAGGCACCTCCTGATCGGGAGTGGGCGGTATCCGGCTCATTCGTGGGTGCATCGATACAGGACGCTCAGCATCGTCGGTGAATGCATCCTCTACTTCAGTCCTCATTCCAAAGCCGGAAGGGGGTCGTAGAGGAGGGTGGTCACCAGCTTCGGAGCCAGAATCTTGTGATAAAGAGCGAAAGTAATCTGAACGTCCCTGGACAATCAAAGGACTTTCTGTGGTTAAAGGGGGCAGGCGACTCATTCGGTTACCCTCCTTGGCGCTTTCTTGAAGTTGCCTTGCGAGCAGTCGACTCTGCATGGCGAAAGCGTCCAGTGGGGACAACTCTGGGGGTACTTCACCAGCGACATGAAGGCGAGGTGAGCGCAAGGGTTTAGAGACTGTAGAGAGGTTCGAATTTGACGAGTCCGATCGCAAGTCGAGTAAAGACGGACGTGACATGATGGTCGTTGTGCAGGTCAGGTCCAGCTATCGAGGTCTGTTTCCATGCAGAAAATCAAGCTGAACAGCAAATGCGCACGGCGAAAGTGCGACGGCGACGTCTTCCAAGTATTCCAACTCAGTTCACTACTCCAGATCTTGCTTGACCAAGTTAGCTTGATGGGTTTCCGCTTTGACGTTCCACCGGGTCGAACAAGCTGGCGCAGATGCTCTCAGGGACGAAGATCTGATGTTCTAAGTAAAAGTCGTGGGCGGAAACATGAATAGACGGGAAATAGTCCTGCTATAGCTATTGGCAAAAGATAGTAAATAATGCGCGATGGCTGGTCAAAGACGTTAAGAATGACGGCGAGTCGAAAGCGAGACAACAGCCAAGGAGCGATCGGCGGCGGAGAGGATCTTGCGCGGGCCGCGCTATGCGATATGTGGTACGGAGATGGTCGATGGAACAAAGTTGAAACAGGCAGAGAGCCAGGAGTCCAAGATGGAAGTCGGTGGAGGACTAATAAAAGGCAAGACAAGAGGGAGAAAGATGATGTAGGATCGGCAGCGAAGCGAGCGATGTCTTGGTATATACTTGAGAATACTGTGCTACTTGCGCTACGGTAGGTGTTGTTGATGAGGGATTCTCATGGGTGTCGATAGGCGTTGAATGACGTTTGGCTGATACTGTAGGTGCGGTCGACTGAAGAATTGGAAAAGCAAAAGCAACAGAAGGTAATAGAAGAGAATACGCAAAGCGGTAAAAACGAGCGGCGAGTGCGTAGTGAGTGTGTGAATGACAATTCAAACAATGTACATGTAGCGAACAATGGCGAGTTGTCTTGGATGAGATGGAGGTGAGTAGAGGTAGAGACTATAGACTACGGTAGGTGGGAGGTAGTGGAGGTTTAAGGTCCATGAGACCCAGACCAGACGCTACGCCCAAGTGAAAGTAGCCCAGAACATGGCCCCCAAGGACCTAGAAGAAGCTAATTTACTTGCCCTGTGTGGCTTTATTAGGCATGCGTTACAGTGCACACGATTGATGGAAGAAGAGTGGAGGCCCATGCCATTGGATGGATCAACAATGGATCCAGTCCCTTTCCCTTTTTTTCTCGACGGGTCCATTCATGATGGGACATGGATCAGAAAGAGGGTACTGTATGGATGTGAATACTGATACATGCAGACAGAAAAAGGCGTTGAATTCAAGAATATGTACGGTGTGAAAAAAGACCCAATGGCCGAGATAGAGACAAAGCACTGGCAAGATAGACCAGACTTACATGTGAAGTTAAAGGTCATTAAGTTTGAGTTGCACAACATGTAACCTCTATGAAATTTGGACGCCCCTTACAGTACTGACCTACTAAGGTACAGGTAGGACGGGACTACACCATACCCACACCCATGCTCTCGTTTACACGATCCAATCTGATATCCATGACGGGATCAATCTATAGTGTAGTCTCATAATCTACTCTATCAAGGCACCAAGACCCCTCGCTATCGCCACTTGATAACGGAAGTCTGTGCTCACGATGTGCAAATCTAGTTCTTCTGAGGGAATTCAACATCGCCGCCCGCTTACCACGTACAATCTATGACCCTCTCAGCCTCAACATCGTATCTGAAGTTCAAACTCTTGATTGAATACGAGCACCCAACATAAACTACGCTGATCTGATATTTCACCCCGCTTTGGCATACACAATATCCAAGCCTAACTCAATTCCTCCGAAACTAAACTGATCCAAGACCGAGACTGGTCTCCTCGTGACCAAAAGGGGCCTTGACTATTGACTACCGTGCTTAAGGTTGTCAGCAATGGTCATGTAATGCTTCTTTTTTGTTTTGATAGATAGGTACGAATCCACTCGAGACGGAGACACAACCATTTAAAGGTAGGCGAGCTCCTTACCCTGAGCCAAAAGTTTTATTAGATATGTACGATATTAAGATGCTTTACTCGGAAGGGCAGCTATCTTGTAACTTACCTGGTTAAGTTTCATCGGCTTTGGTCAGTTGCATCTAATCTCGTTGCTTCGGAGCAGAGGACCAGCAACCGCGGTAACAACAACAAGGGACTAATAACATCTCAAATGACCTGTATTTTTGCATGATAGTCAATGTTTTCTGTATCTTAAGGCTCTCTAGTCTGGTAATAACTTGTTTCTTGTCTTTGTACGCTTCGACTATATCATATGTCATCGTCCTTGGTTCTTGAGGGAAAACTCGAGGCTATCAAAACATCCATCCATGGATACAAACACAATGCGATGCGATGCCGGATACAAGACGCAAGGCAATCTACAGATAGGTAGGTACCTAGCAATGCAATGAGACACCAGCCAGGGGCTTCCTCGACAGACTCCACCAATTCCAAGCCGCTTCCGGGTCCTGGTGCACTTTTTAAGGGACCAGACCAATTCGGTTGCATCCACAACGCCTCGGTCTGGGGTACTTGGGCCTCCATTGCATCCTGTCGGGATCCAATATGAATCATTTCCATTAGCAAAATCACTATGTACTGTATTTTTCATCCGTAATTAAAAACTGTTGCCCATTCGATTCAATTCAATTGCACTATCCACCCTTTGTCGACACCATTTGAAAGTCCTCGTGACCGCTAAGCACTACCTAGGTTAGTTGATGGAATTATCCTCAGCCTCACCTCTCGATTTAAATCCAGCAGCAAAGCCAACGCTTTCTTAGTGCACGGCACCTCGAGGTAGAGTATGTCTTTGGGGCTGGGTTGAACATGGCCTCTTCATTGCCCCCTTTTATGATACCTTTACTGTATGTGATCCAGGATCCGTTGGTTTATCGTACCGAATTATTATCTTGGAAACCCCAACAGTGGTCTAGAAGGTCATTCTGTCCCATCGAATATGGACCCTAGATTCGCAGTCGAGTTCTACACTAACGCCGTATCCCTCCGCCTCTGTGCACTAAAGTATTGGATCCATACATGGCTAACGTCCATTTCCTCCGCCCCAGGATCACCCTTTTTTTAGCAACCCATGTGCTGCGCTGGTCAAAGCCAAGGGACCACAAGGCAAATTAAACTGCACGCGTGTTCATCCAGACTTCACATGGACTAGAGATTTGTTAGACATCAAAGACGCGTACACTCATTCTTCAAGACTAACAAGGTGCACTGACTTTGAACTGCCTTGCTGGATCGAGATGTCAACATCAAGCCACCACTGCTTGTGCTACAGAGAAGTATGCAAGGGCACTTTCCAGTGACGCACGAGGCCAACAGTGTTTGCCGTATCATAATCCAGGCTCGTTGCTGCGTGTGGCTACGGTTTCACCACTGCAATGACTGGTCGCATTCTGTCTGCATATGGTGTCTGTTGCAAATGCTGTGGGTTCGTTTGGACCTCTCAAGATTCGGCTAGTACTCTTTGGTAATCTTTCCCTGTGACCATTCCGGACCCTGAATTCTGATCATGTTTGGATTGGAACAATTGATGGGTTGACTTGATAAGCCAATCACATATTCTGTTCCTTGAAGCAATTTCAACGACTAAACTTAACGACTTCAAGTAGAGACTAACACTATGTCTTCTTTACCTATGACTGGTCACGATGTTTTGTTAGACTCTCTCATCATCAAGCCCTTCTGCCGAAAATATTCAAGACGTCGCTTAATTGGGCCTTATCCATGACTGTCGCGCATCCATTTCTCTTACTGCCGTCTCTCGCTCCGCCAATAAGTATCATGAACCCGGACAGTTCATGCATCATATAAAATGGCAGCCCTTCGCTTCGTCACTAGACTATCTGAGTATCCATTATTTACGCACGGTCAATTGAGGATTTCGTCACTAATCTCCGTGCTCACCTTTTGTGACAGGCACAAAGCCAGTAAAGATCGACTCCATGGGTGTCGTCAATCCAAGATCTTCCGGTAAAGAAAGAAGAAAATGCAGAAGCTCTGGGTCTCTGGGAGCTCCCCATGTGCTTACTTCCGTGGCTGCAGATCTCAATCAATTGTTCCCTGTCAAGACCGTTGCGAATTCGCAAGCTAAGTACGGATACTCTGGTACTGTACTGTACTGTAAGCAGACTAGCGACATCTTTTTTTACCCTCTCATGCGACATCAGATCCATATTGAATGGGCCTCATCATATACTGTATACTCCAATTGAAGTTCAATATATTGCAACTTATACAGTATGCCTATGCAAAAACGCAGTCTCTTAACATTTACAATGCTGCTTAAGATCACAACTAATCCAGAACGCCTACCCTTCCAACGCATATAGCAGTGGACTTTTTGTATGTCTAGGTAGGTATGCTGTCCTCTACCAATGACATTTTGGCTAAAGCCTATCTGCTAAACCAGTCACTCTCGTCTTTATAAATCTCTCAAAATGTAACTCCGCCCGCTTACAGGTCCTTGGATCGCATCTTCTTGAGACGAGCCGCGCCCTCAAACAATCCTCGGTCAACAGCAGCGGCCACAGTCAGAGTTCCACCGACAATGGCGCAAAGTCCAGCAAGGAAACCACTGAAGGTCTTGGCCTTCTCTTCACGGTTGACAACCTTCATGGGAGAGATATCCTGATGCGACTGTTAGCTTCGATATCACACCGATGTTGATATAAGGATGCACTTACGTAGGAGAAGAAGACACCAGGGATACCACCGCTGGTGTGTTGACGCTCTGCGTGACCCTCAGCAGCATCGTTACCACCTGCCAGGCTTCGTCTGTGGCTGGTCACAGAGTACTGGTGAGTCTCGAGGCTGCCATCCTCAGCGTAACCGTAAGCCCCAAGACCAGCGTTGTCGTCTTGTAAGAGACCAGCAATCTTGATGCCCTTGCTGTCCCAGCCAAGGGGTAGGTAAGAGGTTGGCACAATCTTGACAAAGTACATAAAGTTGTAGTTGGGGTCGTGGGTTTCCTGGTGAGTGTCGTCGAGAGGGTTCTGGTGGTGGTTGGTCCAGAGCGTGTTCTTTGCGCCGACCTTGCGGGCGATGTGGTCAGGGAGCTGAGGACCGAAGCGAAGAGAGTGCACATGGTGAGTGAAGTCATGTGTGTGACCCTTGGGCACATCCCAGTAGTTCTTAAGATCGTGAACGTGCATATTGCCGCTGCTGAAGCTTCGTCCGGGGGCGAAATGGAAGTTACCAATAACCTTGTTCACACGTAGGCCTCCCTCAATACGGCAACCCTCGTCACGCTGAGCGTCCAGCTTCTCGCCATAATGCTCGCGTTCACACTGCTCAACGCCCTCACCACGGCCAAAGGCCCACGAGGCCTGGGCATAGGCCTCGCGAACTTCGTCACAAGTCTGACAACAACCGGCTTTCTGAGCATTGGCAGGAGGTTGAGCACCGTAGCAGCCACCGCAGTAGGAGGGGTCGAGGTGGTGGGCGGCATCATCGTGGAGCGAGAGGGACTTGGTATCGATAACAGCACCTCCTTTGTTCTCAGGTTGGAGGCGGACTTTGTTGACACCGTGCATAACTCCGTGCTGCTGCTCGCCAGAAACATCCATGACATCCAGAGTCAGTAGCTCACAGGGCATCTTGGGGAAGGTGATGTTAAGATGAATCTCCATGCGCTCGCCTATAAGACAAGATTGTATCAGTATTGGTTCCGAAAGAGCGCAGATGATCCAATGGCAGTGGATGCCTTTCGCATACCTCTTCCCTTGTCCACAATCAACTCAGGATGTATATCAATGCGACGATACTCTGCCCATTCACCCCAGGACAGGAACAGGACCACCAGCAAGGATACGATCGTGACGATACCACCACTCGTCGTTCGAATTCGCGCTTCATCGACTGTCTTGGTAAAGGCATCAAGCCTTGTAAATCTCGATTTTGGAGCCATGGCGATCTATCTGCGACAGCGATAGCCGGGATAGTTGTTGAGTTGAGAGTGTCTTGAAGTTGCGACACCAATCAAAAAGGAGAGGCAGGTACGGTTGCGAGGAATTGGAACGGATATACAAGAACAAGAGATGGATCAGATCAACCGTGAAAAAAGAGAGACAGCATTTGTCGAGGTTCTCTGCGTGATTTCAGATCTGCACCTGGCACTCGAGAATCCGATCAAGCAAAAGAAAAAGAAAACACAAGCAAATGCGAGAATAGAAAGAATTACAGTACAAGTTGTCGTTTTCCTGAAATGTAAAGGCCACCTTTTTCCTACTGCGGCTGACGTCCTGTTCTAAAACGTAGCTCCGGGGGCGCTTTGCAGGGTCTAGTCCCCTCCATATCAGTACGCTAATCCAGGACAGGTCTAGCGTCTCAATTAGTCTCCATCTTCCTACATGAGATATCGCAACTACCAAATGGATGAACTTTATAAATGCGAATCAAACATGAATTGCTGTGACATATAGCCAAATCAACATATAAGAAGATGTTGAATACCGATGTACTAGTTAATGGCAGTGGATTAACAAGACTTCCTGCTCTGCGTTCCCACCGAGGCAAGAATGCAAAGTGCCTTAACTGTGACTGTCTCAGAACAAAGACTCGGGCCATTCTTGTCTCTGGTTGGCCGCGCGGGTTTCGAGTCTCCACTGAAGCTCTTTGCGCAACAGCCTAACGTCGATTTATTGGCAAGGCTGAGAAATTCCAGCTTTCTTCCAAACTCAACAAACCATTGCGACTTGTGATACTTTTTTTGTCTTCGCTATAGCAACAAAGCATAGGATCTCATCCTTGATCAGACTCTACAGTTCGCTGCCATATATCACGTTCTGATAAATTTCTCTGTGCCCATTGTTGTTCCTGTCAATTGCGACATCTATTCATATCACGTCAACATCATGTCCACAAGGCCACCTTCTCGCGTTGTCTTTGTCGGCAACATTCCCTATGGTATGTCGAACCTCCGCATGCTCAGCGCATGACATCTAACCTCTCTCTCAGGTCTCACCGAGGAACAAATTACCGATATCTTCAGTAGTGCTGGCAAGGTCGAGCGTTTCCGCCTCGTTTACGATTCTGAGACTGGCCGACCCAAGGGTTTTGGTTTCGCAGATTACCCCGATACAGGTACAATACTCGAAAATCTATCGCTCCCATTCATTTCTAACATAAGCGCCTAGACTCTGCCTCTTCCGCTGTCCGCAACTTGAACGATTATGAGATTATGGGCCGAAAACTTCGCGTCGATTTCAGCAACGAACAAAAAAGCAGTGATGACGACAAGGACCAAGGCACATCCGGCTACAACGCACACGCTTCGAACGGCGCGGCACCCAGCTACAATGCACAGCCCAGCACGCTTCCTCCTCTGCCCGCTGGAAAGGAGCTACCACCTGGCGTTACTTGCACCGATGCTATTTCACGAACACTCGAAACCCTACCTCCTCCTCAGCTTCTCGACATTCTTTCCCAGATGAAAACTCTCGCAACCACAGAGCCGCAGCGAGCTACCGAGCTTCTGCAACAAGCGCCACAACTGGGATACGCTGTGTTCCAGGCTCTGCTCCTCATGGGTCTTGTTTCACCTGAGGCGATCCAGTCTGTTGTTGAGCCTGGAGCGCCGCCTCCGGCTGCTTTCCCTCCTGCCCCCATGCCTGGCTTCCCCGGTGTGAGTAACACTCCACCTGTGGCTGCTATGCCGTACCAAGCACCACCTCAGCCTTACGCTGCCCCTCCTGCTGCCGCCCCCGCGCCAGTTGCGCAAGACCAGGAAGCCCTGATGCGCGCAGTCATGGAGCTTCCTCAGGCCCAGATTGATATGCTTCCCGAGGCAGAGAGGCAACAGATTCTAGCTCTCCGAGCTAGCTTTGCCGGACAGCGGAGGTAAACTTGTATCAAAGAACGGATGACGGAAGGCCTTGAGGAATGATTCAGTACCGCATACCGAAGAACACGGCAGGACCCTTCGTATCCTAGCTTAGGTCGACATTGGGTGTATCAGGCGTTATGGCGTAGAATTGGCTACGGATTTGCTGTTGTGGATGCCATACCCGAGGACGGGTCAAGAGAAGAAGTATTGTAGCTAACTGCCATATGGCGTTGCAGATAACTGCACGCAACTTGTTGTGCTGCATTTGGGATGACATCCCTCAGCGCATAAGGCGACAAAATGGCGATCTCTCGCTTCAAGCTGATATATCTTTGAACCAAAAAAATACTATTAATATAACATTACAACATCTCACATATACTCATATCAATCCAAGGTACCCACAGCGACCATCAAGTTACTACAATGTGCAAGTTGTTCAACGCCCCTCCTCTTGGATGGACCAGGTATAGGGTGGGCTTTTCGGAATTGTCCAGTTTCAGTTTTCGTGCCACAATCGTATCTTGTGCATAGTGAAACGAGATAATTGGTTCAAACACAAAAGAAGCATTAGTTATTATTACTATAGGTTATCTGAGAAGTAGAAAATGTTATTGGTGGATGGTCATTGACAACCGGTGAAATGCTTGTTGAAGTATCAAGTTCAGTCAAGCCTATGAAATCATAAATACCAACATACGACAAGTTAGAAATCTGAACGCTGACATTATATTCTTGGGCTCGGAGCAATTTTGTTTCTAGCTATACCACCGGGAGAAATCCCAACCATCTACCAGCACAAGACGAATGTGTATCCCTGAACGAAAACTCCGAATCCCAAATCCATCTCATACTGATATATTCCTGAACACCACCAATACAAAGAGAATGAAGCGGAGCTGCAAGTTCGCTGTTTGCCTTGTATGCTCCTGGACAGAAAACGTAAAATAGTATGCTTTGCTCTTCCTCCCATGCCTCATCCGGTAAATATTTACCGCATTAAACAATATTGTATACCCTCTTGGCGATCATGTAGCATGCGAGGCCAAAGAACAATAAGCCACCGGTAATCCAGAAGAACCATGTGAGGTCCCCTTCATACTCCTGGCCTGGTACCCACACGTTCATACCCCACAAACCTGTGATGATGTTCATGGGTAGTACGATCGTTCCGAGCACAGTGAGCTTGCCAAGAACGTCGGCTGTCTGTTCTTGACGCTCGTTCATGCGTATGTTGATCTGAGCGAGGTAGTTGCCATGGGAGCGAGCGAGAATCCTGGACATGTTAGCGGGGTTTTGGTATAAGTGAGAAACGACATACTTTTCATAGTGGCCAAGATTGGCAGTCATAGTGACAATGTGATCTTGGATATCACCAAGATACAGACCAATTTCTGATCGTGGTGCAACGTCCCATCGTTCGTTGCAGCGTTTTGCAAAACCCTTGATAACGTCTGCCTTGTTACCCAACAACCTGTAAAGCTTCATCACTTTCTTTCTGCACTCTCCCACCTGCTGGAGCATGTCTACGTTTGAGTCAGAGCCCCCCATCGCTTCATCGCTCTTGGAAGATTCATCATTAAGTCTCTTATCAGCAGAAGAGTGCAGCCTTAGGATGGCATCGTCAATATCATCAACTTCTGTTTCGATTTTCTCGATCAATGGCGCAAAAACGTCAGTGATGTCGTCAATAATGGCGTATGAGATCCAATCCGAAGAAAGTATCAAGTAGTCCTTCAGCTGTCGAATTCTGCGGCGGACATTGGCGGGATGTGGTGTCCTCGAGAAATGGAAACTGATGACCCCCTCACGGAAGACGACGACGTACATATCAACAGGCTCCAAAAAGTTGTTGCCGTCTTCGTCCTGATCAAATGATCGGTAGTTGACAAAGTAATAATGTCGGAAAAGCTCGACCTTCTCGCGAGCTTCCTGGAGCATAATATCCTCTGCAGTAAGCGGGTGGATGCCGAATGCTTTAGATATAACTTTCATCTCAGCCTCAGTGGGACGAAGAACATCAAGCCACCAGACTGGCCGCTCGCCGTACCTAATCATTTTTTCGTTTGAATCTCCTTCAGTATTCTGAGAGACATGGGCTGTTTCGTCTGCAGATTTTCGACCACTGGGTGTGGCACGGCCAGACTCACTTTGCGAGATGACATGTGCCAAAGGATCTTTGAGAGGTGATATAGTCCCTTCGCGTGATTCGTGGTGATCGTGGACAGTTGATAGGGATGGTTGGCGTGTGTGAGCCTTTGAGTTCCCATCCGTGTTGAGGTTATGGAGTTTGGTTGGTAGCATAGGTTCAATGTCCTCATCGTCGGATTCATCATCTGAAAGCACCCGAGGGTCTGGAACAAAAAGTTCGCGGAATCCCCCCCCAGGCTGAACCAGTTCAGAAATGGTCTGACTATGAACTGTGCTCTGGAACTCCTCGTTGAAGTACGTGAATCGGTATGGTGACTCTTCGACTGCCTCGTAAAACTGTCCTTTACGTACTGGACGTAGACGACCATTGATGAGCTGCGGCTCAGTGATACGTTTGACTCGACGCTCCTCTGTCCGATCCTCTTTCTCCATGTGGCTCCAGTCCTCTAGAACAGACAAGTCAGGCCATTGACCACGGCGGCGACGCGTTCGGTACTGCCGGTGCTCGTGAGCCTGCGATTGAGCATCATCGTCGCCAAGCTCTGACATGCCAGGAGCAGGGAAGCACACATCCTGCTCGGCTTCGGTCGCCATCCTACGGTTCATGTCGGGACGGCCATCCCGCATGTCATCAATGTCGGAATGGCAGTCGATCTCGCCCATTAACCGATGTGGAGAATCGTCACGAGCGCCGAGTCCGTCTCGTATCATGACATCCCCTAAGCTGAGCTCTATGCGGTCGGCAGTACCAAACGTAGGTGAGCCGGGCATTGATGGAGGAGCATTGACATCGTAATTGTCTCGTGCGCCGGATGAGGTTCCTAGGCGCGTTGTTGAAGATTTGTTCGACGCGCGACGGCTTCTCGTGCGATTCGACCTTGCTTCACTTGCACCGTAGCCAGAAACTATCGATTCGCCAAGTAGTGGTGCGTTTTCGTCCCATACTGCGTGCTCTCCGTGCTCCTGCTCAGCAGAAACCGCCGGTATCGATCGCAGGCGATTGCTACTCGAGCCTGTATATGGGGACACTGGGATACCACCAGGAGCTGGTGCGGTTGAGGTTCGTCTGGGACGCAATGGCTGATGATCTCTGATAGTCTTATTAGTGGGCGTCATGACAATACTCCACATGTGGATAACTCACCGATGATCTAACAATGCTTCACTGTCGATACTGGTATTGCTTAAGTTTGCGCGAGGAAGATTAAAGAAACCCTCTCCTGTAGCTTCGCGAACCTCATCATGCTCATCGTCGTCCAATGCCGCAAAGCTCTTTCTGCGCGTCCTTTTCTTCCTACCACCGCGATGTCCCTTCCTCTTCCTAGCCTTGGATGCGTTGGAGTTATTTGAGGACTCAGGAGCCTGGGCCTGGTTCGGATTTGAAGTAGGAGGGGTTGACGTGGGTTTGCTCGGGCTACCCAAGTCGGCAAAACGATTGCTCGACATTGTGAGAGTCGCCGATAAATGAAGTCAATGGCGAGGGAAGAGAAAGGAAAATTCCGAGGATAGGTGAGGAGAAAAGCCAACGCCAAAGGTGTACGTAGTGGTGCGAGGTCTCGCTTGCAAGCCGCTACAAATCAAGAGGTAATGATGTCAGATCAAAGGTTGACAGGGGATATGCACTTTTAGTGTGGTTCGCACTAACATGCAAGCAGAAGAAGAAAAAGTCAAAACGAAATTTGGTCCATTTTTCCAAGTGAAACCGATACTTTTCCAATGGTCAAATAAATTGGTATGGCTATGAACTCTCTTTTGAATCAGAGTATACTTACTCGTGATCCAATTGACTGCAGGTGCAGTTGAATGCATTTGCCCACGTGAGGACTGTCATAAACCAAAATGTTAGCAGGTCGACTACAGTGACTTAGACTAACCTTTAGCGCATACAAGCTGCAAGCAGAAGCCACCAATGGAATTTATCCAGGGACAAATGCCCGCAGCGAACGTGCCTTGTAGGTGCCCTGGGGTTGGTAAATATGGATCCTTGTCGGACTGCGAGTTGGATTGTCGAATGATTCTGTTCTGCATGGCCAAGCTTTGAGTGAAACAGTGTGCTACCAGTCTAGGCGTCTATACTCAATAATATCATTACCACGAAACCACCACGTTATCCTTAGCATGTATAAATGTTGGATTATAAAATTACCTGGCAAATTGTCGATCGAGAACACCCACACTGGAGCGAGACAGAAGGTATTAACTTATCTCTCTATGTAGAATTAAAGCGAGATTCAATTATAAGATTAACATTAGAGTTAAACATCCGCCTCACACCGATGCTTCAGTGGGCATTAAACTGAATGGAGGAAGGCATTCGGGCTTCTTTACTAAACCACTAAACTGCTGCGAGGATCCCAATGGCATTCAGAACGATGAGCTCTTCCTTCTGAGCTTTCAGGACTTGTTGATCGATTTCTGTATATCAACCATCAAATAGAAAAGGCGCGGTGGCGGAGTGGTCTAACGCGATAGACTAGAAATCTATTCTCCTCGGAGGCGTCTGTTCGAATCAGGCCCGCGTCGACTTGAAAAAAGTCGGGCTCTTCAAGAGCCCTACATCCTTTCTATCTTTTTATTTTTTTGTTGCTAGTTTTCAAGAACAATGTTACTCTACCCAATAACTTGGCAAATACAAGGGATTTCAAATGAACAAATGTGTTGATCTTTGCAAAGGTGTACGACAAGGAGGAAAATGAGTAATATCCATTTTTAGGCCCATTTGATCCTTTTGTAAATTAGGCTATCATCTTGTAGAGGTATCTATATTCTGAATACTTTTTAACCAACGGCTTGGTATTAACAACTGTAAACAACATTCATTCTGAGCACCCTCAGTTCTGTCCAAAATCCCACAATTTGACAAACAGGTTATCAGGCTCATCAGCACCCTCATTGGGGAAAAAGACCTTCTTAGGGATATGGAACTCGGTAACAGGGGCCTTCTTGATCTCCTTCGCTATCTCAGCATCGAGAAGCTATCAAAAGGGTTAGCATCTTTCCAATCTGTAAATATTAGGAGTGAAAACACTTACAGTAGCGTATGAGTGATCAAGGAAATCCTCCATGTTATATGACTGCTTAGTGAACTGCTCAGAGATAATTTTGGAGATTGTCGCAACATTAGGGTGGTAATGCGACTGCAGCTGGACAAGCTCCCACAAACAACTGTCAATCGCCTGCGTGTGGATAGGATCCGTCTCGTCTGGCAGAAATGGGTCTTCGGCACCGTGCTCCTCGATGTGCTTCTTCACCTCTGGGTCTCGAATCTCGCGGTGAATCATAAATGTGCACGTCGGGTGACGCTTGAGCAAGTTATAAATCCAAGGTGTGACGAACACAATAGCTCCAGGAGGAGCGTTCAGTGAGAGACGAGCAAGACGCTTGATGAAACTAGCCACCAGGGCAGCCGGAAGATGTGTCGAGGCAAGGAAGGTGTCGAGAAGACGGAAGAATCGAGACCGATGCTTAGAATGCAGGATGTCGCGATCAAGGAGAGAGTAAAGTTTGGTGTAAAAGGATGGATAGTCGAGGTTTCGTTCTGAGATCAAGTAAAAGACGCCGGAAAGAGCGAGGAGAGAAGTCGAACCGCCTGCATCGTAGCAGTCTGTCAAGAAGTCCGAGAGAACCTCGGGCTGTGCGAACCAGGGCGCAATCACTGTCGCGAGGACTTCGAGGATCTGTTTTCGTTGCCGTTGCCCGTCTTCACCGATAAGGCCCATCAGAGCAAACCATGCATCCTGACCTTGTTTCTTGTGCTTGTTTACGCTGCAGAGAGGGTGACCCTTCTTCTTGGGCTTAGGAATATAGAAATCCTCGAGTTGATTGGCAGACTCAGGTACGCCATCGAGAGCTGAGAGCAACGCGAAGCAGCGTTCAAAAAGCTGTGGTGAGGGACTGTCTTCATGCGCCTTTATAATATTCTTGACAACATCGAATGTGTAGAAACGAAGATCATCATACTCTTCCACAAATTCCTCGACATAGGTCTTCATCACCTCCTCATTGTCACTCTCAAGCAAGGAAGAAACAATTTCGAGGAGGAAAGCACGTGGGAATGTGTAGTCTTCACGATTGTAGAGAGACTCACCCTCGCCTTTGAGCGTCCTCATACTCAAGGTCAGGGCTGTGGGTGCCAGTTCTTCATCCTCTAGCATAGCAAGTAGAGTTTTCTTGAACTCTTCAAACTGCTTCTTGAGCCAGTTCACGACAGTTTTGTCCTTGTCAGAAAGAGTCTTCTTGGAAGTCATGGATCCTTGGGCAAGTAACCGTAGAAAAATTCGGCACAGAGCGACTGTGGCTAGCATACTTTCTGCGTCGCCATTCTTGAAGCCATTAGCAGTACCGAGAAGAACAGCAATGTCATTGTAGTTTTTTCTCGACTCCAAAATGCCCTTTTCCATCAGAAGAATCTTGGCGTTGGGGTCTTCGGACTCATCGCTTGATACCGATGAGCGTCGACGCTTGGTGGGTTCCTCTTGGATGGAGGACCTCTTGCGCTTGGAGCGCTCAGAAACCGTTTTTGACATGTTGAAATATGAGAAGTTGATCGATAGAATGATTATCTTAATAGAACGGTGAGTGAGAGCAATCAGATCAAAGCCCCGCGGTAGGCTTAAGATCCACGAGAAAAGTTGAATACCAGAGGCGATTAATGGTCAAAAGATTGATACTTCTCTCATCTAAGTTATGAAAAGGGAAATCTTCAAAATCTTTAGACGTTGAAATTTTGTCCAATCAACGTTAAGCTGCATTCACACGGTAAAATCCCGGCCTTCCAGATCTACTTGATCAATCAAGGTCACGTGTTTTTGATTGTTGCCGAGCTAGCGCGATAAAACCTCAACCTCACTTCCAGCTCTCCGATCAACGACAAGCCCCGGATACCCCCATCACGAACCATCTCACAATGGCGTCACGCTTGGCACGAAGCGCCGTCGGTACGTCGAGAAACCTCGAATTCCTCGATTCGAAGCCAATTCGACCCCAATTGGCGCACCGTTGACCCCTACTGACCCCCGATATGTAGGCGCTCCCCTCCTCCGACCCGTCCTCGCCCGCCGAGCTGCCCCTGCCTTCTCCGTTGCCGCCGCGCGATACAACAGCAATGTTCCCGCCGAGGACCCAAAGAAGAAGGCTCAGAGCATCATCGACTCTCTTCCCGGTAACAGCATCCTCAGCAAGAGCGCCATTCTCAGCTCCGCCGCCGCTCTCTCCATCTACGCCATCTCCAGCGAGTACTACGTCATGAACGAGGAGACCATCATCGCCGTCTCCCTTCTTTCCGTCTGGGGTGCTCTGATCAAGTACGGTGGCCCTGCCTACAAGGAGTGGGCTGAGGCGCAGAACAACAAGATCAAGAACATTCTCAACAGCGCCCGTGCCGACCACACCGAGGCTGTCAAGGGCCGTATTGAGGACGTCAAGCAGATGGGCAGCGTTGTTGAGATCACCAAGAACCTGTTCGAGGTTTCCAAGGTAAATTCGAAGTGCCTGTTGGATGAAAATATGGGCTATGGCTGATTACGGTTGTTTTGTAGGAGACCGCCAAGCTTGAGTCTGAGGCTTTCGAGCTTGAGCAGAAGACCGCTCTGGCTGCTGAGGCCAAGGCCGTCCTTGAGTCCTGGGTCCGATACGAGAGTCAGGTCAAGCAGCGCCAGCAGAAGGAGCTTGCTCAGTCCGTTATCGCCAAGGTCCAGAAGGAGCTCGAGAACCCCAAGGTCCTTCAGCAGATCCTCCAGCAGAGTGTTGCTGATATTGAGAGTATGTCTCACCAATCTCGGCCAATCTGATGACATGGCTAACACACTTTTACAGAGATCGTTGCCTCGAAGGCCCAATAGATAATTCCACGCCGCTAGAGTCTCGATCACCGGATTCCACGGTTTTTCTTTGTACCCCCTTTGTGTTATAAAAACACCTGTGCATTAGCCGAATCAATCAAGACCCTAGTTACTTCATTGCCGGATAGCTGTTGTCTGTGAGATCTCGAGGTTTGGGTCCATTGTGTTCAAATGGGTTTATCGGAGCTGTAAATTGCTCGTCGGGAAAGGTCGGGATCTCCGACATCGCCTATTCTCGGCGGATCGCAAAATATCAAAAACACATCTACAACACAACAGCTTCAGCTGCCACACTCAAATGATAATCGACTCAAGTGAATTTATCGTATGTTGTTATTCAATCACATTAGCTGTGTGCTTTAGGCTACTGACGGCGGGGTTATTGCATCTATGATAGTTCAATCTTCTATTGTGCAAATCATCGGCTATGTTGGCATGTCTGGTTTAAATTCTCATGCATTTGTACAATAATCGTACATTGAAAGGACTAAAGCCTCAACGCCTATCCCAAGAGCATCTGCTCCATTGCCCCATTACCCAAAATAATCTCCTGCTAAGAAGATAGGAAATGGTAATTATGGAATGCTATCGAGTCAATGCTCAAAATACATTAAACATAAATATTAGTAGAGAGGCCTTGGTTCCTCCCATTTCTTCATCTGGGACGTGGCCTTTGAACCCTCTGGAGAGTCTGTGTGCAAGTCAGGACCGACCGACACTCGGCCACTTCGTCTCCTCCTCGCCCCCTCGCCAGCGACAGGGCCAATCCATTCCCAAGCACGTCCAACCTCGCCGCTTCTTCCCTCGCGCTGACTCGTTCGGACGTTGCTGTTCTGTTCTACCACAGCTCGGACTCGCTGCCAGATGCGTTCCCGCTCGGACAACGAGTGCACAGTTCGGAGAACGTCATCTCTCAAGTTTGGTAGAAACAGCCACGGGTCGTCAATGCCCTCCTCACCCAGCTCCTTCTGGTTGGCAAGTCTTCCTAGGACGGTATCGACCAACGCGGGAATCTGAGCTTTTGTAGCTACATGCTTCTGGTATCGGGCCCGCATATAGAAGACGCCCAAGATGGCACTAATTAAAAGTCCAATTGTGAGTCGATATCTTGCCAAACTGAGTCGGAGCGATCGTTTGAGCGCGCAGGTGAGCGGAAGGCGAGCGAGAGACGTGGACGATAGCTGTCGATCTGGAAGATCGGAGGAATCGGACGATCTGTAGGGTCGACAGTGGATCTGGTTAGTCCATGGTCAGAAACAGTTGAAGCAATAATGTTGTTGCCAGCTTGGCTTTTCCGGCGTTCAAGTAGAAATGACTTACGGTGCTGTCTCAATAATCTCGACCTCTTCCCTTGTCGCAACTTCGCCGATAGCGGCGGCCCAAAGTTCATCGAACTCCTCCTCGCTGAGTCTATGGGAGCGTTTGCGACTAACAGTCTTCTTAAGCTCGTGTTCGGGAATGGCAGGAGAGTCTTCCTTATGACCATCTTCAGTAACAAGTTCACCACACTCATACTGGGCTCGTCGTTCTCTGAGTTCTTCAATAGCCTTATCGGCCACGGCCTTGACACGCCTGGCCTTCTCACCATCAGGCTCACAAGTGGGTGGGACAGGGACCAGACCACCAAGAGACAAAGGGTGAGGCTTGAGAATGAAGCCACTCTCACAACGAACTGAGTAGTCTCCGTAACAGTAAGCATGGGCTGGGCAACGTTCGCATTGGGGCTCAACGAAAGGCAAGAGAGCGTCTGGAACAGGAAAGTCTGGAGACACAAGCGATTTTGCTTGTCCACCAACCTCGCAGTATCCAACAGCTATCTTCTCTTGGCGATACCAGGCAAGGTACGCTCCGAAGAGTGACAAAAATAGCACCAAGAGAGGAGCCTTGAAACCGCCTTTACGGGTAACCTGGCCCGCAGGTTTGCGAGGCTCGACCGCTGTCTCGCCTCGACTTGCAGCTTCCTCAAGTTCCAGCTGTTCATTAGGTGTAAACTCCTCACCGGGTTCGAGCAAGTCCGGTGTTGGCTCACGATATATAGGAGTTTGAGGTTGGTAGGACTCCTCGTAGTCGTCACTGTAACCGCTTGTTCTGAGCCTTGATGAAGACTTTACACTCCTAACAGAATCACCAGCTGTGCGACGGCGGTTGGTGGGTGTTTTGTTCTGAGCCGGGGAGCTTCCACTTTGGAAGGGATTATCGTATGTAAAAACACTCTCTTCGTGGTCGGGTAAAATTGTTGCTTCCTCCTCCTCCTCCTCTTCGTCTTCGTCTTCGTCTTCTTCAGGTTCAGGTTCTTGCTTAATCTGCGGTGTTACGGACCTGCGCGGCTGACGGACAGAGCGAGGCGCCTCATAGTAATCGGGCTCGTCAGTGTGCGAAAGCGCGCGGCTTACTGATCGAGTGCTACGCTTTGTGGGGCTTTTAGGCGCAGGAGTCATAAGAGCATCATCCTCAACCTTAATGCGACTTGATGTCTTTCGTGGCGACTTTGATCGTTTCTTCACCGTTGAAGGGGGAGGCAGATCATAATCGTCCCAAGTACCGTTATCCTCGGGACTGCCAGCGTTCACGATGCCCATGCTAGACCTCTTGGCGCGCGCGCGCTGAGCTCGAAGCTTTGGGGCCTGGGGCAAAACATGCTGTTCCACTAGTTCAACGAGCTGGGACTTCTTTGCGGTTCCCGGATACTCGATGTTATGTGTGACAAGAATTGATCGTAGGCGTGGTACGGTAACAGAGCGCGGGTCAAAACCCTCTTCGAGATAATCGTCGATATCGGCCATTGCGATGACTTAGCTTAACGAATAGAACGATAAGCGAAGAAAGTATAGGGCATGGACGAGGATAGTAAGGTTATATAACATGCAGGTCGCAGATAGGAGACCGTCCACGTTTTTGTAGCTTCGTAAATCAAGCCTGAGGTGCAAAGAGTTTCAGAGTAACAACAAAGGAGAGCAGGCAACCACTCTCGAGTCAGCGATATCGACTTTGAAAGCTGATACCACAACAAATAAGATGAAAAATCCTTTTCACAAGAATATTGAGAAAAGAGCAGAAATTCTGCAGTGGTGGGGTGATGGATCGTGAAAGAACCGTTTGTCTCTGGGTTGGCAAGCGAATTGTTGATGACGGGCGCGGGAGAGACCCTTGACGCAATGACAACTGATAGCGCGGTTGTCTGTGGCAACTCAAATCAGGTTCGTGACCACCCTGTCACTTTGACCCGCTCAACATGTCGCTGAGATGGGATCCTTGTAGCACCGCCACATGTGCAAGCCACATTGTGCCACCTCTACAAGCTATCGAATGATTGAGGGACGATTTGCTAAAAGTGATATGGAGCTTCAAGTTATGCCTTTCACTCAATTGTAGGTTTTGTAATTGTCGCAACCCGATTACTTGGCCATACCGTATAATTTTGGTAAAGGAAAATGTTGGCTCGTCGATCCGTTCTGGGCAAGCCCGGCTTTGTCTGTCGGACATGTGCCCGTCAATATCAGTCCCAACTGCGGCGGGCTTCGACCTCTACCCAGGACAACATCTACGACGTTGTGTGTGTCGGTGGCGGACCGGCAGGTCTGAGTTTACTGACTGCTCTTCGTAAGTTTCTGGTATTCAATTGATTGGCGTCTTTAACACTGCTAGGTGCCAATCCTATAACTGCTGGCCTTCGAGTGGCTCTTGTTGAAGCTCAAGACCTTTCCAGGATATCCTCGTTCTCACTTCCCTCGACTCAATTCTCCAACCGATGTAGCTCTCTTACCCCGGCATCGGCTCAGTATCTCGACAAGATTGGAGCATGGCGACATTTGCAACGTGATCGAGTTCAGGACTATCAAGAGATGCAAGTATGGGATGGAGTTACGGGTGCCCGAATCGAGTTCGACTGGCCACCCAGCACGACTGGAGACAAAACAATTGCCTACATGACGGAGAATCTGAACTTGACATCCGGTCTGCTGAAACGATTGTACGAGCTTGGTGGAGTGGACGTTTTTGACAAGACCAAGGTCGAGAGCATTGATCTTGGCAAGGAAACTGAGGACCTTGACTTGAGCGAATGGCCGGTCGTGCAGCTCTCAAGTGGCCAATCCTTAGCAGCACGTCTTCTTGTTGGAGCAGACGGAGCCAACAGCCCTGTGCGTACATTTGCTGGGATAAATAGCCGTGGTTGGGACTACGGCAGACATGGTGTTGTCGCAACTCTAGAGCTGGAAGGCGAGGGCTGGGGTGGTGAGTTCAACAAGATTGCTTATCAGCGGTTCTTGCCCACTGGACCTGTTGCGATGTTGCCCATGCCTGGCAAGTATGCTACACTAGTCTGGTCTACTACCCCAGAAAAGGCTGCTCTTCTTAAGAGCTTAGCCCCCAAGGACTTTATTGCTATGGTCAATGCTGCTTTCCGACTAAGCCCTGTCGATATTGGCTTTATGCACTCTCAGCAGGAAAACCAGGCAGAAGAGCTGTCATGGCGTTTACAACATACGCACTTTGATACAAAGGCCCTTCCTCAGGCTGTCGTCGGTGTGCAAGAAGGCAGTATCGCATCTTTCCCCCTGAAGCTGCGACATGCTGATACATATACTGGTGAACGTGTTGCGCTTGTGGGCGACGCGGCTCATACAATCCACCCATTGGCAGGCCAAGGCCTGAACCAAGGTCAGGGAGATGCTCAGAGTCTAGTCAAGACCATCGAGTTTGCCGTCTCTCATGGCCAGGACCTTGGCACCTCACTCTCTCTTGAGTCCTACAACAGCGAGAGATATGCCGCCAACCACATCATTCTCAATGTCTGCGACAAGCTCCACAAGCTCTACTCTGTCGAGAGTGGCCCTTTGATACCGCTGCGTTCCGTTGGTCTCAGAGCTGTTAATGCCCTGGCACCCCTGAAGAACTTCTTCATGGAGCAGGCCTCTGGCACTGGTACCAAGATCCTGTAAAATACATGTATACTCTTGATTTGTAACATTAGATCTGTACATAATCACTCTGGGAAAAGTCTAGCCAAAAATGGAACTAAGATGATTCATTGCTAAATTTCAACAAGCATCACCTCTGCATAGCTTCTCGCTCGAGCACAAGACGTTTGCGGGAGTATTTACCGTGGTCTCCCTATCAGCTATGATTACAAACAAAAGAAACCCATTCTAATCTTCTTTCCTTTCCACATTGTTTTACCTATCGACCTCACCTACATAGAATGTTAGCATAAGTTGACACAAATGTCTGGAGACAAAACTTACCGAACACAAGATCCATAGTACCAATAACCGCCACAGCATCAGCCAGCAAGTGACCCTTAGAGACGTGATCAAATCCACCCAAGTGAGCGAAACCGGGAGCACGGATGTGGCATCGGTATGGTCGCTCGCTACCGTCAGAAACGACGTACACACCCATCTCACCCTTAGGGGCCTCAATGGCGGAGTAGGTCTCACCAGGGGGAACAGCGTAACCCTTGGTGTAGAGGAGGAAGTGGTGGATGAGGGCCTCCATGTTCTCCTTCATGGCGGCTCGGGGAGGAGGGGAGACCTTGTAGTCCTCGACACGGACAGGGCCAGCGGGCATCTTGTTGAGGCACTGGTGAATGATGCGGAGGGACTGGCGGAACTCCTCCATTCGGCAGAGGTAACGGTCGTAGCAGTCACCGTTGGTTCCAACGGGAACGTCGAACTCAACCTGGTCATAGGCATCATAGGGCTGGTTCTTGCGGACATCAAAAGGAACTCCAGAGCCTCGAAGCATGACACCGGTAAAAGAAAGGTTCAAGGCCTCGGCAGCAGGAACGACACCAACACCCCTCAATCGCTCAATCCAGATACGGTTGTCGGTCAACATCTCCTCGGTCTCGTCGATTCGGTCGCCGAACTGGGTAGCCCATTGGTAAATGTCGTCAAGAAGACCAACGGGGATATCTTGGTGAACACCACCGGGTCGGACGTAGGCAGCGTGGAGACGGGCGCCGGAAACACGCTCGTAGAATTCCTACCATTGTCAGTTATCGCCATTGTCGAATTGACCATCATCCACCTACCATGAGCTTCTCACGCTCCTCGAAACCCCACAAGAAAGGTGTCAAAGCACCAACATCCATAGCGTGTGAAAGAACGGACATCAGATGGTTAAGAATACGAGTGATCTCGCCAAAGAGTGTTCGAATAAACTTGGCTCGCTCAGGAATCTCAACGTTGAGCAGCTTCTCGACAGCCAGAGAGAAGCACTGCTCGTTGGTCATCATGGAGACATAGTCGAGTCGGTCAAAGTAGGGCAGAGCCTGGAGATATGTCTTGTACTCGATCAACTTCTCGGTACCTCGGTGGAGCAGACCGACGTGAGGATCGGCTCGAATGATCTCTTCACCATTGAGCTCGAGAATCAGACGCAACACACCGTGGGCAGCGGGATGCTGAGGACCGAAGTTGACTGTATAATGTCGAACCTTTCGGTCCTGAACCGAGTTCTCGCGCGACTTTCGGGTTCCGGGAGTTCGGGGCTTGGAGAGACCGTAGGCGTCCTGGGCGGAGGAGAAGTCTTCGTCGACAGGCACAAGTCTTGTACCAACATTCTCGACAGGAGCGGCGTTTCTTCGCAGGCAAGTCGTCGAAAAAGGGCGGGCGGCGAATGTTGCTGGCCGCATGCACAGGCTCTTGGCGCCTCGGCTGGCGAGTCGGAGAGTAGCCATTGTGTAGTGAGCAGAGAGGGAGCGACCTTAAGTGCGGCGAGATGTGTAGAGTCTCCCAAGAGGGCCTCTGGCTCGAGGTCAATGGCAGTTTGATGGAGGGGAATTCGCCTTCGTGATAGTGGCCGTCATCTCCCGCGGTCCGGGGATCGTTGAAACCTAGGAGCTTTGTTCTTGGTGGTGGGTCGGACTATCATTCTTGCGAGGACAGAGCCAATTAGAACACAACTATTACTCGTTGATTTTTACACTATCGAGTGGCATCTCGTTTACAGGACAATTGCATCACATCAATCGGTCGAGAGTTGCTAATCTTCCATCTGTGAAATTTGTCTTGAATCCATCAAAACGAGAAATATGCGCCCCCAAGATAACCCCTCAACAGTCAATTCACTTGGTTTCTTTCACAGTCTTGACTTTTGTTCACATTTGAACCTTCAATGGCATTGAATGCTAAATACTACTACTACCATTCCGTTGGTCAAGTCCAAGTCGTCATCTATCTAGATAGAGCCCAAGACCACACAAATTCATAAATCGCCACGAACTAAGACCTTCTCTGGTTAATGTTAATCAAAGCAGACAGTAACCCTTTTCGTGATTGGATATTAACCACGGTTTGGAACATGCCTACGCGAAGCCATAGGACCAGGTCAACAACAATAATTGCAACCTCATATATTTATGTATCATTGACCACGTCAAAAATCACAAAGATATGGTTGTTTATTTCTTCCAAATTGAGCAAAGAGGCCAAACACATGATAGAATAGGTCTGTAAAAAGTCTTGGTTTCCAATTGCGACCTTGCACGCATCTCGATCGATAGTCTAGTGTCTAAAGCGACAGGCCTCATAGTCGCTACGTATAGACATTTCGATTTACAACACCTCTTCGACGAACATTGTCTGACTATTCTGTTCCCAGTGCTGCTACCAATCACAAATCACTTCTCAACAGTCCAAATTGGAGCTCATCCAAGACCTCACCATTCTTGAAAACAGCACCTCTTCTATTGCCCTCCTCCACGAAACCAGACTTCTTCAACACATTCTGACTCCCAATATTCCGTCCAATAGCTGTTGCCTCGATCCTGTTCAACTCAGGCCACGTATCAAAGCACCATTTCACAAATGCCTTCGTGGCCTCCGTTGCATAGCCTTTGCCCCAAGCTTGCTCTGCAAGCCAATAGCCAACCTCCCAGGTACGAAAATAGATATCGTTCTTGAGTAGGATGCCCATGGAACCAAGGAAGAGCGGCTCTGTTGAAGGGTTCTCGACTGTACTAGCTTTGAGAAAGATGCCGTTGTGGTATGGGTAAGATGTGCCGTCTGGCTTGCATGCCATGTTGGCGAGGAAATTCTCGGCATCAGAGAGGCCATATGGTGATGGAAAGGTGCTGCGCATATTGGCAGCAATGGCTTTGTTGTTAGCTGCGCTTGCCATGACGGCTGCGTCCGAGAGTCGATATCGGCGTATGATAAGCCGTTCAGTTACGACAAGTATAGTCCCCTGCTCTTCGCTGGGAGGCGAAGGTGAGAACAATCTGATAGGCCCGGTCATAGTCGTGTTGTTTGTGATGCGATGATATCAGGTGTACAGTAGACATGAAGTTATATACGTTGATGGAAGTGCTATTGGTTCTGTCTGAGTCAAAAACTCCAATGTATGACTTGGACCCTGTGGAAGGTCTGCGCAGATTGTAGACCAGCGTGGCTCGGTGACTCACGAATGGTAAGATGCATATGCTTGAGAGGACTCGCCATGCCCTGGTAAGCAACCGACAAAAGTTCCTCGACGTAACCAGTATAGCCTGCAAGGGACGGTCTTCATAGTTTCATAAGGTCTTATTTCTACGTTGGATGTTATAATACCCAATCGAGCAGGAAAACTAGGGGATAAATCGACAGGACAAGTGAGAGGCAGTTGAGTTTGTTGAAGCATGTTTTCTGAATTATTAAATAGGTGATATTTATTAGGTTAGCCATTATTGAATACTGACTTGGTGGATTCAGCTGGATTGATGTAATAATAACCAGTTGAGAACCACGTATGTATACTATAGTAGTCATGATGTGACACGCCCAAGAGGCATATCCAAGTCATTCGCCAGTATCCAGATCGTCAACTTCCATCCGGTTTGAGATGAAGTCAAATGGCGTCGAGCAAAGTGTACTCGCGATGCAATTTCGCCCTTGCATTAGCTTCTTGGTTTCTTTTCTTCCCGATCTCCAATCCCCGCCATATTGGCTTCTACCAGTCCTTTCCATGATGCCGGTTTCTATAATACTTCTTCTCCCTCACTGCCTAACCGCAGGAGCATTAAGGTATACATTTCGACCATAGTGGTCATTGTTTTTGTAAACGCCTCGACCGCACCTCATGGTGAGCCATTATGAACAAAGGGGACTAAATGAAAAGACAATACCTCGCCATCCCATCCCAATGGGAAACAGAAACGCCTTCAAAAGCAAAAGCCAACAATGAACTTTTAATGAACCCCTCGCCATGCCTTGATGCAATAAACGACAGCCCGCTTTATGGTGATAAACAGTGCTTTTTTAAGAAAGGGAAATGCATGACTATAAAGTCAAGTTGAGTTGGTGACAAAGGAAAATGGCTGTAGCCGTGAGTAGATTAAGTTGAATAAAAAGACACATCCGGAACACCAATAGTAGTTGATTAATTTCTCCGACCGATATTGACACCGGGGTTGACGAATGCTCTATGTGCGATGTCGCAGAACCGGCGAACCACGTTGGTTGTACCTCCTGTCACTTGAGACTCGTCATAGATGAATTTGGATGCAACCGCAAGCCTGTTCTTGGGGTCGCTCTCGTCGACGTGCTGGGGGGTGTTGTTGCCGTACGGGGAGTCGAATTGAGGTGCAAGTTCTCGAACAACTGCGATTGAGTAAAGGACATCACGGTTCTCGCGACCATCGAGCAGGTAACGCATTCTCGCAAGCATGTCCTCTCTCACCTTGACCGCAGGCTGAGAAGTTGGATTATCGCGTGTTCGTACAAACTCAGCCAGGCTGTACCAGAAATCCAACTGGCGAGTACGAGCAGTGTCTGTGTCCTGGAAAGGCGGGCACAAAGGATTGGTAGGCAGATAATCTCCACACAGCAGTGCCTCGACAACCCGAACGCGGTGTTGAGCTTCCTTGACTTCGTTTTCGTTTGATGGAGCACCGGGAGGAATTGTAGGGTGAGCATCGTATGCTAGTCGCGCAAGTTCCCACACGAGACGCGTCTCAAGAATACCGGAGTAGGCCATTTGAGAATGATCGTTGACCCTGACAGCCTCCAAAGTTTTGAGAAAGGTTGCTAGCAAATCCACCACATGCGGGTTTCGGGGAAGTGACATCTTTCCATTTTCCGTGAAAAAGTACCAGTTGGTTTCGAAGAAAGCACTGAGTCCATGTGCGTACATCTCATGGTAGACCTTGGTGACCTCGTTGAGCATTTCCTCACTATGAGGACCACTTTGGGGCGACGGAACCTGGCCCAAGAGCTTGATAATCTCATCGATATTCATTTTGTTGGCTGTCAAAAACACGCGTAAGCAGATGTTCTCAATAGCAGCGCAGCAAACGACGAACAAGGGTAAAATCAATAATAAGGGGCGCCACCTCTTAGATTTTGGTTGTCAGCAAGAGGCCTTTGCTCAACCGCTCTTGAGCTTTCTGGGTTGTGGAGGGCTGGATCGATTGCGGCGGCAGAATACTCGTATGCTGGCTCCGACTTGATAGGTGGAGAAGCTACGTTGGAGAAGCTTGAGTCGTAGCTAAGCGAGGTGACAGATGGGTTGGGGCTCGCTGTTGTTGCGTGAGCTGTAGAGTACGAGCTGGGGAGCATAGACGGCTGGCTGCCGTATGAGTTGGTAGGTCGAGCGGTGAGGGCAGGGTTGGGCGCTATGGATGAAGGGACTGTCGAAGGCACAGAGCTCGGAACTGTAGGAGGGGTCCTCTGGCTAGGCGCCGGTTGAATATTAGAAGGCTGGCCGCCTGCTTGTTGCCGAAAGATAGGATCGTAACCCAAACACTCGCGCTTGGACTTCTTGCAGTTGTTGCAAGTCGGATGTGTCTCGTCGCACTAAGAGAAGGTGTTAGAGCAGTGTTGGGCGGGGTACCACTATCTCCACAAGAAGAAATAGGCCAGAAACGGGGAGGGGGGGTTGTGCAGCTGGCAGCAAGGTGCACTGTAAGCGCAACCAATAGTAAGCTCAATTGAGGTCTCGAAACTCCGAGAAACTCCAAGTTTAATAAAGGCTTTCAATCAAGTGCATCTGCTGGGGGTGCCGGGAAGAATGTATGCAGACAGTTGCAAATACAGAGAGGCATTACGAGGGAGATCATGGAGCAGCGCATCTCTACGTGAACGTGAGTCTTGCTCGTTTTGTTTGTAGCTCCTGGCAAACAAGAAATCTGCAGAGAGCCGCAAACACGATGCAGCATATCGACTTGGACGACCCAATTCCGGCTCTCCAACTCTGACATGTACTTGCAGACACTGTCCTCCCAAGTTTGTCCTCTCATGGTATTGCTTTCCATCGCGTGCATTGAAGCCACAAGCTGCACAAGGGGCAACGAGTACGAAATCACGGCTTACCTTGATTCGACGTTTCCTGCAAGTCAGACAGCCTGTCTTCGTCCGACGTTTGATCTCCTACATTCTAAAGTCAGCCCTGGTCCTCGCCATGCCTGCTATTGGCTAGGACGTCTTTTGACAAGGTCCTTTTCAAAGTTTCCACGCACCTTCTTCGGCCCTCGGTGGCCCATAAGACGTGGATCATGGGGGATAGCATAACGAGCCATAGGATCAGAAAGCCCGTAGCCTGGTGCCATGGGCATGCCTTGGTGCGGATAGTACGGCACACCGCCTGGCACAGGGGCCATAGGCATGCTCATCGGCATACCCTGCGGACTTGAGACAGAAGGCCCATGTGGGTTTTCGATCGTCCTCATGCTTGGAAGCGACATGTTGCTGCCAATGGGCATAGGACTGGGTCGGTATGGCTCGGTCGGCTGACTCGTCACCGCAGGATAAGAGCCATACTGAGTGGTTGTTACACCGACCGATGGCGCATAATGTGTCGAAGACCCTGGGTAGCTCACAGGCTGACCATGAGGCATTCCCGGATGCTGATTAGACATTTCGGAATTGGAGGCAGGTGTCGCTGAAGCAGCCTCGGGGGCCCTGCTGTCGCCGTTCTGCTTAGAGGCCGCTGGCGGAGCGGGAGAGGCAGCAGGAGCCGAGGCTGGCGCAGGATTCGGCGCGGAGGAAGAAGAGACGGCGGGGAGTTCGTTCTCAACGGGAACGGGTGCGGAGGTGGTAGCCGCAGCGGTCGTCGAAGCGGTCGGGCGGTCCGAAGCCGTGAACGGTGCCGAGGCGATCGAGGTGATGGGCGGGAGAGTCGTGTCGGAAGGAGCTGGAGCTGTATTGGCAGACCCGGCGTTCGCGGCGTGAGCTATAGGAGCGGTGACAGATGCGACAATGGGAGCTAGAGAAGGAGAATTCGATGTTGGAGCAGAAGCTGGAGGATTATTGGGAGAGTCGCCGTGACTCTTCCCATGGTCGTCTTGAGCCATGTTGTTTTTTAATTAGAAATTTTTATGGAGCCTCAAAGCGAAGTCAGGAAGAATGAGAAGTGACCAGGGGGACGCGACCCTGGGTCGGTCACGGAGGAAGACGAGGTGTTGGCGCTGGGCAAGGAAGATCAAATCCAGAGCAACCAGGGCGTAGCAGGGGGAGAAAAAAGGCGTGCAAGAGGGGCAGACTCCGGGACCAGGGGCCGCGACACGATGCGACGGCGATGGAACTGTCACTGAGAGCGAGGCAAAAGTCGCGATAGTGGACTGGGCCAAGACAAAGTGACGCGCTGGCGCTGCAGCTCTGAGCTGGAGCTGGAGCTGGATATGGATAGGCAGCAGATAGTCAGTACTATTGCAAATACAAAGTGAAGTCGATGAAGCCCAGTCCAGGGGTCCAAGAGGCGGGATCGGTAGCGAGACAGACTAACGCAGAGGCAGAGCTCCAAGATCGGAAGCAAACGGCAAATAGAGTTGAGTTTCGAGCATCAATGTCACAGACCGGTACTGTAGAGTACAATCAATACACCCATCGCAGCACAACGCAGCAGAACAGCACAGCACAGCACAGCACAATAAACTGGATCGCCCCCTGCTTGATTGCCGCGTTGTAGTAGTGGTGGTGGGAGTGGTGACCGTGGTGGTGGTGTTGGTGTTGGCCGTCTAGGTCCCAGTAAATTCTAAAGTTCTAGTGGAGACGGGCCGGGCTTTGTAGGCCGCTCGCTGAGGGTGCCTAGCCCATTCAGTATCCGCAGGTACGGGATGATCGATACTCGACAAACAAGCGCGACGCGAGCTTTGCCCAGTGGGAATTTGGCGTAAAACTTATGCAACAGGCGGACGGGTCCGTAGACGAAATGGAGGCGAGGCAATATGCCCAGAGTAATTGGTAGAGGCAGAGGCCGCTAGCAGGCATCAGACGGATGTCGTTCAACTAGGGTGCCTTATGAAGAACGTCTCTCGCTTAATGAAAACGCTGTTCCTTTTTGATGAGACTTGAGATGCGAACAATAAAACTCAGCTCTATTTTTGAAAATGCTGAAAATTAGATAGGCACAATACCTGGGCAGGCAGGCAGGTATTCGGGTCATGTGGCTGCCTCAGAGGACACTGGAACCTAACTTGGGTTTGGAGAATTGCTTTTTCTTTGGTCTCAGATAATGATTCAATCATGGAACTAGCCGCACGGAAGAACAGTAGCTCCAGCTAGAGCCTCCTCTCGGGCAGCTAGAATTACTGAATGTGCATTAGCGGCCTATCAGACCTACGGATGAACGACAATTCATCCCATCATTGGAGCAACATAACTCAAGAGGTTCCAAAGGTTCAATTGTATGAACATCGCCTTTCAGCCCGTGCATGGACTGTACAGTATGTATATGTACTATGTATGACGCATGCGCAATGGCAGTTGGAGATCTTGTCTAAATCTTACATACATATGATCATCACCCGTCAAAGCGGCTGCAACACATTGACGAGAATCCCTTTGCTTTTTTCCTCCCTCTCCTTGACTCGCTTGGTTGGGTCCACCAGTAATTGGCAATTCTGGAAGCTCTCTAGAAGCTACAGAAACTACTCACCCAAGCTCTTTGTGGATTACAGGTCCCTGTTAACGAGGCGTAACAATCCATGGGCAAGGGGATCCGTATAGCATGGATAGTTAAGGCGGAGCATACTCTACTGAGCCCAAAGCTGGCGGTGTCTCATCATGCAAGAACAACAGGCCCATGGTGTCAAGCAGATATATTGCGTGGAGTATTCCAATGATTCGTGTCTTCAACACCGCCATTTGCTTTTTGTTCTGCACTCGAATGCTCCCAATACCGTACGTAACGAAAGACGAGATCTTCAAAAATGTCTGAAGACATATCTGCACAAGCACATGCATGCCCGAGCTTTGTCCATGTATGTATAGTACCGTTGGCAGTATCTGGCCTGGGCAATCCTGGCTAAAGCTCGAGACAAGGCGGCTAATTGTGCTTTGTTGTGTGCCACTCATGGTCTATCGGGTGCAAGGTTTCTCGTCCCGTAGTCTGTAATATTACTCTGTATAGTCGACTGTAATGATCAAGACACCCCTATTCTCTCACCTCCAGTGAGCTTCGCTCCCTAAACAGCTAGGTATTCCCTACCTCAGTCTCCAGATGAGAAGTTCAGACTGAGATTAACGCTTTGACTAGACCTGAATAGTAAATCCTCAGTGTAGGTCCTCCAGGGCCCAACTTAGCGGTTATCCATTTGTTCTCTCTTTCCTCGTTACCTACTAGTTGGTATCCGTCCGTGGCTACGGATAGATGGACACATTCAACTCCCAGCCTCCTCGATTATGTTTTGAGCTCGGAAAGATATCCGTACAGACCGTTGAGAAATAGTCGGTATGGATGATTTGGCGATGGTTAGGTTCCAGCGTATCCGTATCCTAGATTCCGTTCTTTCCCTGCTGCGTTGGCGTTGAATTCTCCAAAACTGTCAACCTTAACCCCCGCAAGCCACCGACCCCACAACATCCCCCCCTAAAGACTCCTGTTGGCTTCCTTCCATCCAAGACTTCTATGGATGGAAGGCGCTAATGCGAGGTACCAACCAGACGGTCCTCGCTCGCTCGAACCCTTCCACCCAAGGAAAGAACCCAACCAACCCAACCCAACGCAGAGCCAACTACCGCACCTGCTTGTATGGATGTATGTAGGTACTTGAGCTGAGTCAGAAACGCCTAGTTCCAGTTATCAATCAATCAATTCGAGCGAGCCTCAAGATACGGTCTGTCCAACATTAATTGATGCATCCTATCCGAAAATTGTACCATTCCAAATTACTCCATACAGAGCAAGATTATCCGAGCAGCGACGATTGACCATCGTCATCTGCTCCTCTATTTCTCTGGCTGGTTTCCCTCCAGAGGCAGGTATCCGCCACGGACAATTGCAAATCTTCCCGTTCTCCTTGGACCCCCAATCTTAAGAGATTCTATCCAATATCATCTTCCCCTCTTCCAATTTGAGCGAATCTGAGACCCCTGCCTATCTGTGTTACTTCGAGTTGTTCCATCTCGAGGAAGTTAATTCCTATCTGGGAGATGGCAAGCCCGAAGCAGATAAGAGCTGTGCATCTACCATAACACAGCAAGACAAATACATGCTTCAAGCCGTCAGTTTGCTTCGGCCATGTTTTAGTTCTCTGGCCGTATCCGTACACGCTTCAGGTGCATACCCAGGCCTATACCTATACCCATTACTACTATGAACGAACTAACCGGCAAGGTCCCGGTGCAAGCGAGACGAGCCTCTCCACAACCTCAAGTCGTGGTTCGCTGGCGCCCACCCACCCACATGGGCCCTCGGATGGTTCCCACTCTACCGCCTTTTCAGACTTTCTCTGTTGTCTTGTACCGCATGGTACCTTCCAGTACAAGTGGACAACGGCAATAGCAATCACCCTCCCTCCTGTTTGTCAAAGCCAACATCCCGGCTGACAGAAGCGACGGGAAGCAAGCGAGCGAAAAGCCGTCAACAAGGGGGGGAGCTGTTGAGCCAACCGGCTTTCTTTGTGCATCTCACTATCTCGCCTTGCTGCTGAGTCTCTCTCGCCTACGATTAGTTCCCGGACTTCTGGAACACCCACCGACCTTTGCTATTCCATTCCTACAGTACTTCGCTGGCTCAGCCCCCTCCTGGCTCCTTTCTTCCGTGCGTGCAGACAATCTACGGTACAGAGTATCCACGTTGCGGTTCTCCTCTCACCCCCACCATCTGGCAATAGCGGTCGGCTCTTGAGTCACTAGTACCTAGTACTCGGGGACCTTCCAATGAGGCATCTCCTTCCTTCTGCCTTGTTCTAGAGGTGGAAATAAAGACTGTATTTGAGGCTAAAGGGGGATGATACAATATGGTACATGGTATGATACACATGTTGGGCCGGGAAAAAGCCCCGAGCACAAGATCGTCAGACACTTCACGCCAACGCTGAGTTTTCGACACTGTTTTGAACCTTAGGCAACACAACTGGACCCCAGTGTTGATCACCACGAGCTTCCCTGTTCTCGTTACTCGACAGAAACATCTCGTTATCTGCAGCCGTTGAGCAATGGCTTCACCTCAGGCCAATTTATCCCCGATGCCTTTCCTCTAGCCCCGTCCGCCCCCAGCAGCAGCCAAGGACTCGTGTGACACCTCTCAATCTCCATCTCATATGTCCATGCCAAGCAACGCCGTCCACTCTGCTCACATCGTTTTTGGCAAGCATTGGCACTTCTGACGTCGCCCCACGAGCGGGTGTGCTCGTCCGGTTTACCCACATGATCCGCCATCAACTCGGTCGGCCGGCTCTCAAGCGCCGATATGGCTGACCCCCCGAATAACTGCCAGACGTCGTGCCATAGTACCGGCTTGTCTACCTCCGCAAGGGTCTCTCCGACGCGGCGCATCTCACCAGGTTTCCGCAAGCCGTGGAAGGAAACCAGGGGTGAGCAAAACCGATCACCCCAGATGCGCGTTATTGACGGAGGTTCACCGTTGAAATGATGATTGTACGCCTCTTCAATGTAGATCCCCAGCTTCTGTAATGTTGTCGCCACCAGGCGGTCTCCCCATGTCTCAGTCATGGACTCGGCGTAGGCTTCTTGCACGATGCCCGGATGTTGAAACAATTGCCGCATCGCCTCTCCAGATATCAGAATGCCAGATCCTCCATGCCCGAAGCGTGCCTTGTAGTCACCTACTGCGTTCCCGATATACAGGGGCTTTCGATAGTCAATATGGCCCATGAGGAGCTCCAGTGACGGCCGGATCAAGAAGGTATCATCGTCCAATATGATGTACCACTTCTTGCCGGGTAACTCGTTATATATCATCTCCATTCCCATGATGAACTGGCTCCGTCAGCAATTTGCACAGAAATGATGTCTCCCGAGACTTACCTTGAGTGCATCAAGCTCCCATCCATAACTTTGGCCAATTTTCAGGGCTTCCTCCTCATCTCCGGCCTGAAGCCTGGCCTGGAGACTTCTATACTTGACGAGTCTTGGGTAGTCATCAATTTTGCCCCTGATCTTGGTCTCCATAACTCTTTTGATAGCATCATGCACTGTCGCCCCGATCAGATTCGCGTCTGTCTGGTTCACAGTTGTCCAATCTCCCACAACAAGAAAGCTCTCGCCTTCCTTTCCTAGGTAGCCTCCCGTCGCCTGGAAAGCAGCAAGCTGCTCAGCTACCCTGTGACGCGTCCCATAGCCGGTTTTGATGAGGTATCCTACGTCGTTTTTGAGATCAACGGTGTATCTTGGTGGTTTCCACAACCAAGCATCCTTGTTTGATGTCGCTCCTCGCAGAAAGTTGAAGAAGCGCGAAACATTGAAGACTAACGCGAGGCGAATAGCTGAGTCGTGAGGGAGTATAGAGTAGACTATGAAGACAGATATGAGGAGAAGGATGAGAATAGATCGTAGACGACGTCTTGTCCGTCGAGAAATGAAAACCATTGTGGTCGAATGTTTGATGAGAGATGAAAGTGTTGTCAGTTATGGATATGTCTGTATTTACACAGCACAATTTCGGCAGGGTTTTCTGAATCCGATTTCGAGCCACAACATCCTCAACAGACGAATTCCATGACAAGAAATGTTACATGTGGTTTGGTAAAGCTAAGGACCTGTTACTCCTTCGAGAGCCAACTGAAGGATCTGGGATAGTTACTCCTTTGTCGCGAGACCCGCAGTTTCGCGATCAAGCTCAACGTCGGACTAGATAACGAAGTGGAAAGCTGCAAAAGAAACTCTCACGAATGAATAAGTGTGGTCGAATATTAATGAAACATGTAACAATTGTCCCTATCAACGAGGTTAGAGCGGTCGTCATCTACAAACTGTTAAACTTGGCTGTTCCGTATTCTGCTGAGTCATTCAGTGGGGCGTACCTAATTTAATAACTGCAAGACAAAACACAGTCTCCCTCTGACTACTATTGCAGCTGTATGTAGGCCATGCGAGGTGTATTAAAAGTTTGGCAGTGAAGATGTTTCAACTTCGAAAGATCATATGACTGGTATTTGTGACGTTGTCTAACTGATTTGCGGGCTATATCATTGTTCTAATCTAGATAGCTGTTCAGAAGAGTACAGTTTCATAGATGTATTCATTCAAATGTTATTTTTACACTCGCTTTTTCTCTAAAGATTCCATGTCGTATGCTAAACGTGATTTATCATACTCCGGCAACTCTTTCTTTCTCCTCATCATCCAAGCTCTGGAAATTCTCCAACGATTGTACGGAAGAAGACGATGAAATCTAACAGTATTGAAGCCCATACATATATGTTACTCGAAACGCCAACCCTATGCAAATAGATAAGTGAGAATAGAACATAACCATCTCCTCCAATAACGTATGCTAAGCGTAATAGACTCTGCGTATCCCAGTATCGCACATAACCCATCCCTTTCACGGACTGGTTGAGACTTTCAAACATCCTTATCGAGCTCGTAGAACAGTAGATAGACCTCCCTCTGCATACCCAGTACTTCACTTGTCTTGGCCTCTTTGACTTTCTCATCATTGACACGCCACCACTTGTCTAATGCTGCCTTGCGCTTTTTTGATCGCTTCGACACATTCGATGGCACGAGTTTGGGTGGCGATGAGCTACTGTTGGTCTGCTTGGGCGATGCGAGCTTAGAGAGGGCAGATTTGGTCGAAGCTGCCACAGATCGGAGGCTGCTGGTTTCGGGGTCCTTGGGCTTGCCCATTGCTGGTAAGCTTGTTGAGCCACGTAGATCTTCGGGAACACTCCTAGGTGGGACTGGCAATGAATCTAGAGAAGGCGTCGATGAATTACCAGAGAGGAGGTCGGGGGTGGAAATCGCCGGGCTGTGTGTTGGCCCGCCGCCCATCACGGGTGTTCCTATAGGGGTCGGTGTCTTGCTAAATGCTTCTGAGGGCTGGAAAGTGTTGGGATTGGAGAATGGTGCAGCAACATTCTGTCGTCTAAATGCTTCGTAGTGGCCACTGTTATGCCCACCACGGTGGGTTACCATACCGAGCAACTTGTATCTCTTTTGATCCATCAAACCGCCTAGGGGCAGTTGCTCGGGGAAGAGCACCTTGGCAGAGTTCTTCTGTGTCATTTGTACGTCGTATATAGAGCGAGACAGGTGAATAGCGAGGATCTTGGGGAATATGGACATTCGAGTTGTCTTTGCGATCCTTCGCTTGGGTGCATAGCGGATATCTCCAAGTTCAATATCTTCCGGTGGGTTCTCAGGGTCTGTGTCTATGGCAAACTGGAGCTTGTCGATATTCTCCTGAGCTTGCGCCTTGAAACTGTCCGAGGTCGACTTGGCCATCTCAGCTTCTAGGTCTGCCTTTGTCTGTAGCAATCGGCACATTTCACACTTAAAATCATCGATATACTCGGTTTTAAAGATCCCATCGAAGCATGCATTGAGGGTCGTGCTTGAAACTTGGGGCACGGCCAGTGTGATAGTACAGAAAGTCTCCTCTCGAGGTTTGGTCTTATAACGGCATGTCTGGCACTCGAGACGGGACTCGTACTTTCCTTCCATTGGGAAGCCCTCCTCGAGCTCCATAGGCAGTTGGCCGTTGATCTGGGGTATCTCGGTTTCTTCGGAAGGCTCGATAGCAGAATTGTTGTCGCCGTTCGTATCAGGTTGTTGCTCTTGTGAAGATTCATCGCTGTCCTTACCATTGTCTTTGTCTTCACCTGGCTTGTCGGTGTCTGTTGAGATACTGGTGGGAAATAGACCGCGTCTTCGCGCGTGTAGTCTTGCTCGCTGGCCACAGTGATACTCGTCCTTGAGTCGCTCAGCAACTATTTGGAGAAATTCCTGCGCGTCCTGTTGTTGACGGCTGATCCTTTGCTTGAAAGCCGCCTCCAAAACCTTGACAAACTGAAACGGCGAGATGGACTTCCTGTAGATGGGCCGCTCATTAAGCGCGTCCAGCATTTCTTTTAGTCCTTGTGTGACGAGCCCTTCTTGTAGACCCTGGAGCTTCCATTGCGCGATCTCTTTGCCTTCTGGTTGGACAAGACTGGCATATACGGCAGGGTCTTCGATACGGCGACGGTGCGTCTCGCGAATTAGGTATATCCTCAGCTCTCCTAGACCGGCGAGAGCCTGCAGAACAGAGTTGATGAAGCAGTCATTGGCCTGGTTTCTTAATCCAACAATCGACTTTTTCTTAGAACTCGTAGCGTCGTGGTCGATGGAAAAGTTCGGCGCGAATACATAGATCAGCGCAGCAGCAGCGAGAGAAGCGCCAGCGGCGTATGACACAACCGAGGGTTTCTCGGGCATTTTTCAGTGGTGGTCTAACGGCCGGTTCGGAGGACTCGGAATCGATCGAGGATATGGAGAGCGCAAGAGAGACAGTGAGGAACTAGCTCGTGTTGGACAGGTCGAACGATCACGGCAGGGCGGTGGCTTAGGAGCATATCTCGATCTTGAATTCGATATGCGATCGAGGCTTTTTTTAACTTGTTGACAGAGGATTAGCTCTCGTTGGTTGTGTACAAGTCCGTGGAGCAATTCGACATGGCAATCGGGTGAGAAGCCAAAAGAGCGCAAGAAGAACGAGTATGTAACAGAAATCGAGAAACGGTAAAGTTTACCTTTAGTCTGTACTGGTCTGTGTGAAGTACATAGTAAGTTAGATTATGGATAAACATCCACCCATGGAACTTTTTGGCAAAACGTAACGGCCGGGGGAAACACGGGGATTCGACCTTGAGATGACGGGTTTTCTGGAACAAAGCGAGGCCGGAGGTTCCCCACCCTTACAAAATTCAACCCCATTTTGGCAGGTGAGGAATGGAAGGGGCCCCGTTTATTGGCGTCTTTTCGAGTCAGCCCGCCTGCCGCCTGCCGCCTGCCGCATCCCCCCGCTCAATGTCCAGGGCCTTCGGAGGGAGCTTCGGGGGCATTTTGGCTACTGGGCCCCCAAATCTTGGGGCGGGCTGACCACCGTCATCGTGGTGGGAATGCACTCGAGGGGCGTAAAAACTACCCGGGAGCTGCACATTGGGTGAATGTTTGGAATTGTTTCCGTTGCATCCGCGAAAGATGTTTCTGGTATAGTAGATTAGTAAATTGTTTTATATCGTTAGAGGGGTTAGAATGGTAATTAAGTCTCACGAACACCTTATGCAGGCTCTTGGCTAAATGCATGTCGGCAGTAGGTATCGTCAACGTTTGGACCCAACCGGGAGGAACACCACCTCTTCATACCGTTTAATTGAGGGTTATTCGGGAAGCAAATCCATTTTGTTTGCAACAATAGTTTGATCGAGCTTTATGATTGGCCATGGTAATTAAACACCATGTGAGTGCTAGATGATATAGCTGGATATTCAAAAGCGTTGAACTCATGAAATCTATGTGACTCCAAGACAGTAACAGAAAGGTATCGCGTAAATTGAAATCTTGACCCAATCTTACTCCTCTTTAACCTGCAATCCTTCAGTTTCCCATTTCTTAACCGCTATGAATCAACCAGTACACTCCCTGAATCTATTCCCCAATTTCGTAGACACCACCGATGCGCCAAACATAAGAAAACCCGCCGCTCCCCAAGGCGAAACTATTCCTTGTGTGTAGGGAAGAGAATCTATCAAATTAGGTAGGTAAACCGCCAACCACCAGGCTACTTTCTGCCTCCACTCTCGTAGTTATAGTCGACACTCCACAGCGAATCCCATACAATCGATCTCTTGGTTGGACTTCCGGCTGAATCCTCTCTTTGCACGACATTCCGGGGCTGCTAATAGAGCATCAGCAACCCATCATCACGGTCCAAAAAGGGCGTCAACGTTTCGTACCTCGTCCGCTCTGGCACCAGCACTTTGAGTCGACGACTCGTCCGAAGGTCGCCTGGCTGGGCCATCTGCCGGCTCGTTCTTCTGTCCTTCGGGGACCCCTTTCTGTGCCAGTCCGGCGTTGGATGCCGCAAGAAGTCCTCCCTGCGTTGGACTTGTGCCGGAGGGCGTGTCGGCGGGATGAGCTCGGAGTGAATTGGTTTCGCTGGCCAAAGCACTATTCTTCAATAAAGCGGTGCCTCCGATCTGAAACGGCAGGGCTTTTTTGGAGTTGGTACTGCTGCGCCTACTCTCAAGACTCTTGGACAAAGTCTTGTTAATACCTTCAATGCTAGTAACGCTTTCCCGGCTCTTACCCTTTCCACCCGGAGTATGAGTGTGAATGTTGGCTGTTGCCTCCACGGTATTAGCCGCGACAGTTGACTTGCCCATTCCAGGGGTTGAGGGCGCGCCAGGTTTGTCCTCCAGAGCATCGATTAGATACCAACGTAAACCATCTGAAAGCTGGAATGGATTGTCATTTTCCTCTTCGTTGATCGATTCCGTCTCGCTGCTCTGTTGGAGGCTCTTGGAAAGGTCGACGACTCGTTCTTGAATTCGTGAAATACGCGCAACAAGCCATTCTCGATGGCGTAAACGGTGGGCATCCTGTTCGCGAAGGAAATAATGCGGGAAACCGACGTTGAAGGCAGCCCACGCGCCGGCTTGCTGGTTGCGAGTCGGGAGGAACAAGGCCAGATCTCCTTCCTTAAAATGCTTGAAAGCAATCTTCTCATGCGAGTCTTTCTGCAAGATATGTGCCTTCTCCCTGTAAGACCGGGCTTCCTTTTGCCATTTGCGAGCCATATGTTCCACTTCCTTGATTCGGCGGTAAACAGTTTCTGAGAATAGTTCAATGTCGAATTTGCCGAGGTTGTTCATGAATGCTTCGTATTTCTCATCCTCGGCCTGTGCATCCGAGTTGTTAAGCCAGTAGAGCAGCTCTAGATCAGCACTATCACCCAAGACACGGCTAAGGGTTCCGGACTTTCGGACAGACGAGTTGGGGTCGGAAGAGTCGTTGGGGTTTTGAGCGGTTCTCTCCGAGCGTGGGATCTTGGTAACAGTCATCTCTCCGTCCTTTCTGGTGACAGCAAATCCCACACGCTCTAGTAATCGACACATGCGATCGTTCTGAGAGTAAAGACGCTGTGTGAGATCCTTCGTTTTCTCGTCTCGATGCTCATAGTGGCTGGTCATGTGTGTTATCTTGCCTTGGAGTGATTCGACCTTCTCCTGGAACATCCGGAGCTCTTCCTCCAGACTGCCGACTTGAGATTGCTTGGATGCCACCTCTTCGGTCAAAGTCATGACCTTCTTCTCCTCGTCCTCTAATCTTGTCTGCAAAGCTTCGGGGCCAGTTTCGCCATCGCTGAGCTTAGCGCACAATTCTGTGAGCTGCTCTCTACCATCGGCGAGCTCTTGTTCGAGGGCGGAAACCTTGGCTTTCTCCTCAGCCAAGTTTTCGCGGAGATGAACGGTGGCCATTTCATCTTCGGAGATCTTAGCATCCTTGCCGGAAAGCTGTTCTCGAAGCTCTGAAATGGTTGAGGTAAAGTGCTCGACCTGGGTTTTTAGCAAATCAATATCTGCTTCTGAGCTTCGAGATTTCTCAATCAAAGTCCCGGCTTGCGTAAGCAGTAAGTCTGACATGTCTACAAAACTGTCTGGAATTGAAGCGTCCGGAGAAAGCTCTGTGAAGAGCTTTGTCAAAGCTTGCCAATGGTCGTCAAGAGCCTCCTCGGCATGACCCAGCTTTTTCGAGATACTCTGAACCTCTTCCTGTGCAGACTGCACTTGTTGCTCGAGGGCCTCTTGTTGCTCCCTTTGAATTCTGGTTTCTTTGCGTAGGAAATCAATCTGGCCCTGTGCTTTAAGTGCGTCGTCTTGCCGCTGCTTGTTAACTTGTTCCAGCTCGGTTTCCAACTCTTCCACCCTTACGACCAATCCCGCTTTTTCGTGCTGTCTTGATTCGTCGAACTGCTCGATTTCGTCTTCAGTATCTTCCAAACGAGCTCTGAGTGTTTTGATCTCAATCTCTAGATTTTTGCGCTCTTCGACAAACTCGCGCTCGAGGGCCTCCATGTTCTCGAGAAGATCTTGTTTGGTAGTGTTAATTTCCGTCATCTGACCTTTCAAATCTTCATGCTGGGCCTTCAAGTCTTCGTGCTGACCTTTGACGTTCTCATGATCATTCGACTGTGTCGTGAGTTCTTGCTGTAGCTGGGTAGATCGCTGTTTCTCCTCTCGTAGCTCGTTTTCAAGTTGAGTGATACGTCGCATCAAAGGGTCGATACCCTCGGAAGATCGTCTGCGATCGTCAAATCGACTCGACCTAATAGATGACCCGGAATTTCCCCTCTCGCGTTGCTGGGTGCCTTGGGGTTGAAAGAGATTTCCGGAGCGGTTAGCCTGACTCTGTCGGTGAAGTAAGTCCTCCAAACGACGAACTCGGCTTTCGGCTGTCTTGAGTTTATTCTCCAATTTGCCCTTATCATCTTGTAGAGATTGCAGCAGATCGTCATCCCCTCGGATCAAAAGTCCACTCCTACCGAGTGCAGCCTCATGTATGCTCCCGTTTTTGAAAGCCTTTAGTCGTTTGGATTGCTGCTTTGTTGGGTTATCAAGCTCCTGTACAAGCTTTACTATATCGTCCAAGATACTCTGGTCAACGGGCTGCTCTTGCAGTATTTGCATGAAATCCGTCAAGTCTTCTTTGGCAAGGGCTGGCCAAGGTGTGTCTTCTCCGAGCAGGTTGACTTCTAAGCCTATAACGTTCGTGTCTAAATCTGGGCCGTACATGCTGCCAATCATTTTCTGCCACTTGCGCCGTCTCTTGGATTCCTCGTCCTGGAACAAAGCCATTTCGTTTGCAAGAGTAGAAGAGTCCGTCTTGACTTTATCAACCCATTGACGGCGTCGGACTGCTTCTGCAACAAAAGCTGCATACATATAGGGCAGTTGGTGAATGAGACGGAGGTAATCGAATGTCGTCATGTCGTCCTCGGATTGGTTCAGTACGTTGATCTGGCCTTTGACGTTGCTGTGTAGGGACGTTATATCTGTAACGTAGCGCATGAACTTGGCTGACTCGGAGGCAATGGAGTTGCGCGCATCCGTTCCATAATGTAGCAACTCTTCCATCTCTTTCACTCGCTTCTTTAATGTCGGTACCAGATGCTCAGTATGCACTGAAGCCGTCTTAGACGCTTGCGCCACATCTCGTTGCGTGTTGCCGTATGCTAGTGCTGCTCGATAGTCGGAATCTATTTGCTTCACTACTGCTTCGATGTCATCTAGGAGCTGCGCCGAGTCTGTGCTATGGCTGAGGGCAGAACGGCTCATTAGTTTCTCGAAATCAGCGATTAGCGACTCCAAACTCTGATACATCTGGGCCGCCGTGTTGCTAAGCTGATTCGCCTTGTCACTGAATCTTCGATGGGCAGTTGGCGCTAGTTTGCCCGCCTTCTTTGCTGTATCAAGTTCGATGAGATCCTCTAGAGTCGGCTTTGGTTTCTTGATGTCCCGTCTAGTCATGAATTTGACCATGGAGGGCGATACTGGTGTGTTCTTGGCGAGATCTAGATACTGTTCCCATTTTTCGACGAGGTTCCCATGCTCTTCCAGTGCGGGCGTTACCCATTTCTTGAGGTCGTTGTACTTTGGCTCGATTTGTTTGATGCTGATTTCGAGGTTCGCAACAGCAGCGTCAAGACACTTGATAATAACATCTATTTCGCTGTATCGTGCCAACGTGGTCGAGCTCATCTGCCCACAGTCTTCCACAAGATGCATTGCCCAGTTTCGGCGCTCCTTGTATAGTTCTTGCCATGACACTATTGACTGCACATCGTCGATCGTATTCGGCGCATTTGGAATGGTGTATCGCTTCGGCAACGGCACTGGACTGATGAGGTTTGCATTGCCTGGAGAGCTTATTCGTATATCGTAGACAAAGATCTCTTTCTAAGATACAGTTAGCGACGTTGTGTACCGGTATGGATAACGAACCTCTGTATGTAAGTTCGTCAACTTTACGGTTCGACCATGAGGGGTCAAGGCGACAATATGTTGTGGTGGGATGGAGGTTTTCTTAGAAACCCAAGTTTTGAGATCATCGAGGCTGCAACCGAGTTAGCTATCATGGCATCAAAATGGTGCTGATAAGGCTTACATGGAGAACTGTGCGGTATCGACTTCCAGCCGCAGGCCCGTATGGGCTATCAACACCTGGAGAGCCATCTCGAGACATCTCCTGTGGAAAACAATGCCGCGATTTGCGACCTACAAGAGAGAAGGGTGACTTCAGTACATGTATGATTATGACAACCAAGACTAAGATGTCGAAATGATGTTGAATGACCGGTCTATAGTTATCTCTTCGCGTGACGAAGGGTCCACAGATTACTGTTTGGACATGAGAGCCTGGTGTTAGCGTGACTAGTGCCTTGTGACAGACACTTTTTCATTCAATGAGCGCCACACAGTCGACGCCACATCCATCAATCACAGCCACAAGCATATGTACCGTCACGAAAGTCACAAAAGTCACAACGCGTCTGAAGGTCAAGGTAGCTCAAAAAAGAAGTTCAGCCAACAGAATTATTTTGACACTCAACTCCATATCACAATGGAGGACAAAGGCGATGTTCCCATGATGAATGGCTACGACGAAACGTCTCATTTGCCCATATCAGAAGATGAAGAGAAGATTCTCGCACTCTATGACCGATTACAAGAACTTCGACTGGAAATTGCCGTTATAAATGCTCAACAATCTCAACAGTCAGGTTTGTTTTCCTTTGTGGCCATGTTGCTACATGCTTGCTAACTGTCATAAGAGAACACTACATCGTATACCGATGAAGAAACACAAAAGGCACAATCAGAACTTCTGGAGACAAGAGCACAATATATTCTCAGAAACGATGTGACTGAAGCCGTTGTGACAGCCAATCCTATACTCAAAGCTGTTCACAGCAACGCAGAAACAGCTCCCATCGAGCGGTATGTTTTTCATTCTGGTGGAGTAATCCTTAACTCATATACTCACTAGTGCCCTTCTGCCATACATTGAACGCAGAGATAATGCATCTATATCGGTCGCGACGCAAGCCTCTCAGACGAACACGGTATGGAAGACGTTGACAACCGTTCAGAGTGACACACTGCGGAAATCTCGGCAAAACGTCACTTTGGCAGCAGAGCTGTTTGAGTTGGCAGATCAAGCAAAGCTCAAGAAGAGAGTCAATCCCAACAATTCAAAAATGATGGAGGAGCAGGAGAGGTTGGAGGCTGATGTCAAGGCGAGCAAGCAGAGATGGCGGGTCATGAAAGGTGTGGCTGGAGGTATAATTGTTGGTAGTGGCGTTGACTGGGTTCAAGACGATGAGCTGCGGGATGCTGTACTCGATCCTGAGACTGAAGAATGATACCGCCTGGCAACTGGACCTTGTTCCAAAGCACTGGACTTAGCAACTACTCGTGTCTCCCCATGAGACGACCGGTTCCTTGATGACGATCCAACCACACGGCACGAAGGTCGAATCCCGTCCCGTCCCATCGGGAGGGATACGTACCCTCATTGACCAGGACGGCACTTGCAAGATCTCCCGTCGTGGAGACACTGGGTGCTTTGGTGAAAAGAAAACAAGGAAGACTTCCAATGCTCATCAGTCAGGTCTTGAAACTAGCGAGGCGCCATCGCGGCTGTCCCTGGAACAACATGCAGGTGCCGGCCGGGTCTCCTGCTTTACTCTTAACTTTCATCCTCGTCTCAGCTCCGACAATTCGCCAGCAGCCGAAGCTCATGATCTCATGCCTCAAGAGCATCCCGATAGGGTTTAGTAGACGTATGGAGCTATGACCATTAGTTGGGATATCCACGTGATATCTCTTGGCAACTTGAGATGGAAAAGAAGAGGTGATATTTGTAGAGAATGGAGCATAATCAGCTGCAGACATCATTTTCACGCTTTCCCTGAATTTGCCTTATTCGGGATCAGATCGACACGTTTTAAAAAAGAGAGCAGGTTCTTTTGACTATTGCTTATGGTCTCGTATTAGTGACCAGGAAACCACAAACCTTGCATCGAATGAGAATATACCTACCTACCTACCCCGTAAGAGCAAACAAAAAATAACTTTACCCTTCTCCCAAATGAAAGGGCGATATTTGTCGCATCTTTAAAGAAGCAATTATTCGAAAAAATAAAGATACAGTACTCTGTACGGCTACTCTGAAATCAACATGGATTGACGTACCCCATTCAAGGCAAATGCGAGTCCCACGATTTGCGTCAGAAAAAGCACAGAAACACCCAAATGAGATTAGTCAGTCAAAAAGCATCATGGAACATGAAAATCGGGTGGCAGGAAAATGAGAAGAATGAACAAGAAGAGCGAGTGGGGAGGAACAGAGAGAATTGGCTTGGGCGGGGGACTGCTCAGCTCCCTGTTCTGAGCTTTGGCGTGAGCCCAGCGTTGGCTCGGCGTCGAGGTACAGCACAGTATCAGGTGCCAGGAGGACTACATGACCACCCAAAGACAGGTGTGTCGCGTACCCGCTGCAAGTCTCTGCTGGTACCTTTCTCAAGAGCCACTTACGGCGTGTCTTTGCACCTTGTTTTGGTCCGGCGCGACCAGACATACTCGGCAAAGCCGCCTTCGCCGGGCGCTTTTGCTTGCCTGCCCTGTCTGGTCTTGGTCTTGGTCTCTCTTTGCTGCTGCTGCTGCTGCTGCTAGGCGCTGTTAACCATGTCCCCGTAACCCGTTTACACCAACGAGGCTTCCACGCGCGACTCGTGGTACCCGCCATGTCCGCAAATGGAGTATGCGTCACCAGGTACCTTTCTCTCGCGTCATTGCAACTTTCGCTTGCTTTGTCCTGTCATATTTCTGCCTGGTACTGTACTGTACGGTTTGAGCAAAGGCCTTCGGATTGTTGATGTATGGTATCAGCACCGATCACTACCTAATGATGCACCTATGATCAATGATACCAATCTTTTGCCCTGCTAATGACAATTGGGGAAGCATCATGGTGGTACACGGGTGTGCACAGCACCAGTCTTGCCTCTGTTGAAGCTAGGACCTCAGCGTGCCCTTGCACGCTCTCTTGAGTGAGCAGCATGATGGGAGGCGACGGTAACTTTGCCCGGGCCTAGACTCAAATGATCAATCTATACACTAAAACGCGGACAGTACAGTACAGTATTACCTCGTAGTCAGATCTCAACTGGTGCATACCAGACATGTACTAGACTGCTACTCTGTACAGTAGTAGAGAAAGTAAGAGGCGGGATAGGAAGGAGAGCATTGGAATATTGTCTCCTTAGGTACGTTCGAAGCAGGAGGGTAACAAACAGAGGGACAAAGGGATGAATGCGAGGGGTTAAGCATTAGGCCTTGAGGTTGAGAGGTACGCATTGGCAAGTACCTGTACATGTAATTTTTCGTATGACAGTACTTGATGATCACGCACGGTTAAAGTACTGCACTCCGCCGCACATTATTACTCCAGTTAACAATCAAAAGTGGTCTAGAACTGATAGAAGATCTGACGTTGATCAAGAAACCCCTAGTGACCAAAAGTAAAATGAATAGACTGAAAGGCCGTTGGGAAAAGCATTTCAGAATAAGAGGGTCGCCTGGCAACCATACTGATACTATTACTGAGTGAGCGGGTTTGCTGTTCCAATGTCATTCTCAGCCGTCGGAGTAGCGCAAGTGATACCATTGTCTCAAGGTTGTGCCGAACTGAGTGTGATGTGCACTTAAATGGTGCATCAGTATGCGCGAAGCGGTCGTCTCATCGGAGTTTGTATGGATGGCAGGGGTGGGGGATAGTGAAGTAAAACACCGCCCGAGATTGTCTTAGGCACAGGCAGGATAGTTAGCGCTGGGGTTTCGAAGGACAATCACTCCCCAGGCCAGACAACGAACGAGTTATGAACATAATTAATTAGAGGCGAACCCGGAAACGGGTCATTGCATTCGGTTGCCTGGTCGTTGGTGCTCTCACTCAGTCAATGCCTGTGGAGCAATGGCCGGATCCATGGGTTTGTTTTCCTAGCACAATTTGTACTCGCCGTTGAAACTCGTGATGTTGGATATGGATATGGATGCTAGACCAGGCAAACTTTGAATTGGGCAGACGTGCTTTAGCATAACACGATGGTTAGTTTCCAGCTGAGCTACAGTGTATCTTATAGAGATCCGAGAGCTCCGATTTCTCTAGTAATTGTAGTTTTGCAAACATATAAGTTCGTTCGTCGAATTGTGGCAAGTTTGTAGCGAATGGGGAAGTGTTAGTTACCAGTCCAGCGAATCATCTCTCACGAAAGTTCGAGATTACATGAACAAAACCCAACACCCACAAACACCAGGTGAGAAGCAAAGAAACAGAGACAGTGTAAATACACAGCATGTCGGTTGAAAAGTCAGTATGCGTCATATAGATAATCCTTATTAGACTCTTCTAATGAATTGGTATGCTTGGTCGCTATTCACATTCAGTAAGCACCTACCTACATAGGAAGTGTTGGTGTTGTACGGAGTTGACAACATGGTGTGGCACAAGTAACATACTTAGGAAGAAACATAATGGTGCGAGCAAGAGAAAGAGCAGAAGAAGGAGCAGGGAGGAGGGTGTCAGTAGCGGAGTGCAATGGTGAGCGCGACTTCAAGTCCGAAATTGATTGATGAAGCATAGCGGCCTCAGGGAGGTGGAGGTGGAGGTGGATGGGCATGGACATGGACAGGAGGGGACTAGGTATGTACAGTAGAAAGAGGAGACGATGTGAAGCCAAAAGGAAACGTCAAATTTGAACTCGGCACCAGACAGATACAGAGAAGGGCAGGGAAGAACCAGAGGTCAGAAAGTTACGGTATCACTCAGTAACGCGAATTGAGCCAGTTGACTGGGTAGGAACGACGGACAACGGGACAAGTAGCGCAGCACAGCACGGCGCAGAATGGAAAGAGAGAGTCGGAGCAGCGCAGACGCCGCAGAGTAGGAGTGATCAGAGTAAGAGGTACCGTAATCAAAGGCAGAGGGGCTTGCGACTGCCTACTAGTGAGACAAGTATACTGTGCGAATTATGACGACTGAGATGCGGTACAAGACCTTTGTACTGTACCTCGGCGCGGCGGGCTGCGTACGGCTTGTACCCGTACAGTACCATACAACAATAGCAACAGGACCACTCGCTTACACGCTGGTGAGTGGTCAGAGGCAGGTGCTCCTGAGGAGCTTGGATGACGGGGCTTGGACGGAGTCCTGGTCGTCTCCCCTAGTAGCAGGCCCAGAGGCAGAAAATGGCCCAAGGCAGGTGCGGTACAGGTACGGATACACCTCAGACTCAAGTCTGCTGCGACAGTACTAGTGCAAAGCTCCAAGCACCGCACCGCACCCGCACCGCAGAGTAATGCGTACCGCACCCAATTTTCTTCGAGGGTAAAGGGAAAAAGGGAAGGGAAGGGGGGCACCAAGAGCAAGCTCACCCAGCCCAGCCTACCAGCCCAGCCCAGCCCATTGCATAACAGTCCAAGTGTGGTAGCTGGGCAGGCCGCGTTCCCTCCCCACGCACAATCACTCCCCCATAGTAAAAAGGCTGCCTTGGCCCTCCCCATACATTCTCTCTCACTCTCTTTTCTCCCATACAATTCTCCCACCCAAAATCGTCTCTACACTCAACACGCTTCGACACGTCTTCGTGGTGAGTAACGTCCTGTCCTATACTTCACCAACAACGCACTGCACCGCAACATTTTATTCCTTTTGAGTTCATGCTTTGCGCCTGCTCTTGCCTCAACTTGGTTTTCTCATTGATCTGTATTTAATTATCGATCACGATAAAACTTTGTCGCAAGTTCAAGCTGCATCGTGCTTCTGGCCCATTATCATCACCCATCGCTGGTTGCGCAACAGCTTAACACTTTGACTAACAGAAGCGCATTACAGACAACATCAACACCACAAATCTTTTCCTCCCAAATCTATCCCTCAGGTACGCGCAAACCCTCCAGGCACCTTTTTTCTCTCAATTTACGCGCATTTCGACGCGTTGGAAGGTGCAATCGCTTTTGCGCCTCGCCACTGCACTCTTTCATATTGCTCCCAATCCAGCTCCAAGCTAGCTTGAGCTACCCCTCCATCGTCACCAGCATCGCACTTCACGCTGCGACCTCGCTTTCCAACGCCTTTGACGCTTTTTAAACCACGCGCTCTATCAGTATTCAGTTGCTTACACTCATTCACAGAACACATTCAAGATGCCTAAGGCTGCTGCCGGTAAGCGTGGTACTAAGGTGACCAAGCGCGCCAAGAAGGGTAAGTCCTGAACCATCTTCCATTCATCCTGCACGTCGCTGACCGCAACAGACCCCAACGCCCCCAAGCGTGGTCTCTCCGCCTACATGTTCTTCGCCAACGAGCAGCGTGAGAACGTCCGTGAGGAGAACCCTGGTATCTCTTTCGGCCAGGTCGGCAAGCTCCTCGGTGAGCGATGGAAGGCTCTCAACGAGAAGCAGCGTGCCCCTTATGAGGCCAAGGCTGCTGCCGACAAGAAGCGATACGAGGATGAGAAGCAGGCTTACAACGTAAGTTTACATGGAGAATCGTTTGAGCATCCGGATACTAACAGCATGTCAAGGCCGACCAGGAGGAGGAAGAGTCTTCCTAGGATGGAGCTTCCGCTGTCAAACCCAAGCGTCGCTCGCAGAAGATGAACACTGAATCGGATTAAACCCAGCACGCCAGTGTCGTGCTGCAGATTCCGGTTACGAAGTCTTCTTTGTATTTCGGTCTGGGCGGTGTTGTATTATGGCACAGGAAGAGTGCCTTGTTTTTTATTAGGGATTATCAAAGGGTCAAGGTCGTTCAACATGTTTATTATGATCTAGATGATGATCAATTGAGCTTCTAGCTTCTATTTCGAGTGTCGTTGACTATGAGAGCCGGATTCAGAACTCTGGGATCATGGACAAGGAAATGAATACTTGTACAACTATGGAGCTCTAGTCCGAATAATGAAGTGTATCATAGGAATTTGAAGAAGAGATCGCGTGCCCTTTCAATTTCATTACTTGTTGACTTGCCCAATTTCACTTCGACCAACTGGCAAGCTCCTGTGACCATGCTGCCCGTTAGACAAGATCTCAGCCAAAAGCATGGCTAAGATGAATCGACGTAGTTGCTTCCATTAAATCAGCCCACCCAATCAATCCCCCTCGATCCCAACAGCTATCCAGCAATTTCACAACAGGAAAATTGTCGTAGCTCACCTGGCTTTACAGGATTAGGGACTATAGTCAGATCGATGGATTAACATGTATTATTATGTCTGTTATTTGCATCTTATATCAAGATCGCAGATTCGCAGCTCTGATTCACCAGGGTCCAGTTGGAAGCTCAAGCTGGAAGCTTTCGATGACGAGAGCTTGGGGCGGCTGTGGCGTATATTCTCACTAGTTGAGTGGCGGTGGCTAGTAAACCGAGGGGTCGATTGATAAGAAACCAGAACTCGTCCTAAGTGTTGATCAGGGCCTCTCACGATCGTACTATTCTCTCTCAAAATGGCACAATTAGTTTAGTATTAGCGAGGTAAACTTCTATTAATCTGGAATAGACAAGATGTGCTATCTCTTGCCGTTCTTGCATCCATGCCGAGACCAGGCTTGGTTGATAATCATCAGGTAGGGAAGGAGGGGAGGCCAGCCCAACATGAATGCCTTCCATTGCTTTACTCCTAACTATCTCTGCAGATCATCATGCTTTTCTATCCGTCATAGGTACTAATTATTAATCAGTATTGCACAAAGTCAGAAGAACAAGTCGCAATGCTCACACTTACAAGAAAACGAGAGGACAATGATCCCGTTTGAGGGTTTCCATACTTGCACGCGTACGAACAGCTCGCGAATAAGAGCATGTACAACATCGTGCAAATTACTCTGTAATCGAGGCATCAATAACGTCCTGTCCTATCTTAGCTGGCTGAGCCTCATCACCAGGGTCCCCCCACGGCTGTTGAAGTGGAGTACAAATAACATTGAGCGAGCACGAGGCCATGCTACAATATGGATGCTGACTTAGGCCAGACCAAGACGAGGACGGACATGCGATACTCCAGCACGAACGTTGTTGCGAGGCTGCTTCTTCACCTTCTCGATCCCCAGTATCATCAGCTTTTCTCCACACAGAGTCCACATCCCGCGGATGCATGTCAAGGGTCGCCGTCGTAGCAACACGTCGCATCTCGACTGTTACTGGACAGAATAGCACATCTGCTCTCCTCTGGGAATGGTCATCTTGACTGGTGCGAGTGCCCACCCATTCCTATCCTAATCCAGTTCAATTGCTTCCCCCCAATCTCCTCATGCATTGGCCTGGCGTCATGTCGAAGCACGCTTGCTATCGTGGCATCGCCTGAGAAGTTGGCTCAGGCTGGAGCGCGAATCTCGAGTTGACGGGCACACACCCAATGCCTCACTCGCTAAGACAATCATCTCCTCTCGTTGGTGCAATTGTCTCAATGAAACCCAAGTCGACAGTGTCGATGCCGCAGACTTATGTAGAATGCGAGTGGCATCTGACCATGAGGTGGTTCAAGACCCCGGACTTGAGGCCTTGCCTTAGCTGAAGCGAAGACAGGATGAGTGCCTCGGACATTACGTGCATCGACCTGATGGGCTCACTCATGGTCCAGAGTGAGAACCGTGCACCAACCACGTCAGGGAAGGTCGTGTGTATGGCTGGACAGGTGCGGGTGCACCTCTGGATGGTGTTGAACAATTGCCCGGATCCGATCACACGTTGTTGACGACCTGCATACCCGTCGTCCCCTCTTCTTCCATTATTAACCAGGGATCTCTTCTCGAGTCTTGAATCTATTCTTGGTTTCTCATCCGGTTCGCGATATCACAATTGACCATCACCGTCGGTTATCTACACTTCTCTTCATACCATTAATTCGTAAACTACCCCACTATCTATCACTCCGAATCCTTCACCGTATACGTTGCCTCGATCGATCACTTGTACTGACACGACTATCATCAATGTGTTGCAAGGGAAAGAGGAGATATTAAAGCATAGCAAGACCAATCGTGGTCCATCTCGTTATGTGATGAGATAGGCACGCCCACCCTTATACACCTTCAACCTGTCGTAATGGAGATGGTTCTGGGCGATCAACTTGAGCTTCATCTGCTCCAGGGTTGCTGCTTGGAGGCAGAAAGGGCGGACCTTGTTGCAGCTCAACTACTTGGGCTTCACAATGTCTTACCCGATGGCAATCATACTCATCTCATGATGATCATTGATGAAATCAGAGCCTCGGGCCAACTGCTTCGTGAGCTACCCGAGTACTGCAAGGTCCATTTCTCACGTGTTCCCATCGTACTCGACTATCTCGAAATCCTCCTTCCTTGTCTTTCGAGATCGCTGCGGGATATCACCACGTTTTATGAAGATAGGACTCTTACCAGAGAGAACCGTTGGCGAAAGATGTATCATTCCATGACCAACGAAGCAGGGGGTCTCTCGCTGCCACAACGATTTATTCTTTACAATCGTTTCTTAACTCTATTACGAGAGTTGCTAACAAGGTCGGCCCCTAACATTCCAAGGCTGCTTGTAGAAGTTGCAACTCACCATTATTCAGATCAATGAGCTTCGATTTCAATACGATGGAAAGCACCCGGGTTCAGTTGATGGAACTCAGGGAAGCTCGAAACATTCGTGAGAACACCAACTCCAGTCTCCATGCATAGCTAACGAGCCACAGCTCCTCCTCCTATCCGTCTAAACTCCACTGCTCAACTCGATGCGGTGTTGGACGAAGACTCGAGCACTATGGCGGTAGGTCAAGCCAACACTGTTCAGGAACAACTTCTCACGAAATAAACAGGATATACACTGGTCTGAAAAGATTTTCTCTCTACCTCTACCATCTCGAACTGAACTCAAACATCAGCAGCCGTAAGTTGTTTTGTACAGCATCCAACTGTCCATACATTCTCATCTGTCTATAGGTCTAAAGCATGGGGGCCGCTTGTCCCTTGGGGCCATATTCAGATGCCCAGTGATGCAAGAATCCTATTTATGCGGTAAGCTCGAAATGTACTTGATAGGTACTGGCCTAGGTTGACAGAAATAGCTCCTTTAACGAACGCCAAATAACTCTGGTAGCGTATGAGAGTGCACGGGACAAATGTCCTTATTTTCTCTTGCGAACTTTCCACATGGGCAATCCCTGGTTCTCCCTTCTTGGAGCACATGAGCTTTGTGTCAAACGCAACGGAAGCTGTCTTCAGTTCTGGCGATGGGATGCGAGCGAGCAATGCACCAAGAGGTGGGCCAACCTTTGTTTCTTGACATGGGAAGGTGAGTTTGAAGAGCACATATGTTGTATCATGTCGCTGATGTGTTTAGAAATGGTTTTGGTATACTGTTGCTTTCTATCATTCAAGATTCGTGACAGTCTCACCATTCAACTTGCAAATGAAGACCTCAGTCTTTGGGGTGAACGCAAGTTATTCCAAGCGTAAGCACCAGACCCGATGCTTTCTCTACTCATACTGACCCTATCAGACGAATTACGGACGACGGCTTTATGCATTCACTTATCGTCTATGAGGACTTTGTCACCAAAGGTCTCAGACTACATGCTGCAGTTTGGGAAGGAGACCTACGACAGTGTCCTGTCTGGACAGCTTTCAGTAAGCCAGAACTAAGTTATCTGTGACCGTTCCAAACGGATGACTGACAAGTATCGACAGTTACACATCAATCGGCTTCGCCAAGATGGATTAAGAGAGTGAGCAAAACCAGAGTTCGCCTAGCCGACATTCACCTCTATGTCTTTTGCCAGGAATATCGACAGCAAAACCAACGTATTAACCGTTCCGGAGCATTCGAGATCCGGTTTGTTAGCGAAGAAGGTAACTTCTCAATTCTGTCATGAATAGTGCAGAGACTTACACATACACAGCGGCCAAACGGTTTAAAGAACTCTTCTCCCCTTCGTTTACGGACGATAGCACAACGACAGACACGACGGCCTGAGATGGAACGGCAGTCTCTCTTGTCTACCCCGACTAAAAACTAACAACGTGACCCTGCGTCCATGTGAATTCGACACGTCCCCTATTGCAATTTCTATAGCCCTTTGAATTTGGTTCATGCTTTTTCCAGCGACGGCGTCCCATGAGAGAAATAACGGTTTGACGATTCATGAATAACGATTTTCAATTTATTGTAATAATTTTTGAGTCACGGGAAACAGATTGTACGATATCTAGCACAACACGTATGCTATCATGGTCAGTTAGTTGGCTTGTTTCGACTTTCAACAGAACGATATTAAGAATGTTTTATGCATGTCATGGTACTAACTCATGTTGCTGCGCCCCTGCCTTTCAGAACACATCACCTATTTTCCAGTTGGCTGGTTGGTAGTTTTAAGAACGCTCAATTTGACAATATTGTTGTACGCAGTAACAACCTCGGAATTATCTTATGCTTGAATCCATCTCTTCTGTTTTCGGCCTAAACACCCATTACATAACTCGTTTAGGTCTTGACGTCAGGCTCATCACGGCCGACATGCTCCTTGAACTTGAGAAGCTCAGTTGCAAACTTGACCTCCTCCTTCAGGAAGTCTTGAGCATCGAGCTCATACTTGGAGGGGTCGCTGGTGTGCTGCTCAATGTAAAGGCGGATGGTAGCTCCAGAGGAGCCAGTACCGGAGAGTCGGACAACGATTCGGCTACCGGAGGAGAAGCCAGCGTACAGACCCTGCTTGGAGGCAACAGAGCCGTCGAGATCGGTGTATGAGAAGTTACCAGCCTTGGTAACCTTGCGGCCTGGAATGGATTAGCTCATGTTATTGGTAAATAATAAGAAAGATACGCACCCTGGATAGTGCTGCCGACGAAGTTAGAGTCGGCAACGAGCTTCTCTAGCTCACCAACAACCTTGTTGGCGCCCTCTGAGTCGACATCCTCGTAGTCGTAACGGGTGAAGAAAGTTCGTCCGTACTTGGTCCAGAACTCCTTCTGGATCTCCTTGATTGAGGGAGTGACCTCGGGGTTCTGAACACCAACACCAGCAATAATGTTAAGCCAGGCAATAACGGCCCATAGACCATCCTTCTCACGGATGTGGTCACTTCCAGTACCGAAACTCTCCTCACCACAGATAGAGAGCTTCTTGGCGTCGAAGAGAGCACAGAAGAACTTCCAGCCAGTGGGCACCTCGTAGCAGTCGAGACCCTGAGCCTTGGCGACAAGGTCGACGGCACCGCTGGTGGGCATAGATCGAGCGAGGCCATTGACACCGTTCTTCTTGAAGTACGGGATGAGGTGGGCGTAGTGAGCGATGATGGCGAGGGAATCACCAGGGGAGACGAAAGCGTTGGCGCCGTAGATCATGTTTCGGTCACCATCACCATCAGAAGCGGCACCGAAGGGAATGTTGTTCTTGTCAACAACCTCGACCAGAGAGTGAGCGTAGGTAAGGTTAGGATCGGGGTGGCCACCGTTGAAGTCGGGGCTAGGCACACAGTTTTGTGTGGAGTTGCTCAGGCCAAGCTCCTGCTCGAAGATAGCCTTTCCGTAAGGGCCAGTGACACCGTGGAGACCGTCGAAGAGGACCTTGAAGTCGGGGTGGGTAGAGAAGAACTTCTTGATCAGGTCGAAGTCGAAGATATCCTTGAGCATAGTAACGTAATCGGCAGTGCTGTCGATAACCTCAACCTCGAGGTCGCCGTAGGTGTTGGTACCAACATTGGAGATGTCAACATCAGGAATGTCGGCGATCTTGTATGAAGTGAGAGTCTTGGAGAACTCGTAAATCTTGTTGGTAACGGACTCGGGGGCAGGGCCACCGTTGGCAAGGTTGTACTTGATACCGAAGTCGTTCTTGGGGCCTGTTGGCGGTCAGATATGTCGATGTTACGGGTATAAGTCCGGGCATATGGGATACTCACCACCAGGGTTGTGGCTGGCAGTCAGGAGGATACCTCCGGTAGCCTTGCGAAGGCGGATGACATGGCTGGCAGCGGGAGTAGAGAGGATACCGTTCTGGCCGATGACGAGCTTCTTGACGCCGTATGCAGCACCAATCTTGGCAATGAGCTGGATAACCTCAGGGTTCCAGTAGCGACCGTCGCCACCGATGACGAGATTTGAGCCTATCAACAGGTCAGATCATGGATCTTGTTTGTGCTGATGGTGAGTAACTGCATACCCTCAACACCCTCAGGGATGGACAGCAGAATGCTGGTGATGAAGGCCTCGCTGTAGTGAGGCTGCTGGAAAACGGTAACCTTCTTTCGAAGACCGGAGCTATGTATATAGGTCAGTATAGCTTCCAATGGATTGGGCAAGCTGAAGCTTTGAAGCAGAGGTGAAGGACGGATAAGCAATTCGTCGGCAGCCACCGGGGCAGTGGGGGAGCACAACAGGATGGGGAGGATCGTCAGGGTGGAAAGACATACGTTCCGGGCTTCTGGTCCTGGAAGGGCTTGAACTCAACGGTTTGAACGCCCATGATTGTTTTATATGATAAGAGGAGAAGGAATAGGATTGGGTATTATGAATATGGGAGAGATTTGTTGGGAAAGAAAGGAGGAGGGAAGTTAAGAAGAGAAGCGAGCAAGCGAGATAGCGGTAGAGGGTGTCGAGACCGAGACAAAAAGAGGGGAGCTTGACGGAGCTCCCTAGTGGGGTAAACGAGATGATATCACTAGAGCTAATGGAGGGGCAGCACAATTGATACTGTGTTGAACTGGTCTTTTAAGGGGTAGAGGACAGTGCTTACAGTGTGTCGATGCTTTACTAGGATACAACATTCTAACGTAAATATGAGAGTAGAGCTCATGATGGAAGCTGATGGATATGATACTGTACTGTGATGGAAACAATAACCAACATTGATACATAAACTAGTCCAGATTAACGGCCACTAACTGCTAGAATATTCGTGGAGAGTTTGACAAGAAAGATTCAAGCTTAGCTTCCCTCGTCACTTTATACTGAAAGAGCTAGAGCTTACCTCCCTCTTAGGTACCTTACTGTAGCTCGGTGAGTAGCTCAGTCATGACAGTTGGATCGTCACCCTCATTAATGTGAGGCAGATTTGGCAGTTTATAACCCACCTCTCTCAGAACAGGATAATCATTGAATCTATTGCTTTCCCTTATTGCCCTTGTTCTTAGCAGGCACAACATCAAATGTCGGTCTAAAAATGACCTCCCGGTAATATCTCGCCTCCTCAATGCTCTCCAGAATATCATCCCTCGCCTTGTGCAGACCTTTCTTGTTGGGAACCTTATTCACAATCCTCTTGGCCGACCAGCGTCTCGCAGCCTCTTTGATGGAGCTCACGTCTAGAATTCGGTGGTGCAGGTGTCTCATCACACGCTTGTAGGGCTCCCGTCGCAGGAACGCCCTGTCGCAGTGCACACTATTACCCGCAAGGAGGCCGCGCTTGCGCTCAGGAATGAAGCGTGTGATGTACTCGTAGAGAGCGTCGGCTGCTTGCTCTGGAGTGGTCGTCGACTCAAGAACAGCGGCAGTGAGGCCGGATTCTGCGTGTGTCTTTGTGCACCACTCATCCATCTGGTTAAGACGAGACTGGGGGAAGTGGATGATGGCGTGGAAGCCTTCTTCATCGAGAATCTCAAGGTTTCCCGTTGTGATGATACAGTAGATCTCGATGATTTCATCATTGTCCTGGTCAAGACCAGTCATCTGTGAGTGAAAGAATAATGTGAGCTCAAGCCATTCTACAACGTAACACGACATTACCAACCTCACAGTCGATCCATACAAGAGGATCATCGGTAGCACTCTTGGGCTGGTTATCAGCCTGAGCTTCAACTGCTTCAGACATTGTTGCAAATTTTTGGATGGTTGCAATGTAACGTTTAAGTCGCGAGCTGTTGAGCTTGGCTTTGGCTGGCTTTTCTCATGAGGCGAGGCATCAGAGAAAGCATATCTTCACTAAGTTAGCTCTAGTAGTAATTAGTGGGGTTAAAGATCGGGACCAGCCAACTGCAGTCCAGTTAGTGAACGCAGTGAATCGATGCGCTGGAACGTCGTATGTATTAATGTCTTCTACCCAATTGGCCACTATCTCAACGTCTGCATCACGATATACAAAACAATTGCCCAGGAGACGACTTTTCAGCCTCAACTGCATGCTACGTTATACGACATTATAATTGTTTCAGATCATTCGTTGATGAGCCGTATACTCTCTATACCCCTCTGCCTATCATTATCTCAAGTAGTGTCTCTGAACCAGTGAGGACGACATCAGTCTGAACCCCTCAACAGAGATATTCGACTTATCTACCTTGATTTTGAAAGCACTTAATACTCTCATATTACTCAGTCACACTATACGATATTGTATCGGCCATAATTCATCATGTCTACATTGCTGAATAACCTCATGTCGAAACTCACGACAGACCAAAATGAAGACGCAAACACAAACACAAACTCACAGCCCCAACCCCCTCCCAAGCCAGAAATGTCCGAGTCACCACCTCGCTTCCTCATAATCGGTGCAGGCTCTCGAGGACAAAATTATGCTGGAGCCATCGACAGCGTATCCAATGGCGTAGTCGCTGCTGTTGCTGAACCCCTCAAGTTCAAGCGTGAGTCTCTTGGCCGTGCTCACATCTGGGGCGATGGTTCCCCTAAAGAAGGCCAATCATTCCATGACTGGAAAGAGTTCCTCGAATATGAACAGGACCGTCGAAGTAGAGTGGCTGCGGGAGATGAGAATGTTCCAGAAGGTGTCGATGGTGTCTTTGTTTGTGTTCTCGATGAGATGCATCGTGAGGTTATCGTCGGACTCGCACCACTTGGCTTACACATCATGTGCGAGAAGCCTCTCGCTTGCTCTCTTCAGGACTGTGTCGACATGTACAAAGCCATGCGTCCCTCGCAATCCTCAAAGATATTCTCAATCGGTCACGTACTACGCTATAGTCCACATAATATCATGCTGCGGAAACTGCTCGTTGAGGACCGGGTCATCGGCGATATATCCAGTGTGGTTCACACTGAGCCAGTGGGTTACTGGCATTTCTCCCATTCCTATGTCAGAGGAAACTGGCGTAATGAGAACACTACTGCTCCATCGCTACTGACAAAGAGTTGCCATGACATCGACTTATTGCTCTGGCTGCTCTGTTCTCCTAAGAAAGCGGGACAAGGAGAACCGCATATCCCCGAAACGGTGTCTTCATCTGGAGGCCTTCATTTGTTCAAGAAGAGTAGAAAGCCCAAAGCCGCAGGAGCAGCAACAAACTGCACCAAGTGTCCCCTCGGAGACGAAGGCTGCAAATTCTCAGCAAAGAACATTTATCTTGGTCCTAAGCTCAAAGGCTTGCAGTCTGGCAACACGAGCTGGCCTGTCAGTATCGTCGTTCACGACATCGAAGACTATCCCTCTCAAGAAACAAAAGAGCAGCTAGTCATGAAGGCCCTCGAGGAGGACTATGACGAGTCCACTCCCAAGTCCGAGGTCCAGTCCCGTAACTGGTTCGGTCGTTGCGTCTTTGAAGCAGACAACAATGTTTGCGATGACCAGTTTGTCACAATCACTTGGCCCGAGTCCACTCAACCTGCAAAGACAGCGACACTGCACATGGTCGCCCAAACAACCAAGATCTGCGAGCGCTACTCCAACTTTTACGGCGAGCATGGTGAGGTCTACGCTGACTCGCGACGCATCGTTGTTGACGACTTCAACACTGGCGAGACCAAGACTTATCATCCTCGTGTTGAAGATCTTGGACATGGCGGAGGAGACTTGGGGCTTACACGCCAGTTTGTCATGGCATGTGACCGTGTCAAGAATCATGGCTGGGAAGCTCCTCGCGCGCAAGATGAGTTCATTGGATGCACTCTTGATGAGGTCCTGCGAAGCCACGCCATGGTCTTTGCAGCCGAGGAAGCCAGACTCGGCCGGAAGGTTCTCGATTGGGAAGAATGGTGGGACAAGGCTCTAGGGAAGCAACTGGAGCTCAACGGGCATGCATAAGCGTTACTTCGATCATGATGACTATTAATTTCGCGAGTGAGATTTACGGAAAGGTTCCTGAAGATGAGTAATACGTCAACATCGCAAATTGTCGGTTTAGCAGGTACCATTGAAACATTATCGTATCTTAAATTCATTAATGAAATAACCCAATTAGGTCTGTCATGTAAAAGGTATGTAAAAGCTCATGCAGTTGATCAGACATGCAATTGATGTATTCTCTTGCCCTCGTAATTCCGCCTGTATGTTCAAATAGTCCTGTGTCGTTGAGGTATCCCGCTCAGCCAAAAATTGTAACTCCTTTTACTCCCATCATTTCAACCATGAGGTTCCTAGCTGAGCTCTGCACGGTTACCCTCGTTTCCGATAGGTTGCACGGCAGGCAACTCTTGAGCTTGTGGGGATTCGTGGCCTTCCTTGTTAGGTCCAGGACTGGGCGTGAACTGGCCTGGGGGAGGTGAGGCGGTAGAAGGAACACCATAACCACCAGCGCCATAAGGAGCAGGATATTGACCTTGCTGGCCGAAACCTTGCTGAGCGTATCCTTGAGGTTGAGGAGAGTAGCCACCGTAGCCAGGCTGCTGATATCCTTGAGGCTGGCCGTAGGGGGTGGTCAATGAAGGGTCGTATGCCTGTTGGTAGCCCTGAAAGTTGGAAGGCACTCCTGAAGGATATGTGGCGTTTGAAGGCGAAGAGGGAACAAATCCTGGGCTCTGAGGATTCTGAGCCATCTGGGGAGGGTTTTGTGGGTTGTTGCCAGTACCAGCAGCGGCGGCAGTGGCAGCATTGGACTTCTTGCGACGGCGGAAGAGCAAGAAACCAGCGATACCGACCAGAGCCAAAGCAGCAACACCTCCAACAACGCCACCAGCGATAGCACCAACATTGGTACCGCCTTCGTCTTTCTCGGATTCCGTAGCTGATGCAGCAGTTTGAGTTACTGTGGTGGGGGGTTCGTTCGTGGCCGAAGAGGCATCTTCCGTTGTCGACGCATCACTCTGAGAAGTTTTCGAATCACCGGTAGCTAAAGGATCGGAAAATAGAAGTGCAGAACTACCCCTGGTGGTGTCGCAGGCGAGAATTGTGTAAGGGTCGCCAGATGTAGTACCGACCCAAGTGTGGCAGAACTTGGAGGTTTGGTCACTGCTTAAACATCAGAAACCAATCGACTTTTAGCAGGAAACGGACAATGGAAACTTACCAGCAGAGAGTGTGAAAATCTTCGAGGAAAGCGCAGACAGAAGAAGATGCGGTATAATCGACACAAGTTGTCTTCACTGACTTGCAAGCCCGTCCGGTTTCACAGCATCCAATCCAGCCATTAGAATAACTGCAAGTGGCGACACTAGAGATACAAGTAAAAGAATCTGTTCAAATCGCGTCAGTAAGCTAATACTTTTCATCCAGTTTTACAAGTTTCGTCAATTGATGACTGTAACAATTCTATTGAGAGTTCATTGGAATGGGGTTCAAACTCACTTCCTGCTTTACCAAAACCACAGGTCGTAGGCGCTAGATCTCTCCTGCCCAAGGCAAACTTCAAGTCCATGGCACCGGCAAGCTGGGGAGCGTCGGTTGGCACAGGTGACCATCCGAGGGCGATATTGGCTTGGTTTCCTGCTTCGGGGCCGTAGATGCCCGTCTGACGAGGAGGTTCCCATGATGTCTCTTGGTTTGACTTAAGCCAGCCGGCAGAAGCTGGTGAGCTAAGAGCCCCGAGGGCGAGTAGAGCGGTGGAGCGGTGCATCGTGGTTCAACGCCGTGTAAGTGCTTCGGATCAACTCGAAGATATTTGTTCCAATTTCGTTTCCAGACTCTGTTATTTCCCTCTTCCTTTCCGCAGTGGCGAATTTGGTTGTCTCGAGAGCGAAGTGAAGGTTCGGTATGCGAGTGTCCGGTAGTGTAAGTGGGTTTGTACCCTTCGATGTAAGTGAAGCTATTCAGACTGGGTTCAACACGGAAGCCAGGAACAGCTCAGGAGCACAGGGAGAAGATGAACTTTTTGAGGGAAAAGCAGCAACAAAGTAGGGGTCTATGGGGTTTTTGTCTCTCCTGCCTCTGTTCATCACCTGGCGTTTTCGGGCCCGAGGAGGCTTCCCGGCCATCTCAACTACTTGCTGTACGCTGCAAGTACATACACCCAAGTGGCATCCGATACTCCAGGGACCCCAGGCGACGCTAAACGAGATCAATGGCCACAAGAGGACCTTTCTGAGTGCTCCAAACACTCAGCCCCTGGTCGCTTTGGAGTTGGTGGCGCCTTTCATAGACAATCATTGGTGCAAGGGAACTCTAGTGCCTCGAGCTGAACATACCCCTGTTCGTATTGGGAGTCTGGACGAGGAATGGTCTGTTGGCTAACATTCAGTCTTTAGACTCAGCCCCCAGAGAAAGAACTCAAGTTTTATGGTTAAAAAACAAGCACTTTCTCTTTAGAGTGATCCCTAGCTACTGCTAATGGACCATCAAGAGTAAGGCTCATCGAAGTTATACCAACAGACAGTTCCTATCGAATTGACGAGTACAGCATCCATGATGAGACGCCCTGTCGCTGTGTGTATGTACAGTACTGTAAGTCCGTTGGGCTCTCGTTTACATATCAAATGAAGTGTGACCGACGATCTTAGGTGGTGGAGCTGTCTAACGACAACTCCGCAGCAAAGAGCATGGGCTCACTTGTACTGTACATGGTAGTACTTTCCTGCATCTCTCATCCGATTGATAGTGCGCAGACAGCCTAACAGCCTTCCTGGGCTGTGCCAGATTTCTAACGCTGGCAAGCTTGCCCCTCTTTGTATTTGGGGCTTGAGACAATATCGAACGCACCAGTGATCTGCAGAAAGAGGGAGGCCGGATAGACTGCTAGGCTGCATTTTGTAGAGGCTGTGCCATCTCCAAGTTGATGCAAATGCCTGTGTAATCTATCGTTACGTTGCAGTACGTTGTTGAAATGGTCCTCGCATCTCCAGGGAGGCGCATGAGGCTGCGTTCTCGAACCAGCTTAAGGTGACATCCTGTACTTGAAGTACAATGTCGCTAAGAGAAGGGACGGCTCGGTGTGATTCAAGGTCCATCTTTCAAATTCCCCCGTAGTGAGCACCAGTGAAGCTCGTACTTGACCAGATCGTCAGGTCACAGACGATTCGGTATACATGGCGCAAGCCACTTGCCCTTTTATCCGTATCTGTTCCACAACGCAGGAACATGACGATTGAACTTTGACAGCAGTATGCCCTACGATTGAAGGCAATAGGAAAGTGATAGGTGAAGAACAATCACTGGTAATAGACTCCACCCCAAACGGGTACTTGGAGGTAACCAGACAATGGTTCACAACGCACTTATCAGCCGTGCACCAAACACTGAGCTCCCCAGATCCGATGTATACTCCCGCAGTTCTGCAATTCGGTCTGACTATCTGACGCAGATTGCCGGATGCGCTTGGCTCGTGACTGGCCCTCGCACTGGTGGCCCAGAGAGGGATGTGGTTTGGCCATCACTGGGGCGCTTGGGCTCCAATTTAAGCTTGACGTTTAACCGATGAAAGGTTGGCCGCATTGTGTGCTGTAGCCTGTACCTGTCGTCCTGTCCACGGGTTTAATGGAGTGGCTGTGTGGAGTTTGGGTCCGTAAATTGTTCTCTTTTGTGCTGTATTATCGGATACTATGTTACTTCCAGTATCCGATTCACCGCTCGCAAAGTGGTGCAGGTATTTGGTGTTGCTGCATGGGTAGGCCATTGGACTCTGAGACTTTCCCGGTCCGTTAACCGTGACGAACAGGGCAAGTTCCCGATGAGTGATACATCCGGTGTTGTCTCTCCTAGAAGTCAAGATCTTGGTCTCAATAACCATTCCTCTGGCCTCAAGATACGAACTGGTGGTCGCTAAAATCTGACATGGAGATATAGCTAGCAACCGGGTTCATTTCAGCTGTATTATGGCTGCGCTCTCCGTTCGTTGTAGGAAATTTGCTGGTATGGGTCGTAGGCGCTGGGAAGCAACTAGCCCTACGAGGGTGTCACATTGTGCCACTAAGCACTTTGGCAGTTTAGCGTCCTCAATTTTGGAAAAAACGGCTGCTGCGAGTGTTTGACCGAAATGGGGCTGAGGTACATGCAGTACAGATGGTATCAGTACGATTTTATCGCAGTGTTCTGATAGTCGTTTAGTTGAGAAAGGGTAAGATTGACGATGAGTGGATACAAATCAGAAACAAGTAACGAAGATCTCTGGATCCTTTCAGTAGCCGGGCGGAATGCAACTGCCTGGTGCGGAATTATCAATAGAACAGCGGAAGGCAGGCACGACTGGAACATGGAAGCTGCAAACACAACTACCCTGTACTCATTTTAGACGTGGCTGCTGAATTTCTTTAGATTCTGTACTGTAAATAGAACGCAGATGGTTCATTTTCGACGGACACGGCCTAGAACACGGTAGTCAATTCTGGTATTCATCTTCTCCGTATCTCGTTGGCCGTTGCGATTCAGCCTTGAAATCTTGGCTTGTCACCAGAAGCAAGCCACGAAAAAAGAGTCCAGCGACACGGGACTCACTTCAGCTTTAGGTAAGGTACAGACCTGACTGGTGGGATGTCGGGCATGGATCCTAAGAACAAGAAAATAAGAAGAAGAAAACGCCTTGTCGATAGTTCTATGTGGCATAGACTCAGCTATGAAGCTATTTGAGCTGCACTGCTACGTTACCATTCTTTTCTTCATAGAACAATAGTGACCAAATGTTTTCCCACGGAGTCTCCGCATGACAAACAAGACCCTCAATCAATCGCAATCGTCCCAGGTCCAGTTTTGCCCAGCCGAGCAGGGAATCGATTCCTTTGGTGGAGATGAGCTTAGAAATTAGCTTGTTTTCGTACTGACCCCTGGTCCGGTCTTGTAAGTGGAAGACTTACCAATGTTTTCCAACACCAACGCTTGTCTTGTACTCCACGAAACAGTGAGATTTCTAAGCCTCATGATGGGTCTCGTCGGTGCATGCAACTTTGAATCTGACGCTGAAGCGTGTACGATGGAGAAGGAGAAGAGGCGATAGTACCGGCCAATTGGCTGTTGGGAAACACACAATGTCCTTGCAATAATAGAACCCACTCTGTTAATCAATGAAGACAGTCCCATCAGCATGTCGAATAATACATATGTAATGAAACAAGTGCTACTTCGACTGGAACCTATGACTGATAGAACAAATAACTGTAAACAAGCAAAGAGCTTCACCACATTCAGACCCTTTCAAGACTACAAATTGAAGTCCCCTAAGCACACAACTCAACAACTATTTCTGACCAAAATGCCTTCCTAGTCCGAGCGGCTCGCTTCCATCGGTTGTTTGGTCGCTACTCATAATGCGGAATATAATGCCATATGGAAAGGTACATTCTCCGGTAGAGGACAGGAGCAGCGCAACGGCGGTTTCTCTACCTCGTCTGGTACGTCAACGAGGACAGCTCAAAGGATTTGGCCAGAGATCACGACCTCAAGGCTTACAGGTAGAGCCTCTTCGAGGATGACCTTGCTCCTGTCCCTAGTCCTGCCCCGAGGGACATGGGAACTGAAACTGCCACCGAAGATTCCGAACAGAGAGCGTGAATTGCACAAGTTTGCTGGTCTTGCGCGATTATCAACTGTCTGGATAAGGGGAAGACAAGTCAAGACCATGTCATATACAACACGCCAAAGATAAATGATGTGAGCAAATTATATGAATAGTTTCACTGCTGAACTGTAAGCTACCTGTAGCTAATCTATTGAATGGAAATACAACAACAATTGTCTGTGTTAAATTACTCGTCGTGATCACCCACATACACCAACACTCGACCTATGCAAGAACGCTACCACCCCCTGATGTTCCTCTGGTATTTTTCTGCGAACCTCATTGGCATTTCTGGGCGTAGGTCTTGTAGCATTCGACTAAAAGACGCATCGTTATTGGCGTTAATGATATTGCGGCGAAGTAAGAAGTCAAGCATCACGAGCCCGCAATTTGGCTTCCATTTGTTGGCCAATAGGCTTTTCTTTACCTCTGACACATTCATACATTCAAGCTTCTCGATCCCCTCCTCGATTCCTTGTGGATGGAACTTTTTAGGTTCTTTAATTTCGAGGTCGTATATGATTCTGAGGCCTGGTTCCAGATGATCTTTGTTAAGATTACCTGCCTTCCAATCTTTCTTGTCGAAAAAGGTGATATTCGAAACTCTTTGCACCTTGCCAAGATCTATCTTTGGCGCCGTCGGCGTGCCAGGCGTAGACACTGTTTTCGTATCCCAGTCGATTGAGAGGCCAGTTTCTTCTCTGGCCTCACGGATCAGGGTCTTGCTGGGAGCCAGATACCCCTCGATTTCGTCGTCAATATCCACGCCACCGGCGACAATCTGGTCTAGCATTCCCGGATATGCCACATCGCGACCTCTGGCCCGCTGAGAAACCCAGATGGAGAATGCGCCAGTATTATAATCTCGGCTAAAGACGTTGAGATGCACCCCAACCGTCAAAATTCCCAAGAAGCCCTTCAAAAAGGACGGAATGCGTATTCTCCCTGGAATTTCATCATCACAGAGATGTATTAACGAGTATTCTCGCTCTTCAAATGGTGTGTTCAGCCACTTGGCGAAAGAGGGAAATTTGGCTGAATTATCCGCAATGAGTTCTTCGAATGCTGCTTCGCAGCACTTTGGAATATCTTCAACACAAGGAAGCTGAACATCATCATTCCTTGTGGGTTCGGTACGAAGAGTTATTTTCCCAATGATGTTGTCTCCATCTTCAGCATCAGAATCCTCATGGAAGGAGAACCTGGGGTCCCATAATAGTTCATCCGCGAAATATTTTGGAACGATACCCACAAGCTGCTCGACACCATGGATGTAGAAGTTATAGGCTTCTGGGGGAGCAGGCCTGTACTTATTGGCATAGCCGATACAAGGGTACAACGTTGACATGGCAGCTGCTGGATTATGGCATTGGGTCTGGTAAATGTGTTCAGGATGAAGAGATGGTCTCAGCCGTGGTGAAGCTGTCGCCGGAAACGATGGATGTGCTAACTTTGCTGAAGCCATGATGAAAGACGTCTGAGAAGGAGCTCAAACAAGTGATGTATATGGATGGATGGATAGATGGTAGTAACCTGAAGAAGGGAAGAACCTAGTGGCGCAAACAGTTATTCGCTGAGGTCATGAGAGGAAGGACCGTTGCGTTGAATTTAAAAACGTCGCGGGCTGCCTGCAGTTTGTGAAAAAAAATTTCCGGTTGCGCTTGCATGGATGAAGATGAACACCCATGGAAGGATGACACCTGCAATTGGGTCTCTGGTCCGTGAACCGCAGCCTCGGGTGGCCGCTGCCTTCTTTTTTTAAATTTCGGCCAACTGATGAATCGGTCCTTCGGCGATGCAGAATGGGCAACAGCGACTGTTCGTTTGGGTAGGTGCGGATGGGGGATGCATCCATCTTATTTGGTTCTGGCTCTGGTTCTGGTTCTGGCTCTCATTCTCATTCTTGGATTTGACAAGAGTTGACTTGACTGAAATGCCTAAAATGGAATGCACTAGCTCTCAGGTAACGCTTCCCCCTTGCGACCTGAACCAAATACTTCCTAGCCGAGTCATGAGGACGACGGTACGATATGATGACACTTGGTGCAACAGGCGGCTTGTGTTGGAAATTGGAGCGAGTCTGTGAATGGTTTGTGGTTGAGTGAGATTGTGACTGTTTGTGATTCAGTCAATTAGTCAGTGACGGTGGCTGCTACACGCGCGTGCGTTGCGTGTCTCTTTGCGCTGCCCAGATTAGAAGAGTGAACTTCTTTTCATTCGAGTGTTTCAAACTGTGTTTGGGACGCACATGAACCTGCATTTCCTGCACCAGAAATAGCTGAGCTTGCGTGAGTTGAAATGAAATGGAGGTGAAAAGAAGTTGGTTGTCGCTGTGCTGTGCTGTACTGTATGGATGGTTGGATGGTGCTCGGGTAAATTGGAGCTGAGGTATGGAGATGTCTAGGTGGTCCCTCGCCCATCCCATCCCATTCTGTACCTTGCCTTGCCCTATCTTGCTTTCCATAGGTGCTTTAATTAGTGGGAAACGGGAGCGGAACAGTAGCCGGACATCCGCCCGCTCGCCCGCTCGCCCGCAGAATGGGGCGCTTTTTCTCTACATATCTTCCCGTCCTGTTGGCGTCTACTATTATATCCGATATTCATGTTGAGGAGGATTATCTATCAACACATTTGGATGTCATAGCAATTCTTTTCTGTTTTCTTCGGGTATATATGTTCAATTTCTTGTAATCAACGATTGCTAGATATGTTCTCTTATAGAAACCCTTATCATATATATCCCCAGGTCTCGGTACCATTGACCAGGCCTGCGGTTCTCTCATTCCAGTAGAGTGGTCCTCACCGGGGTTTCGTGTCTATGTGACACAGCATGTGGAATGGAGCAGAGTAATTTGAAATGAAATCAAATGAAATGAAGCAAAGCATTGATGAATGCTGTCCTGATGCGCCTTTGACCCTATGTCGGTTGCCCGTGTCGTACCTATGTCGTTTCCCAAATACACTGACTTTTTTTTTTGTTGAATTTCGTCTCGTCGTTTCAAAATCCCATCTCAAGATCTTACAAAAGTAAACGCCCTCGGTGTTGGTATCGTAACAGCCACATATCCGTAGTTTCTGGGGAGCTCCTAGAGAGCTGCAGTGTGACGGACTACTCCAGGTCCTGGATAGGCCGTTGCCTTTGCGATTGAGTGATCGTAGAGTCTTGTACCAGCCGATGCGGCGGCTGCAGCTGCAGCGGTCGTGTTCTCGAGAGCATGCTGTGCGAGTACCGGTGTAGACAGTGTCGCTGTCGCAGCACAGAGGTTACATAGCTCCATCTGAGGCTCAGGGGTAAGACAGTAGAAAGGGCTCGAGCATTTACGAGCACAGCGGGTGAAGTCGATGACCGTCTCGCCTAGGCTATGGCGGCAATCCTTGCACATCCGCTGAGCGATTACGGTATGGCACATGTTGACAGAGTTTGTGGTTGTACGGCGAGTACGTATGTGTGTAGGAAGATGACAGTGTGTAAGAAAGTTTAAGACGGGACGGGACAGGGCAGGACAATATAGTATGGGAGGGATGGATATATGTAAGGGCGTCGATATGCGGGATTGCAGGCGAGATGCAGCAAGGAGGTAGGTAGTATGTGTAGTAGAGAAGCTTGGAACCCAGAAAAGGAGAAAGTCGAAACGTCGAGGCGCCTGGTTATTTACTTTTGTAACACAGGTAGGTGTATTGAGGCCTCGCTGTGTATTGACAACGTAAGCGGGCTGGGGCGCAGCCGTGAATGTTGTTTATGTTGTTGAAAGAGGCTTGGACGTATCTCAGGCATAGGTAGATAAGATATGTGTGTTGAAGATGGGTATGATTGATTTATCCAACCAAACAAGATGGACGAGACAAGCTTCTTAGTCTTTTGGGGGTTCCCGATCCCTTTTAACCTTGAGGCGAATCTTCCGGCAGATTATAAGTCTTGGGCTTTTAAAGGACCACGAGTGACAGTTGCATGACGCACGGAGGAAAGCAAGGGAAGTGAGGTGGCAGTGGTAGAAGATAGTAGATTGAAATAATAGAGTTAGGTTTTTTATTCAAACAGGTAGAGAGGGATACCTAGTCTAGCATCCATAATGGACTGCATGTATGTACACTGTACAGGAGCTATGGATCTTGGTCTAAGGAGGGTGAGGGGACACAGTCTGAGTGAGTGAGCATAGTATGTGTGTGACCACAGTACGCCATCAGATGACCAGTTTATCTCTCCAAAGGGAATATTCGGAAGAGAATTGGGGGAGGTACAGGGAAAAGACCGTTAGAGAATAACAATGAATGGGTGTGTGATTGATAATAGAGACTACGCCAGCTCAGCAAAGCATTAGTATGTGGTAGTCTATAGCAATGGAGAGCAATAGAAAGCAACATAGACAAGCACAAGTCTGGCCTCAAAACACTGTGCTAAGAGAAATAGTCCCCTCCCCAGTCAGCCGAATTGCAACGAAAAAAAAGGTTCCATCAGAGCCGAGACTTTTTGCTTCTCTGAAAACGTGTGTCGTCTTCTGCCCAATTATTCACTAGAAACGATGCATCCGTGACCTGAAAAAAGAGCTTCCCCGCATTGAACCGTCTGCGAACACCCAGAGAAACAACAGAATCTCTGGGGCCTTGACTAATGAATTGCCAGAGGGCAACCTTGGCTCGGAAACTACTGCAAGGATATCCATCACGATGAGGCACTTTTACGAGGTTGGGAAGGATAGCAACGGCTATTGTCCGTTCTACCTATTCCTTCTCCTTCTTTACCTGATAAGAAGGAAAAATTAATTGTACAGATGAATTAAGATGGAGCACAAGACCTATAGTGACTGGATGGCTTCTCTCTCTTCCCCTCTTTTTAATCCATTCCTGGGGTTTCTTGTCGCGGGGCTGACATGGGTAATTCAACTTGGCTCGCACCCCAAAGCTTGGCATCCGTGGTTTTTCTTTCTTTGATGGGAATTCCATTTTTGCCTCTTGCGCGCATAACTCCCTCCAGATACCGAGTACTACTCTACTCTGCATTGTCTTTCCTTTGTCACATGGAAATTCCTCATTCCTCTTATCAAGAATGACCTGACAATGAACAGAAATCGCATCACCTTTTTTCACGTCATGGCTCATCATGATGGACTTGTGTGATAGCTTAAAAGATAATGAATGCACTACAGTAAGCACACGCGTTTAAGCAGTTATCCGTCATGGTCATGGTCATGGTCATGGCTATGTAATGTGAAAGTAAAAGGCGTCCTCTGGTTTGCTGCGGGATGTTTGCCCCTTGCTGCCTGTCAAACACACGGGATGATGTAGAGTCGACGTGAGACAGGGGAAAGGTCCTTTTCGACCTGCATCCATGCACCTTGTCGTGTCTTGTCTGGTCTATACATGAATATTCTAGACATTCGACCAAATAACATCAACACTACAGTACTCATGCTTACCCTTGAAGCTCTCACTGCAACGTAGATCACCGGTCCAATATCTCCGTCTATCATGAATGCGCATCTCGATCAGGTTTCACAGAAGAGCATGGTCCTCAGCTGATGTATTTCCAATCTAACAGCATTGTCATTTACCTGACGTCGATTCTATCAATGTCCTGAGAACCTTCGACTTCCGTCATCAGGTATTGTAAAGCATCAACCTCAAAGCAAGACTTGCTGGTTCAAATCAGATATGGGTTAGACTGGTCCCCTCCGATACTGCACGCTGCTGTGATTTGGTCCTGCATGGCATGGGCCCAAGGCAATAGAATGTCATTTGGGTCAAGGTGCCGTAATGTTTGTTGCACCTCCTTCGTCATCCTTCTAGAGTTCCAGACCAGCCCTTTGCATTGACTTCCTCTGGGATGGTCCCCAACGAGGTCGCAGTGCGAATTACCATGCTGAATTCGGACAGATGAGGAGGCTGACGGACCTCCACTGCGGACATGGGCACGGAAGATTTCGAATAAAAAAGCTCGTGGCTGCTTCGCTGGCTCCATACGCTTCGGGGCGTGAAAATCCACGATAACCTCTTTTTGATCAAGACGTGGATAATTCATGAGTTGGGCTGGGTTGGGCTTGGCGGGCCCGGCCTGGACTCTTCATCGGTTGCTGCACCATGGTGTAGTTGCGGTTAGGTGTGGCATGAACTCTTTTTTGTTGTTGTTGTGTCTCTGTGATTACTCGTCAGCGTTGAACCTTCTGTCTCTAGGAATAAACCACGGCAGAGCCATTCCGAAAGCATTAAGTTTGAACCCGCCCTGGATGTTGTCACAGTCCCGCCGTTGATGAGGCGCATCGCACACTTTGGGCTAGTTAGCCACGTCGATCATCGGAACCTTGTGGTAGCTTCAGCCACTTCTGACGAAAAGGTTCATTCGAAATCAAGGCATTAAACGATTCAGTTTGATTCAATGTTATTGGCTGTTATTTAGATCGTAATCATTAAGAAAAGAAGGTTCTCGTCTAGTGTGATAAGCGATGGTTGATAGTGGTCATATCCTATCGCCTATCTCTGGTATCAAAGAACATGACTGCTAAGAGTAGAGGAACGGGATTAGTGAGTCAGTCTATACCAGTTAAGACTTATTACTCATTCCGCTATCCCTCACTCACATCTGCAGATTAGATAGGTATTTACTCAAAAACCCCGAAGCGTCTGATGTGCCTTATCGGTTGTTGACTTGGTGAGTGCTGCAAATATGCTTAACATCGATTGAAGCACAGGGACTTGACCAGCTTTCGTTTCAAACGTGGAATACAGGTCTGTGTTCATTTACTCGAGAATTTCGATTATGTCGGTATGTGATATCATTGTGCCATTTGCGGGAACCAGGTTCGAATAAACTCACAGATAACTGATAATTGGCAATGTCAGCAAGCAGTGTACTCCCGGGTAAGCAGCAATGGAAGTATGTCCAGTGGTTCAAACACAAAGGTCGAATCGGTGTCAGTGCTCGGCATATAAGTAATAATCTCGTCGCCTTTGTGTTCGATCAAACCAGCACTTGGGCTAGTTCACTTTGATGTTCCTAACTTGAGAGGTCAATTCTTCCATCACTTACTTGACTCGTAACGTTGGTTTTTAAGGTATTCTCAAATTAAGACTCAAATGCACCTAGTCTCACTTGAACCACCAATTGAACTTCAAAGACTAACGTGAGCTTGACGAAGTAGAAGTAATAAGAATTTATCTGTGAGAGGAAATTGATATAAATACTTACTGCAACTTTATGATGGAAATCGTTGGTGTTATTCCAATGCTTTGCTGATGTTGAAATGCCATAGTGGAGAGATTAATGGTAAACATATGCTATCTAATTGGTCAATGATGATAGGTGCCTTACGTAAACACCCGCGGACTGGCGACGACCTCAACTGGTTGATTTGGGTGCGTCTTCTTCTCACGAGACCCTCACGACCGATCGCTCAATTGAACGCTGCCCAATTCGCCCAACATGTTCGTCGCACGACAGAGGGCAGCCTTCGTGGCTCGACAGCTGCAGCGAACAGCACGAACCTACGCCTCCGACGCCCACGCACACCACAAGGCCCCCGAAGTCAACGAGTCCTTCAGCGTACGTCGAGTCAAAAACCCACTACATCATCGATATCGCGTCGCCCAACAGGGCTGATGGACAAGGCCAAATTACAAGACAGGACTAACTATGGCTTCTAGACTGGATCTCTCCTCGCCGTCGGCGGTTTCTTCGGCTCCGTCCTCCTCTACCAGTTCGTTCCTGCCGAGGGCGAGCAATCTTCAATCCTCAACTTCATCGACAAGTACACTTCGCGCAGCAAGGACTGGGAGGACATCAACGCTCTTCACACCAAGGCCATGGAGCAGGCTGGATATGACCGCAACCTTTTCGAGAACGGCGGCAACAAGCACCGATTTGTCGATGTTGCTTACCCCGAGTTCGTTCTCCCACCTGCCGATATCTTATCGATATCGACATGAAGGCTCATCCAAGATCAATCGCTGACCAGAAAAACAGGGCAATGACCTCGTATGCTCCCCGAAACAACATTGCTGGTCACCTTGCCAACATGGACTACGTTGTCGAGCACTACCGACAACAGCACATTAAGGAGGAGGAGCGAAAAGCGGCCAAGTTGGCTCAGAAGCAGGAATAAGGGCTGTACACTAGACGTGAATCGATACATGAATTCATTTTTTCGTTGAGTTATCAAGTGCACTCATCCACAGAGCTCAACCAGCAGGCCATACTGTCGAAGTGGCCACCTGCATGTCAATGTGGCAACAGAATTAACCGCTGAAAGCATAAGAGACGAAATCAACCAATTGCCGTGTGCTGGCTTGAACCGCCACTTAGGTTAGGTACTTTGTTTTGGCCGTCTAAGAGGTAGGTAGAGGATATTCGTTCTGTTACCCACCTGCTGCTATCTTTGATATGCATCGCTCCTTCTTGTTTTGCGGATACTGTTTCACGGTAGAAGAAAGTACGATGAAGCTTCCTGGCTGTTTACGCTGTTCTGTTAATAGAGAAGGAGCGTTGAACGTGCTCTGATTCAGTCCGGGGAAATTGCGCAATGGTATATCTCGGTCCCCCCCTCAGATGTCATGGTTTCTCTCCTTCACAAAGATTCCCAATATCGTCGAACATTATCATCCATCTTGGATTCGAACAGTCGTTTGAAGCTATCATTCTTTCACGACATTCACTATCATCTACATTACTTTTGCATCTGCCGATATTCCATCCTCCTTCTTACATTGGCAAGATGGCAAAGGATCGCGAAAGTACGTCTCATATGAGGCCACAAGACATCTATTAGATCCATGAACAATCCATACGAGCCGCTTATCTTGACAGGTTCTAGCCAAATGTCCGGAGGGTCTGGTCAACATCTCCTGTCAGCTCAGCAAGGAGAACCTTCAGCAGCACAGGATGTCTCAACTCCACAAGAGACCCCAACAGCCCAGGACGCATTATCATCACAGGAAACCCCGACGCTACAGGAAAGCTCAGGTACGTTTCCAAAAACACATACATTCATTCAACCTTCATGAATCAACTCTTCTTCATACCTGGAGAGCTGGACTCCCAGGTGGGCATCAGAAGAATTGTCCTCTAAGGCTTAGGTTGCTAAAATAAAATAGCCTAAGTGCTACTTTATCTTAGTAGTCTAGGCCTTGTAGGAGATTTCTTCTGTTACCTACCTGAGCGTTCCTCAGGACCGTTTCCAGCATTGTCACTGTACCCCTTAGTTCGATCAAGCTAACATCATGTGTTCAAAGGACACGGAGTAGGGATTTCCAATAGCGTGGTCGAGGTTCGAGAAACGGGTACTGAACGCGGCCGTGGCCTCTTTGCAAGACGGGATCTCTTTGCGCACCGTAGGATCATCAATGACGAAGAACCGATCATGAGCGGGAATCCTTACACAGTAGTCCACGCGTAGAACTCTCTGAGCCCCACTGGGCGCAATCGTCTTGTAAACACTTTCCCGATTCTGCACGATATACCGACCGACAGGGCGTTACGGACTCGCTGGCCAAACAACGATAAGAAACGGGTAAAACTCCTCGACCGGTTTCTAGCTGAATACGGCTTCGGAGACTACCCAGGCAGAAGATCTCATTTCTATGCACTGGCGGGTCATATGAACCATGCATGTACAAATTGCGCCAACGCTCGTTTTTTCGTTCCCGATGAGCCCTTTCGCATCACCGTCTGGTCTAAGAAACCTATCAGACGAGACGAGGAGATACTCATCGACTATGGCAAGAAAAAATTGACACATGGCTGTGCAAGGTGTGGCAACCGAGACCGTGAACAGCAGACGGAGAGTGCCACGAGCACCGAGAGAATGTCATGGCCAAAGAGATTACTCAAAACCTCTGGCCACAAACTCAACCCGCGCAATTGGCTAGGTACGCAAAGACGAACAAGAACCGTGACATCATAGAGATCTATATCTATGAAAAGTGGTTAAAAGTGACCGAGACAAGAACAGCGGAATCGATTTCATGGCAGGTCAGCCATTAGGTGCAAGAGATCCCGCTCTTAATTCTCTTGAGGGCAAGAAATAGATAGCAGGGCGTCAATGGTGCAGAAAGCGTCACTAAATGTTTTTCAAGAATGAGCGATAGTTTGAGGGTAGTCATCAAGCGGACAATGCTCCTTTATTGTACTATCATCGTACCCATTGTCATCAATAATTTTGATAGATGTTTTCTCTACCAGAACCAGTCCTTTTCGCCCAAATGTCCGAGAATGCAGAAACCACCCAAACCGCAACCTTCTTACTTGAGGGGAATGAAACGAGAAGAGTGAGTGGCACCGATACCGGGTCGACCGTGCTTGACGGGTTGGCTGCAAAAGGGTCAGTATCAATAAATCATTGTGAGTTTCGAATCCACGTACTATGAGATAGAGAACTCAGCCAAGTAGTGACCAACCATCTCAGGCTTGATCTCGACCTGGTTGAACTGCTTGCCGGAGTAGATGCCAATGACGCTACCGATCATCTCGGGAACGACGATCATGTCTCGGAGGTGAGTCTTGACAACATCGGGCTTCTCGTTGGCCTCAGCCTCCTGCTTGGCCTTGCGAAGCTTCTTGATAAGACCCATGGGGCGGCGCTTCAGGCCACGGTTGATGCGTCTTCTCTGGCGGGCAGGGAACACAGTGGCCAAATCTTCGCTGGACATGTCCAAAAGCCTGTGAAGTGAAGGTATCATCAGTATGGGCTTGCTCGGACGGGTTCCATCGTTCGGGTGGCGGCAACATACTGGTCAAGGTCGATTCCACGGTAAGAGAACTTTCGGAACGCTCTCTTTCTCTTGAGCTCAGCAGCCTGCTCGGCATCCTATCCAGGTATATACGTTAGTCAAGCTGTTCCTTCATCGTTTCATAATCGATTCGTGCGCGGGTGGCGGATGGTCGTCGAGGGAAAGCCGGCGGCAGGCATTCTTTTCTGCTCAGGGGGAATAGAGAATATCTCGAGGATTCACACGTACGTATTCGTCAGCCATGATCGCGGTGTTGGGTTGATTGAATTCGCTGGTCGGGAAAGCGAATATGGATGGGCCGGGATGGAGTCAACTTTGAAGTCGGTGGTTGAATCGCTTAGGTGGGCACGATTCGAATTCTGGGTAGGGTTTTCTTGCCCTTCACCCCTCGTCACGTGACAGTAGTTTTGTGAGCTTTTGGATTGTGGCATTTAAAGGCGGCTAAAGAGAACGGAAGAGAGTACGCCGTGGCTCCGGTATTTTGTGGAGAGCTTGGATATGGTTGTTAGTTGAAGGTGGTTGTCTTGTGTTTCAATTGGTTCAAAAGTCTATTCTTTGATAATACTGTAGTAGAGTTGTATCTCGTGATAGTTGCTTGAATAGTTCAACCTAGGTATGCTAACTCGTCTCTCTATCCGCGGTCCCATGTTGTTACTTCTTTCTGTGTTTCCGCTGGAGTCTGTATTGGCAATCTGAAGAAGAGTGCACGACTTTGACAGACTTCCATATCGCCAACATTCATTTACAAAACCATGATTACGTTGTGGTGACCTCAGATCAGATTTCTGACTTGAGGTCAGGAGAGCATGTCTTGACAATCAGGGAGGTAACAGGACACTTACCCTGATAGGCCCAGGCTACCAGAGTAAAGTAGTCTAACTTCAAATCTAAACTAGGTAGCATAAGGTAACAATCATTTGGTCCCTTAACCCTGGCGACAGTATACTTGGTGGTGTTAGAAACGAGACCCTGATCGACCCCCCAACCTTCCCACACACAAGTGGCCATAGTTAACTATTAACTCGGTATGACTGCGTGTATGCTTTCAGACCTGAACCTTCATTAGCAACATGTTCATATGTGTGGTTATTCAATTGTGTTGGTTTGAACTGTACGGTTTGATGACTGACCTTCAAACCCTTAAATAGAACCTTCCCACACGGTAGTATCAAATGATTGATTACTTGTCATAGACTTTCAAAACATAGGAGACACGAATGAAATGCAATAAACTTGTTGCATGTCAATTCAAGTAAAAATCACCAATTGCCGAGAAACATTGATCAAGATTTCAATGCCGGATCTTCAAGTGTCTAGCCATAAAAGTGCTTGCTGGTGTGTGCTACTGTAACCTTATCGGTAGAGCGCCCGTCAATGAGCATGACCTCACATCAACCGACCGGGAGCACTTCTGACTATCTCTTCCCTTTTGCATCTCTTCCAAGCATCAAAGTCAAACGCTAATTGGGATAAAGAAGCGAGCAACCTGACCAAGACTGTCGACTTGCCTCACATGCTTCCATATCGCAAATTGTTGATATCGTACATTATCACATATTTGTCTGCTTCGTCCTACATTGGCGGTGCTACGCCAAGAGTATCATGTTGACTACTTTGCTGGGCATTGAGCTTTGACTTCGTTTTGAAGGAATTGAATCAGTCATTCGACTCTCTTGGCCCCAAGATGTGGAAAAAAAGTGAGTTGCGCGTGGGAATAAGACGGAGCGAGAAAAGATCCTGACTGATGATTCGTGGCCAAGACGGAATCTGCTCCCTTTTTATTCTATAGAATTGGATCGGTACTTTCTGTCGTGACTTCGCATGCAGGATTCCAAGACCCCCAAGACTTCCAAGCCGGCGTATTCGGCACAATACAAGGCGGCCTTCATTTCCCGCGTCAGAGCTTCCCAAGTGCCCAGCAATCCGATACTCATCAGCCAAGACCGTGGCACTGGGGCCAGAAGGCTCGGCTTTGGCTGGACGCGCCCACTACAATGAGCATTGGCCGGCGCCGCTTGCTGGGCATGTTGGGTCTTGGGTCTTTTGGTCTTTCGGCTCATGGGTCCCCCAAATTTCGTATGAGCGTGAAGCCGCATTGACGATGATGGCCTTTTCTCTTGTCCTATGATGGACGCATGGCGATGTCGGTCAGCCCAGACTTATACCTTATTTGAACGACTGTTCTTGGCTATGCTGCTACTATCATTGCCCAGCTGTCGCCAAGGGAGAAGCTACCGACGAGATCAGAAGGATGCGCCAAATGCCCAGACTCTCAGCGGTCAACGTGGACAGTGGTTTGGTGTAATCCTGGCCTTGGCATTTCTCGGCATCCACCCGTGATAAGATTTCGCCAAGCCTTCAAAGACCTCAGAAGGGGGAACACCAACGCTACGCTACTGTACCCGTCTTCTCGCTGCTGGCATGGTATGGATGGACCTGTGCTTGCGTTTGCTTGGCTGACTCTCGTCATTTCTTGGGTAGCTTTTCCTTCCTTTTCGTTCATTTGTCACCTTTTCTCGTCTAGGCTCCTGTTATATATCCCCATCGGTCCATTCCCCTTCAAGACACTCGATCGGATGGCCTTCGATATCGTCAGAGAAGCTGTCTTCCATTTTGACCACCACGCCTGCGCTTTTGCATGTAGCTGAGCCATAGTCAAGTCGCCTTCACGAACCTGCTCTGCGTATCAATCATAATAACTTCGACATATCTTTGCTTGTCGCAGCAGTCGCCAATATCACGAAACGGTTGCCGCATGTTCGGATGGAAAAGCCTGAAAGTCATCATTGAATTGCCGAGTTGACGGCAAGCAAAGCACTGGTGGTGCGGCTTGTAGTCGAGTCGGCCCAGTACTGGCGATACTTGCCATCATCCAACCATATTTGTAACAAATCGACGACATGTCTTCGTCAACCGAGGATGATGAGCCCACGGCATCTGGATCACTATCCATGCCATCCGCCGCGCCTTCATCTACAGTATCTCTGTCAAGCCCAACGCCTCCCCCGACAACTCTTGTGATTGAACCAAAGCCAACCGACGACGATGACCTCGCCAGCGACGGAACATTTCCACCAATGACAACTCCCTGGACTGGCCCGCCCGAATGTACATGGACATATGATGCCAATCACGTCCCGAAATCTGGTCTCGGAGGTCTAGAGGCAATGCTTGACCTGCAACCAATCCCTGGTGCAAAATCCCTGTCATGCTATCCGGATGCTATGTTCGACAATGGTCTCACAGGAGTTTACAGTCCGGGCACATGCCCTCATGGGTGGACTACTGTATCTCTACGTGTGGATAGCAGTGAAGACCGAGATCTCGAGACAACCACGGCTATCTGCTGTTCCTCGTAAGTTGCCAGATGCAACTCATCATGACATATTATTCTAACTGTGCCAGGCATTATACTCTGGAAGGCAGCCTGTGTAAGAGATCGATATCTTCCGTGTTAGCTGTCCCTTACACTTTCAACCAAACAGCACAAACCTACGACGCTTATGCTGAATCCGCCACCACCTTGTACAGCGCAACGATTGCGGTTTATACCATCCGGGCTCTTTTCAAGGACAGAGATAAGGATGCCCTTGGACTCAAAGACGAGGACGATATTCCAGGTCTTGAGCGAAAGAATGACTCTCTGTCATTGGGTGCACGAATTGGCATTGGTGTTGGGGTTGCGGTTTTCGTGCTGCTGGCGGTTGGAGCTCTAGCATTTTGGCTTATCCGTCGAGAACGAGCCAAGACGGAAAAAAGAAGACCACATGAGCTCAATACGGTGGGAAACATGCGTCACAGCTCGTCAGGGACCGGAGATAACTTCTATGCTGCCGCCGACGCCAACCATAGAAGAAACAGGAGCCGCGGTACTACGGAGCCTCCGCCTGCTTACGAGGCTACCGACTCAAACAGTATGACAGAGAACGATAGTCGTCTAAGTGAGGATACGGCTACACGGGACGAAGAGATCAGGGCGTTGCAAGTCCAGAAAGAAGCAATTCAGCGCCGTCTTCAAGAGCTGGAGCGGGCTGAGACACAACCCCAGGAACAAAATCGGCAAAACTAAACTCGACACAAGTGCGAATGATCAAGTGCGGGAAAGAGAAGAGAGCGAAAGATCATGAATTGGACGGGAAACGGCCTACTATACCTATGATACCACTTTGCACAGCTGTAGCAGTTGCTACGAGCTTTTGTTTTTTCTTATACAAATAGTTTACAGGAGGGAACATTTGTACAGTTTTTGGAGTACGGCGGCAGTGAAACAAAAGGATACATTCACCACCTCGGGCTTTTGCTTCAAGTTATACAGCAATATTAGAATACCATTGCAACCATGTCATCTTTCAAGGGCCACTGGTCTGAGAAGATTAACATGATAACCAATACTAATCAATGACTGAAAAACACCAGGTACCTATGAGTTGTGCTACTGAAACACCAGGCAACCTTATATATCCAGGCAACAGAATTCAAGACAAGCCAATGAGAGACACCAATTGGACCGGCAGCTTGCCAGCTCGCCCCAGACCGACGCACGGAATCTTTCTTACGGAGATCGTTGATCTTCAGAATTCAAGGCCGGGGGTTAACAATGCTTGATAACCAAGCTTGGCATAGCAAAGAACCGGTTGACTCGTCCAATGCATAAGTGAATGAATATATCAGTTCGTAGGGTACTTTCAGATTGAATTGAAGTTACCTGATCTAGGCAGAAAGATTACTGTGAGAACCTACTAACTAAGGTACAAGTATATATCCGTGGATCGAGTTGGATAGTCACCTCGGGAACTCAATTGTCATAGCGAATTAAGAAACGCCACGGTTTGTAGCTTAAGGGTCAAGCACTAGCTTAGATATCCCCCCAGAGTACGGATAAAGCATCTGTATCTGTAAGGGAACTCCCCCGTATGAATGAAAGGATTACTATGTATGGTAAGTTCATTGTTACTACAGTACCGGCAACTTATCCACAAGTTAGCTGTGCAGCTTGCATTCCAACCTGAGTGAGGTCCTGAGCGAGTAGATCCCACCTGAGAGCCCCTTGCAAGTGCAGTTCTTCCACTGTCGGACAAGGGTCCCCAGGTCTGTTCCCTGTCAATTGGCGGTGAGAGACAGCTTAGGTACTCGCCTCTCAAGCCAAAACTTGCCCATATCGAATGTACCTTCTGATAGCTTTTTTTGCGCGCCGGCGTGTCTGGTTCAGTTTGTTGACGACCCCGCCACCAATTGGATGTCCAGTGGCACGGCACCCACACAGATTGGGAACTCCAAACACCCACCCTGAAAACCATCACCACCTCAGGCCCCTTCTTCCCCTTACCCCTTCAAGCGCTGCGCGCGTAATTATTTACTCTCCCCATCTTTCTCCCCCAAACTTCAAACTCTCGTCTTAGCTTTTTAAGCTTCATTTATACAAGATGAAGGGCGAGGTACGTTTAGAATTCAGCCGCGAATCTTGTGAGACCCCCGCTGCGCTGCATTGTATTTCAATTGCATCTTGCTGCTCTTGTTTTGCTCTGCTCGAGAGGCGTTGGGGTGTTCCACTTGGTGTCCTGAGCTCTCCAAGCTGGGGCGGTTCTTATTCGTGAAGCTGCTATTCAAGCTCGTGATGCTGATTATCTGTTGTCTAGATTCTTCACCTCCACCTGGGCCAGGCTGGTACCCAGCTCGGTAACTCTGCTTGGGAGCTGTATGTCGCCTCCTGCTCTCTGTCCTCTTGCGAACCGAGCTGACCGTTATTCCCAATAGCTACCTTCTCGAGCACGGCCTCGGCCCCGACGGTCGACCTGACCCCAATGCTCCCGATATTGGTGACCCCGGTTCTTTCGAGACCTTCTTCACTGAGACCAGCAGCGGCAAGCATGTTCCTCGATCTCTGTTCGTCGATCTCGACCCCTCTCCCATCGACGAGATCCGAACTGGTGAATACCGCAACCTTTTCCACCCTGAGCTGTTGATCAGTGGTAAGGAGGATGCCGCCAACAACTACGCCCGTGGTCACTACACCATTGGAAAGGAGATGGTCGACAATGTCATTGACCGAATTCGACGTGTTGCCGGTGAGTCTCAACCCCATACATTCGCACTTGTGCGGCAGCTAACATCACCATCCAGACAACTGCCAGTCCCTTCAGGGTTTCCTGATCTTCCACTCTTTCGGTGGTGGTACCGGCTCTGGTTTCGGTGCTCTCCTTCTCGAGCGTCTCTCCACCGAGTACGGCAAGAAGTCCAAGCTTGAGTTCGCTGTCTACCCTGCTCCCCGAACCTCGACTGCCGTCGTTGAGCCTTACAACGCTGTCCTGTCTACTCACAGCACCATTGAGAACTCCGACTGTACTTTCCTCGTCGATAACGAGGCTGTCTACGACATCTGCCGTCGCAACCTCGACATTCCTCGACCTTCATACGAGCACCTGAACCGTCTCATCGCCCAAGTTGTCAGCTCCATTACCTCGTCTCTCCGATTCGATGGTGCCCTCAACGTCGATTTGAACGAGTTCCAGACCAACTTGGTTCCTTACCCTCGAATTCACTACCCTCTCATCAGCTACGCTCCTGTCATTTCTGCCAACAAGAGCGAGCACGAGAGCTTCAAGGTCCAGGAGCTTACCTTCCAGTGTAAGTCATGTTTGCGATCCACTCTTACTGTTAAAGATACTAACCTCGTTCAGGCTTTGAGCCCAACAACCAGATGGTCGTCTGTGATCCCCGAAACGGCAAGTACATGGCTGTCGCTCTTCTGTACCGCGGTGACGTTGTTCCCCGCGACTGCAACGCCGCCATCGCCTCCCTCAAGGCCAAGGCTTCATTCAACCTGGTTGAGTGGTGCCCTACTGGTTTCAAGCTCGGAATCAACTACCAGAAGCCCATGGCCGTCCCTGCCCCTGCTGAGGCCGGTGGTCTTGCTCCCGTCAAGCGATCCGTCTCTATGCTTTCCAACACCACCGCCATCGCTGAGGCTTGGTCGCGTCTTGACTACAAGTTCGACCTTATGCACAGCAAGCGTGCCTTCGTCCACTGGTACGTTGGTGAGGGTATGGAGGAAGGAGAGTTTACCGAGGCCCGAGAGGATCTCGCTGCTCTGGAGAAGGATTACGAGGAGGTTGCTGCCGACTCTTTCGAGCCTGAGGAGGAACTCGAGTACTAGACAACCGCATAACGCGAGTTTGATTAATCTCTTTCGACTTCTTTGATGACATTTTTAGCGATGGCTCTGGTAGGGCTCACGCCCGCGAAGCAATGTACAGAAAAGAGTTGTGGAGGAAGTTGTTTAAGATTCCCGGTTTTTGGGCGGCACACATATGGGGGTAAACGTGTGTTGGCCGCCACGCGCCAAAGTTTGACTCAGGGTACCCCGTTAGTAAATGGTCTTGTATTTTGGAGTCAGGTCCTAATAGACGAGACTATCCCTCGATACAAACTGGGCGAATTTATTTGCAAAGCAGGCACGTAAAATTGATGATATATCCATTCTCATATAAACAAACGCTGTTGTATCTTGAACACTTGTGCATGTCGTAGCTGTGTTAAGACTAGTTCAGCAAGACTTGTAAGCGATGAATGCACGGTTAATATAGCCATATCAAAAAGATAGTCAGTAAGAAAACTCATGTCTTTCATGTAAGATAGTGATTATGTATCAGGTAAATTATGTCTGTACAACTACATGAACTTTTTCCCATCGTAAATCAGACAAGTACTCCTATCTCTCTTGTAAGCCGCCAGGCCAGGGCAGCCAATGCAAAAAAATCACTCGTAACTTTTTCCCGGGCGCGGGGCCTTGCGTTTTAACAACCAACCCTGCTTCTCATCTATCTCACTAAAAAAAATAGCCCACACGTCTCACTCATCTATCAGCCTCAACAGCTTATGCAACGTTCGTCATAATTAATCAACTTCTTTTCTTCCACTCAGCCGCCCTCTTGGAGCCATGGTTTTGAGGCCTGCCCGATCTGCCCTTACCCTTACCCTTCTTACCGAGTTTGAGATCCTTGGGTGTACCGTCCTTTGCTGAAGCACGGCGACCCTCGAAAACGAAATGCTCCGGGCCCTTGATTCCTGTAGCCGGGGGTTCAGCTTCCTGGGCACCACCATGTGTTGAAGGACGCTTCTTGTGGCGTTGTTGTACGGCGGCCGAGCGGCCGAGAAGCTTGCCTGTACGGCCAGCCATGGACTGCTCCTCAGGCGTGGCCTTGTGCTTGTATTTTGTGCTCTTGGTGGCACCATTTTGTGCCATGTGCTTGCCCTTGGCTCGCTCTTGGGCAAGAGCTGTCTTGCGAGGATCCTTGGCTCGAGTCACTCGCAACTTGCGCGGCAACATGGGAGGAAACTTCTTTTCATTGAGAAGCAGAGCAGCCTCAACATCGTTGGCGTCCTGTTGGTTGAAATTAGCAGTTGAACTCTTATGGGCAAGTGGCGAGACCGTCGACTTACATAAAACTGGACATAGGCAAAACCCTTGCCTACACGAGTTTTGGGATCTCGAACAACTCGGACATTCTCAACCTTGCCCTGGGTGCTGAAAGTTCGCCAAAGGCCCTCCTCAATATCAGAGGGGATCTTGTTCTTCTTCTTCTCCGTAGTTTCTCCCTCAGCGTTGGTGTTCAGAACAGTCTCATCATCGACGAAGCCCAGGTTACCGACAAACACACATCGGCGATGATCAGTAGGACTGGGATGAGCAACACTGTCTACTCGAAGGTGGCGTTCGAGGACCTGGGTACCGTTGAGCTTGGCAGCAGCCGTACGGGCAGCCGCAGGTGTTGAGTACACGACGTATGCGTTGGCCGACTTGGTTGTGGAATCCATCAGGCTCTTTGTGATGTAAGCTGCGCGCTTGGGCAGAGAGCCACCCGCAAACGCAACGGAACGGAAACGCAGTGACTCAATGGTTTGCGGGGGAGTGGCATCCTTCTCCAAGACGGATGATAGATGAGCCATCAGTGTCTTCTTGGCGGACTTTGAGTTGATTGCCTCTGTGGACACATTGGCAAGGAACACTGTTCGGGCTGCCTTCTCCAGGTCCGATTCTTTACTGTCCTTGGCAAGAGTCTCATGGACGGGAATGTCGCTCTCGTTGCCATCTTCGCCATCTTCGGCAGGCTTTTCAATCTTCTTGTTCAAAGCGTCGTTCTTCTGTCGCTTGCCGGCGCGTTCGGCCTCTTCTTCTGCAGCAAGTTTGTTAAGATATTTGCCCTCCAGATCGTCGTTGTCGTTCTTGCGTTTTCGTTTTCGTTCCTTGTTTGACCTGTCCTCTGTCGCATCAATAATGTCGTCGAGCTCGACAGGCGCATCCTTCATGGTCTCGTCTTTGCTCTCGATATCTTCTTCATCGTCCTGTTCCTGTTCCTCTTCATCTTCGCCCTCTTCTTCCTCATCCTCGTCCTCCTCATCAGAAGGGCCATCCTCTTCGAAGCTCAGTTCCTCGCTGATCTCGGAAAGAACCTCGTCGTCGTTTTCTTCGGCATCCTCCAGCTGGACCTTAGGCTTGGCAGGTTCCCGAGCCTTTTGTTCCAGCAAGGTCGAATATCTTGACTTAGCAGGAGCCTGCACAGGGCCAGCCTTGAACTGGTCAGCGCGAATTGACAGAAACGGTCGTTTGTCGCAAACTTACACTGGACGCAAAAAGAGCATCGAGAGTGGGGTCCACCGCCTTGGAAGAGGCTGTCAAGCCTTTTGAACTGTTTGGGGTCAATTTTCTTTGATTCTCATACAATATCCAAGATCGCGAATGTGCTCACCCTTTGGCCATTTTGTTGAATTTTGTGTTTGGATACAATCGGCAAAGCTGTCAACTCTGGTGCAATCTCTGGCTCTGCGACAAGAAAAAGACATGGGCAGTCAGAAAAAAGTCCAGAGTTCAGTCGAGCGGCTCCACCTTAGATTTCCAAGGCTATCGTCATTGGTCCAGAAGCTGTGAACCAATAGATAAGGTCTCATGGCACTAGTGGTGGGCCCGAGGCAGTACCATGAGCGTTTCTGCCGTTAATGTCCGCCTTTTTGCAGGCGGGCCCGTCATTCTCAGCAACCCGCCCCAGCGAGCAGAAGCAGAAGCAGAAGCAGAAGCCAGGGCAGCCAGCGCAAACCGGCACCGCACCCATTCCTCTCTTCCTCCGTATCCCCTCCACCTACCAGCACAACCTGTCGATACGAGAAATCTTTAGCTTTTCCAGGTTACCTCTATCTTTTGTTTCTTCCATGCTACGGAAAGATCGAGTCAATCGGTTCTTTTCTCGCTCGCTTTCACCCCTTCAACTCCATTCTCCAAGACACTTGGTCTCCAATTGTCCGTTGACCGTTCCTCGTCACTCGTCACCACGGGCGCGTTCACACAACCTAACGACCGTCCAAAGCTACCGTCTCCGCTCAACAACACATACAACTACGACATTTTCATTCGGTCGACCCATAAACACATAATCACGTTCCTTTGCAGCGATGGCTGCCTCTGCTTCGGCCCCTCCGCATCTCTCCTCCCCGGCGCTTGGAGTTGCCGATCATGAAGATAGCAACGTTTCCAGCCCTCTCAGTGAGGTTGATACGAAAGATGATAATGACGACGAGATCGAACATATGCATCTAGATCACGACGACGAAGACAGCGTTCGGCGTAGTCCTAGAAAGAAACCCCACGCCGCCTCTGACTCTGACAGCGTCCTCTCTGACGCCCACTCTGATCTTCCATCCGATGGCAACGTCACAGAAGCCGAGACAGAAAGGCTCTACGACACACCTCGACATCAGAGACAGAGAGACGTTGTGGTAGACCAATTTAATGAGGGTCAAGTCTATGAGCATACTCCCAGCAAGCTACGAAGAACTGCCAACCTACACGATCTTGACGATGACGAATCTGCCATTGATGATGACGACGCTTCAACAGGCTCGCCTACAGTCGGTGGAGACTCTCCGACAAAGCGCGCGACCATGAACGACGAAGACTTCGAGGATGGAAACAAAAGTGACACCCAAGAGCGCAAGCGCAAGCGCTCACCCGCCGCCGAGCAATCCGAAACAGAACAGCCGCTTAGAAAACGAACTAGTTCAGTACATGCGACTGATGCGGGCGCACTCCACCAGCTCGAAGAGACCGTGCTTCATGAGGGTGAGGCCACTCCCGCGAACGGGAGTAGCGGTACCCATACACCTGTTGAAGACATCGATGTATCCCCGCGGAAAAAGCCCACAAGTCGCGAATCTGATCTGACGGAACGCATATCACGTGTAGCTAAGAAAAACACGCGTGGATCTAAACGAAAAGCAGCCGCTGCTGCTGATCTAGATCACGACACTGACAGCGGCAGCCATGATGGTGCGCGTGATAGCGCAAGAGGGACGGACGTGGATAATCACGGTGATGAAGTCGACCCAGACGCTGACGAGGAGGTGGACTCGGCGACTGCGCACGATGAAGAATGTAAGAAGAACTTTACCCATGCTGTGGATCATAATGCTCACCAGGTAACAGTGGAACGCAAACACGCCGCGTTCAAGGATTGGACAGTCATAGAAGAAATGTTCGGGGTCTTTCGTGATAGGTATGTGGAATTTCCAAGAAACACATTCATGCTAACATTTTCCCAAGACTCTATAAAGACCGACTCCAAAGGCTTGAAGAAGAAGAGCAATCTCTCCTCGCTGATGTACCGACACACCCCGAATATCTCAACATGAAGCAGTGTTTGGATGATCGATTAGAGCAAAAGCTACGTGAAATTCACAATGAGCACGAGTACCGTATCAAAGCTCATGAAAGACGATCCGTTGCTCAGCGTGCCCAAATTTGGGGTCAATATTACCAAGCTGTCAGGGAAAAGAGGGAAGGCACCTTGGAATCACTCAATCAAGAATGGTACGATATTCAGACTGCAAGACGGAGTGCACATAGTTTGCAAGATTGCGGTCTACTCTATCCAAAGGATCCGGCACAACGAGTTCGAAACGCGATTGCCTACAACACCGAGGTCTCGGCGCTGGCTACAATTGCCAAATACGAAGGATTCCCCGCTGGCCCTGAAATGACAGGAGCGACATCGTCAGAACTCGAGGACGATCTAGCTGCTATCGAGGTAAGTCGAAAAATGCTAAGCAAGTTCTAATGGCCCGCTGAGCTGACCATCACAAGCGAGCAAAACGATCACGACACAAGCCAACAAGCCAGAGGCGTGAGGAATATTACACTCCGCCTTTTGACCGCCTCGGCCCGGCAGGGGAGCAATTTCTTCGAGAAACCCCTTGGGCAAATCCGAACCATCTACTTCACAAGATGTACCCCACGACAGCTCCAGCAGAGGCACGACCTGACGATGCGGCTAGTCGTAGTGCGCAACAGATGCCTGGACCTCCTCCTGTTGATATCAAGTCAAGCTTGAATGTTACTGCTCAAGTCACGCAACAGTCCCCATCACTTCCCACACGATTATCAGAATCACCAGAGTTGACCCGAACCATGCTTAGTCCAGCCCATCAGGTGAAGAAGGTTGGTAACCTCCCAGGCGTGAGTCGCAGTACAAAAACGGCAGCGACATAGTTGGAGTCTACAGAATTATGGTTGAACATATCCCCTCGATGGGGTTTTGTTGATAACGCGATGGAGAATATTGCTTTTGTGCTCGGAATTTTGTGATACCCTTGGGAAATGTCGGCCCAAACACTGATGGATCGATTTACTTTTTGTTTTGGTTTGAACTTGGGTGTGAATAGAGCTTGCGCTTGCCTACAGCAAATACCATTATTGTTGATTAAGCATGGTTGGAGTGGAGGCATCGACTTGACAGCGGACAATGTCGCCTATTTGAAAAAGGTTATTGTACAAAGTCCTCATATACTTATACATGCTGCACAGAATAGCTGGCGAGCATGTCGTACATAGGCCGATCGGAGTTTTACAAGGCGTTTGCGCAGCAGGCTTCATGAGTAGCATCGCTTGCTTGTTGCCTGTCATATAACTTGCACCCATCTGAATATCATAATTCCAACGCTTGATTTTGATCGTACATATGGTCTAACCGTACGTAAACTGTCTACTTGGAGGCGGTGGGCTTCGTTGGCTTGGGCGCATCGGGGACCTTGACATCGTCAAAGTTGTCTTGACCAACGGCGTTGAGGGTGTACCAATCTAAGCTGCGTTAGTGGACCATAGCGATGTTGTTAGAGGGAACTGTACAGATGCTTCCAACGACAGCCAAAAGACCGAGGCCGGTGACGGCGTTCTTGACAAGGTAGGGTCGTCGTGCTCGCACAAGCGCCGGGCCCTGTCGCAGGCGGCGATCATAGTAAGTTGAGTGCGGGCTGTATCGGAGTCATGATCAGTCCACTGCGCCTTGGAGAGACTCAAAACCGAGGTGAGCATACCTTGTAGGCATTGTGAGGGTAATGAACTTGGTGAAAGATGTCTAGTTAAGCTTCAACCATGAACCGATTGAATTGATTGTCAATTGCCGGTGTTGCAAAAGATGGTCTTATCTCGATATCTAATCCAATGGTAATGTTAAATTCCACACCTTAGTGGAAAGAATATTTGCGGCTAAATGTCGGCTTAGCACGATGACCGTGACGTCTGCTGCACCTCCCCTAGTTCCAGGTTCTTTGTGGAGCTCCCAGTTACAAGGGTCTGGACCATTTCCACGTCCCATATTCTTTGATTTCCGCGTCGCCAAACCTTCGGTTACAAGCCCAGCAGACAAAAGCTAGCAACGACGACAATAACGCGCAACGAACCGACTACGCGTTCTTTGACGAGACGACACCGCTAAGTGCGAATCTTCGATGACCTTGAGCTTTTTGCAAAGCATGCTCAACCACTGTATACACCCAAGCTCAGCCTAGTCGCGCGACCACGGTTCAAGGGCCGCGGGCAAACTTGATTTACGACAACCCATTGTCATCGCATTCTTTTGAAGCATCTGAGCTTATCAACACTCGATATATACTTCCGCGATCGAAGAATTTTAACAACCAATCATGGCGGCAACTCTTTCAGTGTCGGATCAGATTCGACAGCTCGACGATGCACGCAAGCTAGTTTTGGGGGATGTCAAATACTACCCCAGTGTCGTCAGAGGGATATTGCCTATCATCGGTCCCAGTGCACCGCTTGAGTTGCGAAGATGGGGTGCCGAATTCCTTGCTGAAGCTTTTGCGACGCCAGCTCTACCAAATGGAGAGAAAGAGACAATGCAACCTTACGTCTTACCAACACTGGAATCTATGCTTGAGAATGATCGAGAGGACCCTCAGGTTTTGCGAAGCGTGATTCAATGCGTTGCCAGTATCTATCCCTTGGCAATGCGGTGGATGTATGAAGATAATGATATCCGAATTATGTGGTTTCAAGACTAACACGTTTATGCAGCATAAACAACGGATATGACACAATCACGTGGGAAAGAATGGTGGCAGTCAAGCAGAAGGTTTTGAGAATATGGGACAATGCAGGTCCTACCGTAAGAATCTGCTGCATAAAATTTGCGCAACGTGTGGTTCTTGCCCAGACTGCTGCCACCGGTTCTGAGTTAAGAGTATGAATCCATTGAATCATTCACACAGAACATACTAACATGCGAAATCAGTATGGCGGTACACTCGACGTGTCTCTGGATAAGGTCCCTCCGAATCACCAGTCCCTCGACCCTAGGAATTTGGAGGCTGAAGCTTCGGGTCTTCTAGATCGAATGTTGAGTGCCCTTCAGGAAAGCAGGTAAGGCGGTTGATAATGATTGCACCGTGTCTATGTAGCTAACCTTTGATGCCACTTCAGCGATGCCCTGATTGTAGATGCGACCTTGAACTGCATGTCTATCATCATAAGAACTCGCCCAGCTACCTCCAGCCGAATCATCAATGCTCTCCTCAGCTTTAACCCCCTCAAGCTTGCCAACTCCCCTCTTACCCCCAAATCGCGGGTTATGATTAGATCAATGGAGAAGACAACCCGCATGTTGTTGATTCATCTAGTAAAGCGAGATCCTCACAACCCGATGGTTCCCAGAATACAGCAGCACGTAGAACGTATGATGCGCACCATGGCCGATATCTTTGATGATACTGGACGCAAGCGCCCGCTTGAACCACCGCCACAGGACGATAATGAGGCCAAACGACAACGACTATCCCCAGCCCAGATCCAGATACCACCATTGGGCCCAGGACCACACAGCCTGGCTGACGTGTTTACCCTGATTGACAATAGTGCTCTAAAGAACTTCGACATTTCTCAGGTTCCTGCGCCCCTTGTTGCCAGGATTGCTGTGACAACGCTGTCGAGGCTCGACCCTCAAGTACTGTCCAAGGCAGTTGACGGTATCCGTGGACGTCTCGATGCCCTTGCCAGTGCGCCAGTACCTGAGCTGAACCCAAACACCGCTCTGCTAGGCGTGGAAGAAGATGACGACGAATATGAGCCGGATTTCTATCAAGCCGAAGACACGGAGCAGATTTTGAACAAGCTAGATAGCTCACCAGTTCATGAGGGACCATTATTGGACGATGGCCTTGGACTGAAGTCATTCCATCTGCCTCAGCCTGGTGCCTTGACACCAGAGACAGCACTGACAGCTGGTAACGGCACAGTTACCCGGGTAATCGAGATGATGAAGGCCCTGGAAGAACCAGCAAAGAGAAGCAAGGCTGGTTTCAGCAGATTAGCGGCTAGCTCAGGAAACCGGGATTCATGGATGACGATCCTGGCCCGACTCGCGACACGCTCCATTGCTGGTCTAGAAGAAACTACCGTCAAGGACGAAGACGGCCCATCATCACACCAGTCCCTCAGCATCAACATTCGCGACATCTTATATTCCTATGTGATGGAGGACTTCCGCAAGCATATCGATGTAGCAGTCTCCTGGCTCTGCGAAGAGTGGTATAATGACAAGCTACAACAGAAGAAGGGTGGCGATCGACCCTTGTACTACGAAAAGTGTTGCCTGCGACTAATCGACGGTTTTCTGCCATATCTACACCCCCAGGATAAGGTTTTGACACGTTTCTTGAGCGAGATACCGGAGTTGAACAAGAACATCCTGTCACGGGTGAAGCACATGTGCCGCGACCCCAGTGTTGTTCAGCTGGCTCTGACAAGTTTGTTGTATTTGATCATGATGCGACCACCTGCCAAGGAGATTGCACTGGATACGGTGCAAGATATTTGGAGCGAATGTAAGTTGCAATGCGATACCCTCTCGAGATGATTACTAATGCAGCGCAGTCGATGAAGCAAGGCCTGTGGCAGGCAAATATCTTTCCAAATATCGCCCATCTTTTATGGAAGCTGCACGGAATGGCACCGGTGAAAACTCAGGACAGTCCGCATCGACCGCTATCACCGCTTGAGGAGCGTATTCCGAGTTGACAATTGATGGGAAGGTTCGGTAGTTACAGCGTCGCTCTGCTGTGATTACCATGTAAAATCTTTCGAGAGGGGGTAATAAGCCATAATGACCAGTTGGCCGAGGGGAGATGCTTGCTTTCCCCACGCAATGACTATATATGGAAGGACTCAGAGACAAAAGGGCAAGCATTACAAGGCGTTAAAGGGCAGATAGGAGTGAGAGGACCTATCGAGCAATCAGGCGGGGATGACACAGGGCTGACTAGATGTATACCAAGCATTATTGCTGTTGTGGGCAGGAATCTTAAGGCGGATAGTCTACGATGCGAGTATTGATATGCCGACCTGAAATACAAGATCTTTAGAACATCTGATGAGAACGTCCACGTTGAATTGACCATTTAGAGGTTTACACTTGCTGCCTCTAGGTGCTCTGTATAAGCCCGGAACAATGTAAGCAATGGTACCTACAGAGTAGACCAGGCGAAACAAACATTTGCATGAAGCCCTAATTAGAAACCCATATAGTACGGTCGTTTGGTTGTTGGCCCGTGAGTGCTGATGACAGTGGTCACGGGCGTCATTAGATACCTACAGAAAGACGAAACAGAAACACTGGATTAGATAGTGCTGTGCTCTTTGTACCACTTCAGATTCAGCAACAGGTAGGTACTGAGGTAGCGCGCAGTTGTCGTGCCATCAAAGAAAAGGACAAGGTTGGGGATGCTTAATATTCGTATTCTTTGACAATGACGCTGACCTGTTGCTGTGTGCATCATTTTTCTTCTATTTATTTGTTTACAGTGATGTATCCATAGATCGACCCAGAAAATGGATTGGATGTCATGGAGCGGACCCAATACTGATGCACGTCAGTCAATATTTACAACTCAGTTCCTCTCTGCGTCTCCGTATTCCGTCCCTCCATTTCTAACGGTGCTTTATGCAACGGTATAATAAATGGGGCTTGAGCGGGAGCCAGCGGACGGGAGAGTACAGGACAACGAGTACGTACTCCGTCTACTAATTTAAGTGGAGGTCCAATCATCCCTCCCTTGAGAACCAAAACAAAAGAGAAGGAGAGAAAAAGGACCCTTTATTTTATTTATTGCACTACATTACCTCTACTAGTGTATATGTTTATTCGTTCCTGTGTTTATTACGGTGTCCTAAAGCCTGCAGCGTCATCTCTGCCTCGTTTATCTTGCCTTACTTTTGTTCTTGCTTGTCTCTTTGCTTTGTTGCACGTACTGTACTGTGATTACTAGCATCCAATCCCTTTTATCTGCAGCATTCATTGCCCAAGCAACCTGAGACATAGGGTCATTCTACTTTGCTATTACTCGCCAAGTCATGGTTATTACAATACGAAACCGCCTTCACAAAAAGGAATTTTCTATTCACAAAGACACAGTCAACAACAGTACGTACGTTTGGACCAGTCAGTGAAATTAATTAAGCTGCTGGTGCTTTTCCCTATCCATCCATGCTTTCCCATCAATAAATGTCCTTGCATCCACTTTGAAACGCTCCCCACATCTTCAACTGGGGCGTAATTGCATTCTCATCCCATCTTGTCGTCGCCTACCTGTCTTGTCTCATGGACCAGGCCTAAATTGAGGCAGCCTTGTATTCTATTCTTCTCCTGCCAGATACCATTTGCTCTCCTAACCTTCAACCTCTTTCTTCGGCCGGTTAACCAGTCGCTGACCTCAATCTGTTTACCATCAGCCGCAGCCACACTTGCAGCCGAATTGACAGATCCACATGCTCCTTCATCTGACAAGGAAAAGACCTTAACGCCCGTCTCTACCGGCTCCATCAACAGCATGAAAAGCCGGAGCCCTGCCACCTACAAATCGACCCTCGCCAGGTCCAGCACAATTCGAAGTGTACGCAGCTTCGACGGCTCCGAATCCAGTCCCGAAAGCAAACATAGCACTTTCTCCAGCAGTGTGAACAGTAGCACAAGTGGAGTCTCCCACTCCAACTCCAATCCCGATCTCAACAACCACACACAAACACCCGTCAAAACCAAGCCCGAGGCCAACAACACGGACGCAACAACTCCCTCGCGCTGGAGCACCGGCGCAGCGCGCGTAGTAGAGCCAACACCAGATCAAGAAACCTCCACCATGACAGAAGGCATCGAAGCTGTAGACGGTCAATGGGACTCGACAATAGGCAAGGCCGGCCTGGGCAAAACCGGCCGCGTGATAAATAAGCTCGTCAGCGACAATGAGGCTCTCAAGCGCGACATCAAAATCGAGCGCCTAAAAGCTGAAGAAGCCAAGCAAGCCGCAAAGTTAATAGAGGACAAGCTTGACCGTATGGTCAGTGATTATGAAAGTCGACTCCTCGAGGCCAATGTCACAAAGACACTGCTCTCTCGAAAAGAACGCCAAGTCGAGACGTTACAAGCGACTGTCGAACTCGAAAAGAAGAAGGCTGCAGACGCTCTGCTACGCGAGAAGAGCTGGAGAGATGAGATGACCAAGACGACAAAAGACGCAACAATCCAGGTCGAAGAAGCAACCAATTATGCACAGCTGATGGAGGGACGCTACAACGCCATTTCCTCCCACTGGCAAGATCAAGGCGAGGAGGTCAAGAAAGCGGTTTCCAAGATGAAGTCTGAGATAGATCATCTCAACGAAGAGCGACGATCAGACGACGATAAGATCCAGACACTAAGGGATCTCTGTGACCAGCAAGACGGCAATATTAAGCAGCTACGACACGAGAAAGAAGAGATCGCTCGCATGTTTGAAGAATACAAGAAGACGCAAGAGCAAGACCTTAAGGATATCAAAACCAATGCCAGAAAGAGAGAAGATGAGCAAGAAGCCTTATTATTGGCGTCCAAAGAAACTCTCGACAAGCTCAAATGGGCACTAAACGTTAAGAAAAACGTCAAAGGCGCACAATGAGTTACCTCTCCACTCTCTCCACCGCCCGCCATACCATAAAGGGTCCGCAACGCGTCTAAGCAACTCCCATCTTGCGAGAAGTGTGGCCCGACCAACATATTGTTTTAATTTACTTCATCTCTCGACTGGCTGGACTCCAGTCCATTCTCACCGAAGCTTCCGACAGCTTCTTAACTTCATGCCTACGAACACTTGATGACCGCCGTCGCTTCGATACCACTCCTTGTATACTTTTCTCTTCTTCTCTTTAGAAACATGGACTGGCAATTTACGCTGGATCTAGATACGTCCTTGTGATCCATTTTAGCTACTGGTCTAACCATGGGAATTGGCGGGCTATGGGTGTTAACGGTGTTGGGCATGCTTTTTGCAATTAATGTCTCCGCAAGAGAGAAAGCCACATAAAGACATGGGGACTGAGATTACCGTTTTGATGAAAGACGGATTAGAAATAGAAAAAGAAGAAGATTGAATATTTACCTAGATCGCGTCCACTATAGGCCTTTAACAAGATAATGTACATGGTCAGCGAGTTTACTTGAGTTCTACATACATAATATACTACGATCGTATCTCTTTAATATTTTAAGATCTATCCAACTAATGATTTTTATTACTTCTATTGCTGTGTGCCTTCTTGAATCCTTTGGTAAGCATTATACCGCCAATGTTCAGATACATCGTCAGATGCCCCTGCTCGTATGGAGTTTGAGCTCCTGCACGAGGCCTTTGGCACTTACCTATATTTGCTAATGAAGCTGTATGGAAGTCAAGCTCAAGGTAGCCTATCAAAATAGGTGCCTAACTACCTATCTAGCAGTGATTCATTGGCTTGAGCGCCCGCTAGGCGAGGAATAAGAGATAAAGTAGAGTGGCACTGCCAGCTCCTGCCCGCCATCTGGCAACAGGTGCCAACGGGAAGGTGCATCTGGCTTTCTTCTCTCCTTCCTTATATTTCCGGTTGTTTTGGTTACGGTAACACCTTCCTCTGTTCTGATGAATTTGATTTCCCCTCCTTGTCATTTCCATCCTCCCATCCCATCTTCCTTTCACTCACATGCTACCACTCAATACTCACTCTTCTAACTGATCGCGGTGGATAACAGAAGAATTGTTTTCCAACGCTTAGGTTACCAAAATAAAGTAGCCTAAGAACGGATCTATGCTGGCATAAGACAACTAAACTGTTTTGTCCCTTGTGCTCTTAGCGGTCATTTCTTCTGACACCTTGAGGTGGCCGGACAATATTCCTCAATTCCTCAACAATAGTCCATACCCTGTAAGTATCCGACACTGCAATATACCTTTGACGACACTCTAACTATTCTAGCCTTCAAAATCAAATATGGGTGACCCCGTTGAGTTTTACGTTTCTTGTAACCCGCCGTTACTCCCCAAGGGTGTTGCAATCGCTGTGGCGGATATTGAGAATAGCCTGGGAGAGGTATGTTTTGCAAGTGAAGTCCGGAAGCCTCTTACATACTCACTGTTTCCGCTTTCTAGATTGTATTGGAGGTACTATACGATCCTGAACTACCAGGGTTTAAGTTCATCTCCCAAGTCGAGCACCAGGCTCTTATCACCCACTGGATGACCAATCATCTGGAACAGTTACTAGAATCTGAGACGGGGGTTCTTCTACCCGAGTTCGAAGATGAAGAGGAAACAAGTCAGCCTGATGTTCTGATACTTGCCGAAATCCCGCACGTGATTTCATACCCTTTGTTTCAGCAAAGGTGTATGTCAATCATTGAGGAGTACGACCCTTGGAGATATCCAGACAACATCAAAGATCTTTGTCACAAAAAGACTTGGCGCACCCCAGAAGAATTGGAGGGAGACATCGCTGCGCAACTTCTTTCCAAATTTGAGCCCCTATGGCCAGCCTCACTTGCTCCGCCAGGCGTTGAGAAGTTAGGAGAACCTACAAACTGTCAGATATCCCACAACTTGCAAGGTACACTTTTCTACTTGGGCAGCGATGACAGTGCGAACGCTCTGGATGTGGCAACACGCAGACTCAATACACTTGCAAGCTTTCTGGTATTTACTCCCATCAACTTCTATAGCAAGATTCTGACAGTGTTAGGATGCTCCCTCGGCTACAACCTCTCACCTCGTCTTCACCGAAAGCCTCGACCAGACCAAACTGTGTTACCAATGGGTGACACAGCTTGGTATATCAAGGCTAACATATGTTTATCCTGAATGTGTTGATTTGGAGGACGAGTACAAGCGCCTTGCAGGCGCAGTAACTTTGAGGAATGGAATCACCAATCCCAAAGGTCAACTAATCCCGGATCCAACTACATATCCCATTGGGGACCAGGCCCCTGTATCCAAGCAACCAGAATTCCGCCCTTTTGAGCGATACGCCTATTCCAACAAGCGGTCTGGTACATCGGCCGCTAGAGATAAGCGAGCCACCAAGACTTCGCTGGCCTATCTTCCTCGGGTCCCTCCTGGCGGAAGAACCTCAGGAAAGGTATCTCTGCAAGATCACACGGTGAGTCGATGGCTCGGGACTATCAAGCCCCATGTGCCCCCGCAAAAGCCAAATGGTCTCGAAGAATATGAGAACGAAAAGCCAGGTGGTTTCAAAAAAAGAAATGATGTTGAAAAGCCAGTTGACAAGAGAGATTCTGGGTTGATTGAGGTTGATGGGACAGACGATAACTGTCCAGAAGAGAACGACATTCTTCAGGGGCTTTCTCGTTCTTCTATACTGGTTCCAGTGGATGACCAACAGAATCAGGAAATTCTCCTAGGTCAGCAAATGGTAGCATCGTCTACGGGAAACTTGATGGATATTTTCGATGATCCTATCAGCATCCCCGTCCTTCAACCTGTGTCTTCTGAGGTCATATTCGGGAAACGAAACGACGAGGGAAAAGATTTACACCAAACGATGAATCAGAAAGCTTCAAATGATCCCTCATGGGCTCGAATTGCTGCCAAAAATAGTCGCAACCAGAAGCAAGATCCTACGAACTTTGGGTCGAATGTGCGAGTCAAGAGTGATCGTCCCTTTGCTGGGAAACCAACGACAACAAAGCCAGTTTCCGAAGAAAAACTGACAGTTCAAGGGACTTCCAGTAGTAACTTTGCCCTGAGTAACAGACAACAACAGACGTATCCCAAGGAGTCGTACCGCGAAATCCAGGTCGATGTCCCTGCCTCCATGGGAATGAGAGCACCCACGGTTACACACGGCAACGACGAATGTGCCAGAATCTTGCACGAAGCGGAGAAAAAGCTGCAAGAATTGGTGAAGGTTTTGCAGGTCGTGCCTGGACACATTAGTATCCAGGCCAAGTTTGGCAGGCTTTGTGTCAAAGGTATTCCAGCCGCCGAAGTTTACATGAACCCCACCCCCTATGGGCCTTTCAACACAGTCGGTACGGTCGTCAAAAGTCTGAATGATACCAACCCTCCTGTCGAGTTTTCCCCTATCTTAACGACCAGCGCTGCTGAAGCGAACTTGATCTCGATGGTTCCGGGTGGCAGAGCCTCGTGGATCTTGGTCGGTAAACGCGTCTTCTATGAGTTCGTCTGCGTGCAGGAAGTCTACATCTCAGGAGAGGCCGAACCGCACTGCCACGAGAACCGGCTTGTTGTGAATGTAGATGCAGGCGAATTCACTCACGAATGTCTTCCTTTGACACATGAAGTGTCCCGCGCTTTCGTCCACTGTACACGACGAGCATGGGATATAAAACTTTGCATTTCGAAAAGGGACATGACGCAGGTTACTGAGGAGTTTCAGAAGTTTGCTGCGTCACTGGTGCGCTCAATGGACATCGAGTAAGTACTGGAGTCCAATGGCTGATAAGTTCTGAGTACTGACATCTAAGGACAAATGAAATAGGAGAAATTGTCATTCAGGTCGAGCCGGAGAGTGCCACAGGATGGCACATAGAGCGGACAAGGATATGTCATGAAGCTACATATCGAAACGGGGCAAAAGGCCCCAGCTGTCTTACGACCACCATGTTTCGTGTGGTGGAAAGGATTCCGGGTACCGCGAAAGGCCTATATCGAGGCCAGTCGGTTCCTGTAACTTTGCTTAGCCACGGACAGATTGGGCAGTGGTATGAAGCCAGCATCTCGTCAATCAAAGCCGAGGACGTCCTGCAAGAGAATGTCGGGCTTGAACTTGGCGAACAAACGTCTTGGTCGGCCGATGAATTGAAAAGACTTGGGGCATTCAAAGCCGTGTGCGAGCCAGCGATACGAATGGTGCGCCAAATGGATAAGGTGGGCAACACGAACGAGAACGGGCATGGTACCCAGACCGATCAGCCGCCCTTTGATGCTATTCAGTATCTGGAAGACAAGGAGAAGAAGTATTCATATTGGTGAGAGCAACGTTTTTGGGGCGTCAATTGCAAGTTGAAGAAGTCGCCTTGATCCTTAAGTATTGACTCAAAGGGATCATGTAGGAACAGATAGATGTCAGGGGGTGGGCATTGCCTAATCGGGGCGACATGATGTAGAGTTAAGAGTTTCGGTAGATGAATCACACCCTGTCTTTGAATCGTTCCGTCACATGGTTCATAGCAAAGTGATCAAGGATAACAGTGATATACCTACATGGTAGGAAGATGGCATCCACGATTGGTTTAATGTTCAATTACGTCACCATCGATCTCGGACGATCTACCCGAGCGCCTGGCTGGAGACAACGATTGCCGAAATGTTGCTTCCGCGCGTTTAGGCGGCTATTAGCCTCCCTGGCCGCATAAGATGGAGATGAATGATTGGGAGACGGATCCCACCTTGATTTACGGTGATGGGTTTCATTTGATGCGTAAAGAGGACTTTGGGAAACATAAAAACAAATGTACCTCTTTAGCTCTTGCGTTCAATGCACCGAAGTAAGCAGCGGCTCTTGTCGATTATGAAGCAGTCATCTATCTGTTAGATGTTCGGTCTATGTTGCCGCTTTTCTCCGCACCTATTAAAGACACGGAAACGTGATCTACATAATTTGGTAGACATCCAACATTTCAAACGCTCTCCGTTTTGCTCGTTCAACCAAAAATCTATCTACCATCAACTCGAACTAACACAGATCCCCAGAAGGAAAAGCGCGCCCAAAGCCAAGGCCAAGGCCAAAGCCAACAAACCGTTGCGGGCCCCCGCGCGGCCCGAGCCGGGTTCCCGCTCTTGTGGGATTGAACATGAAAAAAGAAGGTTTTTTCTTACTTGTCGTACCGATCGTGGCTTGATTGAGGATGGCTTCAAAATAAAATTGTGTGAGTGTAATCTTCTTTTGTACTGGTTTCCCACGTGGATTGAAATGCCGGATATCTGACGAATGCCGAGTGGACGCGGATCTTGAACGGGAAGGCTAGTGCATGCGATCTGAGCTGAAAAAGGATGCAGAATTAGGCTTGGCGATGCGTAGGCGGCTGAAATAATTTTTGACGGTGTCACAACCTTCTCCTCAGGGTGTTAGAAAAATTGGCCCCTAAAAGCATAAGAGACGAAATTATTCGGTCATTTTATGCTAGCTTAGACTAACACTTAGGCTGCTTTATTTTAGCAACCTAAGCCCTAGAGGATAATTCTTCTGTTATCCACCTGGGTGTCACACTCTTCTTGACCATGTATGCAATATCATGAATCGTGTCTTCCCAATAACCTTCTCAGAGGACTATTTCTATCCAATGATGCATCGGTTATTGACTTTTTACTTTTTAACCGTGCTCATGTGATTTCTTTCTATGCCAAGCGCAGTACTGGCACCATTCCTTTCGGGGTTTATAATGACTTTTGGTTACGATATAATGACAATTTATTTTCATCTACAACACCAACGCTTCTACAAATCCGGTACAGTAGCGAGTCTATAAGAGAGCTAACTGCCTTGATATGTTTCTTAGTTCCTTTATGGGAGCCGCTATCGAAGTAACCTAATGGCTACAAAACTACGTCATAATCGGGTATGCCCTTGTTCATGCGTTGTTTCTTTCTGTCACCGCACCCTGCCAGTGGCCGGGGGCGGTGTCTGCAAATATTCATGGGTTCCGCTACTTGCGCGCTATAGCCGAGGGATATAGGTAAAGTTATGACAACTCCCTCTTCCGGATCTGAGAGTTTGGAAAGAAATGTTTTGATGGATGCATGGCCGCAAGTATCGAGATAATGGTGCAGAAAAGCTTGGTTATTTTGACTGATCCCCGAAATCTGGTTCATTCAGTGATAATTAAAACAATACCAATCCAACAAGTCCACATGTCAACCGAAAGAACTCACACCGAGGTCAGGAAATTCAAACAAAAAGAGGCGCTTGACCGTGGCTTGTATATTAAATACTAGGTTGTTTCTACTTGCTTGCCCTACTTCAGTGTGATCAACACACTATCCCCTGATCGTCTCTATAGTGTCTAGCTTAACTTTTAGAGCGGTGCTCGAAATTAAGGAGCAAATCGCTCATTCTCCTGACCAAAAGAAGCAATCGATGCTTCACTTGTTAACCATATCATCAAGTCTAACATACAGCCGCGCCCCCTCAAACAAATCCTGTGCCGTGCATGTTTGTCATTCAATCGTCCAGTCGATAGATCAAATGAGCAATATTCCAACACCAATTCGCCGTCGAATCTATCTTTTTTATGTCGCGTAGCCAATCTAGATACGCCGTGACAGTCTGTGAGGCCTCAACGTCGAAGCGCTGCCCGCAGAGCGACGATCGAATACGACCCAGGATTGGGTGCTGCTGCGAAAGGTGTAATAACATTAGAACACCAAAGAGGTTTTGAGACCAGAAAAATGTCATGGGTACAAGTCGCTTATTGGTGCATGGAGGCGATAGCGCGATGGGCCACTTGAGTGACGCTTTGAGACATTCGGCAGCGCCTTCGGCATCTTCCCGCGTCAGACTATCGGGGTGGTGCAGGACCTTGAAAATGCACGGACGATATATGAGGTATTTGTTGTAGCTGTATCGTGTTCGAAGGAGTGCGACTTGTATATCGGCTGCGAATGGGTATGTCGCCGGTTGCGTATCAAGATCCGACGTGAACATGTAACTGCTCTGCAGGGACTGTCCAGCATAAACGTCGCCGAAGGCATCCTGTGAAGGGTCTGTAAAAGCAACTTCTTGGTTTTCGTGCCATCGCAAATGGCTGGGCAACATGCCTCTCCACTGTTCAAGTTGTGCGTCGAGCTGCTTCATAACAGTTGCATTGCCGGGGCTGGAAGTGCCATTAAATTGCCCAAACCCTGGGAAAGACACAGATGCGTCTAAGCCAAATGCTGAGATAAGTTAGCTAGATCCTTGGCTGGGAGAAGCATCGAGCCTACTCTTGTTTAGAACAGAATGGAAGTTAGCAGATAGCCTTCGAAGAACGATCTGTGAAGCAAAATGCTCCTGAAAGTGTGTCGCTTGGTTACTCATATAGTCCTCGTCAGTGATCGGTCCACTGAAGTCAGGAAGACCAATAGCCTCCTCAAACTTCTCTAGGCCAGTTAGAGGCAAACCGAACTCCATGTGAAAGCAGCTGCTATCTTGTCAGTAAGCATGCTAGAAGCGGAACCTTTTTACCTACGTCTCCATTATTGAACAGTGCCAAAAGGTTCTTTTTATTAGATCGGATCGGGGACCATGGAGCTCGCTAGGCTTGCTTTAAATCGGGGTTAGATAGTTTGAATTTGAGTTGAAGGGAAATCGTCTTACTTTACAATCAAGGCCTGGCAGGCTGAGGAGGCAGAAACAGACATCCTCCAACATTCCTGCAGCAATGGTTAGTGTGACGGCTTAAGAGATTCCACAGACCACTAACAAGAGCTTGCCCACAGCTTGAGTAATATATGGCACCAAGAGCGAGCATCTGGACATTTTCCAGACTGACCTCACTTAGAGCGAACCCCATCCTTTTCCGTGCTTCGTTGAAATAGGTCAGGCCTGGTGGTCTGTCGATAGTGCCCCCCTTAATTCCAGACGGCCGTTGTTTGTACGCCGAGATGGGTACTTCAGATGTAGTAAGCGCCACTTCCCCAAGGGCAAGGACGAGGAGTACAAGGGATGAAATGACGCCTTCGTGAAACCCATTGCTAAGAATTGAGCTCAGTGTATTCGAATTGAACCATTGTCTATCCAGGATGGGATAGAAAGCATTGATGACATCAAAATAACCTTTGCTCAATCTTTGCACTGTCTCCCAATCCACACTAGGAGGGCTGAGATTAAGAGATGATGCAGATCCTGAAAAGTGTAATGGTAGCTGGAGTGTGCTGTTATTAGGTATTCCTACTGGCTGAATCCCGTCTAGTGGCAAGGTCACAGCAGAGTCGCGCAGTCCCCGTGGAAGTGTAGGTATCTCGCCCATTGGAGATGGGGGCTTCTGGCCGAGGCTTTCGAACATCTGGCGCATGACGGGCCATTCTGACACCTTGGATACCGAAGAGTCGTATCGATAGCCACCTGTATCGCGACTGGGTGTCGGACTCGTCGGAGGAAGAGATGTCCCTGGTAAGGAGTCTTGTGATTCAGGATCGACCAGTAGCGGTGTGTTCGTATTATACACAGCAGAGTGTTGAGAAGTGTTGAAAACGGGAGGGGTGGTGTTTTCCCGTAATCCTAGGTGATCGATCTTGCTTTCAACACTCTTGAGTCGATCTAGAATCTCAACTAACGTTTTGTCCTTCCTAAGGGCGAAGTTTAGCATTTTGCGGTCGAGTTGGGCAGCAGCCAAGGCAACGACGACGACGGTGGTATCGCCATAGGAAAGACAGGCACGGCATCCTTGCCACTTCCTCGAGCTCTTGTTTAAACATACTTTGTAGGTTGAGGTTCTCTGTATCGGCATTCGAGTTTGAATCGCTGACATGTACCGCACTTGGGCCTTTGTTCATCACATCTTTGCTTTCGGTTACGGCATGTTTCGCAAGCCTGGGATTTGTTAGTCAATTTAGCCCAAAATACGATGTTCTATTTGTTCGGCCCGTGGAAGAAAGAAAATGGGTTTTTGAGAAAGGATAAAGGACTAGGTTGAAGATAATTGCCAAATTATACAACAGAGTTGCAAACAAGTTGACGTTTAAGTCTAGTAAGACTGCATCCAAACGGCATGTAAAGTTGTAGGATCAGTGAACGAGTTCAAGAAAGGGTTTGAATAGAGGTTATCAGGGAAAGACGAAAATAAAAGGAAGTTTCATACCTGAGCAGCAATAGCGCCGCGTTCCTTGCGATTAGTTTGCGGTCCAGGTCCGGGCGAGACGTTGCTGGACGATGATGGTGCTAGGTCCATACTTAGGGTCGAACTTTGACCAATGCTCACATGTGAGTGTGGTAAAAGCGAAATAGAGAAATCGCAGCTCTAAAAAGCTGATCAGGTTAAGTTGAACTTCTGAATGTAATTGTTGGGCTCCATTTAGCACAATGCCTCAAGGCAAAAGTTGGCAGAGCGTTGAGCTCTCGATAGTGCTGGTATGGGAATGAACTATGTTGCGACGCTTCTAGGAAGCTACTGGGCGTGGGTGGAAATAAATTAATGAGGGGCAGGACAGTATAAGAATGTACGCACGCACGCACGAGGGAGTCGAGGCGGATGCCTACGAGAAGACTGGGGTTTAAATGGGTACGTGATGACAGTTTTCTGAGATGAAAAGAGGTTGCGTGGTTGGGATGCAGATGTTTCTGAGTGAGAGTCAAGGTCTGATGGTATCAATCAAGTGTGCAGGGGAACATAGGGATTTAACAACAACAGGAGGCTAGAGAGGCCGCCTTATAGTTGAAATTCGAGAAGACATCTTTTAGGGGAGAGTTTTTTTCAGAGCGCACGGGAGGAGCAAGGGCGCGGAAAAGATTCGCAAAATGGGACTGGCAGAATGTGAACAGAAGTCGACCGGAGCCAAGCCCGACTCCGACAAGAGACGAGGGGAACAAATACAAGCAAGACTTTACTCAAAGTCGAAGCTCAGGTTCCCATGCTAGAAGCGGTTGCAAACCCGTCAGTGCAGACAAAAACGTGCCCCGTTTCAGCAGCCATTGGACGGTGTGAAGCAAGGGAAATGGAGGGTATCAAGATAATCCAACGTCCGGTCGTGTCTCGCTATGATCATGAGGAGTTTAGCACCACACAGCTGGTGGACGTACAGTACCGTACCGTACCCTTTCTGAGACCATTCCGCACCGCTAATTACACCACACCGTGCCATTGAATTTGGCTACACACCATAAGGGCACGATGCGGTATCGTCACCGGCGACCCTGTGTTTGTATGCATGCCGCTGGACGTCATTGCCGGATCTCATAACGGGCCGGGGGATCGAGCTCCCCTCTCCGGCGGTGGTTCCCTCATGACAGTTTTCCAGATCCAGAGCCCACCCACACTCGATCGATACGCGCGCACCCACCAAGCACCTAAATCGATCAAGTCTGCGGCGAATAACTCTAGAAGCTGGCATCTTTTAAGGCGCACAGTCTAACTCGACAGTTACTTTCGTTTGGCGCCATCGCCTTGGTCGGGTGCTCGGTATATGATCATCAATAATCTGCACCGACCGCCTGGAGCTGGCGACCATCCTGCTGGGAGATAGCTTGTGGGGGGTAAGAAGGGGAATCATGCTTGGCCTTTTCGTTCATCCCTTTAGCAATTGCGCTGCTGATTGTGACTGGACGACATGGCCCGCGATCGACTGTCTCCATTCCCACATGGTTTAGCGCGCCAGATGGTAGAAAAGAAAGCAAGTAAAACAGCCAGCAAATGAGTTTGTCGTTTCCTGCAGTCATTTCCGTACCTGTGGCTGACCCTGGTTGTGACACTGGGATACAGGGTCAGAGGCTCCATTGCGGCGTCATTTTGTGTCGCGTTGAGCCGATGAATGCATACCTTAATTTATTCCCTGCCTATGAGGTTGTTACAGCACCGATCTGGCACTCAACACCCTCACGCTGCAGGCACTTCATGTGACGAATGGCGATGCGGCCGCCAGGGACCGGTAATGTTTAACGGCTGAACCTTGTATGCATTACGATGCGGCGCATTCCCTAGAAACTGTTAAATCCATATGCCAATGTGCCAAAGCCATGCGCAAATGGCATCTCCTGTGAATGGACATTCTCAAATTCCGGTATTATGTGTGAGCGATCGTGTTGTAAAAGGTTTTGTGGCTTATAGCAGTCTGTAAAGATTGATGTCGTAGCTTCCACATACCCTCCTGCCCTTCTGCCCTATTTTCAGTCTCGGAGGTTGAAGACATTCGGAGCATACTCTTTTCTAAGTGCTTCTTCCGCTGTGATAAGGCTGAGTTCCTGCAATGCCTGAATTGGTGATGATCGACAGTTTTTATCAGCTGAAAATAGCAGAAGAAAACAATTGGAGGATTTGGTTGAACCAAAAGAGAATTGCAATATGCAGGGGATTGGGGCTTCCCCGAGCCCCCAAACCAACCATGATGTTGCAACGAGGGCTGGTCATGAAGCGTCAAGCTCTGCGCAGCTGAGCAAGGTATCATCGACCAGGAAGCATCGCTGGCTTTGGTGGATCATCGATCCTACAAAAAGTGTGAACGATTAATTTGCAGGCTGTCTCAGCGAACTCCTGGTGAACCCATGACAGATAGCCTCAGGCTGTTGATCATTGAATGTTGTAAAGCAGAGAGTTCTTAAATTTCAAGAATCAAGGCCCTCGTTGTTGGATCTGGTCCATTCTGATAGAAATTGGTCGTCTTGCGCACAGCTGACGAGATGCATTGTACATAGAGTTGGTGATATGAGTACATGGACCCCAATCACCCACAATTATAAAAGCTTTCTGTAAATTGTACGTGAAAAGCTAATTGGGAAGAGAATGAAGACATCCACGGCCGAGGTTGGACGCTGAGCATGTCGATGATATGTCATATTGGACAGCGCACATAGCGCCAAAAAAAGCCATGCCGGTCTGTTTGTTGATTTAACTCGGTATGGAACGAAAATCCATATTCTTGGAGTAAATCTAGTATATTCGTTCTCTATTATGGGATGATATGCGATGCAAGCACGGAGAAGGTGAGACAACCGGACAACGTGCGTGGAGGTTTGTACTTGCATGCTTGATCTGGCAGCTGGCGAGTAGAGTACCATGAAGCTGGAATCGTGTCGGAGCGATCGAGACATGGCTGAAGATTTCTCCGAATAAGCGACGGATCTCAGAATCCAACAAGGGATGATCCTCGGGACCGCCTGTGGGCTGCCCGAGACAAGGGCAATGCCCCCCTGCCATGCATGTCAAAGATCCGGCATAGGTAGCTCATAGCTTCCATGCCTCGGCACGGGAAAAGTTGATGAACGTAGGGTGTAAAGGGACGTACTGGAGTGGTGATGAATTGTCCATTATTCGTCGTTGTTTAGGTTTGTGGGAGCTTTGAAAATCGTTTCTATTTCGCACTTGAGAAGGCAGGTCACTTGTTCATTCCTTTCGGGAAAAGCCAGCGTTGGTACTGTAGGTACTTGAAGCAAGGAAGGTACATCCATTTGTGCAGGCATCCCAGTCCGTACCTGCTTGAACTTTCCATGTACTGTAATAAAGTGCCTCCCTCTTCAGACCCACAGGAGCTCCAGGAAGGTACCCATGGGCAAACATCCAAGCATCCAAAGTGCAGGCGAGCTTGGGAGCTTGAGCCACCCGTTGTCTCGCGGGACAGCAAGGCCCGGCTCAAGCTTGTGAGTTAGCACCTGCCTATCAGGAAAGGGCAATTGAAAGGGTACAGCAATCTTTGTATCTGGCTATTGCTTTTCATATTCCGCAGCAAAACCCGTGTATTGGTTGAGAACATCCAATGCTTTGACATCACCTTGACTCGAGCAGGTCTGTTCCCAAGCGTGCCAAGTCAATCGGCTCAACCATTCCATTGGATCAAACCTGTAGATCCCAGACAGGCACAATACAAGGTTCTATACTGGGCTGATATTGACGTGCAGCATCGAGAGATCAGCCTGATCGTCTGTCATTCTCACGCATTCACAGTATGATGGTACTGTGTTTGTGATGACCTGTTGGGCAAATATTATTGCTTGTTCGCTGGAGGGCTGACATGGAGCAGAGCAAATGAGGGGACACAAGTCCGAGTAATGCGACAAGAATCCAAGAAACAAGAAAAAGTTATCTTTCGATCGGCAGTTGTTGGGTCCATTTTGTCAGAGGGATGCCGGTGGGAATGGCCAGCTTGCCAGCATAGCCTGAATGCCTCTCCTCTCGCAGGGGATCTCCTACTGGCTTACAGCCTGTACCCCGGTAATTCAATCGCGGCAATTGGAGAAACATGCGGAACCCTCGGACTTCTCCACCCCCATATCTGCACGAGTTCATCCACATTTGGTTCCTCACGCTGATAATCTCCAACTAAAAAGTTGACGACTTGACGATACTGTTCCTGGAAGAAGCCGCCCCAGCCAGCCTAAAGTTGTCGAATCTTGCCCAGGCCTAAGGGTCCTTCTTTCACTGGTCCTTCAAGTCCTACTCTGCATCGAGTCGTGGACGACTGTTCATGACGTGACATTCGCCGCTCCACAATATTGTAGTACTGTATTCCACAGGCTCCATCCCAGATCGGCCTTTCGATCTTGTTCAAGATGCCCTTGGGCATTCTCGAGGCCAAGGACATCGAACATGTTCCTGGTACGTATTTGGCGTCATATTGTTGCCGACATTGGGCATATGACCTCCCATCACCGATGAGGTGTTGACAAATCTGGACACATATCTGGACATGATGAGTTGACTCGCCATCTACCCCTTAGGCACGACACGATACTTCGACGACCCGTCTCGACCCCAGACCGCCGATGAACAGCATGGAAATCTCAAGCGCGTTAGAGTAGGAGAAGAGACCATCATCCTCGTACGTCTCTACGAATCTTTCTCCTGCTATGCTCAAGCTGACACCAACCTCAGATTCCTCAGCCCTCCGATGACCCAAACGACCCCTTGAACTGGTCGCTCTTGCGACGCGACTTGATTACCTTTCTCCTTTGTTTTGCCGGCATCCTCGCTACTGCACTCGGTCCTATCCTCGCCGCCAATACTATCACGATCTCTCTTCTTTTTGGCAAGGACTTCACCAAGGTCGCGCTTCTGACGGGATATTTTTTGCTGGGATGTGGTGCGGGCGCCATTTTCTTCGTCCCGTCCGGACGCATTTGGGGAAAACGACATCTATTTCTCATCGGTATAATTATTCTTATCGCCTCGAGCGCATGGGCTGGGGCGGTCGGGACAGATTATGGTAGTTTCATTGGTGCCAGGATCGTACAAGGCATTGGATGTGCGCCATATGAGAGTTTACTCAATGCGGCCGTTGGCGACCTCTATTTTGTCCATCAGCGAGGAGTTCGCATGGCTTTTACCAACTTGGCTGTCTTTGGCGGTGCATTTTTTACCCCCATTCTGGTGGGTAAGATCACTGCCGCAATGGGATGGAAATGGACCTTCTACTTTGTGGCCATCTTCCTTGCTGCTACTCTGCCGGCAGTCTTCTTTTTTTGTCCCGAAACCGCATATCGACGGGAAGCAAGTCTAAACACTGATACCACAGGCGAGCTTGGAATAGAATTGACGACAAAGGACAGACATCAGATTCCGTCGCCACAACGAGAGTCTGACGTGGCGACGACCCAAGAACTTGACCACCATGAACCAGGCTTTACGTTTTTGCCCAAGTCAAATGCTCTCCAGCCTATTGGTGATTCCAGCACTCCCAAGAAGACTTTTCTCCAGTCAATATCGCTGTTCGATGGTCGAAAAACAGATGAACGATATTGGGTTCTTCTGCTACGCCCATTCCCTCTCCTGACACACCCAGCTTTCATCTGGGGCTGCCTTATCCAGGGCACCATGATTGGTTGGACAGTGTTTATTGGTGTCATCATAGCTGCAGTCTTCATCGGCCCTCCTTACTACTGGGGTGAAGTAGCTGCTGGCTACACCTACACAGGACCGTTCATCGGCGCCGTTCTGGGCTTCATGCTGGCAGGCCTTCTTGCCGACACAAGCGTCAAATACATGACCAAGCTGAATAAAGGCATATATGAACCCGAATTTCGCATTCTCCTTGTCATACCAATGATGATTATTGGAGGCATTGGTTTGTATGGCTTCGCTTTGACCGCGCCCGGTGTGATAGAGAAGAAGTACCCGTACCAAGTGCCTCTGATTTTTTTCGGCTTTGAAGTCGCGGGCATGGTCATTGGTGCTGTAGCTAGTTCCTTGTATATCGTTGACGCATACCGTATGTCAATATCACAACTACGACGCATTTCTCGGCTAATGTTTGAATAGGCGACTTGACTATTGAAGCCTTCACGATTATGATCATCTTCAAGAACTTCTTCAGTTTTATACTGACATTTTTTGCCTACAACTGGATCAACAATGGCGGTATCGAAAGGACAATGATAGCAATTGCCTCAATCCAAGTGGGAGTTTGCCTTCTTAGCATTCCTATGTGTAAGTGACTATTTGCTATAGCACGTTGCCATTCGCTAATGATCACCAGATATATATGGCAAGCGAGTACGAGCCTATTACTACCGTCACGATTTGCTTGAAATGACTGGTCTTCGGTAAAGTTCCTAGACGAAAAGAGCATACACGCAACCATAAATGTTTATTAGAACTTTCTTTTTGGGTAATATTTAATGCTTAAATACTATGTCGGGCTGTTATAGTCAATTTCTGTTATCTCGCGTCTCCTGGCCAAGGTCAAGAGGGCAGCTCTTTCAGAACATAATTGATCGATTTTTTTTTTTTGCGTAATCACTATCTTGGTATCTGTATAAATCATAACGTCGTATTGGACATATACATTTCATCGTCCAACGTTTTCTGCACCACTAAACTGCCTCTCGCTTAAGCCTTTGCCATACCAGGTTCCGCAGCACCGGTAGAAGTAAGAGTTGACTTCTTGACGAGACGCAGGCCACCAAGCAAAATAACGGCCACCTGGACACACAGGATGACAACCAGAGTAACAAGAGCTCCAATGACACCGGCAACAGGCTTGGAAATACCATTGCTTGAGTCCCCAGAGTTCGAGTTGGAAGAAGCAGAATCATCCTCGTCAGAGCTGCTAGCGCAGGTACCATCGGTGTTTCCGCAGAGCTTGCACCAGTGCTCGGTATCCTCGATAGCAAATTCAGACATGCCGCTCTTGAAGTCCTTCCAGGAGATGGTGGTCGCATCTTCTCCGAAAAGAGGGAACATCTTGGGGGTGTTCTCAGCAGCAGTGCCGTTGGCGAAGTAGAAACGGACACTGACATCGTCAACGGTAGGGTTGGTGGCGTTTGTGACGAGCTCGAAGGCCATGGAGGAAGCGTAGTCGACAATACCCTTGAAATCAGAGCTGGCCTTGTCAAGACCGGCCAGACCGAAGAAAGCCATGAAAGCGGCGTAGGCGCCGAACTGGATGTTCACCTTGGGAGCTTTCTTGCCCTCGGCAATAGGTTCAAGAGCCTCAATAATCTGGCCAGCGAGAACGGAGCCGGCAATGGCACGGACTGGCTCGCTGCTGTTGTAGGCAAGGTTCCACTGTTGGATGGAGGCGAGGTTAAAGAGCTTGTCCAGAGTGGATTCCGTGAGAAGGTCGTCAGAGGGGATGCTGGAGTTGTGAATACGGGCGACATTGATGAGATCGAAGACTGGCCGAATTAGCAAGGTGTAAATAAATCTTGTGGGTATGGATTTCACATACTTGTGTAGGCATTCTTGAAGTTGGCCTCATCCTTTCCGTAGGTCTTCTCAATAACGGGGAGAAGGCTCTGGTAGAAGTCTTCAGTCTCCTTGTAGGTCTGAGCATACGAGGAAGACGAAAGGTAGGCGTTTGAGCTAGCTTCAGCGTTGGTGCAGCCACTGTTGCCCTGCAGCCAAGCGTTGCTCTCCGAGTGCTTATCGCTAGCAGCTGTTTCAACCGAAGCAATGGGGATATACTGATATCCGCTCAGAGGGGCCTCAATCTTGGAGCCATTGGCCAGAGTCTCAACCTGCTTGGTAGGAGGGTAAAGACCTTGGAGAAAGACGAGAGCTGAGTTCTGGAGAACAGCGTCTACGGGAGATGTAACATCCAATTGAGACAGGGCAGCTGATTCGGTGCTCAGGCCGGAGATCTTTCGGGGCGCATCTTCGCTCACATAAGTGTCGCGATACCAAGATCCGGAGGAGTGGACCTCGTCGGCTCCGAGAGCAGTGAAGTTGACAGGCTTCCAGGCCTTGGCGGTACGGTCTCCGTGACGGTGGAAGATGTACAGACCTAGGATATCTTCGGCAAGGGTGAGAGAGGAAAGAGAAGAGAGAAAGAGGAGGGATGGTAGTTTAGCGTGCATTTTGGCTGTGGTGGAAGTGGATGAAGCTATACACGCTTGATCAATTACGAGCCAATGCTAAGAGAGAAGAAAGAGGAAGGAAATAGGAAGGAATTGGGAAAGTCATGAGTATATATATGTCTAAGGTAACATTCTTATCATTGCCCTGTTTTGTAAACTAATGTTGCCTTAGTTTCTCATGAGGGGATCTCATGATAGGCAGGGAATGGATGGAATGGATGGGCCTGCAGTTCCCCGCCTCGGGTTGTTCGGCGATAGGTGGGCGTTGGAAGAATATCCCGTAATATTTTGCTGCAGGGTTTTGGGAGCAGTAAAGTAGACAGACAGACGGTTGCACGAAATGGGTTTCTCCGCGTAAAAGGCGCTTTTTACATGGAGGAGGTTCTCTAGTTTGTTGATCATCATGCCACTTCACGATGCCACTACAGAGCTTCATACTTGACTTTCAACATGGGATATCCTGTCTAGTGGATCGTATTCCTCTTGTTCCAACTTATCTCATGTCAATTGCACGACACATCTACGCAAACTCTCCGTAACTGACCTACCAAGCAAAGTGGAAGCTGTCCATGGTGAGCTTCCAGATACTACCTAGTCCAAGGTCCAGCTCCATTGAGTGCAGCTTGACTGCCCCTCCTTGACCGGCGTTACCCTCTACTAGCGGCCACTAATGCAAGCCCGCCATAAGCAGAGCCAATATGCAGCAACTGAGTAATCAGATTGAGGCCATGATTGATCAATTGGCTTTTTTGTAAGCTTCCAGGCACTTTTGACGAGGGGGATAATAAAGTGTCAACGGCCATCGGAGATGAATATGGTTGGATATCGGTCGGGTCGCGGCTCTGATGACGGGTTGATTGTGCCGTATTCTCCCCGTATCCCCGGTCATTGATTGTTTGAATCGGTCATAAAAAAAAAAAGTCGATGTTGGTGAGATCCATTTGACCCGTTGTCGGAGTCTTTTTCGGGTTGACAGGGAACATGGTTGGTGGGGATAATTCATCAAGACATCCATATGAGCTTCAATATAAACATTCAGAGTCGCTTGTCACTCCTCACGAGTACCAGTATGAGTGAAATGTCCTCACTAGATTATCGTTGCCTTCTTTTCCCTATTATCAGCTCATCTACTCCGGAGATGCCATTGCAAAGCGGGTCCCCAATTGGATGTTATCTATCGACCCAGAATGCATATCTCCGTCACCTCCGATTCTCTATCCTGCTGATAAGATAACTGTTGAATCGAAACACCATAGCCAAACACTGTATATCTTGTCCAATGCAAACACACATAACCATCCCTTACAGCTTGGGCTTGGCCGTCTTTCGAGGATCCCTCAAGTTTTGCGAAAACTCTCCCTTGAGAAGATAATCTGGATACTCCATACCAGCCTCGGTTCCCACACCCAGAGCTCCCTGACGCCTCCAGGCAGCACCATCTACAGCCAAAACTTGTCCACTGACATAGCTTCCGGCATCGCTGAACAGGAACACAGTCGCATCTGCAATATCCCGTACAGTTCCTGCGCGACCCAGCGGGATGCTCTTAGCATATCTCTTCTTCTCGCTCTCTGCGTCACTTCCTAGCCTGGCCAGACCCTCGGTACCTTCAATGCCTCCGGGGGCGATGACGTTGCTCTGGACACCTCTTGGTCCGTATTCGAGAGCGACAGATGCCATGAGTGAGTCGACGGATGCTTTGGCCGCAGCGACGTGAGCCTGGAGTGGCATGCCTGTGTAGTGGAATGTTGCAGAGACGTAGATGATGCGAGGGTTAGAGCTGCGCAGCAGATGAGGCATAGTTGCCTTGACTGTGTTAAAGGTTCCTAGTACATCAATGTCCATCACTGACTTGAAGGCATTGGAGCTCATTTTCTCTATCGGGACGACGAAATTACCAGCCGCACCGGCACTGTGAATATATTAGTAAACTCGAGTGAAGCAGCGTTCCTCTAAATGAGGTCTTACATAACAAAGTCGATTCCTCCCAGCTCTTTCACACATTGTTCAGCGGCGGCCTGGAGACTCTCGATCTAGAGTGCGTCAGTATCACCATAATCAGCTGGAAGAATGCACGCGTCATACCTTACGAACATCGCATCCTCCAATTCCTATGACTCTGGCTCCTTCTCTCACAGTTGCGATCTCTTTTGCAGCCTTCTCAGTCTTCTCGACACTTCTACCAATGATGCACGCGTTCGCACCGAGACGAACTAGTGCTCGCGTCTGCATGCTGCAGATGCTTCCTGCACCGCCTGTGACAAAGACAACGCGGCCATCTGGATAGCAATACTCGTTAGCGCTTTATCGAATATGGTGCTTGTCTTGGGGACTTACTAAAGATGCCATCCTTCCAGACGGAACTGAGGTACTCGGATTCGGGAACAGACATCGCGTTCAACTCAATCCAACACGAGATGATGGTATAATAATGTTCTGGACGGGTGTCTAAGTGATGAGATACTGTTTATACGTGTCGATATATATGAATAATCCGGGGAAATGATGAGTTAGTTGACGGATTGGCTGTAAGGAGGAAGTGAATGACGATGATTAACCGAAAGGTCCGTCGGGGGTTTGCGTGAGCCTCGGTTTCGGATGGGTCCAGATGCACGAGGAATCCGGGGTTAATCTCCACTAATTTTTCCGCATTCTCGGCCGAGTTACGCTTTCCCTCTAGAGGCCCGGCCCGTTGACCAACAGCAACAACCTGCCACATGGCCATGACAGCGGTACTGTAACATGGATGCTAACTTTAACTGAATACAAGCATTGTATTGGGACCAGGTCTGACTAATTTTGTCTGCCGGTTGTGAAATTGTGCTGCAATGAACTCTTGTTCATCACGTCCCTGTTGGGTATGCCTCGGCGAGTTGACTTACACGGACAGACATGAGGATGACGACAACATCGCAGCTGGAACTAAGCCCCAGTAGTACGGTAACACGCACGTGAGATACTAGCTTCCTCTCCAGAGGATTTGTCTCAGGTTATCCGCATTCTTACACATTTCCTGATACTGGAGCATGGGCTAGATGCAGTAAGCCTTGAGTCCTCCTTGTACCTGCATGCTTACCTAGTAAGGTCTTTTCTTATGCCCAGAAATGTACCGATGGGTGGATTAATACGCTTATCAACTAGCTATAACTTAAACTCCGTTAACCTTCTCCACGAACTATATATCCACATGACTGGTAGATACCGGTAGTGTCAAGCTTTTCTTCAGTCTCCACACAATGCTCCATGATCACTTCAACATTCTCGGAAACTGATGAAACAAGAGTCGGCATGTTCCGGACCGTTGCATTGAGACGCAATTGAACTCCTCATGACCCAATTCAGCTTTCTGCAGAACTGTTACTGTCAATGCACGGCTCCTTCACGCAAGCATATCTCAATACAGAATAGCCAAGTCTTAGATTGCGCATAGACTTTCATCTAACAGACTAACACTACTAACCAACAATCCGTCTCAGCGACGTTGATGCCTGAAGCCACTGATATTATCCTCACCCTCATCACCTATGTTTGTAACTCCCTTGACCTGGTTATGCACGGCCTATGCCCGGTCGTTGGGCATCCGGACGTTCATTCCCACAGTGGCGTCTTCGCCTCAAGTTTAAGCTACAGTAAGCGCGTATTATATTACTGTAGATTAGCTGATGCTGTGCTTTCCGGTCAACCGGGATCCAGTCTAAGGCAAGATCTCGCTTATTTTCTTTTCTTTTTCTTCAGCTGCAGAACAAGGAACAAGCCCTGTTGTGTCTCTTCTCCTTGGCCACTCATTCACAGCCCGCCTTACCAAAAGGTTCATCCCGCACGGCATACTATTTAGGGCGCGCTTATTCCTCCCCGCAGTCTGGACCCTGTCAGTTATCCCCGTCTAAGCCCCGTCTCTAAATAGGTATCCGTAGCTTATTTCTGATCTTTATCCTTGATCTGTTGTATACGTATCTTCTCCTTGTCTCAGAGATATTGCTCTGCCAAGATCCAAGATCAGTGGGGGCTGAAGTCTCGATCGTCGTTAGTGCCTTGCCATTTCTAGAGCCCTACATCAGCAAAGGCAAGTTTACGCCTCAGTCTTAGCAATTGGTGGCACATGTAATCAGCATCACATTGGGCACTAGAGTCAACCCCAATACTGTACGGCACTCTACACCCATTCATTCACCATAAACACCAGGTTCATCCTTGTTCTTTTATGTGATGATCAGAGCACTCGACATCTTCCCACTGCGTGTATTATCATGGTTGGTCATCCATCGGCTGCCCTAACGCCGTGATGACTCTTCCCACTACTCGGATGCATAACCCGCTCTCGCCATAATCACGACGCCGCTCGCCTCGAAGACTATTCAGTTTAGGGCGTGAACCAAGACTTATCAACACAGTTTCCATCAGTTTTAATTATATCGTACACGCCATGTGTTAATTTCAATTTCGTACAATTAATCCCAGCTCGCCTCGTTCCATATTAACCTGACTCTACTCAGCTCGTACCATATGTGCCGTCTTGCACCAAGTTTTATTTATTAATTGTTACCACCTCGTTAACTCCATACAAAGTGTCCATATGTTGGCCGAACAGAGCCGTGGAATTCAGTGCAGTTTCAGCTTCTAATCTTGACATCAAACGCACGTTTCCCCTCTTGTTTTTGTTTCTCTTGATTTTCCTTCTTCGAGTAACTTTGCATTCCCTCGCCTTCCACCATTATTGGTCTGGCTCTTTCTCGTATATTTACTCGTGGGGGCCTTCTGGGGACTGAAGGTAGCTCGTTACTCTCGACCTCGAATAATGCGGTCGTTCGGGAGTGTCTAGGCCAACAACGTTTATCAAGATTCGGTCTCTTTTGCCTTAAACTCGTTGCTTGAGCCCGTTCCTACACCAATGTAGAGTTTGAGAGTCTCCTACTCTTGATGATCATGAGCTCTTGTTGACGGGGCGTTCTTTTCTTATCATGTCGAATTTTCCAGAAACATCTTGTCCGCTTCACCCACAGCACAAGGGGCAGCTCTCAGGCAGCACAATATAACGTTCATGAGGGCCTTTTGGGCAAGCATGCTCGCGGCTTCCATCGATCGACGTCTTGCAGAAGTGCGTTCCGGGATCGGTGCAGGACATGTAAATGTAGTAGTTTTTGGTAAAGTCGCACATGATGTCAGGTTCTGCAAGATGATCCGTAAAGCAGTTAGTTTTCATTTCCCAAGAAAAACTTTATCTTCTTTCTCGAACTAAGAAAGAACATACCTAGTATTGTTTCCGTCCGTGAACTGTTGCAAATTTGTGCTAGGTTCAAGAATGACCCGTAGGGACGAAAATGTGCAAAGAAGGTTGAGCTGAAACAGTAGTGGCTGGAGTAACGTATGTGATGGATGTTTGGTGTGTTTGCTAGATGTCTTGGTGTGTAACAAAGGCCGAAAGAAGCATATGAAAGGCAGGTAGGTCTAGAGGAGAAAGGGAAGTGGCAGCACTTATAAAGGGCACAAACACTATGTTTGAGGAGTCGACTGGTATGGTAAGATCACAGATGAGGCGTAATTCAACCTAATGGCTCTGGGTAGTAGCTAGTGGATATATGAGATGATTTGGGGAAAGGTGGTATCGATTCATTTTTTGAGGGCGATCTCGTGGTGGTTATAGATGGGGACCGGCACGAGATTCAAGGGTCCCCGAGACGCTTGAACCGATGAGACATTGACATCCTCGTTACTGTCTCGGGAGGTCTTTGCTCCAACAAGACGGGGATTGACAAGGTAAACAGACTAGCAAAGATATTTTGCTTGGTCCAGGGTTTGATCTGTCATGCCGAATTCAAGCCAGGTCCAGGTCTGTGTGACAGCAGGTGGAGTGTGCTCTTAGCTAGTGGGGTACGGTTACTTAGCCCGCTTGTCCAACGGTCTCGTCCTAAACCTCGAACGACGGCACGCAATAGGTAATCCCTACAGGACACAGCAGCCCCCAGTAAGTCTGCCAGGTCGCGCTGCCAGCTTGCAACGTCGGTACCAGGAGCCGACGTACCCATGCTCTATAGGGAGCGTAGTATTGCAACCCAATAGATTGTTTGAAAGATGCGCCGTTCAGAAATGATATGGGGGGCGAAATCTTAATGCAAGTCAAGAAAAAGGGCGATTCAGTGGGCGCTCGGGCACACCCCATCAGGAGAACAACGAATTTAGTTGAATCCTTAAAAAAAAAATTGATAATGCGATTGGACCACCATAACTGCCACTAGTTGGATTGAAGGACTGTTGTCTCTCCTTGTTGACTTCGCTACTGGCGTCCCGTCCTCAAATTGACCCTCAGCCTCATTGCTGTAGATTCGGAAAAAGAAAATAAAATGGAAATATCCGACGATCTGTTTTCGATGGTCAGTCTGACGAAGCAATGTAGGGATGAATGTACTTTCGAAACAGGTACCCGCGGTGCCAATGCATGGTATTGCCCAGGAGCAAGCAAGTAGACCGGATGATTGTTTGATGGCGGCGGTGTCCCGCTGGCGTCAAACAACAGTCCTGGTTAAACTTTATTGGGATGGATGCAGATTCCTCGCCTGAGCTGGCGATGTCACCTTCTCCCTATTTTTCTTTCAACGGCGAGGGCTGAGATCGGCGCCACGAAGCAGCCCTGGGGAGCCATTTGGCATTTGGTGCGTTTGACATGCGTACCGAGATGTCGGGATAGGTTCGACCGTAAACGAGCCGTTGGCGTAGTAGATGTGACTGATTCCTTGGTGCATACAACACGTCAGTAATTATGTTTGTGGCTGTTCCGGAACTTTAGCTCCAAACATTCTTCGTACATACTGCGTATTATCCACCCGTTTGTGCAAGGCGTGATGGCGACTTTGTCTGCATACACTAATGAAGGCAAAGGATCCAGTTGTCGGACGATCTTCAGCTTCATTATTGATATGGAGTTGAGAGACATTGGCTAGTGGGGGGTTGAATGAATGGATTGTCATTCTTTCCTGGTTATTGTTGCATAAGTCTGCATCCAAGGTGGATGCCATCGCTTACGGTATAAACCTGACAATTCTCTTCATCCCTTCCTTCCTCCTTTCCAGTTTGAGCTTGAATCACTGGAAGAAACCCAGGTGGAAGGAGCCACGCCGTCTAACTAAGTCAGGAGCAGCTGGCATTAGTGACTGCGCATTTTGCGGCTCCGTGCCTTTCGTGACTTCCTTCCATTCATACTAACTTCAATAGTAATGACCTGCTGTATACGTATTACCTCTACTTGGGTATTCCTTGTCATTAGGAACATTCTAACTTTAATGATGGAATGATATCAGAAGCAACGAAGCATGCGGCTTTTACCTTTCCACTTTTACTCCCCTCCCGCTCTCCCGCCCGTTCCATATTCATCCGACTACCTTGATAGCAGATCATCATCCCATTGCATCGACGAAAGACCGTAATGTTATGCAAGACGTTTCAGCCAACAAATCCCAGCTCGCACGCCTCGCCGGCCATGCAACGCAGCCCACAATCTCCCGCCTCATGATCTTTGACATATGTTGTGTTGGTATCAAGTTATGATCCGAGCACGGCGATCGACGAGCAGCTGAAGCATCTATCGTTGCCATTGGCTCAAATAGTTCGGTACACTCCCCAACGCAGCATAGCCAAACTCCAAAACGTATCATGAAGCAGGCCTTCAAGCCCGTGGCAGGCAGTTCGAATGAATAAAGTCCGCTCGAATCCGGGGGTGGAAAGCTTGCTCCCCACTAAGCTGCGACGACTAGCAAGGTCAACCGTCGGGTACCTACAGGAGCGTTCTCATTTCGTGCATCCTGGTCAGCCCTAGTAAGGATCTTGGTTTCTAGCCCCACGCGACGCCAAGACTCGGCTGCTGGTTTCACATGGAAGCTTTTCAGCTGAGTCGTCTAAGATACGCGGACACTCTTCAATTCTCCGTGGCTGCCGCAGCGCAGAGTCGCAAACCTGACTACGAGACCGTACAACATCAAAGCATCCACTCCATCAAACATATGACGCTTTCCCGGAGCTCAGGAACGAACAGCAAGGGGCCGGCAAGCCGGAGTTGATGGTGTGAAAGAATTGTCTTTGAGCACCACTAACTGGACACCGTTCGCTAGCATGTATTGTATACCTGGTCCGAGTCTTTAATGCGCAGTAGAGAACAAGCACTATGTACATGTTCAAATAGTTACGCAACTTTCAGACATGCTCGAGGGGGTTGAACTTACCAAACAAGCCATCGGCCAGACTAGCCATAAAAGGTGGTGATAACGAAGCATTCTAGCCGGCCAGAGGACTTTGACATCCAACGTGCTTTTCACCTTGACCGCAGCACGGATTTGTCAAAGTCCTTGTGTGGTGCCATGACCAGCTAATCTGGTTGCATTGGTCAAAGCATCAACAACTCAATATAAATATGTCCGAGATATGCACCAATACTATCAAGCTGCATAAATACAGGTACCGGGCTGAAAGGGCACGGTTTTTTTTTGTTTACGTTATGGTCTATTCGACGACATGCAGCTAGTAGCCATCGAAGCATTGCCGAGGATCAGTTCTTTCAAATATCAGGATGGAGTCCATCTCACGACGCGCAATTATCCGCAATCATTGCCGCTAAGATCCTTGTCCTCGGATATTCGACAAGCGAGCACTGTGGACATGAACAAACATGTGCCGGCATTCTCAATGTATTGTCTTTGACTACTGCGGAGACTCCTGTCAGCCCACTGATTAATAAACATCATATACCGGTGCCTGATAAGTCGATCATTTTGCAAGTTCCATCGGCCAGCTGATGGCAATTGTAGTTCTGGCGCATGTCATCCCCTTCAAGATCATCACAAGAGAGTCTCTAAGCCATCACCACTAGCTTAGTGATCTAACCATCTGGACTGAACTAAACTTACATGTACGACACATTTGCTGGTACCGATGGCGCGTAAAGCGAAGAAACTAGCGTCCCACTCACTACGGCGAAGCTCCTCTGTGATATCGTCTAGTTCGCCTTCTTACCGCGTGTCAGGGCTGGATACTATCCGGCTTTTGCTGCATTCACGTCGTTGCTTATTGGCCAGCGCGACGAGAGGTTTCTGGGTCTCATACAGTCGCGACGATCCTCAATCTCAATATTTTCTATTGAAAACGAGTCAGAGCCGAGCCCCCGAATACTGCGCTCAAAGCAAGAATGTTGAGTTCTCCGAGGGCGAGGGCCGATCAAGACTGAGATTAGGCGAGTCGATGATATAAGGTCCAACAACCGATATTGACCAGATCTTGCCGATCAGCCATGAAAGCGGTAAGACTGTTCGAATGTAGTATTCAAGCCACCATCTGTGTCGTAATTATTTTCCTTTCTAAGTCTGAGCGTCGTCCCCAGGGTTTCACCATAGGTGTTAGTGGCTTTTGGGTCTAGTCTGCACAGTTATCATCCAACATGATGAATGTCTTTGAGGTCGCTTCGGCCGACTTACATTCGACTTTTAAAAATTTGTGTCGGCTCACAACATATCCGGTCTGTCTAAGCTCACAAGCCTGTCATTGTGGCTTGACTATCATAGCACGCTTCGGTTTAACTCGGGCACAGACTATGTCTCTCCCTTGCAGTCTCTGAAATGCATGAATCGCATAACAAGGGCAATCTTTGTCCGACAGTTTTGGAGACATCGCCGAGCCGTCATCAGTGCCACGTCTGAACGGTCTGATCGAGCGAGCTAGTGTGGTAAATGATAAACGCTTGGGCTCCTATACATTCATTGCGCTGGCCCAAATGCAACAGTAAACATCTGCGGTGGGCTCATCACTGAATGCTCTATTGAACGAATCTTGGCAAACCTGGCAAGCCGTACAGTACCAGTTTGCAACATCGGTGATCCCATCCAGTCGATGTACAGGGTAGGTTGCATACACATAAGATACATCAAGAATATGAGATTACTCAGCCAACGCTACTCTTGTTTATCAAGCTGACATCCATATAGAGAAGCAAAGTCAGAGCACTTCGTCACGGTACCATACCTACATGTGACAGAGTGGTTGCCTGGCTGTCTGTGTCTGTCGGTTACTCACACAGCATGTGTGGATTATTTGGCTAAGTTTGTAGAAATTTCAGAGACATAAGCTATAGATATAACACTCATTGACCTCAAATTCGACGCGTATTATAAAACCCCTGGGCTTGACAACTCATTGCCAGTGTTATTCAGTGATATAATTTGAGATAGTAGGGTAGGTAGGATTAAAAGCTAAGAAATTAAGTATGATTTGAGCTTCGACCGTTTCTATTATATCCGATATTAGCCTTATGCCCTAGCCACATCACGCTGCTTTAGCCACAATAAGCAGCTACGTACGCCACTGGAGCCATTGGTACGCTGTGATTGGCTGTAAATTTGCACGCGCTTCCAGGTTGCCACTCCTCCATGCGATTCATCTCGATCTACCTGCAACAGGAGCTCCTCAAGCTCAATCCCCTCTCTCCATGGCTGTCTTCGACCCATCGTAAACTTCTCGACCGCATCTCGAGCTGCACCAAAACTTCTAAATGCTGGCATTCTTGCGCCCTTAGCATCCCCTATCTACGATCGAGACGATATCTTGACGCGGCGCTGAGGGGCCTTGAGATTTCCAACTCCACCTGGGTGCCAACCCAGACACAGCCGTCAGGATGACCGAGCCATCACCCCGAGGGGTTCGTTTTTCAGACACCGAAGATGATGGACGTCCGGATAAGACTAGGAGCCATCATCCCATCGAACACAACGGCGATCCTCATGCGACAGAACGACAAGACGAGCTGGGCAACCTATCCCTATACGAGACATCGGGCCACACAGGATCTTTAACCTCACTACTTCCTGGAACAGTCATCAACGGTGCCCCAAAGCCACAGACGCCCAACGGCTCCCGGCCACAGCGACCACTAGGACCTACCCGGACACCATCGAACACGTACAATCCTGCCACGTCAAGAAAGCCAACTCACCCACCGGCCACACCTTCTTTCACAGAGTCTATCCGATCGTCGTCTAAAACACGCCCACGGCAGAATGAAAGCAGGTTTCGTGCACAGGAGCGAGCGTACGTGCAGAAACTCCGACAAGATTACAGCGGAGGGTATTTCACATCATACTCTAATTTGAACGGAAATGATTCAGACTCAGAAGGGGAGACACCCTCATCGGAGGGCCCATACGACGACCGTTTCGACCAGGAGACTATCATGTTCTACGGCAACGACAATCTCCAACCCACAGACGAGGACTTGAAAGATCCAGAAAACCGCGAAAGGCTCGAGTGGCATGGCATGCTCGAGGCTGTTCTTACCGGAGATGTAGTACGACAAGAAAAGAAACGGTTGATTGGATCCGCGGACCAGCAGGCTGGGAAAAGCGCCCACAAGACCGAACTGTGGCTGGGTATCCGCTCTAAAGTCTGCGGAAGACATATTCCTGTCCAACGACGTATGCTGGAGGAATCTCGATCTACACTTGATCGCACTCTCGACGAAATCATCAATTTCCAAATAAAGGGTGAGAGTGAGGCTGGAAAACCCCCTTATGAACAAGTCAAAGACATGGTCGGCAAGATCCAGATGTGTGAGAATCTGTATCCATCCTGGGCCTCACTTGCAGCGGAGCACAAGGCAGCAGATTCTGCTGCATTCAAGGAGGCGCATGATTCCATTATCTCATGGTACAATACCAACGAAATGATCAACACTGAATTAAACATCTTGAAGAAATGGGTCGGAAACGAGGAACTCGACTTTACACGCACGAAGCAGCGATCGCCCGCTGTGAACGGCATTAGTAACGACGAAACATCCTTCCTTGACCGATTAATGAAAGAAGACGGACTACAATCACTCTACAACGATGACGACGGACATCTAGAGAAGGGAATGCTTGCGCCTATATCCACCGTTATTAGCAAGGCGAAGGATACTCTTATCAGGAACTCCGAGCCCTTCCGCAAACGTCACTTACCACCATACCTCGAGGAGCTACTCACATTGATCAGCTTTCCCTCGCGCCTAATCGAGGAGATCACCCGCACGCGTCTCGCTTATGCTAGGAGAGTTAAGGAATCTGCCCAGCAAAACCCTTTGATGCAAGATCAGATGATCTCTCAGTTTCAGCTACTGCTCAAGTTTGCTATACGTATCAAGATTGAGTGTACTTCCATTGCAAATCCCGAACCAGGTTGGGACCTGCCACCTTGTATCGACGAATCTTTCGATCAAGTTGTATTGGAGGCTTTGAAGTATTACTTCAAGATGCTAAACTGGAAGCTAAGCGGAAACAAAAACACTTTCAAAGAGGCCGAACTTTTGTTCCAAGAATGGGACTTTGCCAACGAGATTGGCAGCCACCTGCAGCGTGGCCACATCGAGGTTGCGGAGCAGTTCAGCTCACTGACGTTTAAGGCGTTGCACAGACTTAGCCAGACTTTTGAGAAGGAACTGCAAGCGAAGCCAAAAGAAACAGCGTCTGAGATGAGCAAACGTTACAAGGCCTGCCTTGATTCCGTACGAGTCCGTCAGCGAATGCTTCAGCGATTCACTCGAATGCTGAACGATAATTATGAGCACGCCTCCGACTACAGCATTTCGTTCCCACCCGAAACCATGCAAAAGTTTTATGATCAGCTAGTTGCTTCAGGCCATTTCCAAGTTGACACTCGTCTTCTCGAACAGGACAATACCTATGTGATTGCGTCTCCCGAGTTGCGTGAGCGACTTGAAGATATTCAGGCTATGATGGCCATCACATCCAAAGACCAATTTCCTGATGAGCTCGGAGAACAGTATCTTCTTATTCTTCGGCCGGAGGATCCAATTAACTGGTTTGGCGAGGTGATCGAAGTTCCGCTTCGTGATTTGAATATTGACATGAAGCGAGGACACATTCGACTTTGCGCTTCCAGCCCACAGACTCTACATAACGCACGAAGGGCATTCCTTGACAATGTCGATATGCATGTTGATCTCGTCCAGGAATCGAGATCTAACATTCAGAAGGTCAATTCAAGGTTGACAGAGATTAGGCGAGTGGCTTACAAGCTTTCCAATACTTTCATGGACAGTGTGGAAATTATCAGGAAACAAGCCAAAGGTAAAGATTGCCAGGAACTTATCCAGACATGCTTCGTGTTTGCTACAGAATTCGGACAACGTTCATTGCTCTACATGGATAGCAACAGACGACAGATGAACAACCTCAAGTTGACAAAGCTTGCCCTCGATTGGGTTAGCTTCATCTGCGACGACTGTATCGCATCAGATCGAAAGACGTTCCGTTGGGCTGTGCTCGCGCTTGAGTTGGCCATGGGGATGACGAGAGGACGACACATTCTGGCCCTTGGCGAAGATGAGTATGCCAAGCTTCGTTCGAAGGTTGCTGGGTGTATGTCTCTTCTCATTTCCCACTTCGATATTATGGGCGCCAGGTCAAACTTGGCCGCCCAGGCCGAGAAAGAGCGAATCGAGGCACTTGTCGGGCAATTCCGAAAACTCGACAAGAACAGAATGCTCAACGACGAAGAAGCCTCTCGTTGCATTACAGAGCAGCGAATGGAGGAGCTCGAAAGAGTGGACGAGTACCGACGCGAGAAGGTTGCAGAGAGACAGGGAGTCGGAAGAGTACTGGAGGGTAATAACGAGGTCGACCGGTCGTTGGCATACCTTTCGTCTTCAGCAACCAACGTCACAATGCGTTGGCAACAAGGCCAATTCGTAGGAGGCGGCACTTTTGGCAATGTCTATGCAGCTATGAACCTCGACACTGGCCATCTGATGGCTGTCAAGGAAATCCGACTTCAGGACCCCAAGCTAATACCCCAGATCGCCGAACAAATCAGAGAGGAGATGGGAGTGCTGGAAGTGCTGGATCATCCCAACGTGGTCTCGTATTACGGCATCGAAGTTCATCGAGATCGAGTATACATTTTCATGGAGTTCTGTTCAGGAGGATCTTTGGCTAGTCTCTTGGAGCACGGCCGAATCGAGGACGAACAAGTTATCATGGTATATGCACTGCAACTCCTCGAGGGTCTCGTCTATCTGCACGAAAGTGGCATTGCCCACCGAGACATCAAGCCCGAAAGTAAGTTTTGTGTTTCCAGTTGACCTGAAAACGATGCTAATTACAACATAGATATTTTACTCGACCATAATGGAATCATCAAGTATGTGGACTTTGGCGCTGCCAAGGTTATTGCCCGACAAGGACGCACACTTGCTGGAGATATACAGGCGACCATGCCAAACCGATCCATGACAGGAACACCGATGTATATGTCACCCGAGGTGATTAAGGGGGAGAACCCTGGTAAGCCCGGGTCTGTCGACATCTGGTCCCTGGGCTGTGTCATTCTAGAAATGGCTACTGGCAGAAGACCTTGGGCACAACTGGACAACGAGTGGGCGATCATGTACAACATTGCCCAAGGAAACCCACCTCAGCTACCGCCCAGCGACCAGCTCAGCCCTCAGGGACTCGACTTCTTGAAGAGGTGTTTCACAAGAGACCCCCGAAACCGATCGTCAGCTGTTGAGCTACTGCAGCACGAATGGATCACATCGATTCGAAGCCAAGTCGTAGAGCCTGCGACACCGAGCGACACAAGTAGCTCGGCACAATCAACACCAACTGTTGGCTCAACATCGAGCAGACTTGGAGGATCCGATGGGTTCTACTAGACGGATTGGCTCAAAAGCTTTGGCAGGTGAAGAGGATCAGTAGGAATCAATTTCAAGCAATGGGAAGATGGGTTAAATGGAAAAGAGAAGAGGAGGGACCAATGGTTGCCGGGTTCGTTCAAGCACCAGTCTATAACAACTCGCTGGACAGTAGGCACGAGCGATGAGTTCGGAGTTTTGTGCTGCTCTGTCTTATGTACGTATATTTGTAATGAGAATGGATGGCTACAATTTTGAGGGGAAAGGTATGGGTGCATATTAGGGATGGTCATGATAGTAACAATGGACCATGAACAAGAACAGGTGCTTGGTAGCAAGTATCCGATAATACATATTGAAACCTGGAAACTACTGCTTATTAAGAAGAGACATGAGCGAATATCACGATACTACGAACATGGTCAACATGTTTGGCTGGTTGGTCAATCAAAGTCTTAGGAAGCTGCCGAAGGTCCGTCATTTCGGCGCCCAGCCCCGCATTACGGAGACGCCCGATGCGGAGATATGAACGATAAGGGCCCGCCCGCCCGCGTTACGGGACACGGGACATGATATAAGCATCACTCACTCTTGGTCACACGCTCTTCCTTTCTCCTCTCTCTCTCCTTTTCTTCTTCCCTTTCCCCTTTCCTTGTCCTTCCTCCTCTTACCAATGGCAACTCCAGAGACCATCACCAGAGGCGATACCGCCAAAACGGCCGAGGTCTGTGCAGCACACGGCATCTCGCCGGAAGAGTTCTCGGAGCTCCGCAAGCGTGCAACAGCGGCCAAGTCGACTGCGTATTGTCCCTACAGCCAGTTCCGCGTCGGAGCTACAGTTCTCTCAAGCGAGGGTGAGCTCACCAGCGGCGCCAACGTGGAGAATGCGGCGTATCCCGTGGGAACATGTGCGGAGCGTGTGGCTCTCGGTACGGCTGTGACAAGCGGTCATCGCGATTTCCGGGCCATCGCCGTCGCTACGGATATTGCGCCGCCTGCAAGTCCGTGCGGAATGTGTAGACAGTTGTGAGTTTCTATGTTTGTTCGGGTGGTGAAGAAGTTGTAGAGAGTTACGAAAGGGCTTTTGGCTAACGGGGGCTGTGTGTGTTTCTGGTGATGTAGTATTCGAGAGTTTTGCAAGTTGGAGACACCTATTATTATGTTTGACAAGAACGAAGATTTTGTAGTTGCGAAGTTAGGACAGGTCAGTCATAGTGTCTCCTTGAGTGTTGGGTTAAGATTAACCGTTTACAGCTTTTGCCGATGTCTTTTGGACCTGATCAACTTCCACCCCCTGGAGCACCAGGAACTCACTAGAGGATATATCATGATTTATGAAGCCTTGGAAGAGGTTGAAGGCAAAGAGATCTAGACGCATGCTACATACTCATTTCACATTTGCATCTGCATCGGCGGTTGGATAAAACGAACTGCATATATGTTTCTCATGGTTGACACATAAGTGGACGGTGGCGTTGAATGACTGGTTGGGAATGAAACAAGGTGAATTTGAATACTGTAGTAGTATATGTTCATGGGAAACTACCGTAGGGGCTCCGTATTGCGCGTTCTATTATATCACTGACAAATGGACCGGCGACTGTCTTCCGAGTGAAACGTGTTACTCATGCTACCAGAGGCCTCCATTTACGTGTTCAATGTTATACGAAGATATACTTGTAAGTTTGGGAATTCAATAACGAATGAATAGATGAAAAGACTTTGTTCTAAGCAGAGCTGATACGATGGCGTCGGAGTATTGAGTTGGCGGGAGCTAAATATGGAACTGTCGTGCAGTAGCGCAAGGTCCTTGAGATTGGAAACAGGATGTAAGTAATCTGGGGTTCAACCATCTCACAGACTGTTTCAGTAGATAATATTCTCGCGTGACCAAGGACTCATGTGATGAAGCTTGGTGTTACTCGAGTCGAGTCTCTGTCTGATCTGCAGCAGATACAATGGATCTCTTTGCTTCGTCCTTGGCATCAAGAGTTGCATTTATTCGCATTGGGCACTTGCCAAAGACTCGACGTCATTTCGACCAGGAAGAGCAACTCATTCAGAGATAGCGCCCAAGCTACGATGCTGTTTACCCAATGAGCTGAAGTGTATGTCTGCGCTTTCTTCAGCCCTGAACCATCCATCACCAATCCCTGCGCAAGGGTCTCACCAGGATCAAAGCCCCAGCCCAGGGCCAGGCGTCAAGCGTTTACTTTTGTAAGCAGCATCTGGTTGGCGGTCATCGGGCTATTTGAACTGGCTCTGACTCGAGGGCTCATCAAGTCAAATTGGGTGGCCACTGGCTTTACGATTCAGGACGAGCTAAGCGCAGTCAAATAAAGAAAGGACAAATGAGACGAAAGAAAGACCCAAGAAATATGGTATGGCACGGTACTTGCTTAGCTAGGTTACCACGCATAAATAAATAATGCATAAAGATGGAATTCCGGGATTGGTGCAACTCTATCTAAGCCTCTCCCAGGTACGATACCTCGATACGATAGCCCGCTATTATGCATGCTCTACTCCACGTTGGTGTTTATGCTGCTACTGTCACTGCAACTGTACCAGCTGAGACCTGAGCCATTTGAGGGACTTTATCCTGTCGGGTCCTTCTGCCCCAGTCATTTATAGCCCATCCAAAAGGCCTCCAGGCCTCCCGGCTTCTAATCCCCGCCGCACAGCCCAAGCAGAAGCTACTGTATGTACTGTACCTATGGCCCGGGCTCTCGGTTCCCCCGTAAAAGGCCCACGCAGCGACGAGGCCCCTGAAACTCATCCGGCACGTAGAGCAAATAGTTCCGAGAGGCGCCTAAATCGTACAGTAGCAGACAAGTATTGGATGTAAACGCGGTGAGTGGCTGGACGGTTGAGCGGTCGAACGTTCAAACGGGCTACCGGATTAGGGAATTCACAAGTGAAATTGGTGTGTAGTGTCACGTTCTGGAAGGGCGGTGTTGAGCGTCCCAAGACTTGAGCTAGTTTGGGGTCGATCTTTAGGATCGTCTCAATGCGATGCTATGTCGAGACTGGATGGTTTGGTCTCACAAGGAACAGCTTAGGATTGAGGCAATTAAGCGACATAGAGTTCGGATGGATAACCCAAGAATTCCGAATGGTCGAGATGCGTGCTTATTGAAAAAATGAAGGACTGAGGCTAGAGTTTGTTGTCTGTTGTTGATGTGGAAACGGAATGTGATAAAACTTGAAGGGAGCGAGTAAAGAAGAGAGAGAGGATGCTTGGTGATGGAAAAAAACAATGCGCATACCGTATACCATACCCCGCGCTGCGTTGCATTACATTGCATTGCATGTTATAGCATGACTAGACATGAATGCTGCGGTCGGTCTCGAGTTGTCTATTGATGTAATGTACTGTACAGTTGCTATTTGCGATGTAATGGTTCCTTGGATCGACTGGACGCTACTGGGTAGACCATGGGACGTGGAAGTGTCAGGTATGTCCAAGGAGAGCGGTGGCGTTGGCGATGTTGTTTTGTTTTAGATTCAATACCCTGGTACTTTAGGGAAGAGGACAATGCAGTGAAATGGATACTGCCGATAATAGAGCCTCCAGATGAATAACTGAAGACTCGTACTTAGTATCAGGAACATTAAAATATATCAAGACTCACTACTACTCGTTCTCTCACTCTCACTTTATCGTATGGTATTATCACTTCTTGACCGTCAGATAGATACCCTGGACCCGTCACCCACTGAACCGGCTCAAGTGCCCCGCTAAAAAGTCCCTAGTGGGTTCGTCTCGCGCCGCGGGCACTGCACGTTCCTCCACAGGCAGGTACCCCCCTCCACTAGCGGAGGTACCTCACCGGGCCCTGGACTGGACTGGACTGGCCCAACTGATGGAACTGAACTGACCGTCTATCACGTCCCAGGCCTGGATTGGATTGGACAGGACATGATCCAAAACTGATTCGGCACCACGCGCCCAGAGTCACTTGTCACTTTCTCTCCCTTAACATTACTGGACATGGTATGGTATGGCAACTGCCTTTAGGTTCCTTCCTTCAATCACTTACTGTACCTCTCTACTCGCCTCTCAAAACAATCTCAAATCACTTTCATAATCTTCTCCTTCAAACGCCTCCTCGTTTCCTTCATCTTTAACCTCCCTCCCCTTCTCATTTCTCTTCCTCTTTTCTTCTCTCGGCTTCACCTACGAGGGTTGTTGTTCTCTTCTTTCACATCGCCTGATTTTAGTGGTGACACCCCCCAAAACCGATATCGAGAGTTTTAGAGTACAGGTCCCCTTCGCCGCCTTTCTCCCCTCTCAACCCCAAATCTAAAATACCAGCTACCGTACTTCCCACCACACCTCGAGCTACAGCTGCAGTACCGCACCGCGCTATACAAAGTATAGCCTCTCTCCACCAGTACCACGCTCGAAAACAAAACAGAAGAAGCGTCCTTCCACCTCGGATCCCTAAAAAGCTTGATCCACCCCCGCCTTTCTGCCGCGCTCAAGGTTCAATCGAATTCAATCCAATCCCGCTCTCGTCAGCTTGTGATCGTTTCCCTTGACGCCCTTTCCCCGGTGCTGCGCCGCCTGCCAATCCCAAAAAGATCCCCGACTTGCAGCAGCCGCCGACAAAGAGCTTTGTAGGACCGCCGCTGACGATCATTTCTCCCTCGACGAATAAACCCCCAATTCGACGCCATTAGTCGTCGGCCAAGACGCGATCAAGCTTCAAGCCGGCATAACTGCTCATGCCACCGTTGATGTCCTGACGACACCGGCTTGGCTCTCAAACTCTTGTCACTCGTGCCGTGCCGTACTGTATTACCGTACATCGTATCCTGTTTCTGCCTCCAGCTCCGATTACAAATCTCAAAATGGAGCCAGTTCCTGAGACAGAGCGCATGGAGGAGTTCCGTCCTACTCCTACCCCTGCTCCCGTTTCCGCTTCCACCTCTGTCTCTGCGTCACCCGCTGCTTCACCACTTGTGCCATCGCTGCGACTGCAAAACCCCAACGCTATTTCTAACCTCAGCATCGAGCTACCCCGAAAGCCACCAAACCTGAGACGAAGTACCGACCCCAGCCCGACTTCGCCTGCTTCACCATCTTGGTCTTCCTCACCATTCATTCCGTATCGACCACGCACCACTTCTCCACTATCGGGAGCTCACACCAGATCTCGTTCTACAACGAGTCTCGCGCCCCCAATGTCCCGCACTCAATCTATGCCAGGCGTCAACGGTTCAGGTCACATCCTGTTCTCGCCTCATCATCGTCCTGGAAGCCCATCTGGATCACCTAGCAGAGTGCGAATCCCGCGAAAGCCCGCCGATGAAGCTTTCCCACCTATTTCGCCTGTACGAACTTCGGTCCTCGAGCCCGAGCAAAGGCATGAGAGACGAAGCACTTCCCCCATTATGGGCATTTCCACAAGCACACCTGCGCGACTTCGACGACCATCATCTCCTCTGCGGTCTTTTACATCTTCAAGCACTGGATCCCTAGGAACCTTCCCCTCGACTCCATCCTCGTCAATTTCGTCTTCGTCCTCGTATCGAAGTTACGACGCCCTTTCAGGAAGCTACGGAACCACTTACTCATCGGTTCCCTCCACACCAACATCGACCCGATCTCGAAGTCCCAGTATCTCCAGTTTGGAAACCATTCCCGACACACCTGATGCAGAAGAGGCCGCGCTGGAAGCTGAAAAAATTGCCCAGCTAAAGGCCGACGCAGATGCTGCTGACGGAAATGATGCCACGGACCTGAAAGGGAAGGATGGGCAGATGCGAGGACGCACAATGGGTTTCGGCTCTCGAGATAAAAGAAAGCGCTGGAGTGTGTGCGGTGCCGAGCGCAGAGGGGATATCGACCTTGAGACGATCTGGGAGGATTGATTGACGGGTGATGAATAGTAGCGGGCGATGACTTGAGAGATATACTGTCTCAAATCGGTTGGCTTATGGCATGCCTAGCTCAAGCTAGTATGGATGGGATGGGACGATACTTGATACTTCACGATTGCATCACAGGCGACGGTTTACTGATTATTATTTTGACGGCATAAGCACATGGTTTTTGTTGGTTTCTTGTTAGCTTTTACAAAGGGCACGATGGCGATTGCGTGGCCCTCTTGATACCCATTCCTGCACATGCGGAAGATTCGACAGGAGAAACACGCGGACACACACACAATACTACATTGATAGATTATACACACAGACCACGCCTTCTGATTTGGCTGTGAATGGCAACATACCTGTTCTCTATGATTGGGTGAATTCTAAGTTCTCTTTGTATGTTACTCGTGCCTATGTGCTGTTTCATTATACGACTAGCTACTGGCACACAAAGTTGTTGTCTGTATGACGAGCCAAGTACTTGGAACGAATATGAATATGGATATCCATTTACTAAAGTAAAGACATACCATGGAGTTTATATGGACGATAGGATTCTTACACTTTACACCTTGATCTCAACGTGTTTGTCTCGTGTTAACTGATTGGATCCCCAAATCGATCGCATTAATTAATGATTAGCGATTTGATCGGCATTGAATATATCGTTTATTTGTCTTTTGTTCCCTAGTCTTGTAGATAAATTAATTGCTTCTTCCGCCCTTTTCCCTTTTGTCTCCATTGTGCCACTGAAGACCAACTCTTGTGGTTGGCGCCAAAACTCCCTTGAATCGATAAAGTGCTCCCCACTTCACCACCAAAGGAAGAAAGGCCGCCCTTGTACATCCTTTTCTTCTCTCAGTCTCTTACAGCCAGCTCATCCCTCTTTCAATATCCTGTCGTGCCCTTTTCGTGTAAACCATCCACTTTCAATATTTCATCCTGCCAATCTTCAATATTTCTTCACCCTTGGGCTGATACTCGACTCCTTGAGGAGAACCCTTTGAGTAAGATGAAGTCGTACTTAAAGACGATGAGTTTCGTCCTGGAAATGATTCTCTCACCACCAGACTCAGCATTAATTCTCCTACTCTCACCTACAGCCTCATTAAACTTTGGCTAATACTCTCCATTCTATTTCCTCTATCTCTTCGAATCTTATACCACAAAGATGCTTCTGCCTTCAATTGTTGGCGCCGTTGGCCTTCTTGGCACGGTTGCTGAAGCTGCTCCTCGCGGTTCTTGGTTCGGTAGAGTATGTATTCTCATAATACATAGATGATTTCAGGCTAACATGAACAAGGCTCAACCTAGAGTTGCTCGATCTGTCAATGACTATGCTCCTCCCCGCTACACTCCCATCAACAGCTACATTGCCCCCAAGAACACAACTACCCCGGCTATTAACACAACTACCCCAGCTATTAACACGACAACTCATGAGCCAACCCTTCATTGTCCTACCGGCTATATCTTTACCTCTATCAGGACTGTCGACGTCACAGTTACCGTTACTGCTTCTTCCGACAGGTCTTACTACACCACCGAAGTCTGCAAAGACTGCACTCAAACTGTGACCATCAGCAACACCGTCCTTGTTCCTCCCACCAAGTATGCTTCCACTCTCCCATACGGCGAAGAGAACACTCGTTCTCCTTACCATCCCGTCAACTCGACCTATGCGGCACCTTATCAGACCAAGACTGGAAATGACTATCCTTGCACGAACTCTACTCTTGGGTTTTCATTCTCTACGCCTGTTGATCAGCATGCTTCGCCTACTGCATACCAGCCTCCTAGACAGAGTGTAGTCTACAGTACCCCTGGCGGTCAGGTGTCTCCTCCTGTCTACACCAAGCCTGTACACTCGGATCCTACTTACCGTAACTCGACTGGTACACCTTCTGGCTATGTCCTTCCTGTCTACACCAAGCCCGCCTACTCTTCTGTCGCTTCTGGCAACGGAAAAGTTCCCGTGGACACTAAGCCTGCCCAGTCTCCTCCAGTCTACTCAGCTCCTAACGGTTACAACTCGAGCATCGTGGCGCCTATCCGCACCAAGCCCGTGGATACACCAGTCTACTCAGCCCCAGTCGATGCGAAGCCTGTCTTTCCTGGTAACACTCCAGTCGTTACTCCTCCCGTATACACCAAGTCTGCTGAAACTCCTGTGTACTCGGTTCCTGTCTACACCGAGCCTGTTCTACCTCGCAACTCTTCTACTGTCGACCCTCCTGTCGACACCAAGCCTATTGAGACCCCCATCTACACGCCTCCAGTCTACACAAAGCCAGCTTACCCTGACCCTGTTATCCCTCGTAAATCTTCAACTGTTGAGCCTCGTGTCGTCTCTTCAACCACACAAGACGCAGTCTACACCCCACCAGTCTACAACAAGCCCGTGTAATCGGCCCCTATCACCAGTAACGACATCGCTTTGACGACATAGCTCCTTTGTACAGACAGCATTTCTTTCGAATTTTGGAGTTTGAGGGTTCCGGTCAATACCTAATTGTGGTTTCGGGATATGGTGGCATGGATGCATATGGTAGAATATAGGATGGCGGAGTAACTACTGTTATAGAAGAGAGGGAGAGTATCATGGAGGATCTTTTACTATGTAATTCTTTTCGATCTATTTTAGCCAAAAGTATAAGTTCTTTTATAATTTGTCTCGATTACGATCACCATTGATTGAGTAGCACAAGCCTCAGGGTATCATGAGAATCAGCCGCCTAAAGCATAGAGGACAAAATAATTTGGTCACTTTATGCTAGCTTAGACTAGCACTTTGGATGCTTTGTTATAGTAGCCCAAGACTTATAGGACAATTCTTCTGTTACCCCTGACAAAGTGCATAAGAAGATGTAACCGTTTAAAGGGCAGAACATAACTGGCATGCTACTAGTCGATGTAAAGTTCATAGAGTAGTTATCTACTTTCCCTGCCCAATGACATTAAGGTCTCGTGAAGGTTTCTCCTAACTTGCCCCCGAGAAGATTCAGCCTGATTTGTTCCAAGAAAGCGGCAAACCCATGATGATATCGATACCACAGGCATAACGGGGTGTTGCGATTCCTTTTCATCTTTGCTTCTCACCACCCAGATCGCTCACCATACCTTTGTATCTCAGTCTGTGTTGCTTGCACTGAGTTCCCAAATAGTCTAAGCTAATCGCAGACCACAGCACTCTTAGCCAGAACCATTCGAGAGTCATAGTTTTGACCATCGGCGGTGCCAACCTTATACAAAGTAGGCGACAGACGAAGTTTGACGCGGCTTTTCTCGGATAAGTCTTGCTCATAAGCTTCAGCTTCCATGACTTCTGGGTTCCATCGCTCTAGAGGCCCCATTTCCTGCGATCGATCCCGCCAGTGAATCATGAAAACTGCTTTGGAACGCATCATCATCTGATCAAGCTCAATTGCAGAGCCAATGATATCGCTGAGCTGATCCGAAATCTTCTTGTCAACCCTGTCAAGTCTGAATCGGTGGTTTGATGCAAAAGGCCGCAGGCGTTTGGCCTCATCATGCACCATGCGCTTGATGGCAGTGCTGTCCTTCTCCCACAACTGGTTCATCATTGCCGCGCCTTGAGCTAACCATTTCGCGATATAAGCAATAGATGACTTGTCGTTCGAATGCTTTTCAACCGCCCCCATGCGTCCTATGAGAGTCAGTAAAATCATCGCGTTAAGAGGCAATATTGATACTGACCTATGAGGCTATCTCGGGTAGATTTGTATGACTTCAAATCAGGCCCACCCCAGGTACACTCTCCTGAATCAAACACATTGTCTTGAATAAAAGCCCAAACATAGCCCCTCATGAGAAATTCGCGAAGGTCAGGATCTTGTAGCATACTGTGATACTCTCCAGAAATAAATCGTAGCCGCTGTGTGACTTCATCATCGAGCGACTCTGCCGACGGAGCATTGTTCAGTACATGAACCATGCAGCGGATGTTATAGTCAATCTCCGTCCATTTGCCCTTGATAGTATCATCAGTTGCCTTGCTAGAGTTCGCCAGGCTACCGCCATCTACGAGTTGTCGCAGTTGGTCTCTCTCCTGAAGAGTATCCTGTAGCTTTGTATTTGCTTTCTGGATCTCCCTCCTATGCCGTTTGATAGTGTCAATTGCCATGTTGTAATTGTTCTGGAGGTCTTTGGCGTGCTCCCTCTCCTTTTCAAACTTGGTCTTGAGGGTTTCGATATCCACTGAAGTCGAGGGCTGGGTAGATCGCGCCACGAAACCACTGATGTAACCGACGATGTGATCAATGCCGGTCTGTACTTCTCTGTGTAGTGTCTGGGCTAGTTGGGACCTCTCTTGGGAAGCAGCGTTGCGATAGTCTTCCATAAAAGCCTGTTGGCTAGTCTCGTGCCTCTTGAACAGTTCTTCAGCTGTCCAGTTGTCGATGCCGATGTCATTGTCACTGCAAGGCTGTGCACTGCGTGGCTCGACCTCATCAAAAGTATGTTCTTCAGGTTTAACGTCAACAAATCCGTTACTGGAAGGCTGTTCTTGTGGGCCAGCAGAGTGAGTAGAGGGGCTACTGGCGAGGTCGATAGGATTAGAAGATTCGACTTTAACACGAAGATCGTGTTCAGACTCCCGCTTCTTTCCCCGTTGATCCATGTTTAGAAGTTGACTGACTGCAACGACTATGCGCTCACAACAAGTATGAAATGAAGAAAGAAGAAAGAAGAGAGAAAGGGAAAGGGAAAGGAATAGAGAGGGGGTGGAGGGGATACCTAGGCCAACGGTGGTTGGCAGTGTGTTGGCAGTGTCTAGGCAGTGATAAAAGGTGACAGTGAACTCCTCCGGCCAGCGCTCAGCTGCCTGCACTCAAAAGGAGGAGCACCGCATAGCTTCTGCCTTCTATTGCCCCTCTTCTTTCCCTCTTCTTTCCCTCCTTTAGTCCTCCTCATTCTTTTCTTTTCTTCTCTTTCCTTTCATCGCTACTCGATCACTCAACTTCCCTTACTCATACTTACCCACCTACCTATGCAGCCGCACCGCTCCCTTCAGCATTGAAGAATACTCAAGATGACGGCAGACCAGCCGATGGACGATGCAATTATTGTCGGCATCGACTTTGGAACGACGTAAGTTTTCTATCTATAGCGCGCTGCCTTTGTATGGCTTGAAGGACACTCTTACTCACAAGGAGACTTGTCTAGATACTCAGGAGTAGCATGGGCCTACTCCAAGGAGCCTGATGAAATCGAGCTCGTTACAAGCTGGGAAGCCGAACTCAACCATTGCTCAGATGTTGAGAAGGCACCAACCCAGCTGCTTTACAGTAGCGAAAGAGACACCTCATGGGGCTATTCCATACCCGCTGACGAAGATGCCCTCCGGTGGTTCAAGCTTCTGCTCCTGGACGAAGGTGATATTCCCCCTGACGTATCAAATTCTTCCCAGCTTCAACACGCCAGAAAGCTACTGGGAGAATTGAAGAAAGACCCCGTTGATGTCATCGGGTGCTTCCTGCGGAAGATCTGGAATCACACGATCGATTCCATTCGCCGTAGCATTGGAGCAGAACTGCTACAGAAGTCGCGATTCTATGTTGTGATCACACTTCCCGCGATCTGGCCTCCTTATGCACAGCAACGCATGAAGCAGGCTGCCAGAATCTCCGGCATTCTTGATGCTAGACCCTGTGGCGATACTACACTTCGTTTCATATCCGAGCCGGAAGCGGCAGCCCTGGCTACTATCAAGGATCTTTCGAAGAGATCAACTATGAAGGTGTGTTTATGAATTGTTGATATAGTTCGTTCGCTTACACTGCACTAGGTCGGAGATACTATGGTGATCTGCGATGCTGGGGGAGGCACGGTGGTAAGTTATGATCAAATTTACGCGCGTCAAGATCTAATAGAGTATAGGACTTGATCAGCTATGTGGTCGAATCTACCGATCCATTCGTGGTCAAAGAATGTGTCAGGGGTGACGGTGAGTTTTGACCTGATGTATGATACATGCAACAGCTAAGGAAGGGTATCAGGTGGTCTCTGCGGAGGTGTTTTTCTTGACGAAAACTTTCTAGAGCTCATCAAGAGAAAGGTCGGTCCAGCTTCGTGGCAAAGCGTGAGTGTCGCAGAGCAAAAGAAGTTTCTCAACGATGGGTGGGAACATGGTATCAAGCCCCAGTTCTCAAACCAGAACAGGACTTGGCTGGTCGATCTGCCAGACAGCTGTGGAGGTCCAGCTTCCAACAGCAAGCTCAAACGACGAAGGACACTCGAGCTCAGCTCGTAAGTCTTTACCGCCAGTTCATTGGTTCATCACGGCTGATCGATATAGGTATGACATCCGTTCTGTCTACACTCCTATCATTGCCAAAATCGAAGCACTGGTCAAACGCCAGACTGAAGCCATTCAGTCAAAGTATGGTCAAAGAGCAACTGTAAGTAGTCCTTAATAGACGCTACGCCAGCACATTGGATACTAATAATGTGAAGTATATCATACTTGTGGGTGGGTTCGGTCGTAGCTCCTACCTATTCAACAATTTACAATCTACCTTTGGAACTACCGTTCTACAGTCGCGCGGGAATAAACCGTAAGTTATCTAAAATACCGCCCTAGCCGCCTCTAATTATAGCAAACAGATGGACTGCCATCTGTCGGGGTGCTGTTGTTCGCGGCATTAATGGCCACGGTGTCTCGACCGGTCTTAGGGTGCAAATTGGTTCTCGGGTTGCCAGGAAGAGCTATGGAATCTACTTCACTGAGGAGTTTGACGAAAAGAAACATCTTCAGCACCATAAGTTCTGGAGTGAAAACTACCAGAAATGGTACGCCAACAATCAGATGAAATGGTTTCTGAAGGAGGTAAGCAAGACGGCAGATTATCTGAATCGGACCACTAATTTACTCGACAGGGAGACAACATGTTGACTCAACAGCCAGTCCGGAGATCATACCAGCGGCTGTACTCTGGACACATCGGTCAAGTCGACCAAGCAATCTACACTTGCACTGAGTTTCCACCTCCTGAGACCTTTGGGTCGACTGTAAAGAAGCTGTGCAACATCCAGTGGACACGCGATATCAACATCGAGTCGCTGCCAACCTACACCAACTGTCTTGGGAAAGTATTTCACAAGCTTAGCTTCGATGTCGAAATGACTTGCGAGGACGGAATCGTGGACTTCACTGTCTACTTCGAGGGTAAACGCGTTGGCGCTCACAACGTCGAAGTGCAGTTTCGGTAAAAGCTAGCTCAGAGAATTGCAGATGAAAGGCAACAGGGTCAGAGGTTCATGAATGTAATTGGAATCCTTCTTCCCATGGAAAGGAGAAGAACGCAAACCGACTTGACTCGTATTTGATCTAGTTCATAGTCGGGAAGACTTGCAAGGGAATGGCTATCTATATTTGACTGTAGCCTCAGAAGCCACAAGTTTAGTCAATTCAAAGTCATTGTTTATACACCGTGGTTGTGACTTGGGACGTCATGGTATCAGATAGTATGGCCCCCGAGGCTAAACGATAACAATAACTGAACATTCTATAGCGGTGTAGATTTATATCTGAGCTGCTTTGTTTCGGCGCTCTAAGACTGAGATGGTAATTTTTCTGCCACCCTGTAGCTTGGACAGCAAGGTTGCCATGGGTTGGATTTTATTAGAATGCAGGACACATTTGCTATTAAAACCCATAGTGCCGATCTATGCGTCTTCCATTACAACGTCCTCCCGTGCTGCAGTCTCTTCGGCCTGCAGTTCATTGCCCACCTTACTCGCGTCACCATTAATTTTGGGAGTATCTCTGAGGTGGCGATACACTTTTACCGTGCAATCCTGTCCCGCGGTCACCATCGTCTCACCGTGGACGTCCACCCAGAAGCACACACCTTTGTGGCCTTCGACCCGTTGTAGGACCGTCTTTGATACAACGTCCCACATAACAATACTGCCATCCTCGCTAGCAGATACAATAAAAGGAACTCCTTCCAGAACTCCAAAGCAGCCTCCGACTGCAAACTTGTCGTTGATATGGCCTTGGTATGTTTTCTTAACAGTGCCTGAAACATAATCCCATAATCGAATGCAATTATCTAGATTGAAGGCCAAAACGAAGCGGCCGTTAGGGGCAAAGCAAACGTTGGCTACGGCTGGGTTGTCTTCGTGGACAAGGGTGCGTAAGCATTGGCCTGTTGATGTGTCCCAAATACGACTGGATATTTGTCAGTAGCTTTCCAGTAAAAGTGTCAAGGGGGACATACATTAAACCATCTGTCGAGCAACTCACGACCAGCGTTCCGTCTCGACTAAAATCGATTCCACTAACAGGATCACTATGTGCCGGCAGGCTGCGCATGAGTCTTCCCGCACGTACGTCCCACAGGAACACAGCTTCATCGTAGGAGCCACTGGCAAGAATATTGCCCTTTGGTGAGAATGCCAAACAATGAATATAGTTGTGGTGACCTTTCAGAGGCGCCATGTCCTGGCCAGCTATACTCTTTCTAGTTGTAGTCTTTGGCCGACCTGTAACGCGATCCCATAGTCGAATAGCTTTGTCGTCTGAGCCGCTTGCGATGGTGTTGCTATCAGGCGTCCAAGCAAGACAGCTCACTCCAGCCATATGTCCGACAAGTGTGTCCATATGCTCGCCTGTCGTAGCGTCCCAGATCTTCACAGTGGCATCCGCCGATGCAGATGCGATAAAGCGTCCATTAGGTGATATTCGGACTTGTGAAACAGGTTTGGAATGACCGCGAAGGACAAGATGGGCTTTGTAGTTGGGTTTGAAGGGTTCCTGGGGAGTCGGTTGAGCTTCTGGAGGCGAAAGGGAGTCTATCCGTCGGTCGTGGAAAGATGACTGCGATCGAGAGCGTGATCGTGAAGAGCGGGGTGACCGTGTTCGTGATGTTATTCGAGATGGTGAGCGGGAGCGCAGTCGAGAGTCGGACCGTCTGCTAGACATGGACTGCGACCTCAATCGTGATCTCGACCGTGATGTGCGCCGACTTTCGTAGTTTCTGTTTCCGGCACCATCTTCAGCAGGACTTGGACTAACAGTCCTGCTGTTTCTGCGGTTGTCTCGTATCGATAGCTTCCTCGTCGCAGAGTCTCTATGCGACTGGCCTGCATCGCCATTTTCGCCGTCGCGTCGAGGGGAAGAGTCGTTGCTTGACTTGCGACGCTTAACCCGGGGTGAGTCACCAGGACGCTCATCACCGGAGGCCATTATGATAGTAAACTACTGCGGGTTCCTTTGATAATGCTATTCCAAGGGTGGGAGGTAGTCTAGACGAGGCTGAGAGCCTGGTACGCGCTGAATGGAGATTGAAAGCGCGAAGGTGGGGTACGAGGCTGAGAGACTCGATCCAATGAAAATGGATTTGCACAACTTGGGTGTGTGACAAGTTACGAAGGAAGGAGCAATCAGGAAGCCCGACATAAGATTAATCCACCTAAAAATAGTGGTAATCTTACTGTAATCTCATGAAACAGGCAGGCGCATAAAACTATCGAGCCAGGCACAGCACAAGTACAGTAGCATTGCATGCATATAAAATTACAATTGGATGCCCAGAATTATCAATTATCCTTCTTGCCATTTTGAGTGAGATGGTGATAGTGACAAGTCGTTATTGGCCAGGTCCAGAAAAAGCCACTCCTGAAGATCCGGAAACTATCAGAGTTTGGGGAAATGGAGCACAAACTTCATTGGTAGAGTATCCCAAGTCGGGTAATGGAAGAAGCCCTCATCTCCGGGGAACCCAATCAGATAATGGCATGATTTCGGCAGTTGATGTCATTGAAGCATCCGACTGTGAATGCTTCATGACAAAGTTCTGGGCTCCTTTTCCCGTAGGATTCAAGGTGGAACCCTTTTTCTACTTGGGGGTTGGTTTCGTGACCCTGAAGGTAACATCTGGCCTGTGAAAGGCATCATCAAAGAGAAGACAAGCTTTCGCTATAATGGGCTTCTGAGACGCGGATCAGAAGGCGTCCGGTAGTTCAGCCACGGCGTCGACTCTGCGACATGCCGGTGTATTGTCTTCTTTAGCCGTGCAAACCCCTTTGCTATGGCTACCTAACAGAGCTGGAGGTCAAAGAGTGCAGTTCGGTTGCAGCTAACTAGTGACTGTATAGGCAGCTGAGCCGTAGGATCCAACAGAGTTGTTGATGGCGGTCAAGAGTTCCAACCACCAACTTTTGGGTGATAGGAGGCAATCTCAATTCCGTTCAGGCTATTGATCGCTATTGATCGCTATTGATCGCTATTGATCGCGTGCCGCGCCGTTTCCGAGAATCGACGATGGCAGCTGCAACTTCTCCTTTCGAAATTCATGATTCAAATAATGTAGGGAGTTGTTGGTCTTGCAATAGTGGATTAAACCTGGCTTCAGCTTCGATCGATCCAAAAGGAGAATGAATTGTTACGGCTGAGACTAGTGATTCAGAGCCAGAACTATCGTGACATTGTTGCTTATCCCCAGCACTGGGTCTCGTGGATTCCTCTCCCTTGTGTGTCAGTTTCGTAACCTCTTTGTTAATCCATGCCAAAGGAATCAAGACATTCCGCGACCGACGTGATATCTAAGACAACTGTCTCAAGCAGAATCCCGGTCTTTCAGTGCTAACCTAGCTGCCAGGTCATGTCATTCCATCTATTCCAAGTTTCTTTTTTGGACAGGAATTACTGCAAGGTACAAACCAGTCAAAGCGCCTGCAAAATCGAAGTAATTTCGAAAACGGCGATCGACCAGAGGGGTCTCGGCATCGCGATCTTGACAGGCTATAATGGCCCTTTAGGTCTTGACTACCAGTCGGAATGATTCTTGAAAACGTGTTAGTGAAAGAGGCTTCCTCTTGTGGTTCAGCTTGACAAGAATAGGTTCATGTGGCGTAGAGTAATTACAGTAGCTGGGTATAATCTTGGAACCCCTTTCGACCAATGGTAGGATCCATTGGTGTTGGTTGTCTTCAGCGCTACAGTTCATCAGTAAGTTGGTGGGTTACAATAACTGACCGTTTAAGCAACGACGGTTATGGCGTTTAAATTTAATTGGTTCCTTATATCTTGAATCAACCGCAACTCCTTTTCGTGATATGTGATAGGTCCCTGAGTCGTGCACATGAGATGTCAGTATATCGTTCTTTTGCCTAGTAATTGGCTCTGGTGAGCCCAATACTTATTCAAACCAGGACAAGCAAGATTTGCATTGCTGTTGAATCCTATACGCACGCCATTGTCGTGCCCTGGATAGACTTCACCGTTGAACCTCGAAGCGAAGCTTTCTGATCTTCACAGATTAAATGAGATGTAGGGGTTCATGTCATTGGTGGATGGACTCAGGAATCACCTAGATTCCTAGGCTCAGTGACGGCTCTGGTGGAACAAGCATTAAAGAACATCGGCGTATTATGGGAAGCGGAGTTGGCGAGGGTCCTGGTCAGTCCAGCATCGCATTGGCCATGAGGGGATTATTGATCTCGTACAGGCTGAATCGTATTCAATAATCGATGTCATAGTTGCGGTTGTTCTTAGGAGGCGAAATGCGGATTGATTAACTGCTGCTCGAGTAATCTCATATACACGAGACGGCGGACAGTCATCCTGACTTTGCAAGTTTAGGGGTCACATGCCTGCTACTACACGGCCATATTATGCAATTGCATATATGTCGTTCATCTCGAATTAACGACTATTCACTAATTGTCTCACTTGCTGTCCTACTCAAGACACGATGCTAGCGGATCGGGCAGATGGTGCCATAGTACCCCGTGATCGCTTCGATTGCTCAATTTCCTTTTGCTTTAGTATCCAGATCGCAAATGATCGTCGTCGCGGCCCATAGGATGGACTGCTACCACGTTGTGCTCGCTCTGTAAATGATAACAAGCCCCTAAGAAAAAGCCGTTGTGCGCCGAGCTCGCCTATTCGATATGCCCATGTCAAGCAGTAAGCAGCCCTATGAGAAAAGAGCCACAGCGGCTACACAAGAGTGACCTTCCCATGTCATAGCCTTATCATTGGGAGAAGCAAAAGCAAATAACGATTTGGTGTGGCATACTATTCAGCCTTTGGTTCTTGAAAGCAACGATTCGCTGATCAAAGGTCATGCTTAAGAGTGATAAGCTAATATCACTGAACGGGCGTTAAATAGGAGCATTAAAAGCTTAGCAGAGCAATAGCCTACGAGCTTATGGGGGAACCTTAACTCATCCGCAAAGGCCTTTCGGTGTCTGCCCCATTAGGTAAAATATCCCAGCGCTGCAATGGAAATGGGGCCTTTTGTTTACTAGCAATGCATTTTATGGGGGAGTTAATAATAACATCGTGGCTCTGACTTGACTCGGGTGTTTCATCTGCAACTTTATACGGAGCACTGAGGAGCACGTCCAGGTTGTAAATGCATCCGTCAACCAACATACATACGATATCCATATCGCGGGTTCGCACAGAATGGATGTTTCGGATAGGGTCACGTTGAAATGTTTGGTTTCTATTCCCAACGTTCCAGCACAGGCAGTTGGGACGTTGTGCTGACATACAATGTCGCACCAAAAAAAGTAATCAAGACAAGGGAAAAAGCACGGATGGTAAATGTTCCAATTCTGCCAAGAGCTGGAACGCAAGACAGCAAGTCAAGAAAGACAATTAACGCATGCACCATAAAGGGTCTCGATTGCAAACAACAATAACCAGACCAGACTGTGCTAGACAATAACAGCCATGTCATATCATTCATCTCATCTCGGGGCACCAACGGCGATCAGGCCCGGAGACCGGCACCCTGCCCCTGAACTTCGAGATCCTTGGAGTTGGGAATCCTAGGTAATCTTGTTAGGTCCAAGAAAAGGCCTCGATGGACATGGGCATGGGTCATGAGTCGCCTAAAGGCCTAGAGATCAGTCAGTCAGCAAAGACTAAAAAAGAGCGACCGACAGTAAAGGAGTTGACAGAGGCCAAACCGTCAAAGGGCACATACAAAACAGCGGGCTGATTCCTCGCCAAGCAGGGGTTTGCCGAATCGCCGACATGTCCGTCCCCGCGTGTAGCCAATCGATAGAACGTCGCCCACTCAAGTTTAATTACACCTTTGCAGGCGAACCTGGTATGGGATTTTTGCCTTGCAGATGCTGCAGTTATCCTGGGTTTTCTCGGCCCTCATGGTCCGATCTTTGTTCAAGCGAGCAGGTCCAGCCCACAAGAGGGTCAAGATTCGTAGGCCCGCATACTCAGTAGCGAGCGATTGATTGATTCATGCCGGGCAATTGAGACGGGAAGGCGGAACAGACGAGACATGATTTAGAGACATGTTTGCTGGTACTGGTCCAGATTCGCAAGCCTTCACCGTCACCGGGGGAAATCAATCACGTTCATGTGCCAACTGAACGGCGCGAGAGTGTGTCCAATTCATTGGAGGATTCCCCTGGCTAACTGTGCCTTAGCGGATGAACTGCTAACCGTGATCGGTTTAAGCCGGGTCGACCAGCATCACGAACGCTGGAGGAGAGAGCTCGCTTGAAAATTCGGTGCAATGCATTGAGCTCTCTGACTGGTGCGCACCTCAATACCTAGCGACAGGCAGAGAGGCAGAGGTCTGCCCGAGAACTCTCAGGGGTGCATTGACAGCGCTGCCAATTAGCGAGTACTGGTAGTTGGTTCTTGAAGTTCAATGCTTGTGCTTAGGTAGGCATGTCGCGCCGACTGTTGCCCCTGGACTATAGTGTTAGCCGTTGGTTGAGCACGCGCCTTCACCGACCAACAGTGTGTTGTGGAGAGGACATGCAATATCGTAGGATCCATTGTTTGACCTGAGTTGGTTTGGGTGAACTGAACTGAACTGAAATGGTGCTGCCCTACTGCAAGGCAAGGCAAGCGCCGACGCAGGAACAGCCAGACGCAGCTAAGACCTGTAAGGCACGGGCTGTGCTTGCAGAAACTTGGTGGGTGGTGGGCAAGGTGGGAAGGCACAGCTCACATCGAGTGGAGGGTCAACATGGTACCTGCCTTAGCGTCCCCCTTGGCGCTCAATGGTCCCGCAGGGACTGGCCCAAGCTGGCAACTGCTCGGGAGTACGTACCTGTCGACCGCACCCCTCTCACCCTTCTCCCCACCCCCAGTCCCCCTCTGGCATTTATCACAAAAGGCAAGCTTCATCCACTGCTTCTTCTTCTTTTTTCTCTCTCTCCTCACCACCACCTCCAAATCCAGTCACTCTTTACACGGCTTTCAGCCTACCACACTCTTTTTTATTATACATAATAATTTAGGTTGCTTTACAGCTTCTTAACAACTCGTCCTCCTTCCTTTCAGTACAATTACCATATACCGTAATTCCTAAATCCAGCCTTCAAGATGCAGTTCACCATCTCCGCCGCTGCCCTCATGGCCTTCGCCGCCCAGGCTCTTGCCCAGGTTGCCGACTTCGACCCCGTCCTCACCCCCTCCAACTGGGAGCAGGTCCAGACCGGTGAGACCCTCGAGATCACCTGGCAGGCCAAGCCCAAGTACTCCGGCGAGAAGATCTCTATCTCTCTGATCGGTGGTGCTACCCAGAACACCCAGGTCCCCATCAAGACCATTGCCACTGGTGTTGACAACGACGCTGCTTCCTTCTCCTGGAAGATCGACTCTTCCGTCGGCGACAACAACGTCTACGGTCTTGTCCTCAAGCTCGAGAGCAACCCCGAGGTCTTCCAGTACTCTTTCCCCTTCAAGATCGAGGGTGGCAAGGCTGAGGAGAAGCCCACCAAGGGTGAGGAGAAGCCCTCCAAGACCGAGAACGACTACGAGCTCCCTACCATGGCTCCCAAGCCTACCAAGGAGGCCTACCCCGTCCCCGAGACCACCGTCATTGCTGTTCACGAGACCGTCACCGTCCCTTGCAACACCACCACTGCTGGTTCTCCCACCACCTTCGTCCCCATCGTCAAGACTCACTACCCCGTTCCTCCTCCCGCCCACCAGGCTCCTCCTGCCAACAACGGCACTGCTCCCCACCCTCCCGTCTACACCCACCCTGCCCAGCCTCAGCCTCCTGTTGTTCCTACTCAGCCCGCTGGTCAGCCCCCTGTTTACGGACAGCCCACCCCTACTCCCGTCCCCGTCTCCGGTGCCGCCCGCTTCGGCGCTCCCGTTGCCGTTGTCGCTGGTCTTGTCATGGCCGCTTTCGCTCTGTAAGCGGAGTCACGCACCATTTGATCTTTGGTTCTAGCGTGGCGTCATGACTTCATGATCGCATTTTAGAGGGTTTTCTCATTTCTTCTGGGTATGGAGCAGTCTGGGTATATTAAGCCTCTGTTGCGCACATACGTTGGTTCTTTTGTCGGTATCTATGAGATGGAAGGTTTTTCTGGATTTGTTAATGTATTGAGGAAAAAACTATAAAACCCAATTGGGTTATTTGTCTTGATCAAGTTCCTCTGATGTAGCTGCCCCGTGTACCTATGCCGCTACGTCGAATAGACATATGACCCAACTTTTTCGTTTTCCAAAGAATTACCATCTATTAGTGTTATGAATACTGAGATACCCATTTTATCTGAATACTTGTTGCAGTCTCTTTTGATCTTCAGTGATTTTCGTGTTTTGTCCGTGAGTAATATTAGGATTGTCCTATGATGAAACCGCCAGTGGTAAACCTTGTATGAGGCCTTTGCAACGGCTTCTCAAGCCAAGTTTAACGGCTTTGCATTGGTCTTTCTTGGATGTACGGAAATTACGTAGCAATCTTTCTCCGCTTTCGAGGTACATCTGGGCATGTCCTTGTCATGCGATGTTTCTTTACATGTTGATCGCCAGGCTGTTGATCTGTTCAGTTTGTCTCGTTTCGTTTCAAATAGATGTCTATCAATTCGATTAATTACCAGATCATTGCCCAGGTACATACACACCACACCCCCCACCACCATGAGCTGGAGCCTTATAGTCGAATGGAATGCTGAAGCATTGCCAATCCGTCATCGTTCGTTTCAACCGTTGCCGGGAGTGGCGCCCTTGGCATGAGCTTGCAGCCTCGTCCCGCCGTAGGCTGGAATGCAGTTGTTGCTTGTGGGCGACTAAAGATAGCTGTTCGGTATTCTTTGGTCTCTCGCTGTAGATCAAATACTTGAGACGAAGCCCTTGCTTCGTGGTGTAAGGGCGGTTTCGGGTAGCTGTTGTTTAGTTGAAGCTGCTGATATGGATATCAAGTAGAGGTCTATGAGATATAGGATAGGTAGTTATTGGAGCGCTATCTTCGAATGACACCAACTCTTAATTCCGCACTTTCGACGTTATTCCTATCGAACGTCTGCGACACGCAGAGTCTTGATGCAGTCGATTGCGTATACAGGTCTCACATTCGTGTCGCGTTTCACACCAGGAGGAAACATACAAAAAGCCCGGTTCCCTCATCTTGTGTCACTTCCACTGCGCCTCTTGTCTATCTGTCAAACGCACGCGGCGCTTTTGTGGCGTTTGGTCGGCAGGGATAGGTTCGAATTCAATGTCTCATAATTAACGTCATTTGGCCTCGGTGAAAGAACGTAGAGTATGTCATTGATGATGGGTATTTGGTGCTTGTGCCCATGTGCTGTTGGTTGCATATGCAGGTGGAGGAGCATATATCGTTGCGGGCCTTAAAAGCTTGGTAATGAATGTCTTGCTTTCAATTGCTTGTTCTGTTTTTAATAATGACTATTGCCGGATACTGAGGACATGTGGCGATCACTCGTCCAGTCATGCTACCACATGATAGACATTAAGCAAAGGGTAACATGCAGGACTCCAAAGACTTTATCGTGAACTAGGTATTGCTCAATTGTATTCATGAAGAAAGAAAAACTCGCATCGTCCTTTGATGCGACGGGATATCCTATTAACCATAACCTGACCATACAAGACAATGACCAATTCGCGCCTGCTAAACATTTAACCCATTTCATAATTTTTTAAACCACACATTTATCACATTTATGTGTTCCCTCTTTTCATCTCGTATGCAAAAGACCTCTAGTGGCCACCAATCTGGCCCTTGGGCAGTGGGGGGATCCAGCATACAGCCAAGTTAAGTGCGATGGTGATGACTCCGATAACCCAGAAGCCCATGGCGTAGTCGTTACCACCGTGCATGAAGCGAAAGACAATTGCAAAGATGACACCACCGATGTTACCACCACCTCCTGTAAGTCCCGACAGGATACCGTTGGCAGACGGGTGGACGTGAGGCACAAGAGCAAAGTTGGCACCGTTGCCAGCCTCGATGAAGATAGCCATAACCACCACGAGGCCAACCATCGTCCCGATGTCGCCCCCGTTGGCTTCAGATGGATTAACCTTGCCGATGACAATAAGAAGAGCACCCGTCAGGACTCCGCAGGCAATGATCCAAGCTTTCTTGAGCCAGAGGCTACGTCCAAAGTTGTTGTACAAGATGTCTGCGATAACACCACCCAAAGGTCGGTTCAGGAAGTTGAGGAAGCCGAAGATCGCAGCGTAGTTGCTAGCCTTGGTCTGATCGAGATGAGGGAAGTTCTTCTTGAAGTAGGAGCTCAGGATAGCGTTGATCGCAAGCTCGCCACCGAACGAGCACGCATAGGTCGCAACGTGGAAGATGGTTTGAGGAGAGTACGTAACGGGGAGGGCTTCGCGGAGACTGGGCTTGACAACGATCTCGCCTCGCGCAATTTCCATAGCTTCACTGCGTGAGATGGAGTGTTCGTGGTCACCGACCTTGACATCTCTCTCCTCGCCAGGGTTCTTTTCCTCGTCTGAACCCGAGCGGTCGGGTGTAGGGATAGGAGTAACATCGCCTGAACTAGAGATACCATGTGCTTCCATGTTCTTTCGGACAAGCTCGCTCTGTTCATCCCAAGAACCCATAGGGCTGTCATCACAGAGGAGCAGCATGCCGAGACCGCAGACGATCAAACAGACTAAGGGGACCACGAATGTGACCCTCCAAGCCTTGGATGGGGTCAGGCCATGGTTAGCAACCAGTGAGTCGAAGACAGCAGGCATGATGAAATAAGTGCTTTAAAGAGTTAGTCTATCTCTTCACAATCCACTCCACTCTGGAAGCTTCGTAGGGTGAGAGGAGTAACTTACATTCCACCACCGGCGTTTCCCCATCCACCAGCAAGAGCATTGGCAGTACCAACGACATTCTTGTCAAAGAACCCAGTGCACCAAACCTGACAAGGTACAAATGTAGCTCCTAGGATACCGATGAAGAATCGAGAGACGTATAGACCAGTAGCACTGTTGACAAGTGGTGCAAGACCAATGGGTAGGCAGCCGAGAAGGATCAAGTAAGCGAAGACACGTCGGGGGCCGTACAAGTCGCATAGAGGACCGGTCAAGAATCGAAGGAAGAAAGTAGCCGAGAGTGAAACAATATTGGAGTTTGCAATTTGGGCCGGTGTAAGGTGAAGATCCTCTTTGATAGTGACGGTCAATAGAGGGGGGAAAGTGTACCTTGGTACCTCATTAATACACCACATATCAACGTTTGGAATTTTGAAACTTACCAGGCCCAAAAGGCAAGCATAAATCCTAGCCATGAGAAAGAGAACACCCGGCCATACATATTGATAGGGTTGAGCATTGGTACACTTCGTGCTTTTCTACTGATGGGGTTGACCTCAGGGGCCTTCCATAGGTGGGCGATTTGAAAACCCATCGTGAACGGGTTTGTTGATGAACTTGGTAAATTTCAAGCCGGATAATTCGAGCCTCTAAAAACAGCGAGAATAGGTTGTGAAGGTTGAAAGGGTCTTGATTATCTCTGAGTTGCTTGTTGATGTCGAGCCAGGATATTCTTTCGAACAGGACAACACTGAGGGCATATATAGAAATTATGCTGTATAGTTGGCAAGACGAGACTCGCAAAAGTATCAAATATTGTATCTCCGGTTCTCCTATGATTGTATTTGCGATATATAGAATCGATAAGAATAAAGCAGCTTGGCTATGCTGTATCGTAAGATGGTGAGCGAAGGGTGCAGCGACACTCGGAAACCCGGAGATGCACGATCCAGATTTCTTTCCACGATTCCTCGTTGATCAGATAAGGACAAGACTGATGAAGTAGGCTAAGAGCGGGCCGTTGTATTGTAGTGTTCCAGAGCCTCAGTGGTCGATAAGTTGTAGTCCTTTAAGCGAGCGAACGGGTAGGCGATCGACTTTGACAGACACTTGGATCTTGCTATATATCTAGAATATTTTCACAAAGATGGCGAGTCCTCTTGAAGTCGCAAGTAATCACTCTGTCTGCCCCTGACAACTCCTGGGTGGTCTTTTGGGCGTCAAGGCGCAATCACTCAAGCGAGGGCGAATAGCCAGGTTCCAAATTGAATTAACCGATAGAGATAACGATTTGGACGAATGATATTTATTGACATGTGCTTTTTCTTTCCAGCCCATGTCTCAAATAATGCAAGATTGCAAGTATACGAGTTGGAAGAAGATACGCGTGCTTGTTAGACATGGCGAGATAAGGCCTGCAGGAGCATTATCAGGTTTGAGACGGCCATGTACCGAGACTACTTAACTTGGCCAGAGCCTTAAGTTGTAAGCCAAGGAGCTCACGTCTGTGTCATCCGATAAGCTGATCGTCTCTGGTCAAATGCCTAACATGTCATTGGGTACAGGCCAGGGGTGCCTGGGCGTAACGGCTGCAGCAAGGACGATCAACAAGAGCCGCGATAAGGGACAAGGCTATTGAGATTCCCTGGCCGCTGTCAAGTGGCTTGTTCCAGGGGCCTGGTTGGCGCTCAGAAGGGTGGGAGATAAGCCCGTGGTGGTATTTAGAGTGCTGAAATGTGAATCTCCGCGGAGTAAAGGTGTGGCGGGGTAGGGTCATATATATACCACGTAGCAATTCGAGCTTCAGCGATAAAGGGAGATAGACCCTGGAAACGACGGAGATAAGGAGCGCTTCGAACGTTGTTATTTCTGAATTGGAAAGCCGAGGATTGAGCCAGATACGGCAATGGGCTAGGGAATTATCCTATCTGGTTGCGGGCGTTGTAAGCTGGTGTGGTGTCTTGTCAATATTGACCCCAGTCTTGGCTATTATAAAGCCTCCAACTGTCGCGAACAAAGCTGCACCTGTTAGCGACTTAGCATAGTATATATATGCTATGTCGTCACTCGAAATGCCTCTATCGTCAGGGGCATGAGGAAAGAGTAGGAGATCGGGATCGCCCTTCTCAGTGAGCAATCCTGGAATACATAATAAGCACTTGCTTGCGCCCGTTGATCCTGTTGCTCGGACTCTTTGGAATGTTCAGCGCAATATGAAATAAGGCTTGAAATCGTCGAGGTCGAGGTCGAGGACTAGCGAAAGCCATACAGCCACTGGGCGTGGTTGAGTAACCACTGAGAACACTGGGAAGCAGTATTTGAGTTTAATACCTCCCGGGATCTGACCCTGGAAGAGATCCGAGCCGTCCGCTTGGACGTGTCTGAACCAACATCGCTCTTAGCGAATTTCGAATGTCGCTGGAATATAAAGACGTCAAGGTTGACACCACGATATGGATTGATGGATGGATGGATGGATCCAGTGAAGATGTTTCCCACTTATTGCTTGTCACTCTGAGAAATGGCGTAATAATAGGCAAGTGGAACTACCTATTTAGGCGCTTTAACCACGCGCCGAAATCGGCAGGAGGAATGAGGCTAGAAGGATGGAACAAATGCTGGGCTTTGGGGAATCTTGATAGCTTCCTTTTCGAGCCTAGTATTTCGTATCTCATATCGCATGCCTTTTCTCTTCCCATCAGTCGATATATAAGTCATCGCTGGGAGCTGAGATCTTCTTTACAACTTAATCTTGGATAAAGTCGTGATTCCCCATGGAGCAATGTTTTGAGGGATTCGCAGATTAACCAGGGTAGTCATAGCGCTAAACCATATCAGGTAAGAGGGGCACTCAGAACTCTGTCTTCTGAGTGGAGGAAGGAAGGGTCGGGCCTATGAATTTTTTTGCGCAAACATTTTTTTCTTGAAGAATGCCCCTCCATGGGCCCCCGACGAGTCACTAACAGTTTTGTTTTCTTTGGTGGGGGAAACATTTTAACTTGCAATTGTTGTTCTTCTTTCTCTTCAAATCTCCAGATTTTGGTCAAAGTTGAATCAAACGAAAAGTCCCCCAATCTCTCAAAAAGGTGAGTCTTTCTCTCCTCTCCAACATGTCTTGTCTTAGCCTCCTCATCACGTGCCCCCCAGCCTTTGCTGTGACGGCATCGTATCCCCTCACTCCAAAAAAATGCTGGTAGTACGGCTCATAGCCAAAATTATGTGGGGTTGCTCTCGGTGTGTCTTCACCTTGTTAGGCTCATGAGAGAAGAAAGAGAGAAGAGACAGAGATATCAATCGATCAATTCGAAGAAATACATGTGACTGACCATGAGATCTCAGATAAACACCTGCCTTCGCAGTCTGAGTCTAAACTTGAGAACCTTTGCAATGGCTTCCTCAAACGTCCCCAAGACCTGCAAGGTCATCACCGCTGAGACCATCGCCAAGGGCTACCTTGGTGAGGTCAAGGACACATTGGCCAAGATCCAAGGCGAGAACCCATTCACACCTACACTGGCTGCTTTCCTCGCCAACGGTGATCCTGCTGCTGTCAAGTACGCTGAGTGGTCAAAGAAGACATGTGAAGAGAAGTGAGATATTCCTCTGTGTAGCTTGAATATCGCCCTGTCTACCGGGTGATGGCTACCCCCTGGCCTGGCGCTAATGTATGCCATAGCGGCTTCAACTTTGACCTCCGAACCGTGGACAAGGAGCTCCTCGAGGAGGAGATCATGAAGGCCAACGAAGATGAGGATGTCGACGGCATGATCGTCTACTATCCCATCTTCCCCAACAACCCTTCCCACGACAAGTACATCCAGGAGTCTGTCGATCTCGGCAAGGACGTCGAGGGTCTTCGACACCAGCACATCCACAACATGTACCACAACATCCGCTTTATTGACCCTCCCGAGAACCGCAAGAAGTCCATCCTTCCTTGCACTCCTCTCGCTGTAGTCAAGATCCTTGAGTACCTGCAGATCTACAACCCCATCCTGGCTTCTGGTAACCGACTCTTTGGCAAGACCATCACCGTCATCAACCGATCTGAGGTCAACGGCCGACCTCTTGCTGCTCTGCTCGCCAACGACGGAGCCACCGTCTACTCCGTGGATGTCACCGGTGTCCAGGTCTTCACCCGAGGAGAGGGTATCAAGAAGGCCCGCCACCTTGTCGCCGATAAGGAGGGCTGGAAGCTGGAGGACTGCCTTCCCCTCAGTGATGTTGTCATTGGAGGTGTCCCTGTTGAGTCTTTCAAGGTTCCTACCGAACTTATCCGCGATGGTGCTGTCTGCATCAACTTCTCCTCTTACAGAAACTTTGACGGCCCTGCCATCAAGGAAAAGGCCTCCATCTACGTGCCATCCGTCGGCAAGGTCACCATTGCTATCCTGTTGAGAAACCTGGTTGTAAGTGCCACTCACCCACCATACGACAAGCCGTGTGATACTAACTTATCAGCGCCTCATTGCCAACCGACCCTCCAAGGACCAGTCGCAGAAGAATGTCGAGGCCCGAGCTGAGGCTTTCGCCGACGACTAAATGCTTTTCGCATATGCGAGAAAAGAAAAGACTTTGCAGAGGAAGGTTACGATTGCTTTGAACTAGATTACGGAAAGAAAAACACACAGGGATACACTTTTTGCGAAAAGGAAAAATGCATTTTGTTTAGGAGTTGCTATAGATGGGATATATCAAAAAATGGGATGACGGCATGACTGGAAAAAGTAATGTTTCACCACAAGATCTTATGAGATGTGACAAGCCGACCCTTATTCAAGCTTTGCGACAAAGCTGTGGAATATTGGATACGTGAGCAGCTGATGGCTTGGCAAACAAGCCTTGAACTTGGTCTGTTCCAATACATAGCTCAGGATTCGATCTGAGCTTTCTTTTCTCGTAGGATTTTGAGGCGTCTTTTATTAAAACGCAAGTTGCTTTTCGCGGGTGTTGGCTTGAGATCGGATGTTTGCTGAGATATGACAGCCGTGCTACGTTACTACTATTTACACAGCATCTCTTGTAAGCCACCATATTTGGAATTGCTTCTTGCATCACAAGTAGAGATTGTTGTTCATTTCAACCAGTTTCAAAAGCATTATGCTATTGGTAAAGATGAAACTGCTATTCTTTCAGCTTGGAAGTTTGATTAAGCTGTTCTTTCAATAATCTAGAAGCTTTCCTAAAGGGGCATATCCCAGCAATGGAAACGAGCGCCGAACGATCAGTTGAATTGGCGCCCCTTTCTGACCTAGCAGGCCTATTTATTGCGTCCAGTCATTGCGGCGGTTCTTGGTGGTCCGTACTATGGTACTGCATGGTAATCCCGGTCTATAACACGTAGGGAAAGGAAATTGCTTGGTGCAACATATTGATCAGCCTAGTTTATCCATAGTACCGGAGAATGCAACCTAATTGGAGAAGAATCGTGCTTTTAGTGACGGATATTAATGCCATGTACCATCGCAGATGTTGTCTCGTATTGGATCCCTTCTTCAGGAGAATAGCAGAATGGCAAGCAAGTAGTCTACGTGGACCTACCATCTGTGCTAGCATATGTGCAGTATCCATAGAAGGACAGACTACACAGACTACACAGACTCTTTCTTTTGCGGATCACCGCAGATCTTTGCACGACACGACTCTGTTTCTACAGTACAGCTAAAATTAAAATGGATTGAACCCGACGTCCATTCATCCATCGCCGTTTCCATTACGCGCGGCGCCATACACCATTGTTTCAATCTTTTACTGGCTAGCCGATTGATCACCACCAATCAAAGACTTGGGACAGCGCTGAAGGGAAAAAACAAAGTGCCCCGAATTGACAACAAACAGGGCAGAGTCCCCCCATGTTTCCCCATTCTGCCAACGGCCCAGGCGTCAGTCCACTCAAAATCCAGCGGATGCTCCAGCTCAGACCTCAGGTCGGTTAGTGCAAGTGCTGGTAGGTTGTACCTATACCTAAGTTCTGTAGGTCGACTCTAAAACTTGGTGCCGACGGCAGAGATTGAAAAGTCCATTCCAAGACCATTGCCAACCTTTTCCTTGGAAGCTGACTGAAAACCTAAAACTGCATGATTGCGCCAGGATCCAACGGCTTTCTTCAACGTCTTAACACCCATCTTATGATACTATATTCCGGGCCTCTTATGGTGTTGTTATTTAAGATCTGTGGAGAAGAATTGCATAGAGGTCTGAGAGTCAAGGCCGAGCTCAATTAAAAGGGTACGTACCCACGTGCAGTTCATTCCAATAAGGGAACCCCAACGTCCATCGCCATCATTCTTCCCATCCATCCATTCAATCAATTGCCTTTTCCGCTTTGGATGCTCTCCCTCGCTCCTTCTCAAGGCGGTTCTTTGAGTTGGACATGCCTAATTGGTCCATTGTTATTGTCTTTGGCTAACTGCGCCTTTTGCGAATAGAACCTCACCTTCCCTTTGTTCTCTACTGTACAATACGTCCTACTGACTACCTGCTTAATTCACCCCTCGTCTAATCATTCGCTCCTTACTCGACTGCTTTCTTTCCCTTCTTTGTCCGATCGACATACCATCGCGATTGCCAACTGCCGCTCTAATTTTCTTGCGCCACGCTACTGCTTTTCAACTGGCAGAGAGTCTTGACCAGCGAGACATCGTCTCTAAAACCATCGAATCACGATCTTGCGCATCCCCTCAGAAACAAGAATCACAATAAGCCTCCTGCAAGCTAGCTCGCGTGCGCAGCCGATTTGAGACGAACGATACGACGTTGGGGCCTGTCCGGGCGCCGTGTCCTAAAAACCTGACAATCGCTTAGCTTCAAGCGCGCTACAAGACGAGACGAAACGAAACAAGACAAGACAAGACCTAATCCTGTCAACTGAACACCCGGCATACCAGACATCGATCCTCCCCGTGTGTTCGGTCACACCTACTGCGAAAATCATGGCGGCGCAAACCGTTCCTAATTACAGTCGCGATATTCGCCATGGCAAGTCGAGCTCCGGTTCTTCGTCCAACTATGGGCCAGTCCCTGGATCACCTACTCTCACAAATCCCGACATGATCTTACCCGATAATGACTGGGATATCTCTCTCGACGAGCCGTCGCAGTCACACATCCCGATATGGAACAATATTCAACCCACCGACATGCGATTTCATCTCCCTAATTCACAGAACCAATTCATCGCGGGACCGATTTCTCATCCGACTCCTATCATATATGGAAATGGGACTATGCTGTCTGATATTGGTGAGGTGACAGAAGTAGAGAGCGTTGTGGGAAAAGGGGGACGGCGCGGCTCGGCGCAATTGTCTGTTTACAGTAACGAGGATCATGTACTGGGTTCCTCGCCAACCGCGGGCACATCACGCATCAAGTCAAGGTCGCAAATACAGAAGCGCGAAAGGAAATCCTCACTCGACTCTAATAGTACGATAACGTCGCAGGATCGTGGTCGGCAATTTGGTGATTTTGACGATGCTGTCAGTGTCGACGATGTCAATTTTCAGGGCGATGATGAAGAGAGTATGGCTTCGTCCTATGTTGAGGGGACCGCTGTGCGGGAGCCTCAGACTGTGCGCGTGCCTCGTATCCAGGATATCTCAATCCAGCGCCATTCATCCAGTTCTCTTAGCGATAGAGCTGAACAGATTCTGGCAAATGCCAAGCAAAGATTAACAGTAGGTTTTAATTCTGGAACCTGATGTACGTTGCTGACAAGTCCACAGACAATGGAAGGGAACCTCTCGAGGGCAAGAAGCTCTCTCTATACTCCTATGTCCGATGGCTCGACACCTTCTCCTCCAATTGCGCGCCCTGTCACATCATTACGAGAGTCCACCGCCGGCTCAGGATCAGGACAAACCCATTCCAGGAACACCAGTGAAAATGGATTTCATAATGCGCTTGCGAGTCCAAGTTTCCCGCAACGATCTGCTAGTGCCTTGGGAGCCGCTGGGGGCTACCGTCAACCGCTGACTTCTTCGAGAAGTGCAGATGCTTTAGGAATTGGCTATGGAGCTCCTCAGAGAAGTCCTATGGGCACTCTTGATCCTATGATGGAAGCTCTGAGCGAAGACGAAGGCGGTATGCCAGGGGATAGTCGCCGCAGTTCCCGTCTTTACAACCAACTTAGCCCAGGTTTTGGCTCCATGACAGATACGGAAATTCCTAGGTCCGCATCTGTTGCTCAAGTACGAGATCTCAAGCATCAAATGAAGGATTTGAGAGGGAAAATTTCCAGTCTTAAGGAGCAGGCCAGAGCCGATAGCCTGAAGCGACGAAGTTTGCAGAGTCTCAGAACACCAAGCCCCTTCACGCATGCAAGATGGGATCAAGGATTCCCAGAATCTCGAAAATCGCAAGAAAGCACTCCTGATGCACTTTCCTGGCAGGCTCCATGGAGTCGAAATGCTTCTAACGAGAAGCTTGATACTCAAAAGTCACCCAAGCCTGATATGAATGATGTCTCGGAGTTGGAAAGAGCCAAGACAGCAGATATCGAGTATCAAGATGCTCGCGACACCTTTGAGGTAGCGGGTGAAGCAGTGGTGGACGAGACGAAGGTGTCTCCTCCGTTGAACGGAGAACTCGATCTTCAAAACGAATCTCAGGGGCAGGAAAACGACGACACGATTGACGATGGCGAAACGTGGGAGGGAGATTTGGAACAGAGCGATGAGGAAGTGAAGCAAGAGCTCCACTACAATCGACAAGCCGGATACGACGATAACTTGGAGGACGATGACGACGAGTTTGTGGATTTCGAGAGCGAAAGCGGCGAATCGTCATACCACGATGCATTTCAGAATCCTGTATCCCACGAGGACCGCGAAGACGCCTTCGACTACGAGCACTTCTTCCTTCATTCAGCTATGGGGTCAATGAGCCAGCGGAGACGAGAGAGCTGGAGCAGCGTGAGCAGTGTTGACTCAGGCGATTCTGTTGAGACAACTCGGGGGCCTGTCCCCACTCCTGCTCCTGCTCCCGACTCCGATTCTGACCATGAACGAAGGCCGAGTGTCGAGTCTATGGCGTCCTTCAATACGTTTGCTACAGCTACCGAGGGTCGCTCAAGCCGCAACTCAGACTTCGAGGATGTTACGGAGACCGTCGTTGACGTACAAGAGAATGCGAATGGGCCTCCAAGTACAAAACGAACAACCTTTGGGGGTTTCCAGTTTCCTCAGGGAAGGGCCAGTTCGAGGGCCAATTCTGTCGATACACAGCAATCACAGCCCCGACGTAACACCGTGGTACATCGCCCTGCCAGTAGTGCAGCTAGCTACGCACGACATCGCCCTTCAATGTCGTCGTTCGGATCCACAGGGACGAACCGAAGTTTTCCACTTGTGGACAAATCCAAGACGGCCAACGGGATCCTGACACCTAACAGTAGCACTCCTGGGGGGTCGCCTGACTCGGAGCTTAAGCAGATTTCTGCGAGTCTCATGAACGAAGCCGCCACCTTGGGCGGGATCGAGACTGGGCATCTGTCAGGGGATGCATCCCCCATGCAAGGGTTAGACAAGGAGAGCCAGGTAATGGTAGAGAGACTTGTGGCCAGTCTTGGCAAATGTGTGCTCGGGTTGACAGAGTCGTCGAGTGCTGGTTCAGAGGCACGTATGTATCGCAGGAGGATGGACGCTGCGCGACGTATACTCGAGGGACTTGATGAGTGAAGACGATTTCTCTAACGTTTATACTTGGAAGGTGGTACAAAAGATGTGGCATTTTTGTTACAAGGTATTGGCGCTTTGCATGGAGGGAGATGGGGGATTGGGATTGGGATTGGAGATATTACATATCACAGATGATGATGATGCTCTGGTTTAGAGCAGGTGGCGTTAAAACCTGTCTTGGATCAGACCAGGTTAATGTTCGATACCCGTCAAGTCTAGCGATTTTCTTTCTATTTTGTAAATATTTTAGCTTAAAAGGCTCGCGAATCTATTGCCATGCCTCCTACATTAACATACAACTACTCGCTTTACAGACTTTCAGATTAGGTTCCATCACTTATATCCGCTTGGTCAGCTTGCGTGCTTCTGTTGATGGTCCGTGCAGAGACCCTTCCATCGCTTAAGGGACAATAGACGTTTTGCATGTGATAGAGCAGCAATCTCTGCAAAGTACAAAAGGAAGTCACGATCGTGCTGAAGGAAAATCAAGCGAATGATATATGAACTCTGGTACTGTAGATCAAAAGTAAGATTCATCATTCTTTCTCAGTCATTAATTGCAAGAGTTGGTCATACATACTGCATCTAATCCATTGTTTGTCAGGGATGATCTGTGATTAATGGATACAAAGGACCAATTAACACGTCCGTCCTTCTTTGATCAAAACTTCGCAGACTCTTTCACCCGTGCATAACATCAAAAGCAAGTTTCAAAGTAAATTACACGTTGCTTCATGAAACTCCAGACCAAAAACAAAACAAAGGGGTATCTAATTTGGTCCTGCTCACCTTACCCATCGTAGACCGCAACTTCACTTTTAAGACTACCCTGCAACGTTAGCTCAGAAAAGCCACGAAAACAAACATTTCCCCCACCATCAACCTCAACCTACCTACAACCCTAACACTGACAAAACTATCATCAACGACCACTCCCAAAAATGCCTTCCGTTGAACCACCGAACATGGCGACACATCTACTTACGGCCCTACTGCCACCAGAGCTCGCCGACTCCGTCCAGAAACACATTCTCCACCCTAGCTCACCAGTCCAGATCGTCGCGCGCAACGTCCTCGCCCAAGCGCAGAATCTTCTTGATACCGTTGCGCCTATCCTTGAACCCATATTCGATCGCGTTATGATTCTACTCGCGGAGAACCAAGGCCTCGTTGGTGTTATTGCGTCGCTGGTAGTACTTGCCACCGTTGTTATCATCCTCAACTGGATTCGTCGTCTGCTTATGTGGTGGACACGCATGGCGATGCGCATTGTGACGTGGGCTTTCTTGTTTGCGATAGCAGCTTGGATCTACGAGCGCGGAGTTTTCGAAAGCGCTAGGGATATGACCGTCATGGGCGCTAAGATCGTGGGATATCTGACTGTCATCAAAGACGTCTGGCTGCAAGAGTATGACCGCTACGAGGCACAGCAGGGCATGGCTGGAACAAGAGGACATGCCTCTGGAAGATCCAGATAAAAACCTCTTTGATAAGATGCGTGCAGCCTGCCGCTATTTAGCGACCACCGTTAGGCACACGATACGACACTATTTGAATACCCCAATGACATGGAATATGACAAAGAAACACGAAAACCGAATATCAATAGCATCAACCACTACAGCACAACTACTACCCGGGCATTGTTATCTCATCACGTCACGAAAAAGTTGGAAAATTGGGGACAGGTCAAGGTGGAAAGCTGAGAGACAAGGGCACATCATATCTAAGCTCTGTTCAGCCTCAGATTATGGAAAGCAACCAGTAACGCCGGCGCTATGCAATAGTACTATCAAGATACCACATATTTCCTTTTCTTCACATGTTCATTTTCTCGTAAAACCCAGTCTAATCGTCGTAGTTTTCGTATTCCTCGTCGCCAGGCTCCTTGGGGTCTTGTGCCTCATGGAACTGTATGCAGTCATCAATGTGACTTAGAATAGCACCCACACTGTCCTCGTTGGTCACATCCAGTTTAAGGTAGTTGATCATGCTGAAACTTTCGATCAAGCCAGCCACTGCGCGGTTCAATCGTCTGAAACTGGCACCCTTCATAACCTGCTCCTTCTCGTCGGGTGCTTTCGATTCGTCATCTTCGGCTTCGGGACCCTCTGTAATACGGCGTGCACGCTCGATAGGATCGTCGTCAAGTAGACCTACATCGGGGGTGAGGAAGCGTTTGAGGTCCTTCTTCTTGACCTGACCCTTGACGAGATCCATCTTGGACAGGATGTTAATGTGCGGCACCTCAAGCATAAGCATAGCACTCATGGCACTGAGAGTACCCGAGAAGAACTTTGCGCGATCAACGACAAATGTGGCTTCGAGGAGATAAACTGCGGCCATGCGAACATCGAGAGATCCAGGCTGCGACAGGAATTTGACCAGAGCTGGCAGGATAGGAACGTGGGTATATAACTCGATCTGTCCCGGCATGTCGATAATGATGAGATACTCCTCGGTCAGGCCGTCAAGAGCTTCTGTCAACCAGTCGAGATTCTCCATGAGAAACTCGAAGCAGTAGATAAGACCACCGTTGGGCCCGAGGCCAACTTCTTCCATGGCATCTTTGAGAGAGATGAGCTCCTTGATGTCGAGATCGGGTTCATGTTCAAAAGTCTCGGCGGCAGGGTCGAGGTTGATGTAAAAGGCGGAACGGCGGTTGAGGTTGAGATGGGTGATGAGGGCGGCGCAAAAAGTAGACTAGACGTGACACGAATACGAGGTCAGTTGAGGCGCTTGAACGAACGTTGGGGATATTGTGACCCAAGCACGCGATTCAAGGCGACATGGTGGAAGTAATATTGCAGAAAAAAAGAATAGGCGGTATGGCATCCCAGAACAATAAGCGAAATACAATGTAGGCATACTGAGTCAAAATGAAATGACATGTTTACATACCTTGCCCGCGCCCGCAGGGCCCATGACCATAGCACCGAACTTGCTCATATTGAAGAGGTGGTGATGTATGCGATTTGGTGTTTTGTTTCTTCAGGTCAAGTCAAGCCAAGTCAAATTGACAAGGGAGGGGACAAAATGCGATTAGATACAGTGCCGTCAGTAGCTGCGAGCTTCGAGGACGTCAGGGTATCAGAAAAATTGACCGCTAGGAGCATAAGAGACGAAATAACTTGGTCACTTTATGCGAGCTTTAATCGGCCTTTAGGTCGATTGTTTCTGGCGGCCTATGTCTTGGAGGACAATTCTTCTGCTACCCAGTAGCAGGGTCAAAGCTAGCTGCAGACGAGTTTCTAAGCAGCTCCACTTTGAAGGGACGGGTCCAGGTAGTGTAGAAACAAAAATCAACAACGGGTTAATGATGTGTGCATGTATGTACAGAATACTGTATGCAGACTCGGATAGGTAGTAGATAGCCTAGGTTAAACCGGTTATCAATGAGAGGCACACTTCTGCATGTGGTGATGGTGACGAGCTTTTTCGAAATGGCGAAATCTTTTTGGCACGTTCTGACGTTCTGGAATGGTGGGGTAAAAGTTCGGATAGATTAGGTAGCGTTTTTTTACTTCTTTTTTTTTCTACCTTCCTTCTCTCTATTTTCTCTCGTAAGTTTTTCTTTTTTGCCCCTCCTCTACCGGACGCCAGAAAAAAAAAAGTTGTTTCTCATAGTACTGCAGCCTTTCATCGTGCCTCAATTTGGTGTAGCTTTCTTCGGCCCCGCCATGTACCAACTTTACATATCATGCCCAGACTCGGGCTATCATGATGACTGCTAAGTTAGGTATCTTCACCCACTCAACACTACTACCTACCTAGTATTCTATCTTCTCCAGATGCGGTGCACGTGTTTGTCAATCAGCCAGGGAATTGGTCAAGGATTATTTTAGCAAGGCTTGAGGCTGATAGGTTCGGCAACTTTTGACCCATTGTTCCTTCCACCGGATTGTCCCAACTCAGACGAGGGGATAGACAATAGGAAGCGGGGGAAACGAGTACGAAACTACTATGTCCGAGTAAGGAGCACCTACCCTGATTGCACCGCAACGAAAGTTGCTCGGGATACAGTACGGCTTGAATAGCGGCAGGTGCGATGGCGCAATACGGCTGCAAATTTCGGCTTCCGGAGGAGGTGCCTTTTCTACCCAGCCAAGTGTCATTTACCCCTCCAACCCGCAGGGTATCGACCACCGAAAGCCTTGCCTCAGCGATAAGGTGTGTACCTGAGCTTCACGCTAACCCCTCATACTAAACTAAAGTACACCCTTATGATTCGGGGGTCTTGAAGATCCAAGACTGCTTTGACCGACGGCCGGTCAACAAAAAAAAAGCATTGGCAGTATTTTTTTTTGTCGCTCCCCGCCTTTTGGCAATTCCCAACATGAGGAGCCATTGTACTGTAGCATTGGGCAGTGCTCAACAGGTACATAGAAAATAGCTGTCGCGTAGGCGTGAAATCGAGTCATTACTCGAGTCTCGGATAAGAGCGACTTGAATTGTATGTATACATCCAGTAAAAGAACCCAATCAATGGTAGGAGGAAAAAAAAAAAAAAAAAA